CGCTGACGCGACGGCACTGCTGGTGACCAGGCTGCTGAAGTCTATGAAGGCCAAAGGGGTGACTTCAGCAGTGCCGCGACGGGAGCATAGCGAAGGCATGAAGTCTGTGCCGGCCCTGAATCTCTCGTCGACATACGTGGTGAGGGGAGCAAAGGAGCTGCCGAGGACGGGAGATAAGGCGCCGTGGATGCCGAGGAGCACGTATTTTTCGGATCTGTGGGGTGCGAAGTTCGGAAACATTACGGATGGGTTGCAGTTTGAGAAAGTCTCCACGTAACAGCCGTCCGTGTCGTTTTCCACAGTCTTAATCATGGATCTCCAAATATACAAGCCTGCATAATGTGCGTCAAATAGAACAACTCACACACGGCTGAAATGCATCCTATAGACAAGGTGCCGCGTTGGGTTGCAAAGCACATTGCCTCCCTAGGTTCAGCTACCCCAGTGCCATCGAAAGAGCAAGAGATTGTGAAGGGGGAGGATCTCAAAACCCCCATCAACCCCAACATACTTCTAGTCCTAGCACAATCCCGCCCTCGACCAAACACACAAACCAGCAAGTCCATTGACCATCAACCCGGTAAAAGCAATCCTCACACGACAACTCCCCATCTCGCCACCCCGACCCATAACTACATTGACCGCACAGAAATTAGCTCGGAAAGGGGCCCCCCGTCGCTGAGAGCAACACACACACACAGTCTATCTACCTTATCTAGATGAATGAGGAGCATCTTAACCAACCCGGAAGAATCAGACCAAGACCTTCTTCGCCCAAGTCGATTCGGGTAGAAGTATGTAGGTGAAGTACTAGTACAGAAGCGACGAGGGATGACCCTCGATTTAGATGCGACGGAGCAACGTGACGACGATGGACCCGCTGAGTGCTTCACCTACGTATGTAAGATTATATCCTAAACGACGAACCCATCTTGTACTTCCATGTATTAGTACACATGTCGAAACAGCCATTCCGCCGGGGATGGAAAGGGATAGAAAGCCAGCACGGCGCTCTCACACTGCTTCCTTCCTCTTCTCCTCCTCCTCCTCCTCTACTCAAAACCGCCATCATCATCGTCATCATCAACAACAACAACAATCCCACCCCCCTCCCCACCACCACCACGACGCCTACAATCGTCCCCCCAGCACTGAACATCCTCTCTCCCCCTTGCCCCCTCCTCCTCCCCTCCCCTCCTCCCCCACCAACAACAGTAACAACAGTAGCCACTCACTCGCCCCCTTCACCCCCTTCCCCCCCCTCAAAGCACCCCAACCCCAACCCTCATCCTCCTCACGGCGGCCCACCACGCCTTCATGTATCGTACGGACCAGAAGCCAGACCGAGCCCATCGACGTATGCGGTTTCGCTCCTCCTCCTCCTCCTCCTCCTTCTTCTTCTTCTTCTCCTTCTCCTTCTTCTCTCTTCTTCTCCTCTTCTTCTTCTTCTTCTTCTTCTCCTCCTTCTTCTTCTCCAACCCACTCTATTTCCCCCTCCCCCCATCCACCCAAACGTGTAAAAACTCCACCCCATCCCCCTCCCCATCCCCCTACCCATCCCCCCATCCCCATCCCCATCCCCCTCCCCATCCCCCAACCCATCCCCCATCCCCATCCACCCTCCCCATCCCCCCATCCCCCCACCCCCATCCCTCCATCCATCCCCCCATCCCCTCATCCATCCACATCCCCCATCCCCCAACCCATCCCCCCATCTCCCCCCCCCCCATCCCCCTCCCCCCCCTACCCATCCCCCTACCCATCCCCCCTCCCCATCCCCCCTTCCTCCACCCATCCCCCCTACCCATCCCCCATCCCCCCTCCCCATCCCCATCCCCATCCCCCTCCCCATCCCCCTACCCATTCCCCCAACATCCCCCACCATCCCCCCTACCCCTCCCCGACAACCCATCCCCCACCAACCCCCCATCCCCCTACCCATCCCCCCCCCCCCCCCCCCCATCCCCATCCCCCCCCATCCCCCATCCCTTCTCCCATAAACAAAAAAGCGCCACAATTCGAGCCGGGACCACGGTATCCGATCCCAAAACATATAGACCGACTCTTTCCTTGATCGACACAAAAGATAGAGAGGGGGTATGGAATGGAGTGACGGCCACGATGACGATGACGATGAGCAGCCTTCGAAATGCAGCCCGCTGGGTGTGGACTTGCCTCCTCGAGGTTTTTATTACTTCCATCCACCGGATCCCCCCCTTTTTTTTTTTTCTTCTTCTTTTTTTTCTTCTTTTCTTCTTCTTTCTTCTCTTTCTTCGCTTTCTTCTTTCTTCTTCTTCTTCTTCTTCTCTTCTTCTTTTCTTCTTTTCTTCTTTTCTTCTCTTCTTCTTCTTCTTCTTCTTCTCTTCTTTTCTTCTTCTCTTCTTCTCTTCTTCTCTTCTTTCTCTTCTTCTCCTTCTCTTCTTCTCTTCTCTTCTTCTCTTCTTCTCTTCTTCTTTTCTTCTCTTCCTCTTCTTTTCTTCTTCTTCTTTTTTTTCTTCTTTTCTGTGGTAAGACACGGTTCATGGATCCGAACCCAAAGTGCGAGATAGAAAGCCCGTGTTCAACAAACCGTACAGTTCTTCTACTGCTTTCGATGTGGGGTGGGGGGAGTTGGGGAGGCGAGGTGAATGGGGCGGTGCAAGGGATGGAAGTGGGTGGGTGAGTGAGGGAGGGAGGGAGGTTGAATGGTAACGGGTCGCGTGTGTATTGGCCATATGCGGAGCGCTGTTGTTGCAAAGGAGAGGACGCGATCAACATGGGACTGTGAGCACAGCCAATGCGTTCAGGTTTCATCAAATATTTACATGATTGTGTGCTGTACAAATGGACCAAAGCCGTGCAACTATAGCAAAGTACCAGGGTATCGGGAAAATTCAGCATTGACGACCCAATCAGACGCCTTACGTATCGAAGTTGATTCTTTCCAAGATTGCGCGGCCGTTCGTGGTACCACCATTGCCGGATCCGTTGACAGTAGCTCCGTTGGCCGTACCGTTCGTGGCAGCGCCGTTGGTAGCAACACGATTCGTGGCGGCGCCATTGGCACCCACATCATGCCCACTTGCAACCCCATTCCCGTTTATCAACTTCTCCCCATCCTCCTCTCTGAGGAAGTCCATCCCACTGGCGGGTCTCTCCAGCCTATTCCCGCTCTTACTTCTCGGCCCTCCCGCCCAACTCATGGGTCTTCGATTACTCAATCGCCTGGTGATACCATCACCTATACCGGCAGCGCTCCACCTCTTCCTCCGTGGCGCTGGCGTGTCGTCCAGTCCCAGCTGTTGTCTTACAATGGGGATCTCCGCATGGTCTCTCGTACTCCGCATGCGACGGCACCAGGTCACCTTCCCGTTTTGAAAGAAGAATTCTCCACCCACTTGTCGGAAATCGCCGCCGGAAAGCATGTTTCTGCCCGACTTCAGCTCTTGAATGAAGCTCCTCACAGCCATGGACAGGATAGAGCGCTGCATGTATTCGGGCGTCTTGCCCAGAGTCAGGGTGCTCGTCATACGGAGGAGATGATATAATTTCCGTGTAGGGTCGGCGTAGATGGGAAAGGGGCATCCGGTTTCTTGAATGTACATGGGTATGAGGTGCGGTTGGCCGCAGCCGATGACGACAATTTGGGTGGGAGGGGAGAGGGAGGAGAGGGACTCGGGGGTAATGGAGGATGCGAAGGTACGGAGGTACTCCTGGCAATTCTGTGGATGTTTGTCAGCGTCTTTCACGGCCAGGAAGGGGTTAATCGGGTTCCATACCCCACAGAAGAAATGCCGTATAAATATTATCAGAACCCGGCGCGGTCCATTCTCATTGTCGGCATACAAGCTCTTGAACGTACACTTCTTCCCATCCTTGTCTAGCACAGGCAGGTCCGCGATTTTCTCGAGATCTTCTTTTGTAGGGGGATTGTTGTTGACTTTGATGTTCCCCTTGAAGTCAGCGGAAGGGTCTTTCCCCGGCATGGTATTGAGAGAAGAGCCAGGATTTTTGCCGATGGTGTCAATCCAGAGGACGAGGGGGACGAGAGTGAGGGTGAGTAGTATGGCGATGATGGTGGGGTTGGAGAGTAACAAAGAGAAGAAAGAGACAAAAGAATGGAAGGTTGAAGGCCATGGCGGAGCAGATGCTGAAACGAACGACTCCATAATACTTTACGGTAGTGTGATCGTGGCGGCTGACATGAATAGATTTAAAAGTGCAGCATCAGGAGATTGTTGGAGACTAATTGATGTAGGCGAAGACGATCGAAGCTGTTTTGACTTAGGCACCCCCGGACAGATTGTTAAGGTCAAGTAATCTTACCGTCTCATTACTCGTATGGTTGGTAATTGGTAGCCCGTGGTTGGGAAGGAAAATAGAAAGGAAAAGGAAAGACAGACCAATGCCAAGTTTGATGGACCAGGGAAAATAAGGATGAGCAGGGGATGGAACAGGCATGATCAGGGATACGATCATCAGCCGATTAGATCCAAGTCTACCTTATTTCTTCCATTTCTTCCCTTTAGTCTGCCTGCTCTTTCCTTAATGGTCAGATTCCAAGACAAGAATGACGCCAAGCGCTCTGATTGCGCCGCCCCGTGTTGATCATTTACTTCTTGCGGATGAAGTGTGGCTTCTTGCCTGGTTTCCACTAGAGCCCATTCAGACGAACTCCATGTCTAAGGTACTTTGACTTTCCCCTAATCTCCTTCCCTCGGGGCGCTGCCCTGCATGAATCACATAACAAGGGTAAGGTACGTTAAGCGGCGCATAATACTTTTGATCAACGTCCGTCAACGTGGGATGTAAGCACATGTCTATGTACGGTAATGTAGGTACATATTTATTCTACTCCCAACGGCTATCCTGACCCACAATCTGGCAATCTCGGGGAACGAGTGGGCCTGCAAAGGAGATTGGAACGCATATGATGGAAAATCCGATCGCCATCTCTCCTGACTGATCGCGTCAAGATTCGGTTAGCCCCGAGGCAAAGAGAGCGTGCACACTACACAGCAATGCAGAGTTGCAGACGCACCTCAACCCTGCAAGATCCTTCCAAATACTCTACTTATCTACGAGACGACCACGCGCATCGGAAATCTGCTGGGCGTGGCTATGCCAGCTTTTTCGCGCAATGTCCCGGTTTCGAGGAGAGTGGGACCACAAACAAGGTAGAGACGGGATTTGCATTCACAATCCGACGATCTATCAAACGCATGATGAAGAAAGGAAAGTCAGTGCTGCACATGCTGCAAATCCCAAATGGACCGGCAACTGCATACACGTTGCCGTGTCTTGCGGACCCGCTCGGGGCATCACTTGATTCGACGGGGCAAGACCCGGAACGGCGCAGAACAATCGCCATCCCTCCACGGACAACCACCACTGAGCTGCAACATTATCTGACATGATGCCGTAGAGACAGTTGCGCTTTCCACCTCGCCTCCATGACGGCAATTCATTTCCTCCCGACTTGCAATTTTTCGCATGCATGAGCATCTCTGCGGCTGGCGTATCAGCCTTGCAGCTTTCTCCGAAGCCTCGCGTCGCTCATCAAGACCCGGAGTCTCTCGAGTAGTGCCATGACTGCTCGGAGTACCCAAGCGCATGCAGGAGCATCTAGCCTTGTCGTCGTGTTGTATCTGGTCTTGTCAACTGAATTCCATTAATCAACCACCATGTTTCCGAGTCAGCCTTCGGATGTCGGATCAATCGTAGTTGCCCAGCCCAACTTGGCTGGCAAAGGCTGTAGAGACGCTTCGAGCATCGTCATCATCTCCACGCGGGACCCGGCCGCCGGCAGAGCTTCCGCCGAACACGCTGCCATCGCCAGGACGTCCACCAGATTCCACGTAGCGCTTCAGACGATCCGATTGGTTAATACTGGCTTGCTTTGCATCATTGATGCTGAGGCCAGCCAGACTAACTCCTCCTTTGCCATCGACGGTACTAGCGGGACCATTGATGTCCGACTCACTAGCAGCAACAGACTCGCCAGCAATGCTCTCGGTCCCAGCTCGGCTCTTCGCACCGTTCATCCGACGTCCGTTCAGGGTAGGCCAAGTGTCCTGGAATCCAGAAAACATTGGTGGGTAAGTAGAAGGGACACCGACACCGCCGCCAACGGAAGATGAATGCACGGATGATACATCATCCGGAATGTAGCCGACGAGGGACCCAGCATCGTTGTACTCTTGACGAGGGCCATTGCGACCATTGGCCATGCCATTGCTCAAATCGGAAGCCCGCTGGTAAGACATCTGGTAGCGTTGGGGCCCGCGGTAGGATTGTTTGGGACGACTGAACTGCAGCAAAGAGATCTGCAGATTAGATAGCGGCCCTTCGACCAGGCAATTCTTCTCCTTGAAGTGCAAAAGAAGATAATGCCACAATGGATGCTTCGACAAGACCTTGGGGTTGCCCAAAATGACCAAACCATACTTGGCTCGAGTAAGCGCGACATTAAGACGGCGAGGATCACTCAAGAAGCCAATGCCTTGGTGATCGTTGGAGCGCACACAGGATAATACAATAAAGTCTTTCTCCCGGCCTTGGAAAGCGTCAACGGAGGCCACCTCGATCTCTTTGTAATTCTCCTTCTTGAACGTCCCATTAGTCTGCATGGAGCTAACAACATAGCTTCGCTGGCCTTCGTAAGGCGTGATGATACCGATATCACTGGGTTGAACACCAGCTTTGAAGAAGCGAGTGATGATCTTTTCGACATTGGATGCTTCAGTGCGATTGAGATATGATGTTCCAGAGGCTGAAATCTCCTCATTACCGAGATTCGACCAGAACACCATCGGAGAGTCCATTACTGGCCAAGGGAAGTCTACATCGCGACGTAGGCGCTGCTGCATCGTTACGCCGTTCTGCAGTGAACCCTCGTAGAACATGTTTGACGGGAACTCTGATAGGCATGGATGCATACGGTACTGTACGTTCAACCGAATAGGAGCACATCCAAGAATGACAAGACGTTCGAATAACGACTGGTTTAGACCTGCCTTTGCCGCTTTCTTGTTCATGATAACAGGGCCCAATTGCTGGTGGTCACCGACAAGAACGACTTGCTTGCAGCCGAGCACCAATGGAATCATGCACTCAGGCTCTGCGGATTGAGTCGATTCGTCGATCAGAACAGTGCGGAACTTGAAGCGAGCAAGACGTGGATCGCCAGCTCCGACGCAAGTACAGCAAATGACGTCCGCATTGGTCAAGATCTCACGCTCGGCACTTCGAGTCAGCTGCTTGAACTTCTTCTCGTCTTGACTCGACAGTTCACCAAGCTCGCTCTTGAGTTGGTTGAGCTTAACCAATTCGGTATTGCTATCATTCATGCGAACCTGCTCATGAAGAGAGAGGAAGCCGACCGGGGACTCGACATCTTCGCGAGACTTGGCCGTGACACGAACGGTCTTCAATCCCGTCTTATGGATTCGTTCACACAGCTGGTCGACGGCCACGTTAGACGGAGCACAGACAAGAACTTGTCCACCATTGATCTTGGCAAGATGATAGATGATGGTGGCCGAGGTGACGGTCTTTCCGGTACCCGGAGGGCCTTGAATCAAGCTTAGAGGCTTCTGAAGGACACTCTTGACGGCATTGATCTGACTGCCGTTAAGCTCTGGCAGTCCAGGTACGCTGTATTTCTTGGGCATCTGGGTTTTCATCGGTGCTGCCGCAACTTCGTGGCCCAAGAGTCGATGGAATATGTATCCTGATACACTCATCTCGTCAACAGCGAACGTCTTCATAGCAAGCTGCATTCTGTCAAAAGAAGTAGCTTTCCACACATAGTCTGCGCTGAAATTGTGAGTGCATTCAGTCGGGACAGACTTGTGGTCGCCCTTTGCACGAAGCTCGATGGTGACCTCGTCTGACTGATTGTTGGGGATCTTGATCACATAGCCAACCCCTTCCCATGGCGGACGGAGCTCTCCAGTGTACTTGATGCGCATTTCATCTCCAACAGCCAGCTTGACGTCTCCGAGCTCGAGCTTCGGCAACACAAAGCTAGCAAGGTGTTTGTTGTTCAGGCCAAAGTCCCAGCGAACGACCAATCCATCTTGCGATTGTGACTCTTTCAGCTTCCGGTCGTAGTCTGCTTCGATCTTTACCAGGGGCCCAAAGACGTTCTGATATTGGTAGGCATCGTCATAGTGTAGCAGCACTGGTGCTGGCTCGTCGTCTACACCTGCGCCTTTCTCTAAGTCTGCAATTGTGGCAGAAGCGTTGTCCTTCCACATCTCTTCCAACTTGGCAATCATTTGGGGACTTAGGTGGCGTGCGCGCAGTTGCTCTTGGTCCGAAGGTGAAGATACCAGCCATGCCAGGAATGATCGGTCCTCGATCAAGGGTTGCCAACGTGATACGTCCCAGTTCATGTCTTTCGAGGACGGCATAGATGCACAAGGCTGACGGCAGAGAAGCACCACCACTGTGTCGGACTTGGCTGGTATGAAGCCGAGCAAGAACACATTCTTAGTACCGCAGTTGTAGCATTCGAGTACAGTATCTCCCAAAGATGAACTAGGGTGAAGCTGTACCTCCTTGTGGCGAGCGCGGACTAGATGATTGATAATGTGGGAGGAAGAGGTATTGCCGCGAGCGCTGCAAAACCACTTGCTGCAAGCCAGGCATCGAACGACGGAACTTGGATTGTGTATACCGCAGTATCTGGACAAGGAATCAAATATTAGTAGCTGCGTTGAGGCCCGTTTAGGCTTATGATAAGCTTACGCGCAAGCATGTGGTGGTAATTCTTTCTCCTCCTCAGCTCTTATGCCTGGCTTGCCGTTGATACCATCCACTGGCATGCTGACCATGCTCTCCGTGTCATCATCGTCGAATGCCTCTGTACCCTCATCTTCATCATCATGTCGACGTCTCCTAGGTCCCCCAGTCAAATTGCCCCTCCCATATTCGCGATCTAAGATGCTCTCGTCGGGGTCGATGGTGGAGAGATCGTCTCCAGCGTTTATTGTAGATGCTGAATCTGATATGAGATGATTTCCCAGGTGTGTGAAAGCTCCCTCCATAGCGCCTTAGGATGTTGTGTAAGGCGAGATAGTACCTGGCAGGTCAAGAAGCTTCAATGAGCCAGCCCTTGCGACTAATCACAGCGGCTTTCGGCAACTTGTCGTATGCGAGAAGCTCTTGGTAAGACTGAAAGAATAATTCATCTGACTCCGCCACCACAAAGGAAAGGGAGAGGCTCCTGCAAGGGAACTAGAATAGAATGTGAGAAGTGTTGGTGGGTGGGAAGGGAGGGATTTGATCGGCGAAAAGAAGGCCGCTTTTCGGGCTGGGTCTTGGCAGGTGCGGCCCCCCCACTAAAATTCTTCTTCGCTGCAGGTACGGCCAGTGTAAAAGAAAATATCATTCACAGGAGCAAAGAGCTCGCTCCTTGCTCTACAAGTTTCAAGATGATTGTTCGTGCCCCGACTCTCTATAGTTGTAAGGTTACTCTTTGCTAATCTCGCTCTACCAGAGAAGACAAGCCCGGCAGAGGAGAGATTATCTCCACCGCCGCGCCCTCACTCTCCGCGAAGCAGAGACTGCTGAGAAGCGTGCAAAGCTCAAAGCCTCTCTGGCGACTGGAAAGCCTCTGGACCCTGCCATTGCCAACGATAAGACTTTACGTGAAGACTACAAGTTTGACGAAAGCGCCGAAGCCCACAATGACATCGATGATGAATACGCCCATCTGTCTGGCATCACAGATCCCCGACCCCTGGTCACAACCTCACGCTCACCCTCCACTCGACTATCTGCCTTTGCTAAAGAGATTCGGCTTCTACTTCCTACCTCCATTCGTCTCAACAGAGGTACCCTCATTCTGCCCAATCTCGTCTCTAGCGCCAATGCCTCTTCCTTGACGGACCTACTTCTTCTCCACGAACACCGCGGCGTGCCCACAGCCCTGACAATTTCTCATCTGCCTCACGGCCCCACGGCGTCTTTTTCGCTACATAACGTCTTCCTGCGTCACGACCTCCCCAACGCTTCAAAGGGCACAGTCAGCGAATCCTACCCGCACCTCATCTTCGAAAATTTCAATAGTCCTCTTGGTAAACGAGTGGCGCAGATACTGAAGCACCTTTTCCCGCCCCGAGATGCTGCAACTACCAATCAGAAGGTGGGCAACCGAGTGGTGACATTCAAAAACATCGAGGACAGTATAGAAGTAAGACATCACGTCTTCGTGCGGACAGGATATCAAAGTGTCGAATTGGCGGAGGTGGGCCCTCGAATGACGATGCGACTGTTTGAGATTAGGGGAGGGACATTGGAGAGCAAGAGCGGGGACACGGAATGGCACATGAATCAGTATACAAGGACGAGTAGAAAGAAAGATTACTTATGAGACGTTGCATCACGACGGCGTTATGCCACTGAAAGGATGTGACCTGCTAAAGGAGGAAACTTGCTGCGTGGTATCCAAAAAACCCCAGTGCAGCGCTTCCTCTGCCAAACTAGAGCCGACCAGCGGAGCGAGAATTAGTCCAAGCTCTCGAATATTGCGCAGTAAACATCCGAGCCAGAGCTAAGTTAGTGACAGCACGTGTTATTTTCTCACCAGCACCTTGCTTTGCAACTTCGAAACGTCCAGTCTCGTAATCAGGTTTCGGGCTTCTACAAGGACGCTATGGCCTCGGAAGCGCTCGGTGTTACTCATCGCATGCGGTGTTTTTCCCCAAGTTGTAGGCGACGACTGCTCCCATAATCTCGGCAGTACATCAAACGGTCACTCGTCTTCACATGACTCAGCCATAGCCAGAATTGGACAACATGACCTTCGTCGAGATTCCTCCAACAACATCAAGAGAAACCTACTGAGCCGGCTATATTGTGCATCATGACCAATCTTGTGAACCTCGATTCATACACGCCCCCTATTCCAATACCGCCTGTGGCACCAAATTTTGTTTTCTGCAATGGCGCCTATGGAACCGGCCTGCCACGTCGTGAAGCTTTGCAAGCTGGTAGTCTACTCCCACAAGGCACGCTGCCTGTCACGTACTCTGTTGGGGGACCAGAAATAGATGGTCTCGCGGCGAATGTTTCGGTACTGCGACCGGCGTATGAACTGCCATTCCTAGAATTTTATGGTAGTGTGTTGATATCCGTCGACGTCGCCTCACCCGTCAGTATCAGCAGAATCAACGTTGTGCCCAATGACATAAGAGGAATGGCAGCATATGTCGCCAATGAATGTCTAGGGCGTTACGGAGTGGGAGGATTTGTCACGAAAAAAATCCAAGGACTGGTGGACTTCGTCACGGATCCAACATCGAATATCGATGCTCGGATGTACCCCGACTCCACAGCTTTTCTCACCCTCACGGTGAGCAATCGCCAAACCGCGCATGCTTTTCCTGGAGACTATGACCCACAGTTGGCGTTCTTCCTGCGGAACGCTGAGATAGATGCTTTAAGCCGGGTGCACTCTCGCTACCATTTCGTGATTGCGAATCGTATAGAGAAATTTGCGATTGCTGAATCACGCATGCGCAGGCTGGAAACAGAAGTCCCATGGTGGGACGGATGGTTGGTGCAAGGAAACAGGACCGCGATTGCCGGTTTTCAGGTCGTCAACGTGACTACCGAGGGAAGAGCGACCGCTCGTCGAAGAAAGAGGGTTTCAGGACCGTTGCGTTGAGGATCTGATGAAAGACTTCTTGGGCTTTACAACAAGATCCAAATATCTCCCACCAATCGATTGATCATGAATGCGAAGAAAGGGGTTCCATGAGGCCGAACGTCAACGCACCTATCGATCGGAACGCAATATCAGAGCACGTAATCGTGTAGTCACAGACAACAAATTAGAGGCATAATTTTTATCTTCTCCTCTCCCATGTCAGTTCCATACTGGTGTCCTCCCTGACGAAAGATTCTCTTGTGACGCTTGTCGCTTACTCTCTGAGCAATGGTTGCACCAAAGCCCTAGACGTTCCAGCTCCGTTTGGTTTCAGCAACTCGCATCCGAGCGCAGATCCTCCATTGCAGGTCTAGTGATCACGATTTGCATCATCACGATGATCAGATCTGAAGCCTCCTGTCTTGAGATAGAATTTGAATGTCATGCACCCCACGTTTGCCCCACGATGTGCTCGGGGTTTCCCAAGATCGAAACACCTTTGTGCTAGTGTGTAGGTACCATAGTCCACGTGGTTCATCTCCGGCACGAATTTCACGATGAGATCTATTTTGAAATCCGATGTCGAAGACGGTGACCTGCAGCTGCTACCGCTCCGTTGGCGCATGATGTCGCTATTATCTTGATGACGTCTTATCTAGTCCTTGAGTCAAGATGTTCGAAAAATGTGAGCGTCAGCTCCTTTACAAGTTTCACTACAGCCTTTCTGACTCGTCTGCCTTGTCTCTCAAACATTAAGTTTACCAGACGTCCAAGGCGGCCCAGGAAAAATCCTTCACTGGCACTCAGCCTCTATCCATCTGATTTCCCATGCTGGGCTGCCACGAGCTTCGCCTTCCAAAACTGATATAAGTAGCTCGTGAGCCTATGAATCATTACTCAACTACGAGAGTACAATCGAGAATCAACTCGTAATCTCGAGCAGGTTTCCATCTAATACCCTCACTACTCCTTACCACAATCCAGCACATTTAATCAACCAACACTATGAATCTCACTTCCAATTCGAATAGTCGACCAACTAATAATGTAGCCCCACCATTGCCTTATCGCTATCCTCCTCCTCGTCTCCTTCACCTTCTGCGCCCCAGTACCACCGCAACCTGAAAACCTAACTTGCAACCACGAAACATCCACAGCCGCATGATGACCGGCTCCGAAGCCCCCGGCGCCCTCACGCCGCCTCCTGGCCCCGAACCAGCCGGTGATCCGAATTCAAACAACGCGAGTGTTGGAGTGGGACCGCAGACTGGCCGATGATGATGGTCGGACGACTGATCCGAATGCGAAAGCGAATGCTGGGGCCGGTGCTGGTGCTGAGGCTTCCGAACAAGAAGGGGGTGCGATGGGTGGGGCGAGGGCGGGGAGGGCGGGATATCCGTGATCAGGGTGCTCAGAGTGGTTGAGTGATGGATCACAAAAAGTCTTCCAAACTTGTGATCCCCGTTTTGTTGCTACGTAGTCAATCCGTTTTGTAACCTGCCTACCAATGAGCGGCCGTTTCGACGTCCGAGGCATTGATGGCTGTAGAGCGATTCGTCGATATATTGGCCGCTCCAAACACTTCCAATGGCCGCTCCACCTGCCAGTCACCCATGCAAGCGAACGTGTAAAACGGCGCCAGCGCGCGGGGGTTCGGTGCGCAAAGATAGCAGCCTCGATTGAGGCTCCTGCAGAAAGCGGCACCCGAGTGATATGGACTCGGGCAGCTCACTTTATCGCATTGTTGGTCGGCCTCTACTGGAAAGATGAGTGAGCCGCCGGGTGCGCGTGGTGGCCTGGGGACGGCGAGAGTGTGTACAACGAGGCTGAAAAGGAGGGGGATCGAGGTAGTAGGCATGAAATGCATCATACGTGATTTCTTCGAAATCGGAGACGATCAAAGTGCCTGTAGAGTTGGAAAATCGGCACGAACGGAGGAGGCGCTCGAGCCCCTTGTTCTTAAGTAGCGAGGACTGCTGCGGCGCTTGGTATCGATGGTCATACGACCGCGTCTCGGTAGCAGTCCCTGCAGATGACTTGAAACGCGACACTGCGTGCATAGCAGAGGAGCGGGAGGGGCGGTTCAATACTGGAATTTTGAAAGGCATCCAGTACCAGGGACAATTACATGCAACGGTTCCAGAGTAGGGACGTATAGTACGTGGCCTACAAACGGTCCGAGCCGAACGACATTGTAAGCTTGGTTCGACGGGTTTTCCAGGACCATCCTCGACCCTCATTGATGCCCGTCGTACCTGCGTTGGTCTGTCTCTCCGTGAAAAAGATTACATATGCCTCGGGACGACTTTTGAGCAAGATGTTGGATAGGGTTAATAATCGCACGACTTGCACAATAGAACGAGATATCCGGACCCCAAATACGTTTTATTAAAGACCATCATTGCACCTCGCTCGAGGTGGTGGCATGAGTATAGTACTGAGATCAACAGACCGTAGATTCCTGACATTTGCTAAATGCTTCGAGCAGCTACTGACTGGTGCCGGCAGTCTCCTATCAATCATTGTGGAGCTGAAGCAAGTCGACGTCGGCGGCTCCTAGAGCTTGACCCTGAGACCCTGAGCCATTATTTTTTCCATCTAGCCTCCAAGCCAAGATGGATGCATCACCAGTAGAAAGCGTGGCGGCGAGGAAGAAGGAAATTTGATAGGGCTAAATTTAGGCAGTCGGCGATAAGATGCTCCGAGATTGCGCCATTCGGTCAAGCGTCTTTGGCAATTCCCAATGACAACAATTTCATCTTCCTGCCTCTATGTATCTTGATCATGATTGATGAAAAAGCACGAAAGGTGCACAACAAACAAACATTCAAAGGATGTCTTTGACTTTGCACCTGTCGCTAGCTTGGTTGGTGTCTCGTTTAATCAGACGTCAGATATCGCCTCTCTGGTCCGTTTGCGCTCGGCATTATCCGTCCGGTAGGCTAGGAATGTGAGCAGTTATGAATCTTCTCCACCGTGACACAAGGTTTCATCGCTTCTTCTCTCCACTTCTTTATGCTTATAGATCAATTGCTATTCATATGCCATGACCTGCTCATCCTCTCCCTCTGTCGCTCTGTCTCTTTCTTCCTATGTAATTCCCTCTCCCTCTCTCTCCGGCGCCCCAACTGCCCCGTAGGCATTGGGAGACCTTGTCTAACTTGGCAACAAAGAACCTTCTCACGCCAAGCTTCTACTTGCCTTCTCCAACAGGCTTTCGTCTCTTATGACTTATTCCTAACAGATATAATCAATTGATCAGTACTACTTACGACATAGACATGCCGTCCCCAGAAGAGTCCCATACACCAGCCTCACACGAAGAAGAAAGCTCCAGAGATCAAAGTGCCGAGTCCAGCAAGCAACATTCTAGAGAAGGATCAAGGCCACCCAAGAAAAGGCACAATGTACGCTTCACGCCAGGAGGGGAGTCATTGGACACTTCAAACAAGAGGGCCGCTTTCGATCTTCGAGATGATACCAACCCACCTCCCAGGCCGAAGCCTTTACCCAGGACAAGGTCTAACACAGTGAGAAGAAACAGTTCATATTCAGGCGCCCCTGCGCCTAACCCTGAGAAGTCTTTGGACATCACGGAATCGTCTGCTAAAGCACCAATCCCCAGACCCAAACCTTCGATAATGAGACTGCCTTCAAGTGACTCAGAACCGGAAGACAGTGACACCAAATCTGATGATGAGGAAAACAAGGAGGATGAAGACGGAAGGAAGGAGGACGAGAAAGCAGTGGGAAAAGCTATATCACAGCAGACGGCACAGGACAGGGCCGAACGTCTTTCCCGTATGATGGGCAGTCACTCTGCCCCTGGTTCCAGATTTGCGTCTCCTCAAAGACCGCAGAGGACAGTCGCCAGATCACCACCTCCATCTCCACCTCCATCTCCGCCTCCCGAAACAGCAAGGCAAATGAGGCTGGATTTGAGCGACATTCACCTGGAAAGGCTAGAAACCAGACGAAGGAAGTTTGGGATAGAAGACGACACGGATGAAGACGATGAAAAGGAAGCCGAGACTTTGTCATTGAAGAAAGGGAAACAGAGGGCAGGTCGATACTACGCTAGGGCTGCTCGTTTGATTGCGCATCATAAGTCACCACAGATACCACGATTGTTCAGACTTCACGCCGAGACGCCGCCCGGGACGGCCTCAGGTGTCCAAACACCTATGTATGAACGTGATCCCAACCACTACGTTCCCAGGCCCAAGGAGTACCGTGAAGGTTACCTCTCCTCACTCCTAAAACTCTACAATGAGCAGGGAGCTGGAATTGCTCTGTCTCATATACCTTCTGGTCACGATGCCATTACTCGAGCAGCACATCGACGCGACAGTGCCGCCCAGTCTTTGAATGGATCAACAGCTTCAGGAGCAACAACGCCTGCACAGACCCCAAGAACGTCACCGGCCGGCTCGCCAACATCTTCCGGCGCTACTACTCCGAAAGCAAAGCATCAGAAGTGGTATTATAAGAACTCTCAGAGCCAGTCTACTGGGGCTTTGTCAGATCTTGTTAGCTCATCTACTGTCTTTGCTCAGCCAACAACCGGTTCCAGTCAGACATCAAAGGCTATCAGACCAAAAGCGAAGCACAGACCGTTGAGCGCTCAGGCTTTGGATACCGTTATGGGCAAGAAAAAGAAGGGCCACAGAAATGACGACTCGATCCGGATCCAAGTACACATTGCAGAGACAATGCAAAGGCAAGGCTATCTTATTAAGATTTGCAGGGCTCTTATGACATATGGAGCACCGACACATCGGCTCGAAGGTGCGTATCGTTGCAAAGCAAGACTTTTCCGCTGCTGACACAGTTACACAGAGTATATGCGTATGTCATCTAGAGTACTTGAAATTGACGGCCAGTTCCTTTACATTCCCGGCTGTATGATCGTCTCCTTTGACGATCAATCAACGCATACGACAGAGGTCAAAATAGTCCGTGCTACACAAGGTGTCAACCTTGGGAAGCTTCGCGATACTCATGAGGTGTACAAAGAGGTGGTCCACGATACGATAGGCGTCGAGGAAGCGATGGAACGTCTGGACGAGATCATACGCAAGAAGGATGATTATAGTCCGTGGTTCCGCGTGATTATATATGGATTCGCCAGCATGTGTGTTGGACCGTTCGCTTTCGGTGCTCGTCCGATCGACATGCCCATAGCTTTCTTTCTAGGCTGTCTCTTGGGAGTCATGCAACTCATACTTGCCCCGCGATCGGAGCTCTACTCGAACATTTTCGAAATCTCTGCCGCCGTCCTGACCAGCTTCCTCGCTCGAGCCTTTGGTTCCATTAGGGGTGGCCGACTCTTCTGTTTTTCCGCTCTCGCTCAGTCCTCCATCGCCTTGATTCTACCTGGCTACACAATCCTTTGTGGCTCTCTTGAGCTTCAGTCGCGGAACATAGTCGCTGGTTCCGTACGTATGATCTACGCTGTAATATACTCTTTGTTTCTTGGCTTTGGCATCACGATTGGCACCGCGATTTTTGGTGCTATCGATAAAAACGCGACCAACAACACTACTTGCATGACAGCCATGCCGGTCTGGTTCAAATTTATCTTCGTGCCTCCCTTCACGCTTTGTCTCATCGTCATCAACCAGGGCAGGTACAAGCAAATGCCGATAATGCTCGTCATCGCCTTTGCCGGGTACATCGTCAACCACTTCTCGGCCAACCGCTTCTCTTCGAACGCCCAGATAGCAAACACGCTCGGCGCTCTCGCCATCGGTGTCATCGGAAACCTATATAGTCGTCTCCGCCATGGCCTGGCGGCAGCCGCGCTGCTACCAGCCATATTCGTGCAAGTGCCTTCGGGCCTCGCCGCAGGAGGCAGTCTGATCAGCGGGCTGACGTCCGCAAATCAGCTTACGAAACAAACGGTCAATGGCACCGCGAGCAACGGGACGACCACTATCAGTAACGCAACCAGCGCTTCAACTGTCAACGTCAACAGTGATGTCCTCAATGTCGCATACAGCATGATTCAAATCGCGATTGGAATCACGGTGGGTCTGTTCATGAGTGCTCTCGTTGTCTATCCTTTTGGAAAGAGAAGAAGCGGTTTGTTTAGTTTTTGATCCGCTTTCATCAACATGGGTTGGAATCTATCTGCTAGAACAAAACCAAGCTTTTGAATATTTGTTGCACGCATAGCGATGGGGGTTTCTGCTTCAGCATAGCGCTTGTGCGAGGCCACGCTTACGAAATGTTACCTGATCTTGGATACGAAGGCTACGATAAGTGAGGTGGGATGGGCCACGCCGCTGGGATAATGAAGGGTAGCAGTTGTACAGATTCACGCAAAATGACCATTTCATATTCCTCCTCGGGAAGGCGCAATAATGTCCACCACGATGCATTAGCGTCAACAAACACACGTCCCCGGGGCGAATATGCCTCGACTCTACCAAAACTGCCCACTGTGAAGCCTTACCATACAACTCTGGGAAGATTACCAGCCCGACTTCATCTAAACAAGCGTCGAATAGATGAAGAACCCATCCATAAACCCAAGAAAACACAGCACACAACGCCTCTCCCACCCCCCCACCTCACAAAATATCCACGCCTCCACATTCCCCGTCGCCTATAGAAACCACACCCCCAGCCCCCACCCCATCCGCATGACAAAAAAACCTTCCCTCACAAACGCCTGCACGCCCATCTTCCCCACCCAAAAAACCCCCCCTCTCGGGCAACCCACCGCTCCGCAGCGCCCACTCGCCCAATCACCTCAACACGGTCGCCAGATAGCCGTCGACCTGTCTGACACCGTGACGGTTGAAAGGTTGAAAGAAGAAGAAGAAGAAGAAGAAGAAGAAGAAGAAGAAAACAGTCTCAAAGGATGTGAACGTCAAAAAAAGAGAAAAGCAAGATATGAACAACCCCATACCATCCTCCCCTCCGACGGCGGCGACTGACAGACACATCTCGCGCCGAGATAAACAAACGGTTCCCTCGAGGCATTACCGCGACCGAAGAAACCCGGCGTGAGGGCGTAGAGGCCGAGGTCCGTGTCCGTCGGCAACGATTGGTGCCGTTGATGACTTGCCAGCTGCAGACGAGGAGGGACTGGTTCGGGAGGGTGAGGTTGGAGGGGGTCCGCGGTGAGGTCGATGAAGAGGGGAGTGGCGCCGGGGCCGCGGCGGGAACCGTAGACGGGGATGTCGTGATGGAGGATGGCGGTTAGGGATTGGGAACGAGGGGAGGTTGTGTTGGGTGGGGATTGGGGGAGAGGCGGTTGCATGGATGCGGGGAGGTTCGTAGTCCAGCCCAGGTCATTGTTGTTGTTGTTGTTGGTGAAGGGATTTGACGCTTGAACAGGAGCTGGAGATGAAGCTGGCGAAGCGATTCCTAGCAAGAGCGCTAGGATTGGTGGTAGAAATGTCTGCGTAAAAGACATATGAATGGGCAAAAGGGTTCAAATTGTTCAGAAAGCAGTCTTGTGTGTCTGAGATAGTATTGACTTGAAGAGAATGGGATATCGCTTTTAAGCACGGACTTGGAGGATTCGTACTTGCATGTACGCGATGTGCGTTCAGCAAGCGAGCAACGAGAGAAGGAGACCATGAGATGGATCGATCAAATGCGAGAACAAGCTGCCGTAAGGGAGGGAAAGCGGTATGCAGAAATAGTATGCTGGTGATTGATATCCGAGCTTGTCGTTGGTTATGCGCCGCAAGCTGAACCTTTAGGCATATCTACCCATCCAGACCTTAGCATCTCCTCGCCCATTCCATTCTTACCCTCGTTCTTCGTAATGTCTTCCACGGCCTTGATCAAATCGTAGTTTATGCCCTCGCTGACAACGCTGTCGGCTTTGTAATCTTGATGACTATGTACGAAATGCCGAATCCATTTCGCGCCTGTCCATAGCTGACCAGAAGCACGTTTGCGAATCAAGTCAAGATACCGAGCTAGCTCGCAACGTGTCTCGACGTCGATGTTCACGCTGTTGAGGTAGGATTCTACAAGTGGAATCAGGCCGGGAAAGCCTTCACCAGACTGGCCGTTAATGATCTCGTCAATGGTCATCAGAGAATGTTCATCTTCGACTGGTCCTGTGGGTGTTGGTGGTCGAGAGGGTTGGTAAGCTGGTGTGGTAGTGCCTGATGCACCATTCGCTTTCATTGGTCGAGGTGGAAGAGGGTCATTGCGGAAATGGAATTTCTGGTCAAGGACTGCATTTCGGGCGTGGGTCGTTTCCATGTTTGCTGTTGTGAGAGGTATCGGTATGTAGAAATTGAGATCGAAGCTGAGGATGGCGCGAGTGATTAGCACGATGAAGATACAGAAGGCGGCATTTTCGAAGTCAGTGATTTGTATTTCCATGGGACGAAACTCGACTCGCCACCCAGTGTCCTTGTCGTGTGGCGGAGGCTTGAAGCGTAAGTGTTGCCAATTTGTCGATTGAAGATTCTCAAAGTGGTCGGTCTTATTCAGATCGAGTTCCTTGAGATCTTCGGCAAAGATGACGATAGGGTCTCGGATGAAGAGGTGAGCGAAGTGTGTAGCTAGCAAAGCATCCATTCCGCCGTTCATGAGCTGCTGTTTTAGGTCTTCATCCACGACAAGGTCAGGATCCATGTATTCTTTCCGTAACCGAGGATCCTGCGAGATGTATGTAGAATTTGAAGCATATCTCGACTTTGGTACTCGCCATCGGTCATGTTTTACTGGCTGTGGGAAGTCAGTGGCCATCCAATGCCGTGCGCTTTGGAAATGCTTACGGCTTCACCGAGCTCTTCGGGTGTTCGATCGTCTACTGCTTGGCTAATCTGATTCCACCTCACGTCTGTGTCTGCAAGGAAGCCTTTGTATATTGGCGTTGCAGCAGTCAGTGCCAACATTATAGGACCCAATGGGCTGAGCTGATCGTACAGCTTTCGACCTTCAGTGATGTTCTTGGCTTGGAAAGTGATCTGCAAGCAACAACTACCCATTCCAAATGCCATAGCGTCCATGTAAATGTGATTATCCTTCGCCGCACCATTTCGTACATCGTCATCCTCGGGCCATTTGTGCATATCGTAATCGACTGTGGGGTCTATGAAAGGGACTGGAGTGTTCTCGTCTTTGAAGATGGGCACGTTGATCTCAACCTTCCGTCCTCTCCGGGATCGAATGTTTGCAGCCAATGTAGGGAAGCGGATGTGGGGGTTCGCAATCTCGTCAGGAAGGAACTGTGACCGTAATCTCTCGCCAGAAGGTGGGTAATAAGGAGCGATGAAGTCGTCCCTGGTGCCCAATCGAGGGAAGGTCGTCAGAGTTATTGGGTACTCGTTCGATTCCATGTGCTCTTTGGCTATGATCCGCCTTTGAACATGTCAGCTCTAACCCTTTTTGACAGGGTCAATAGTGATATTGACCAACCGCCATTTCATGTTGGGTTCCACATCCAGCAGGTCCTTGAATCCGATCCCCCAAGGTTTCCCAGGTGTCGCTTCCAACATGAACCTACCAAACTCGGGGTGGAAGACTGGTATTGCATCACCAGTGCTCTTTATAGTCTGAAGGTCCGGTACGCATCCTCCCTGCTTGCTCAAGGCTTCATCTTCTGCCAGAGCCTTGAGAATGTCCGCTTGTCTCAGAGACAGCCTGACTTTTCGACGCTCTTCTTCAAAAGCCACGACGAGGTATTCTATTTCATCACCCCATCGCAGAGCGTCTCTTTCTTTGCCCTTTGCGCGCTTCCATATTGCTAGCAACTGCTCAATCCCCCATTGGCGGACATGGTCTGCGTTCTTCTTGGCTTCGGGCCAATCCAAAGGGGTCCCAAGGGCTCTAATGAGAGGCTGGTGATCAGCTTGGGGGCGATGGGTAGTCCTAGCATACGAAGTAATTGAACTTACAAGAGCCCCATTCCCACGAAGCCGCAAGCAAGTAGTCTGCGTCGTCTATTAGTAGCTCTTGGTGTTGAATGGAGTCTCAAATGGCAGGAAGAGCGCCAGAGGCAAAAGTTAATACAGCGCTCAGTCGAGGCAGTCTCATTGAAAGTCAATTGGCAGAAGGAATAATGATGCAACTGATAGATTTTTGGCGAAGGACTCCTCTACGTTGGCGCTATTGTCCGGTAAAGTAAAGTAGGTATTAAGGAACCAATTGCGCCTTCACTGTCGACTTGGACGCCGCTCGCGCTGGTTCAGCGTTCCGCGAGTGATAGGGATGTTGCTGCAAGAGCCGGCGACTGTCTGACAGCAAGTGAAATGTTGAGGAAGGCATGCTGGTATGAAGTATGAGTGATGGTATTGATTACAAACCTTCCTACTTCCCACTTGTGGAGGAAGGCACGGGATGACGATCTCGTCTCTAGCTTCCGCCCGCGGGATAAAAGGATGAACCTCCGCTTGTCATTGACTGCTGTCCGGTACTTTGATACCATGTCTACTCCGTCTCTTTGTATGTTGCTGAAGGCTGCCATGATTGTAGGACGGAGTTCGTTGTGGTCGTCTGCATTGCTGAAGGCATTTATTTGGGGGCTAACGTCACCGAGATAAGGCAGCTATAGCTCAACTCCCGAAGCTGCTTACGCATTGGCCCTCGTCAAGCAGTCAACTATGTAGAACGAAAGATCCGGGCGTTGGTCTGTACATTTTTTGGAATTTTTGGACCTACCTGAATGCCCTTCTCCGCATTCCTCCACCAATGGCAAAGCACAGCTTTCGGAATGCACATAGCTCAAATCTCAGTCAGTCAAGCCATGTCACACTTCTGTGGTGCTCGGTAAATCTCCTTTCATGAGTATCAGAGTATCACAAACAGACGAAGATGAGATATCCGCATCCCGTCTCTTCTTCAGCATCTCTTTAGATTTATCAATCGTCTTCCATCTTTCTTCAGGCCTATTGTGAGCTCAGACGGACAGCTGCATGTGGCTTGTGCAGATGCCGAGTGTGACCAACGGAGGGTCTGCCCGACTAGCTGTCCCATCGTCTTCGGGACTACATCATCTCTGGGAAGACGACATTATCCCATCTTTCCTTAGTAAACGTCACCCTTTCTGTCTCAACCATCAAGTTCAGCATCAGTACCAAGCTTCCACCATCAGCAAGCTCACATCGATCCTATCTCCCGACGATCGATTGTAAGTCTCCTACTACTTGCTTCTCAATTCTTCAGGCTCGGTTTTATCGTTCTGCTCTGCGGTTTACCACCAACAGCATTCATTGTTCAGCTTTACACACTATACCCTCTTACAAGATAAATCAAAGACGGGTAAGCGGACCTCTCTACCTCCTCTCACGCAGTATCTACGGCATCAATAGTTTACGCATCCTCCAGATCCACGATCCCAAGCACGTAGCCATGTCATCGTTACCCAAGAACCTCGAGATCACCATTACCACAGAGCGGCCTGACGTGTCGAACAAGACGTCCGAGCCATCCGAATCTACCACCAAGACCAGCAACAAGCCCGAGAAGCAGGACCACAACAAGAACATGCTCCTCCCTCCTCATACCCCACCCTATCAGACCGGCGCCAAGAAAGAGCCAGGGACCGAGGATGAGGCCTGCGAGGATGCCATCGCTAGCGGTGATGCAACGCCTAGCTGGGAAGGGGTTTGGCGCAAAGACCGCCGTGATACCAAGCATCAGGGGCCTGGTGGAGCTTCTTAGTGGCAACGAAACGGAGATGTTGCGTGTGGTATTGCAAGTGGACACGGACCGTGAGTGGTACGGCCTTGTGCAGGCAGTGGTCAAGATACCTTATTGCTTAAGGTAGACAAACGGTACGCTCACTTGAGGATTGTGAATTCTGCAGTGCTGACAATGTGTATTATAGGGCTGTTGTCCTGCAAAGCATGCTCACCCGCTTATCTATCCGCTTCATGCATCTTCAATAAACGCTTCTCTTAATGAAATGCGCGCTTGATACAAGGGCTGATACGTCTATGAAACAAACCCAACGCCTCGTACATCCCTTTCCGCCCTCACTCCAACCCTTTCCTCTCTTACATCCTCACCCAGGTAAAGTCAACCGCTCCGGCGCCATCGCATACCTCAACTCTCCCTCCGTAATCGCCTGCCCATCCCCGCTAAAATCCGGCATCTCCTCCACATTGATGGCCCCAGCATTGAACCTCGAATTCGTCGAGCACAGCTCCACAATCGATGAGAACCTACGCTCGCACTGCCCCAGGAACGGAACGGTAACCCCGTCGGGCAGATAATATCCCAGCGAGCAGCCGGGCAACTCGGTCCAGATCCATTTATCGCGCACCAGGCGCGCGGGTTGGGGGCCGGTGAGGCGCTTGCAGATGATTGGGATGGCGATGTCGCAGTTTGAAGGGTTGAGGCCGAGCATGGGCGGGTCGGTGATTTTGACACATTGGGCTGCTGCGGTGAGGGCGGAGGGGAGGGTGAGGTTGTGGTTGTCGGTGGAGAGAGTGATTAGGTTGACGGGGGGGCTGTTGATGGTGAGGGATGAGATGGGGAGGGAGTTGAGGAGGAGGGAAGAAAAGAGAACAGTGGGCAGACGCATGGCGGGTTGGATTTGTCTGCCGGGGGCGAGGAATATTTCGATGATCATCCGCATTTACATACGTTTTTGAAGAATGTAAATAGGCAGACCGAAAAAGAAAGCGGATTGAAGAGCGCGAGTTATTCAAGGCGGGTAGAATGGCGATTCGACCGGGAAACCGTGTAGATGCCAGTAAGATACTGCTAAGTCTTTTGCCGCCAGCAGAGCCCACGCGTAGACGCTTTTCCACCCCAATCAAAATGCGATACCATTTCTACCAAGCACTCGCAGACCAAGAAAAGCGTTGCAAACTGGAAAAGGCTCGTCAACACCCTGAAGACGATATAAAGTGGAAGAGCACGAACAGACAATCAAAACACCAAGCCACGGAAAACCACACGACCAAAGATACAAAGATATCACATAAACCTTCCATTCCCGGACCGAATTGTCGAGAGTCACCACCAAGCTGTCCTTCCGACTTGGGCTTCAACCGCTCACGGGACCCGTGACGGCGCTCTGGCAGCTCCTTTCCCCTTTATTGTCGAAGGCGTACAGGTGAGGCTGGCTTTGACGCCTCAGATTCGGATGACTTTCATGGTTGGAGATGGTCTACAGGTGGGGACAGCATGGTATGGAAATGCCATACTTGAACAAGCCTAGAAGCTTTGTGAAGGATTTTCATTTTTGCAACTTTGCTATGATTGATGAACAGGAATTTTGTCTTACTGACGGTTTGTCTGTCAAGCATGTTGATGTGAAAGATTTCCATGGAAAGAAAGGGACTGTGTTGGGTGTGCAAAGCGTTGAACAAAGTGTTCGACATTCTCCTGCTTATGGTACAAAAGGAAGGACACCTCCTATCCCATTCTCAAGGCTTGAAAGTTTATTCGTTGCTCATAGTATTTCATCTAAGTTCATTTCAGGGGACACTCAGAACTCACAAGGCACGTCAATCATCCCGTTTTCAGTCCATCACTCTCAATCTCCAATCCTTGGTGATACGCTTGCTTCGCCCATAGCGTTCAAGTACCTCACTAGCGTGCTCTATGTGAAATTTCGTCTTACCCCCCAAAGTATTAAAGAAAGGGGTACAGCATCTTCGGAACCATGAGTATGTCCAGACCGATTTCTAGAGATTGGAACTTCTTCCGCGGAGTGGGGAAGTCTAAACCCACTTCCCACAGAATCCTCAGAGTTGCTATCAAAAACTTGCGTCCAGGTCAAGGGGCCAGCGGTATGTTGTACTTACTCATAGATCTTGACGCCCATTGGTGGCTCACGTCAGGCGAGGGGTTGACTTTCGAAATCAACGGTATAGACCTGAGTCCAATGATAAGAACCAAAGTAACCATGCAGACAGAGAGTGTGGCTACCATTTGAAGATCAGAGCAGTATCACGACGATGTTGTTCGTCGCATACTGATGAGTTTCTGGAGCGTATATGTTTGTAGTTGCATTTGGCCGAGTCGGGCAGCTCTTAGAGGAAAGACCACCTACCGTCGTAGTAACCAAGACGAGAATTTGCAGCACTTCGCTCTCAGACTGAGGCAAGTCTGTCCTTTACTCGGCCAACGCTGCCGACGTAGTGCCAATCCGCTTCCCCTTCACCGTCAACTCCTCAACGCGCCCCTCCATGTCTGCAAGATCAGACCTACGACATACTTCGGTTCCCTCAACCTTCCCTCCTCGGAATGCTTCGCTCCAACCATTTATATCGTCGCACAACCTCGTTCTTTTCACCATCAATCATCCGATAGAAAGCAGCATGCTGCTCACAGCGATCTTCGATCTCATCTTCGGGGTTAGGGTTTGGACCCTTAGTGATACCGCACGATGATAAGAGTGGCTGCGAAGTCAGCATGCTAACCCGAAGGGGACTGGCACCTTGGCACGTCAAGGGACTGAGGCAACTTGACGCGGATACTTTGTGTGCAGGTGAGAAGGCGTCCGATTTCACATGGTCTCAGCGCCGTTTTACGAGGCCTTCTCACTTGTTAAAGTAGGTATGTTTAGCACCTGAAATGCGGAGTTGCCCTAACGGTATTATTGATCGGTAACAACGGCTCTGTAGCTTGCCCTGGGAGCTGGACTGCTGCCTAAATATTAAAACGTTTAAGTTTCCATATCTCAGAGCAGCCCTGAGTTACGTGGGGCGGCGCGGAGGCGAAAGCTTTGAAACTAGCTTTTTTAGAGTAATATATAATCAGATAGGAAGTGGCAGCTACTGGGAAGGTGGCCGAGTGGTTATGGCGGGTGCCTCAAGTTTCAAAACTTTTCGACTTGATTTTAACAGGTTGGTACAAGCATCTGGTGAATTCCGCGTGGGTTCGAATCCCACCCTTCTCATTTTTTTCCCCCGTAGACATCATTCATATTGGGAACGATGAAAGGACTCCAAATTCAAAAAATTGAATCTTTTAATAGAAATTTTTTATACTATCGATATAGTAGTAAGCAATAATTATCGTACTCGTAAAGTCTTAATTAAATCGATACTATTTGAATCTCTAGTATATTATTGATAATTAGTGTCTTTAATCCAGTTGGCTTTATCCTATCAACGTAATATTTAGTGGATATTCTACGAATGGTCACATGATCTGTATACAAGGCTGCGATGCTCTGGTACTGACTCTTACGCTGCTTTTGCCCACACCGGTGAAAATCACTGACGAGCATTCATGATAGATCACGGCCACATATACTGCTAAACATGTCCTTCGGAATCTCCGTCGGCGAATCCATCGCGGCCGGTATTCCAATTAAGAATATCTAATCTACACTGCAGACCTCGTTGACGTCAGAACATCAAGAGCTCCTCTTCGAGCTGAACGGACTACAGCGTGCGCTTGATGAGATTGCACATCTGCAAGCTGATCCCCAGCAAGAGACTGAAGTGAATGCTGTCAAAGTCCCTGCTCTTACGACACATCATCGGTTGGATGATTTGGCAGGGAAGTTGAGGAGGTACGAGAGTGTCCAAATTATGGCGGCTTAAACTATAGTGGGGGTTCAGTATGGAAACAGAGGTACAGAGCTTGCGGGCTTATTGGGTTGCGCATGTGGGGTACTTGAATATGCGGTTGGCGACTTTGAATCTGTAAGCGGCGCGGGAAAGTACTTTGTTGTACGACAAGATTGATACTAAGGATATCTAGTACATCGTCCTGGCATGTCTCCAAGGAGATCGCGCAGCAACAGGTGACTTTGGAGAATCACATTGCCGATTCGCGAGAGCGGCCTCGAACGTTTCAAGTGCGCTGGCAGCTCAGAGCTATGTGACACAAGAAAGTAGTTCGGTAGGCGCAGAGGCTCACCAATCTACTCAGTTGGTGCGATATAGCGCATGGATTGAAAATATCTACTCTAAGGCTACGGCAGCTGTCTGTCGCCTCAAGTTGCCATGCTTATGGATCTAGTCAGCCAGATATGGACCACGGACAAGCAGATAATAGATATTCTGATGCGGCAAAATAGCACCACTTCAGCTTCAGACCTACAACATACATGGCTCCAACAACCCTATCAAAATCGATGATGCTCTGGGCCGGATTCTGCCAGTCCCGTCCGAGTACAATCTATGGGTATTTGGCCTTTGCAATTTCGAGAGGACGAGGTGCTGACCACCCAGACAGAAGATCAACGCGATCGTACTTGACCAATTCAAAGTGGGATCTGCTCATGAGAAAGTATCCTGTGGCGAATACGAGCTTTTCAACGGTGTCGACTCAAGACAACCACTATCTGACTCTGGATTAGGAACGCTTGTCTCTGGCATGAGCATCACCATGGCTTTCGTAATCGGACTATACGAGCAGCAGCCGGTAAATAAGTATCCGAGGCCGGGATGTCAGACACGAGAGTTCAGCACGCTCGCTACCGGAGGCCGGAGATGTTATCCATTTCCTCTATTCTATTCTAAGTTTACAATACTGAACTAACCTTGATAGTGCCACATGCAGCGTCTGGTTCGACATCTCTAGAACCAATCTTCGCCGCCATTCCAACTTCCTGCCGCGGAAGACGTACTTAGACCGATTCGTGCCGAGAGGAAGTGATTTAAGAGTGTGTGGCTCTTCCCAACGGAAATCTCAAGTCTGCCTCTCAGAGCCGACGAAATCTGGGCAATATGGTAGGTGTGCCAACGTAGAGAGGGTTTTTCCAATACAACCCACCAAGGACGGAATTCTGGAGAATCGTGTGACTCACCCTAGCCCATACAGAGCATTCGAATCTCTACCACCCTTCCCTAGAATTGATGTGTCGCAAGAGATTGCAATCAGAGCCATGAGAGCCATCGGAGATGGGAGTGACGAGATCTTGAGAATTTGCGGTAACGATCGATTCATGACCCTGGTTTCTCTCGAGCATAAAAGTCACTAGCACCATAACAAAGCTTGGAGTCGAAGTACCAAAATCCGCCACAGGCTCTTACCTTGTGCAGGAAGTCTTTGAGAGCTTTCTTGAGTCTTTCATCTTATATTACATTGATGTGGTCGACCAGGTGGGGTCATGACATCGACTCGTCATAGAGGTTGGACTTGATCGGAGGATAGAGGAAGGGGCTCTCTCGAAGTTGGGCTGGTCGGAGAGCGTCCCACTCTGAAGGTTTCAACTCCGTGAGACATCTCCCATGGCTTTGTCGCCAGGGGAACGAGGATCTACTTCCAGAAGTCATCAATTCTTCTTCCTTGCTCATTTCTCTTCCGCACCTCAATCAGCTCTCCAGCCAGCTCTATCCTCGTTTCCTTTTTGAAAATTCGCCAGGGTATTGGCGATGTCGGCGTAACAAATGGTGGAATTCGGAGTACTTATCCTGGAGATGTCGGGCAAATTACATTTTCATACCCCATCTCGCATTTCCATACCTCTCAACCAAATTTGAGGTACGGATTTGTAAGATGCCATCCCCATGGGGTACGAAAATGTAGTTTGCCCGATATCCTTCGTCCCGTGGGACCCATCTGCCATTCTGGTCCTGGTGCATCCACGGTTGGTCCTGTGGTAAGTTCAGAGAGCGATCAGCTCGCAGAGTCTCCAAAGCTGTTCGGGGAGACATCAGCGGCGCGTCTTCTGAGCGCTGAGGCTGCTTTGTAGGGGCGTGTGGGTTGTTTGGCTGCCGTGCATTGATATCAATGTTGTTCACGGTCCGAATGCTACCTGAACACGGATAGGCCAGGCGTCGACCTTTGTTAGGACCGAGAGATCCTTACCTGCTGTGTCGGCTGTGTCTCCTTGCTTTCTGCCTTGAAGACGATCCAGTGCATTCCGTCCGCCAGATGGAGCCTGGGCCTGACTTTCACTACCAGATTTAGCGACCGCAGCTGACTTTGACCTCGACTTCAGATTCGATGATAAGCTCGGGGTCGCTGTTGAAGTCGATTTCCTGGCTCCGTTCTTCTCGAGCTGGACACTGATACGCCACTTCCCACCACGTCGAGGAGCACCGAGCTTCCAGCGTGCCCATGGCACGACGATTGGAATCAAGATCGTAAGGGGGATCGTGATGCCAACTACTACCTATAGATTGGTCGTTCCTAATATGCCGTGTGGTGGTCTTATTAGACCAGGACGCGAAGTATGGCAGGTCATTACTGGAAAATAGATGGAGCATGGGACCGTCGTGGTCTTCATGGCGCAGGTATTATAGTCCAAGCCATACCATACCGGGACCTCAACCGTTTGTATACAACTGGGCCCTTGACGTTCCTCAAGAGCTTGTGTTTTGCCTCAGTCACCATAGACGTCTTCGGGGAACGGAGAGAAAGCTGCTTTTGGACTTTGAACGATGATGGTATTGTTCGAGGTGGAGAACGTGGACAGTAACATAGCTACAGTGCTTGTGTTTCTTGACAAGATTCGATGAAGAAGGCCCTAGTGTGAAATTTTGGGAACTGTTTGAAAGATGTGTATGAAGAACCAGGTATGGACGTAAGAAGAATGTTTCCAAGCTCCTCGAATAGCAAGTAGAGGAACACCTCCAATACTCGGTAAGTCCTAAAGTGTTCAACCATGCTCATGCGGCTCATATCCAGTACACATAACACAACATGGTGTAACGTTTAAGAAAGTCACCATTCACTTGGCGCTGGGCGAATCTAAGTCCATACACCCAAGTGACGCACTTTCTCCACCTTTTCATAAACCACATCTCAGTCATTACTGGGATTGCAGAAGGCTCCCGCATGTTTCAGAAGGTGGAATAAGCCCTTCGAATACCGAGATGCTTGCCAACCAAGTCCCGCGGATGAGGTGGATATGCTGCAGCCGTAGTGGTCTCAAGGTTCTTCCACGAGAAAGATAAAGAGACCCAAACCGAGTTGTTCGATGCAGAAACGGGAGGACGTGTATCGGTAGTAATAGAAATAATCAGATGGCGCAGGAGGTATCTCTCCACCAAGGCGCAGATCTAATAGGAAGGCATATCATTATATATAACGAGGTGTTATTGAAATGTGCCATCCTCGTCGTTAGAAGAACAAGTCGGTAAGCCTCAATATGCCGTCGTTCCTAATCTGAATCTCTCGATTGCGAGGCCGGAAGACGCAAGAGCTTGCATGAATATGGTAACCAAGTGCCCTCCATAGCCTTCATGTGGGTCGTGCTCTACGACTGCTGCAATCTTGGTGACATCTGGCCCCTCGTCATGTTAATCGTATTCACTGTATTGGTCTCGTCCTTGCTTTTCGCGAAGATTATTGTCGTCTGTGGTAGGTAGCCGGGCCTCTGCATGCCAATGACGAGCCCCACCACACAGTTGCTGATCAGCAAATGGAACGGAGTCTTCCCTACCGAGTGAGGCTGCCTTTGTGGATTTGGAAACATATACTTGAGATTCGACGTCGAGCGTCGTCTCTTGTCAAATTAGCTGTGGTGACGTGGAAAAGTTGGCTGAGGATGTCAGTAGGGGCGAGTCAGCCAAATTCCTAGACCAGCATTTGTATTGCTAAGCGTTCCATGGTGTGGTAGCTTGATGATCTTAAGGGATAGCCACTGCACTTCCTGCTGCTGGAATGTTCAACTGGTGTGCTGGAAGTAGGCAAAGGAATGACCTAGAGGGTCTTTGTTATTGATAGGCCAAAAACCGGTGAGCTGGACACATTATGAAGTCAACCGTAGTATATTTCCAAATCTAGACGCTATTTGGGAGCGGATGTTGGGTTTCCCTTAGACGTAGAGTACTGGCTCCTGGGGTGACTCGGTTTAGCAAGGGTTTAGCGCGAGTAACCATCGAACTCTCCTATCCAATCACTCTCTCCCTTATCATTTCTTGAACCGTTTCCAATAGTAAGCCATGTGCACCCCCACGCAGTCTCCTATATCGAAGAGAACTGATCTATCACCTTACTGCCTCTCACGCCTATCCTCTCGCTCATGCCTTTCCCTTCTCTCATCCCTCTCTTGTCTTTGGCGTCCATCTTCCCTCTCAATCCTGTCACGCTCGCGCCTATCCTCTCTCTCCTGCCTTTCACCTGCACATTTCAGATTCAGCATGGCTTCTTTGAAGCAGATTATCCAGGAAATAAGACAAGTTTAACAGTCGAAAGCGCTCGCGAGACATGTCTTGCGGCTCAAAACCAAGAGTTCGATCGGGGGAAGTGTTCTCCGAAATATGAACATACGTCGATCTTCCTTTTCCTCCTTCTCCATCGATTTTCCCGCGCTTCTCGTACCCAAAATCCATCGTCCCCATGGGTGGGTGCACCGGGCGCGTGCACTCGCGCTGGGGCCGTGACCAGTTGAAATTTCTCCCCAGCGTCTTTATCTTCCGGGAAAGCTCCTGGAATATTGAATGCTCTTTCTCGCGCCCAGGATCCTTCACGCCGACGGACCGGAGGTTGTTCCCTGCACTCTATTGGCGAGTGTGTCATCCCTCGAACAGGAGAACGCGTCAACTGTCCTGACGCAACGCCGCGGGCCCAGTCCCCCACATTCCAGAAGCCTCAAACCCCCAGGTAGCTCGGGTGTAGGTGCCCTGAGAGGCGGCGCAGGGGGTTCACCGCGTCTTGTCTTCTGTGGTGGCATACCGCCGTTCGGTGGAGGACTGAACTGAGGGTCACGGCATTCAGAAGACCGCTGTGAGCTTCGAGGTCCTCCCATTACATGGTGGTACGGGATCTGAATGTCGTTGAGAATCTAGACCAGGGAGTGGTTGCAAGTAATCATGCGAGTCAATATAAATGTTATTGTTGATGATGACAGAAGATCCTGAGGGCCTGCTGATTATGATATAGCTACCGTGAGGTTGAGTGCTTTCGCCCTTTACAATGTCCGGGCGCCGTCCTCTGCTTCTTGCATCATCTGCTCCGTTGCTGCTTCTATCATTACCGCTCGCCCGGCCTGGACGCTGAGGAGGTAGCTCTTCGAGGGGAACCTCTTCACTTTGTAAACGGCGATTCCGGGAACGGCTTTTCATCAACCGAGCAAACAAGGATTGCGGGCAGAAGAGCAGCAAAAAGACCACGCCAACAGCGAGAACGGTGCCAATAGCGATTGCTGCTATTGTACCGCCAGACAAGTTGCCAGATGATGACTGGCTCGAGAAAGGGTCATCATGGGAGGGTGAACTGCTGGCCAATTGCGTAGTCGCCCTGATGGATGTTTGAGACGCGTCTTTTGAGGCTGGACAAGCGGTAGATGGTATGAAGGTTCCGCAGGGAAGGACGATCTCGGGAGTCTGCAGAGTACAGGTGTCATAACAGCCGTCCTAGCGTGGACGGCGTACATGTGTTGTAAGCAGTAGAGTAAACACCATGCTGAGGACAGCAGGAGACGGATGACAGAAGCAGTACTGTTGCATAGACTACTGAAACCAGCTGGTGCTATCAATATCAACATCAACATCAACATCATTGTATGATACCATAGGCGAAACGGAATGAGGACGTGCCATCGGCGCTTGCTATTTACTTTGCAATCAGCGCTACGTTTCGATTGTAGTTCTTGGTGCTTGCTAGCTTTAACACAGAAACTCCTGAAAGGAACTAGTGACTCACGGTATTTGGTGATGCTCTACTTCTACATAGTAGAGGTGCCAAAAGATCAGCCCGGCCGTCAGTGTTATTCCTACCATTATCCGGACCGTCGTTTAGCAAGCAGCATTGAGAGATTTGACCACATCGCTCGCAATCCTGGTCGCTAGATCCTTAACGAGGCTGGCCTTTGCGAGCCATGGATGGCCAAAAGACGAGAACTTGAGCGGAGCGTCTTCCGGGGACACAATCCAGCATAACGCAAATCCTCTATTCGCAGTCCAGAGGCTAGAAAATGCTTGTGATACGCTATACCATATCTCCCATGGATGGAGCACTGTCGACACATGCTGTATTTGTCACAGTGCATGCCACGCGGTGAAGTACAGCTGGCAAACAGCGGGTGCAAACTTTCTCAAGAATAATAACGACCTTCGCTCTTCCCAGCCCCGTAACGCACTGGCGAAGTCGAAGATCGAATCTGGACGGATTGTTACAAGAATTCCCATCCTCCATCTTGTTTCTTTTCATCATCTTTTCCTGGAGAATGAGGCTCTGATCGAGTAGAGAAAATTGAAAGCAGAACAGGAGAGGGTTTCTCCAGTGCATTGTGGTATGATGTATAGCATATCATTCCGTTCTCCAACTGTGTAGTGATTCAGCACACCACTCATCTATCGAAATAACCGTTGCAACATGCGAGCCTCGCTGCAAACAAGTATTACTATCTCATGACCTTCTCCTTCTCCTTTGTTTCGAGGCGGCAGTGTCGGCGACGCTGGCCAGTGGTTCTGGAAGATCGATAGATACCGTCCCGTTGCCTGTCTCCAGACTTGTCCCATTGGCTTCTTCTCCCAAATCCGGATTCTCCCACCAAGGCACACAGTTCCCTCTCGGCTGCATCCTCTCCCCTTGCTGCAACAGTCGCTCCGCACGCTCACGGAGATCAATTCTTTCACGCAAAGTAAATGCTCGGTCAACTGCGAGTAGTGCAACTTGCGAGAAGTGGAAGGCCATGATGGGATCATAGTTTCCGGGGGACAGCCAGTCGGGGACTACGTTGGCGAGGGTAACTGTGAGGAAGGCGGTGGACGTTGCTGGAGAAGTTTAGAACGTTAGCCGCGGATCGAAGTCTCTCTCCGATGCAAAGGAGTTTTAGGTAAGACGTACGGAATGGTCTATCCAGTTCAGTCTCTTCAGCCGTGATCCAGCCATTCATGACCTGGAGATCAGTCGTTGCGAAGCCGCCAATTTCGAAAGGGCCAGTGACGCATGAGTTCAGCACTTCATCTGCCATATGGCGGACTTCGTTGGGGATGATATCGTAGGTTCGGGGCAAGCGCGGACCAGCTACGTCGACTTGGATCATACATGTACCTGAAACCCATTCAGGATATTAGGCAAGGTTCAAAAGGCCTGGTATAGAGACTGACCGTATGATCTACTCAAGGGTAAGGCGTGTGGTCCAATACCACTGTGGACTGCGTATGAGACATGGGTGTTCCCCTTCTCAAGAAGAGCAATAGCTTTGACGCAGTCACGGCTGTTGGGGAACAAGCCGTAGTACTCTTGACAGTACGAGTATCCTCCAATATCCTGAAGAGTTGATGAGAGGTTTTGACTCGCCAGAGCCAGAAGCGAGGAAGTGAGATTCATTTTGACCACTTGAATCTAAGATGTATCTGATCAGCGAAGAAGCTAGATGGAGTACCTATCATCTTCGATACTTGGGGAAAGCTGAAGATATAACTGGGAGTTTTGGCAGCGCATATACAGGTGCTTAAGGTGGACCACGCATAGAATGAGTCCAATTAGCGACATCCCCTCTGTTGCGTGTGGATGCGATACGCGAGGTGGTACCAGTCATGTAGTTCATGTTGAACAGCATGTTCAGTCAGCGACGGTTTCCCAATGATCTTGTGGCGGATTTATGCTCTACGTCAAGATAGCATCAAAGTAGCAAGTCTGGACCGCGATCCACCAATGAAGGCGCCACTTATTAGCAGGAGCAGTAGCAGTAGCAGAGCAGAAAGAGAGCAGGAGCAGGAAGGAGCAGTAGCAGTAGCAGGAGCAGTAGCCATAAGTGCTTTTGGTGTCTATACTGAAAGTCAACTCAGTCGATACGCCAGGCAGAACAGCATGCCACCAACGCTGCCAAATGTGGAGATCTGATTAAGATTTAGCGTGAAGAGGCACACATGTCGTCTTGCATCCGATGCAAAGCCTACCTTAGTGTACAACTCCTTCACCCCCACACTAGATGTACATCGAAAATACTTCTCCGATTGACAGTTATATTGGTTGTACGGACAATAGACCAAATGATCCACCTGGTTTGAACGATCTGACGCTATCCCGCTCCAATAGTGGCGGCGCCGCCAGTACCTGCATCTGTCCTTACGTCCGCCCAAAAATATGAAGACGGCCAGCTCTGTAACGATGTCGAATGCAACGAAGCAAGGATATCTGGACTTGATGCCCTGCATGTACCCATACTTTACGTTATCGCTAGTCATGGGCCCCACTAGTGGTGGGGTCAATCTCGGAAGAGTTGGATAAATAGCCACACAATCCACTCTCCTCTCCTTCTTCCAAAAATCAACACACCTTTTTTCGGAAGCACAACGGAAGATAATCCTCTTTTTCTCCTCTACCTTCAGATCGCACCTTGAAGTGCGGTCACAAACACCGGCAAGACGTATTCCAACTTGTTAAATTCGTATGTTCCCCTCCCCCCAATTGAACTCCTGCTATGTGGGACAAGTCCACTCTATCCGTGCAAGGCTATACACACAAAGCAACTAGCCCAATGCAATGGTCACTGACAGCTCCCTCCAATAGTGTTCATCACCCCTATAACGGAGGCCGACGCTCTTCCGCCCCAGGAGGTGCATCGGACTCGCCCTACACTAGATAAGAAAGATCCTTGATCAAGACTATCAACATCAACCCGCAAATATGGCTCCTCACGCAGAAGGTCTCAACGGATACACCAATGGTACCGGGCAGACTACAGTGGCCAACGAGCACAAGGACCTCTTCACTGTCCACTCGCCCAACGTCGATTACACGGACAATGAGATCAAGAGCAAGTACGTCTACCGTACGACTTCCGTCTCTCAAGCTGGGGATGGCAAGTACGTTGCTACCCCAAAAGAGACGGTCTATGACTTCAAGGTAGAACGTAAGGTGGGAAAGGTCGGAATGATGCTGGTCGGTTGGGGCGGAAACAATGGCACCACCGTCACCGCAGGCATTATCGCCAATCGCCGGGGTTTGGTCTGGGATACTCGTGAAGGACCTCGTGCTGCCAACTACTATGGCTCTGTTGTCATGAGCTCGACCATGAAGCTTGGTACGGAAGCGAACACCGGCAAAGAGATCAACATTCCGTTCCATGATGTTCTGCCCATGGTTCACCCGAACGACCTTGTGATAGGCGGATGGGATATCAGTGGTATGAATTTGGCTCAGGCCATGGACAGAGCGGCTGTGCTGGAGCCTACATTGAAGGGCATGGTCAAAAAAGAGATGGCCGAGATGAAGCCTCTTCCCAGTATCTACTACCCAGACTTCATTGCGGCGAATCAGGGAGAGCGTGCCGACAACTGTCTTGAGGGCTCCAAAGCCAGCATGGCTCATGTCGAAAAGCTGCGCAAAGACATTCGGTATGGATTACCGCCTTCCAGCCATGCTACTGTGACTGACGAGCGAACAGCGATTTCAAAGAAGTTCATGGCCTAGACAAAGTCATCGTGCAGTGGACTGCCAACACCGAGCGTTACGCTGATCTCGTCGAGGGTGTGAACGACACTGCTGAGAATCTGATGAAAGCCGTCGAATCTGGACACGAGGAGGTCTCTCCATCCACTGTCTTCGCAATTGCTTGCATCCTCGAGAACGCACCTTTCATCAACGGTTCGCCTCAAAACACCTTTGTTCCCGGTGCTATCGAACTTGCTGAGAAGCACGGTGCCTTCATTGGTGGCGATGACTTCAAGTCCGGCCAGACCAAGATGAAGTCCGCCTTGGTGGATTTCATGATCAACGCGGGGATCAAAATCACCTCGATCGCCAGCTACAACCACCTGGGCAACAATGACGGCATGAACTTGAGCTCCCAGAAGCAGTTCCGATCCAAGGAGATCTCAAAATCCAACGTTGTTGACGACATGGTCGAAGCGAACAATGTGCTCTACAAGCCTGGAGAGCATCCTAACCACACTGTGGTCATCAAGTACATGCCAGCCGTTGGAGATAATAAGCGCGCACTTGATGAATACTATGCAGAGATCTTCATGGGTGGACATCAGACCATCAGCTTGTTCAATGTCTGCGAGGACTCGCTCTTGGCTTCTCCACTGATTATCGATCTTGTTATCGTTGCTGAGATGATGACTCGTATCACCTGGAAGGCCAGCGAAGGTGACGGGGCTGCTACGAAGGACTACAAGGGCTTCCACAGCGTGCTTAGCATTCTGAGTTACATGCTGAAGGTAAGACTTCTGAATCCCTTCTTTTAAATACTTTGACTAACTTCCTTAGGCTCCTTTGACCCCTCCAGGCACGCCAGTTGTCAATGCCCTGGCCAAGCAGCGTGGGGCCTTGACCAACATCTTCCGCGCTTGTGTTGGTCTCCAGCCAGAGTCTGATATGACACTGGAGCACAAAATGTTCTAAGCCCGCTTCATGGACTGGTTTTGATGTAGGATGTGCTGAGAAGTGGATGGCGATTATAGGACGCGACGAGTGGCCTTGCAGTTGTAGGTTGAGGCTCCCTTAGTACTCTCGTTTAGGCTCAAGGAAGATGCCCCCTGACTCGATCTGCAATGACTGAAATACATGATTGATGCTCTGATTTCGTTGTGACGTCCTCCACGTTTGCCCTATAAATTAGCGCCAAATGCAGCCGAGATATCGGATGAATGCAATGAACTCCACCATCATTTATCCATCACTTTCCAACTGTTGGCGCAAAGACGCTATTGTTCTCTTCCCATACTTTTTATTAGTATCAAACCTTTCGATCCCCGCCAATGGCACCGCAAATAGCCTCCATCCAATCGTTCTTCCAGCCAGAAACTCCCTCTGCTCAGAAAACGCAAAAGCCAGCACCGCAGCATCATCGACCCTCTGATACCGGCGATGGCTTCTCCTCCTCCGAGATCGAGGCCGCTCTTCACCCTGCATTGCACAAATGGCAGCCACGCACAACGTACAACGAGACTGACATTGGCGATCTGGTCCCTGGCCCAGGTTGCGTAGCGCTGATGGGCAGGATCGTCAATTTCCACCACATCGCGACACCAAGCAAGATGCCCAAGGCTGCCCAGGGATGCTTGAAGCTTACTGTCAAAGACGATACTGGAGCCTGCTCGGTGAATACCCCTCCATCAAGCCTACTTGCCCTGAGCCACCCACTTACAGACACGCACAGGTGAAGCTCTGGTACGCAAAAGTTGACTACAATCTCCGTCTCGGCCTGCTCGTCTCAATCTGGACAACTCACGTCTCCAACGCGGAGTCCAGCTCCTTGACTGTGCAAGACGCATCTCTCGTCACCTCCATCTTTCCCGAACGAGACAACAGCTGCTACTTCCTGGCGCAAGAACAGAGCGACGAGGGCGTGATGTGCAAGACTCCGTTGGGCTATCGCGATGGCAAACAGCTGGATGGGTTGATGACGTTGAAGAGCTTTATTGAGGGAGGTCATGAGCTTGCGGACGGGAAGATTCTGGTATGTGTGAAGAGTATTGGGGGGAGAAAGAAGTGTGAGGATTGCCCTGCTCCAATGAGAGAAGACGAGCACGGCGGGCTGACTGTCTTCCTAGTCGTCACCAAGAAAGGGCAAGAAGCTGAGAAAGTGGACGTCAACGTATTTGACGACACGGCAGATGCCAAACTCACCCTCTGGGGGCCCCACTGTTCCTCTCCGGCCTACTGGAAGACATCGTACACAGTCCTTCTCATCACGCGCCCTGGCTTATACGGTGACGGGAGACCACTGCTCTCGCTGACCAATAATACCCATGTGGATGTTGACCCGTGCATGACGGATGCGTACTGGCTGAGGGGCCATGCGCAGAGATTGACGAAGAGGGAGCATGTGAACCAGCCGTTTCCGGAGGGTGGTATGTGTCTCGGTCGATGGAGTTAGGTGGGGCTGATGGGGACAGTGTTTGATGTTGAGGAGGCTGCGGAGTCGGAGCTGAGGATTGTGTTTACGTTGGCCGATATCGATGAGTTGTGGGTAGGCATCACGCTCAAGCTCCCACGTGTTCTAACAGAATGGTAGTGTTCGAGCAGCACCGGCGGGTCAGACAAATTGTTCACTATGGACAGACGGCTTCTGATGCTTCCTAGAGCGCTACGTCGGATATCTCAGCCTGACGATTGTTGAATTGAACATCTACTCGCTTTATCAACGCAACATGCTACTGTGTACTGAGTGGTAAGGCCGGTGCGATTTGCTAATGGCCGTTCGCTGATTGTCGTCAAAGCTGCGGTGTCCCCATATTCGCCAACGCCGTCACCACAAAGTGCAAGCAATGCGAGAAAGACTTGGTCCTACGCATCAATCCGCGCTTGGTACGCCCACTTTGGACGCCAAATGCAGCCCCCTATTCTCTCGCACCGCTAATCGATATTATTCAAGGTTGGACTCCTAATCGATGAAACCGGCGCCATCACCTGCGGCAAGCTCGTATGGTCTGATGACGCATGGGAACAGCTCCTGGGCCGCACTGCAGAAGACCTGGCTGGTTCGAATCTGACGCTGCTGAAGTATCTGGAGAACCGTTTGCTATTCTTGAAGCTTGCTGTTATGTTCGGGTGGAGTGAGGATGTGGGAAAGCTGTGCATTTTGAGGGTTACAATTGTCTGAAGAGATATGATGGTACCTGCGTGGCTGGGTTGGCCTGATGTATGGGAAAGCTATCTCGCTTTCATGTTCGACTCATGTGCTCAGCGACGCCTTTACTTCGTCATTAAGAACGTCCGAAAACGAATCTTGACCCTTTTGCTTGCGGTAACGGTACCAAAGAGTGGAGTCCACAGTTTGAATTGGATTGTCAGGTGCAGAATCTGAACTTCTGCTGTAGTTGTAGAAAAGAAGACAGACGTTAGGAGCCTTCGCAGCCCGGGCTGTATCTTACATCATGGAAGTGTCACTGCGAGACGTCATCAGTGTTGTTAGTATGTCGTAGAGTGTGATGCTCCAGCTGTGTTTTCGTCTGCTATGGAGCGGAATCTTGAAGAAGGATGATGCTATCATTAGTGAGTTGTAGGTGCACGGAATGATGGCTTTTCGGCGCGACGTAAGTAGTGGTGGCCCACACTTGCCCAACACTTGCCCAACACTTCACCTCTCATCCCATCTTGAGTAACTAATGCCACAGGTCGCGGGGATCTCTTGCCTCCATATCGGACCTTGGTACCTACATTTATTTAACGAGACGGGTCTAGAGACTTGCAACAACACGGAAGAGCAGCCCTTCTGTCAGGGATCTTTGATACCACTCCTTGAAAACGGAGATACAGTAGTACTGCTGAGTCAAGATATAGATTTAGTGCATCTGCAGCTAGCCCGGTGAGTTCCCGGAGATGAGAAAGGAGTCTCGTTTGTATCTGGTATTTGGCGCTTAGATTGTGGCAGGGTCGGCAGGCAGGAAAAACCCCGGCGAATCATCTGTTTAGGTCTAAGAAATATAGAAAAGGCACGGCTCCACATATGCCCACTTCCTCCAGGCGTACCTCCTCCCCTTCAAGACTGCCACACCTCGACGCCGGCGCAGCACGTGTCCCGTATTTAAGCCTGACCCTAACCTAACCACCTTGACCAATCGACCTGAGAACGGGGATTTCATTTGGGGTCTCGTGGAAGCAAACACTGTGGACGGGCCACTCACGGTGCAGAACATTATTCGATTGTATCGATTTCAGGGTTGGAGGGTTGTATGCGGAGCTGCCCCTATTGAAACGTAGCTCCGACAAACGAGCTGAGCCAGCAGTTTCTCATCGGGATACGCATGTCACTCCCACTGTAAAGGACATTCTGCACATTGGACCATGCCAACGTCTCGTACAGGAGTTCAGGTTTCGGAGTCGAGTGTTGATGTTAAGATTGACGGGATGAAGTTGGACGCGAGGATCTTCAGGGGTATCTCCGTTTGGATCAACAAGCTTTACGCCAAGACGAGCCGCCGCTATCCCTTGCATTAGTGCGGTTGACCTGCAGGAGACGGCAGTACTAAAGTACGGAACCAATTGATTGAATACTTTAGGTTTTGCTGCAGTTGGAGACTCGGGAATAAAAGAAGGAGATTTGATGAACATTCAAAGCCAACCCAACATCCACATTCACCCCCCACATCTGCTACTTGTTTACTTGTCGTCGAGGTAGATAAAGTAGCTATCTTCAAAAGGAGACCAAGTGCCTACTTTATTATCTCCAGGCTGCCATAATTTCCTGTCAGTCTGTCAGATTGTCGAGAAGCGCCAAGCTTCGATCGCGCATCAAAAACCTAGACGAACTCGGTTAGTGGCGTGCCTCAAAGGGATTGCTCCATTTCTGCAATTCACCACTTCTGCTTCTTCAAATTCCTCGGCAGCACAGCTTCAACAGCGTGTTCGTAGAGCAGTGGGGATTGATTGACGTCTCTCCTTCAACATCCAGACAACCAATCCTTCCTTCTCTAGAGCCAAAGGCTCGAGACTCACCTTCATTTCCCTTGGGCGTCAATGGCCCAATGAATGACCTCCCATCCCTCGCTCCTATCAATCCACTCGGCGCCTACAGTAAATCCTACCTCGACGGCCACAAACAATCGTCATACATCCACATAGTATTGATTCATCACATCTACAGAGAGCAAGCAGGTTGGCATTTTGGGGGTCTCACGCGGAATAAACACGGATCGACGCATGTTTGTGCACCAGCAACACGAGAGCATTCCTCGACGCGGGTCTTAGTGTGGGACAGAGATGACAAGCAAACATGGCAAACACAACCCGTGCGTCAGGCTTCTTACCATCAATCAAATGCTCAAACTGCAATGTCGAGATTCCTATCTCAATGATGGGAGACCATGTCTGCTCTCAAGGTACCTATCACCCCTCGAGGGAAACTTCTTCAACATACTAATCATACCGCAGCTCCCCCTCTTCCCAGCTCTCGACTCCATGCTCTGAATGGCCCTTTTGCACCAACGACTCTGAAACATACAATGGGTGCTCCCCTTTCCAGGCCCCAGAAGCCCATACCTCCACGGCTTAATGCCGCTGCTACATGTATGTGACCGGATCCGCTCACATACACACATAGAATCCTCGAGCTGACTATATCATCAAAGTTGATTCAATCCTCCAAGCAGACCAGCATTTGCCAGAGCCAATTGCCGTGCATACCGCGCGGAGTGCGTCACCTGCAATCCACAGCAACGGCACCAAATCTCCATTCAGAATGCCCTTTCTTCGAAGCTCCACCTCTCCATTGCCAAGTCGTCCAGTATCGCCGGTATTACCCATGCCCCAGGACTGTGCTTTCCCTCCCTTCCCGACGGCCAGGTCACAAAGTACTACTCCCACTACACCATTGGAATCAAGCTTCAACTTTCCCTCGAGATCGGGCAGTCCCCAGGAACAGATCGGTGCAGTTGCTAGGCACGCGCCATTGAACTCACCAGCGAGTGGTGGTGGAATTCTGATGCAGAGGATGAACGGCATTGCGCCAGGCCCTTTCAACCTTAGAGAAAATGGGGACTTTAATCCATCAGGTCACAGGAAGTCGCCCTCCATGGGCAGCAGTCGCGATTTCGTCAGAACCTCGAGATCGGCCAGTCCCAAAACACATGTCCAGCGGCCGTCGACTTCAAGTTCGAATTACACACGCAATCCTTCTCTTTCAAGCATCTCGGCTGGGCCTAGATCCTTATCAAACCAAGGTACAACAGAAGTGCCCGTTATACCGTCGATGCCCAGACCATACTTCCAAGACAAGTCCGACGGCTCAGCACATGTGCCTCTACCATCTTTTGACTTCGGTTCCTTCGGAAATGAGGACCGCTCGCATACACTCCCAAAGAACGATCGTGACGCTGCTCCCTTCAAATCTCGCCCGAAAATGGATAAGACACATTCAGAGCCTTCGGTTCACTCACACAAACCTAGACCTTCTGTTGCTGTTGCTGCCATGCAACCTCTTTGCGAAATTGGTAGTACCAGCTCTTTCAAGTCTTCTCGATCAGTGCGAGGTCGTGCCGTCTCCCCAGCCGTAGGTCAAACCGGCCCTGAGCAGTCTGTGAACCCCCACGCCACTGAATCACGGGATGATCGAAGGCTTGGGGATGCACCTCCTGTACCCATGCCTGCCCAAGCCGCAGAAATCTTGGTGCATGACAATCCCAACCATAAGCCACACGAGTCGACCTCATCCAACGAATCTTACGGCTCTGGGGCGAAGAGTGGCAGCTCGGTTTCCACGCCGCACGAATCGACCTCATCCAACGAATCCTACAGCTTCGGTACGAAGGGTGACAGCTCGAGGTCTAGTCCGCCACTCAATGAGTTGCCAAAACATGGGAATGCGCACGCTTCTGGTGATAATCAAGCCAGCAGTATGTTCAAGGGTTTCATTTTCGGCGTTGAAGAGCCGATACCAATGCAATATGAACAAACTGCGAGTCACCTTCAGTCATCTCGAATGGAATCTCCAGCCCCACTCCGTCCAATGAAGGCTACCTTTCCTCCACACGAAGATGGATCAGTCCGAAATCGTTCGTCTGCTACATCTCCAGACGAGTACACAGTTTCTTCCTTCGCTCCCCAAATGAACAACCTTCGTGTGTCTCCAGCACCTCCAGCTCATCCCAGGTACCCAAACCCATCAGCTCGACGACCATCACCCGCCAACAAAGGCAACTGCCGTGGTTGTGGAGCCCTCATCCAAGGGAAATCGGTCAGCTCAGCAGATGGACGGCTTACTGGACGATATCACAAGCAATGCTTCGTGTGCCAAACGTGTCAACGACCTTTTCCGACGGCAGACTTCTACGTCATGAACAATCAACCATACTGCGCACGACACTATCACGAGCTCAATGATTCGCTGTGCACAAATTGCGATCGCGGCATCGAGGGACAGTACCTGGAGACTGAGTTGCAGCAGAAATTCCACCCTTATTGCTTCAGCTGTCAGGACTGTCACCTAATACTCCGAGACGACTATTTCGAATTCAACGGCAAGACACTGTGCGAGCAACACGCCTTTGGCGCCGCACGCACATCAACGCCATCTTCCCTGGGCCCTGGACGCCGGTTCCCCGAAAGAAGAACCACACGCCTCATGATGATGTGATTTGCATAATCCTTAATATCATAGTGATACCGCTAATACTTCCATGCCATCTATCTGATTCCTTGCATTTACAAAGCCTTATACCCTTCTAGACGAGCGTTGATTTTCCCCTTCCCAATGTATAAACCTAAATCCTAATGTTTACATCTTGCACCCTTGGTGGGCGTTTCCGTTTCTGTGGAACACGGCTTGCCGCAGCTTCTGGTTTCAAGGAGAGCATTTTCTGGAGCATTTGCAGCGGTCCCATGTGACGTGGTGTTTGACATGCAAGGTTTCCGAGGCACACCTTGGTAAGCCGGTGTGACGTGGAGAATGGATAATTAGTTAGGAGATTATTTATCCAATAATACTCATGCTTGACTACCACCTACATGCCCGTTTTGAAATGCCATCCGTCTTGCCTCGCCGTCAGCAGTGAACGTGCATCAACCCCAACCCAACCCACCAATCACATCCACAGGCTGGCTGCTACACTGGGAACCAGAAGCCGACGCCAGGGATGCTTGTCGAAAGCGACGGGAGCCGAGCTGGTCTCACAAACGCTGCGAGCGCCGCGATACGATCGTTCAATCATACACACATACACATCCATTCATTCATTCAAATATCCACCTATTGGAAAGATCATCACGCTGGCCCCGCTACCGCAAGGTAAGGCAAGGGAGGGAACGACAAACGAAACGAAACGAAAGGAAAGGAAACGAAACGCTCGCAGGCCTCCCGGAGACCCGCGTCGAGCTGCGCTAAAGAACCGAGGGAACTGGATACCATGAAACAGGACAGGATAGAATAGAGAAGAAACGACGAGACGGATTGGAGAAATCAATCAAGCTACGTTCGCCTCCCCCGTCCCCGTCGGCGCCGGATCCTCCCCCATCTTCGGCGGCGAATCCCGCCTCGCCGGGAAGCCCGTGCCGCCCTTCTGATCCTCGTACAGAGCCAACGCGTGGCCCCTCGCTTCCTTGAACCTCTCGAAGCCCGCCGGGTTGCCCCGCTCCCACGCCGACAGCTCCGCGGCCGTGGCGCGGATCATGTCGAAGACGGTCTCCGGGCCCAGCCGCTCGACCCTCTCCTTGATCTCGCCGCCTTCGAACGCTTCGAGCCGCCGGCGCAGGTCCTGCAGGTGTTGGGCTTCGGACTCCGTGCCGGTCGTGCCGTGGGCGTGGTCTTCGGTTTCGGGACGCAGGATGTCGCGTTTGATGCGCTGGTTGAAGCGGTGCATGCGGCCTTCTTCCTGGGCTTGGCGGGAGGCGAGACTGGGGGAGGAGGTTCGGCGGGAGACGGAGGCGGGACGGATGAGAGGGGTGGTGCTCTCGTCGATGTCTTCTTGGTCGGGTGAGGCGGGTTCGAGGGCTGGGTAGGTGGGAGTGGGGTGGATGAGGGTGTTGGGGTGTTCGAGGGAGGAGGTGCTGGCATTGTCGTCGGAGAAGGGTTCGGTGGTCGTGGTTGTGGGTTTGGGTAGGCGAGTCTCGGGGTATTCGTTTTCGAAGCGCTCGATCATGCGTTCGAGGGTGGAGTCGAGGAATTGGAGACGTCCTAGAAGAGATGTCAGTAATAGGTACGCTGAATGGTTAGGTGTGCACCCACGGTAGCTCAAATCATCGCCACCCTTTGCCTCCTTGATCAAAGCCGGCTGCAATCTCGCTCTGATCTTCCTCGCACTGTCCAACAGGTTCTTCGACATTTCTCGGGCTTTACCCTTTGAAACCTCGCTTCCCTGCAGGACCTTCTTTGGCGTCCCAGTACCGCTGTGTAACGGTGACAAATCCCTTGAATCTTTTCTTCCATCAGCAGCTCTGTTCAGACATATATCCAGTGCTTTGACCACGCCTGTGCCACCGACGATATAGTCGTCATCAGGGGCTGGGTCATCACTGTCGTGGTTCTCCGGAAAGCCATCGATGTGACCTACGAGGTGCAGCAGGATGTCCGGGACTGTCAACTGCTTCTCGCCGCCGTGAGGGTCAGCCATTGCCGCTTTTGCTGAATCTGACGTTTCCGCAAGAGGTAGGCGTTCAAGATTCCTCAGTGAGTAAGCCACAACCTGTTTCGCCAGAGCTTTGACAACCTCACTCGAATCTTGGCTTGGAACGTCAACGTCAATGCAGATAATCGTGTCTGAGACCCGCACGGCAGCCATCAGAGAGGCGTACAAAGCACAAGCTTCCTCTTGCATTGCTTCAGTCTTTGCCGATGCCAGCGGTGAAAGGAGGTGGTTTTCCAAAATATTGAGATGTGCCAGACTTTGGCTTTCTGGCAAGACTTCTGCCAAAGCAATGGCATGCTCGGGTGTCATTGCCACGTCCATGAGATGTATCCTTCTGATCATGGGCAACTGAGGTACATACTTTCGGATCAGTCCAAGAGCAGTCGGTCGAGTGAGGAAAAGATCGCGATTATGAGACAGATCGATGAAGCGGAGATTTGGAAGTTGTACCAGGGCGGGGAGTAGGGCCTCAAGCGATGATGGTGCAAGATTACAGTCGGCAAGACTCAATGCCCACAGTGTGCTCTTCTCGTCCACTGCCTCGGCCAGCATGTTGAGGTCTTCTCTAAGATCATTGCCGCCCAGATCAAGACCCTCGCACTTTCCGCTCCGTAGGTAGCGTATGACATGACCCAAGCCCTCTGGAGTGATGTTGTTACCCGCAAGACCAAGCCTGGTAGAGCCGCATCTCATGACACCGTCAACGATCTTCCCAATGCACTCGGTGCTCAGACCGCACTCGGCCATGATAAGCTCCTCCAGACGATGACCTCCAAGTCTTTCGGCTAGTGCTTCTTGCAGGAGGGTTGACATTCCAATCGGGCCAGGCGGAGGAGGAGTATGATGGAGAGGAGTGTGGTGATGATGCTTGACGCTATCCGCCATTGCTGATGATTTCGGGAAAGGTATCATAGACACATCGATACCTTTTAATGACCGAGACATGTACATGAACAGGGCAATATGTCGCCAGCCTTCGCTTCCAACCTTCGGATTATCCTTTAATATAAGCTTCTCGATCACGCCAAGCTGCTCTGTCACTTCCGTAGTCCCACCATTAATCCTTTTAGCAAGTTTCCTATTGTGTTTAGCTTGTTCCGGTGTCTTCGCAGCAAGGAGTCCAGCAAGTATGACGCGTACAGCTTCATCTCCTAAGCCGCAATTCTCTAGTACCAATCTCTTGACGGGCACAACGGCCAGGTAGTCCCCGAGGGTGATGAGATCTGGAAGTTGCATCCAGTAACCTGAGAGATCCAGACTTGAGAGGATTCCCGGCGTCATGACATGGCAGGCAGATGGTGAGGAGATCTGCTCGACTATTCGTTTTAAGATGGGCGTCTCTCGCAATTGACAACACCGTCGATATATACGTAGAGGGTCGGTTGTCGGTCGATCTTGAGACCTTGGCGGAGTGTCAGCGCCAGTGGGCGTATCGTTGGCGCTACTGCTGCTGCCCTCCCGACGTACTTCAATGGGTATCGAACCATTGGCCAAAGCTTCCTGGTGCTTCCGCTCTTTACGCTCTTTTCTTTCGCCCTCAGAGCGCTTCTTCTTTTCCTTCTTCCTTGTAGGTTCCTTGACCTCGCTGTTCTCCGGAGCCTTGGACTCTTGGGATTTCTCTGGTGGTGCAGGTTTCACTTCTTCTCCAGAAGCTTTGACGACTCCGTCCTTCTCTTTCTCTTCTGCCACTGTATTCGGATTCTTCAGCGCAGCACCCTCTCCTTTCTTCTGCTTCTGATCCTTCATTTTGTTAGCCTCTGTCTCGTGCTCCAATTTAGTGAGGCTCGATTCTTCCGTGAGGGACGGCGCAGGTGGTGCTTGCGGTTCCGTCTCGGTGTATTGGGCTGCGCCTGCAATTTCGACGTCTACACAGAATGCCACCCTCCGCAGCTTCTTGAGATCCAGATCTGGCAGTGAACACCTTTCACGGTACGGATCCACATTCATCGTCCTCCTTGGGCAGACTCCGCACGAACCCGCAGCCTTTGCGGTGCTGCCGCCACCGCTGGATCCCAGCCGTCTCAGTGCGCTCTGTATAAATGTATGCCCACCTTTGCCAACATTTGGTGGGGTGGAGGGAGGTGTGTCTGTCTTTTTGGCATCTTTAACTGTTGGTGTAACGGCTGCGCCAAAAGGATTTGAGAATTCGGGTTGAGGGGTGTTGGGTGGCGACTTTGAGACAGGAGATGGTAGTGAGCCGGTGCTGCTGGTAGGTGAATTCGAATTGGTGGAGAACTTTGAGCTTAGGCTTGACATCCACGAATTCCGTCGGCCCATTGGGGTTGCTTTGGGATCTTTCTGGTTCTTGGGAGAGCTGGGACCTGGCTCGACTTTTTCTGAGCTCGCACGTTGAAGGATATGAGGACGATGTACATGACTATGGGATTGTGTAGAGTAGGATCCATTGGCTTTGGGCGCAGTCGGCTCGTCTTCGCCTTGTGAGGGATCCTGCTTGTTTGGCAAAACTTTCTCATCCGGGGAGGGAGTGGAGATCGAATCCTTCTTCGAATAGTGGTCTATGCGCAGTGATCAGCATTCGGAGCAGAGTCGTACATGAGTGAACTTGGCGGCAACGCCCAGCTCCGCATCGTCTAAGCTTCCAATATGTGGTGGAGGCCAGTGAGAAGGAAGATTGCGTACCTTTGGGGGAGTGGTGCAACCAGCTCACGTCGACACCATGTATGCCCTCCATGACTGATTAATATGAGCTCTGACTAGGCGTTCGAGAACCGTTTAATGTTGGAATCAGTATGCCACTTTTGAAAATGCGCCCAGCATGGCGATCTGCGGGGTCACTCCGAGGAGGCCAATCGAGGCGGATTGGGGGTGTTATCGACGAAAAGGACGCATGATGCCCATGATTACCAAGTTTCCCTCTTCAGCGAGCGCTGCGACATACGTTCAAACGAGCACTGTGGACGGAGACGCTCTGTCTACATCACACGCGGGAAGATTCGAGAAACCACATTGTCGTCTGAGAGGCGGCGGGACCAATGATTACGGGATCAGCTACCGAGGGCATCCGTCCAGTAGAGTGGTTTCCAATCTGTGCAAAGTTCCAAGTAATTTTGCTGCAATGAAGGCGTTCAAGGTCTCGCAACTGAGGAAGTATATTTTCAAATTCATGCTGGTGTACCGGGTTCATTCTCTGATCCTCTGGGGAAGTGGAGAGCACGAGAGTAAAAGGGCTTGGCGTGGCGACATGTGGAAAAAAAGAGGTACTTTGGCCTGATGGAGAAGAACATACCTGATGAATTAATTACCGTCAGGAGACCACAGAGTCCAGATGTTTAGAACGCCAGAGGTTGGGGTTTTTAATGTTTGGTCGGGGATAGTCTAACGATGGGATGAGGAGCCCTTCAGTCAGAGAGCTTTTTTATTCATTGCTGGCTCGTTCTAGCTCTACCTGCTTGCTGAACGTATGCCAACGCCATCTAGCAAACTTTCTCATGCCACAAACCCTCCTCACATCGACTCCTTGACCTTCCCAATCTTCGCCTTGACCCTCTCCTGCTTCTCCTCATAGCTCATCTTAGGCAGCTTATGCTTCTTGCTCTCCGCCTTCCACTCATCCTTCGACTTCTTCTCTTCCTCTCCCTCCTCCTCGTCCTTCATAAACGGATCCTCTCGAATAGCCTTATGGGCCTCCTGATACATCTCCTCAAGCCCATCAGCCTCGATCTCATCATCAATGTAGCCCTGGAACTGCGACTTGTAGCGCTCCTCGTCGTCATCGGCGAGAGTCTCCATATACTCTGCTACGTGACCGCCGAAGATGTATTTGCGTAGGGACTCGGCGTCGAGCTCTTTGGTTTCGATGTCGTAGCCGGGGAATCGGTTTTCGGAGTGGGGGATTAAGATGCCTCCGTCTGATGCTCCCTTCAAGGCTCCGAAGACCTTAGCACCAGTAGAGGTACGAGCGAGGCCGACGTCGAGGAAGCACTTGAATGGGCGACGGTCCTCGCCATCGTGCTCGGCAGCTTCAGTGAGCTTGTATTCGCCATCCGCCTCTTCAACGCCAGTGAATGTATCAGCGAGTTCCAGCTTTGAGAGAGCGCGACGAGCGATCAGAAGCCCAACGCAGTAGGCGGCTGCCCAGTTGGTGAGGCCGTGCTTGACACCATAACGCTTGAGTTCGTGAGCGTAGGCGGCGCAGAATACCTTGTCACCCGTGATCTCCGAGGTGACGATCTGGCAGATAATATCTTTGTTGGTGAAGCGGACAACGAGGCGGTACTTGGGAGCGTTGTATTTGTTCTTGGCCTGAGTGATAAGACGCTTGCGGGCGTAGTAGTCGGTCTTTCCTGCTCGACGACGCTTGTACTTGGTTTGGTAGCGACTGTGCTGTTGTCAGTAGCTAGCTTCTATAGAGGAAAGACCGTGAATGATACTTACCTATAGTAGGCGCTATTTTTGACAAGCTTGGTGAAAGGCTGTGTCACAACCCGGAGTCAGCAATTTGCGCTTCAGATTCCATACCGAAGCATCTTGCAGAGACTCATCTCCAAGCATGGAAGAACTGCCACGAGCTCGAGCATAAGACTTACCATGTTGACGGCTATGCCTTGTTGTCGTTGTCAAGCTGTTGATTGTGGTTGTGTCGAGCAGAGCTTGGGAAGGAATGTTTGTGGGCATCAGATCTCGCTTGCGTTGTCAGGTGGGCGACGAGCCAAAAACTCAGGCCGCACAAAGGCCTCCTGAGGGAGATATCCTCCACGCGTGTTCTACTGATTCTGAAAGGGCTATTGGATGAGTTTGGTATACATATCTCAAATTCGATACACAACTTCTGTCTTCCAATGGAGATCGCGGCATTGGTACCTAATGGAAATGGCTCCACAAGAGTTGACGATGTACAGTGGACTGTGACGCTTTTCTTGCAAATAGCTGAGTATGTACAATGGGTATTCGTAGAAGAGAGGTTATGGAATGCGCCTGTATAAAGATCAAAAGCAACGCAAGCCATGCTGCAAATATCCATCCTCAGCCTATACAATGAAGAACCAGATCTTCTCCCACCAATTATTGGCTTTCCGCTCCGGCCAATGCGCATCCGCTGCGTCCAGTGCCGCCTTCCCAGTTTGAATATCTGCGTCTTCGGGCCTGACCCACCGCGTCCGCTTGAAGACCTTCCAGAACAGATACAGCCCGCAGTATATAGGTATGCCCACATAAGCCGTGATGAAGTCCTTATGATCGAATTTCTTCGTCTTGCTGGGAAACGTGTAGAAGCCATTGAAAAAAACAATTACGCCGAAGAAGGAGAGGGAGAACCAGGCGCTGTAGGGTTGGAAGCGTGATTTGAAGACGAGCGTGTCGCGGCTGATGCCTTGAGCGCGCAGAGCACTATGGAACCTGATGTACGCGACCGAGACGGACATCCAGGTCAAGATTGCGGTGATCGCTGTAAGGTTTTGGAACCATTGGAAGACCGATTGGGAGCCGGCGGAGCAAGACATGTAGGTCAGCAAGGAGATGGAGGCGGTAATGCCGATGCACCAGTATGGAACGCCCCTAATTTACGGGTGTTAGTGATGCTAGCGGTCATCGGAGAAGTGAGAAATTGTGACTTACTTCCTAGAGCATGTCAGTAGGAATCTCGGCGCTTGGCCGTTCTGGGCAAGTGCGTATAGATATCGGGATCCCGTGTAGAGGAATGCATTGGCAGATGAGGTTGCTGAGGTGAGAATGACAGCGTTGACGATTGACGGCAGAACGGGTACGCTGGCACGGTAGATGGCGATGACCCATGGTGAAGCGGCTCCTCCAGGAGAACCGTTGTGGATAGCGTCCAGGAGCCGTGACTCGTTGTATGGGATAAGAACACCAATGGCAAGTGAGCCGAGGACGTAAAAGAACAAGATACGCCAGAACACACGGCGGACAGCTTTTGGTATGTTGCGCCTTGGGTTCTCAGATTCTCCCGCGGCCACTGCTACCGTCTCGACACCACCGTATGAGTAGGCGGCATTGACCAATGTCGAGAAAAGACCGAAGAAACGACCTGTGTTGCCGTCCGCGATATATGGCTTCATAGCTCCAGGATGCTTCCAGTAGCGAAACCCGAGTCGGTCACGCGTTGGCCCTCCGCCAAGGTCAATAATGAAGGCAAAAATGATGAGTCCAATGATCGTGATGATTTTGATACTCGCGAAGACAAACTCGGCTTCACCGTATATGGAGACGGCAAATATGTTCAGGGCCACGACCACAACGATGATTATAGAGATCCAGGCTGCTACGTTAATGTCCACAGCCCCGTTCCAAAATTGTATCACAACAGCTGCTGCCGAGATTTCTGCGCAGAGGGTAAGAGAACAGGTGTACCAATTCTAAACATTCTTTTCAGGCTGCTGTAACACATGCACATTGGTGTTGAAGACTCACGTTCCATCCTACAGCGAAGCCCATTGCCCCGTCCACATATCTAGCACAAAATTGTGGAATAGCACCGGGTAATGGCAACCATGTCGCCATTTCACCGAGGCACTGCATCATAGCGTAAACAGCGGCACCAGTGAAAGTGTAGCCGAGGAGGAGACTGAGAGGTCCAGCCATGGTGAAAGCTCGTCCAATACCGAGGAACAGACCTGTACCAATTGTACCACCGAGGGCGATGAATTGGATGTGACGCGATTTGAGACTAGAACGTTCATTAATTGATCGCATCCCAATCGCCTGATACTTTATCAACGCACCCGCGAGTAACATAGCCATGTTCTTCAGCAGTCTCCACGTCGCCGTACATGTCCGCCGCTTCGCCGAGTTGTAGTCCCCGCTCCGCCGTAATCCTATACGGATCGTCGTACATCCTCGAAGAGTCATCGTAGAGCGCGGATCCCGTTCTAGTCTTCTCCAATTCCATCATCTCATACGAATCCTTTTCCGGCATCGTTCGCAGTAAGTTGGGAACATGCATTGAGCGCTCAAAACAGACAACGAAGATGAAAGCAAATCAGCAAGGAGAGGGAGTCCTTTGGACCTCGATCGCTTGATCCAGGCGAAAAGCTTTCAAAAGGACAAGAAATGATGGGCAACGTCACGGAATCCGCAGATGTACCTAGATGAAGAAACTACGGTCATAGAGCTTGCGCCATTGTTTTTGATGTGACCTTGCTACTGGCACTAGCGACCATTTCAATCAGCCTAGGGTTGTAGAGCGTAGATCTGGGTTGAAACCTTCATTATTGAATCCGACTTTTTGGTCTCACAACGGCAAAGCTACTTGCTACCGAGGTGCCTTCTCCTCAAGTCCAGAAGCCTGCAAGTTCATTGAAGCGAGATCTCTTGGGACAGGCGATGGAAAACCAAATTCTGTAGGTGTGTCGTGTGCAACAGAAAGGTAAGTTGGCCTAGGTCAGCACATGCAGGCGGGAGGCACGGGAACATGGGCATATTTCGGAAACCACATTTTGGTGCACCCCTCAGCGAAGAGGCAATTCAGGTACGATAGGTATCGGCACTTTCGCTCTATCCCGTTTTGAATCGCCTTCATCTTGAACGCAACAAGCAGTAGTCGATAAGCTCAACCGCTCGCACATCATGACCGCCCGTCAACGGGAAACAATTGTATAATTGAGTCGCCTAGACTAGTCCACATGTGATTTCTGGTCTGCTGGTCATAGCTCCGCACAAGGCTTTCCCCAAATCCCAAAGCATCAAATTTGGCTGGGGACTGTCAGCCTCGAAAGGATGTTAACGGCGGGTGATCGAAGTCGGGATAGGCGGGAGCCAGGGCGTCTCAGCCGTGATTGGCTCAATCTTCGCTTTGCGAGGACATCCCAAGTTTTGCGTTTCAGGCTAATTGAGGGGATTTTGTGTCCAATGACGACGCAAGATCGTCTCTGATTGTCGGCGCAAAGCTTGGAGGCCTTGACTTTTGAACTTCATTATAGTGCATGGTGGTACCGATATCGAAGTGAAGGATCTCATCACATCACCATCTCCCTCTGCCATCAGAATGAACATCTGATGTCACTAAGGGTCGTCCGCCGACTACTTATCATCTCGGATGTAACAGTCTCGAACGGCAAAGATTGGGGGTCTGTAGATACAACTCGAAGCAAGTACCTAGCGGGCAACTTCCAACTAAGGAAGTGCTAGGTGCCAGTATGAAAGTCGAGCTTGAATTGGTGGTCTTGGTTAGCGCGATGGTCGGACGAGTGCCTTCTTTCTTGGCGTGTGAAAGCCCCCACCATCAGCTTGCCCTGTCGCTTTGCTTCGGTCTGTCAAGGACCGCGACAGTGATGAAAGTCTTGGGGTTTGCTTCTGGCGCTTCCTCCATCCATACCGAGAATGAAGTCGAGAATGACGTGGATGCTGAAGTAGCTCAGGTGTGCAGGGCCGCAATCAATCTCGTCAATGACTCGTACTTTTTGGCTCTAACATGTAGGCTGCATCTCAGCTGCACGTTAGTTGAATGGCATGCCTATAGGTCGCCGTAGCAGTTCAGCGTTTTTGAATTTTAATAGGAGCCTAAAACGTACTTACGAGAAGAGAAAAGAAACAATTGATGTGTAAAGCGTTCCGTGCTGAGTGCATTTGTGTTATGAAACCTCTTGTTGCCTTGATGTTCTCAAGAATCACATGGTTTATACCAAGGATTACCCATTCTTCCGGCAGCGCATCTGAAATGTGTCAATTGAGCATTGAACGACACTCCAAACGTCCGTTGCAAACGTTCTATTTGACTGAGAGGCTTTGTCTCCTTTGGCGATCATGAGTCAGGTAGAATGCGAGTGGGTCCACCGAAGAGCGGCAGTTGCAGAGCAGAAAGAAATATGTGGAGGGAGGGTGGAGGATGGTACGTTTGAGACAGGTGGGGACAAATAAGTGCGTAACAACGCATTGTCTCCACCAAATTTATCGTCATATTAGCACAAGAGGTTTGGTTTTTGACGGATGTCTTTTATGTATGAAGTCTCCTTCGTCTAGCTCTTTTGTTCTATATTCCAACTCCCAACGCCTTGCTTTCACCCAGCCTCATTCGTCATGAAGCTACCTTCGCAGAGTACTTTCCTGCCGCTTGATCAAATAACGAGCTCTTCTCTTGCAAGTCGACCAAAAGTGGGTGCTCAGGCGCTATTCCCTTCAAGCTTGATGTAGGCTCGCTCGTATCTTTGCTTGAGATCACGTTCAACACAATTGAGTTCGCAATAGCCTCCATATCATTTGGATCTTTCTGGACAGCCTGCTGCAGCGCTGCTTCGGCTTCGGGTAACCGGCCCAGATGCAGCTCTGCGACCGCTTGACCAACGAGTGATTTGGTTGCGGAGGTGGAAGGCGCTTGGGCCATTTCTTCGAAGACGTAGAAGGCTTGTTGGTAGCGTTCGCCGCCCTGCAAGCGTAGAGAGATATCAGCTTCAGTCTTCCGGGGTAGGACCAGAGGTCAGCTAGAAGTGATATACCATCCGTAGACCAACCCATGACTCGGCAATGTTCACAAGCAGGCTATCTTGGGCCCATTTGCGTGCTGCTTGGACTTCCTTGAGGGCGAGATCTGTCCTATTTTGCTGGAGATGTATTTGCACGATGAGAGCTATCCTGTGCAATAAGTCTCCGTCAGCGTTCGGGAACGTATCAAACGGGTATAGAAAGGGCTGGACCTCGTACGCTTCAAGGCTTCCCTGATGCTTGCTTAGTAGCAATAGAGCTTCCTCCGTTTTCCCTGCAGCCTGTAAGACCGTTCCGCCGAGCAATTGCACGGTTGTGTTTTCTGACTCCGTCTCGGCCAGGCTCTCAAATTCGGAGACGGCATTTGAAGTGCTGCCTGATGAATGTTGTGCGAATGCCTTGACAGCAGCGAACTCTGGCGCACTGCCCGCTTTCCCTATACTTGCAAGGACTTCCTTGGCTTGACCGACAGCGATCTGAGCTCGCAGCTGGAGTACTCGAGCTGGCGTCTTATTTTCGGAGGAGAGAGAAGAGGTGTCGAAGTCAATTACTGTTTGATATTGTCCTTGGTGAAAGGCATTGTGGATGTTGAGTAGCTCTAGTGAGTGGTTAGTACTGGGCCTTTTTTAATGCTCCCTTTGCATGTATGCTCACCCCCCTCTGCTGAGAATGGATCCATGATGACAGATTAAATCCGGGGAGGCACGAGGATACGAAATCGATAAAGTAGACACTTTGGACAAACATAAAACCGCCCTGACGGCTCTTCCCGCGCCCGCAGCTGAATGTGAAGCTCAGGTGCCCCACCCATATAAGCAACCCCATTTGGAGGTACATTGTCAGAGAATTAGCCTTCTTGTGGAGCTGTATTGTCTACGTATTCATATCTCTCAGAGTCCAGTATCTGTTCTGTCCCATTTGTCCTCTTTCATTACTTTCAGATACTCTGATCTCCTCCGCTTCCTAGAGCACATGAGGGGCGTTCCCCGTAGCACCCCAGGTCTTCTTACCACCGATCTCATCGACAGCCGGCTTGGCAACACCGCGGAATCTGACACTTAGGCTTGCTTGGACCGTCCCCGGAGAGCCTCAGGGTTCGACATTACTCTTTTCACACTATGGTCCGCATTGCTTTACCAAATCGTCTAAAGAGTCACAATGGCAAAAATGGAGTAACCAGTCAACCTGACAGCAGGGGCACAAGCCCCATGCGAACCCCCATGGAAACCAAGGGCTTGGTCCTCAGGACCAAAGTCTTAAGAGTGAGTAGGCTACGCCATATCTAAGCTACCCTTGAAGAATCTAATGGATGCACGGTCAAGGCAAGGAACTTGGCAGCAAAAGACAAGAGTGGTACCAGTGATCCCGTGAGTGCTTATGCCATACCAATACCATCCATAGTACGGTCTCGGCTGATGGCAAAAGTACCTCGTTGTGAATCTTGGAGAAGCGAAACAATCCACTCCTACCGTCAGCAAGAATCTCAACCCAGAATGGAACGTCTCCTTCGATCTACCCATAGATGGTATTCAGAGTGTGTTGCTAGAGGCTGTTTGTTGGGACAGAGATCGGTTTGGCAAGGATTATCTCGGCGAATTTGACGTCGTCGTTGAGGATATATTTGCCAATAGCCAAACGGTGCAAGAGGTGAGCTATCTCTGAAGCAGCTGCAGTTCTCCAGCTGACTTTCCCAAGCCTCGCTGGTATACATTGGAGTCAAGACGGAAAGAGGGAAAGAAGAAGGGCGCGAAGATTTCTGGCGAGGTACAGCTGCAATTCTCGCTTGTGGACACCTCAGATCTGTCCGCGCCTCCGCAGGATGTCCTTCAGAAGTTCGCGACGCTAGTCGCGATGAGTCCAGAAGATGAAAGTGATGGGGACGAAGACCTTTCCAGACTCGACAGTCTGGACCTCGAAGACGAAGATGAGGACGAGGATGGAATAGATGAGAAGAATCCTGAAACATCTGACGAGACTGATGATCCCGCAAAGCCGGCCAAAGCGGAGAAAGAGAAGCGGAAGCGGAGGCTTAAGATGAAACGACTGAAAAAGAGAGCAAAGGCCAGAGCATACGAGTTCACTGGAGGCACCGACGTTGTCGGTATCGTATTTCTGGAAATATGCAAGATCACTGATCTCCCGCCGGAGCGAAACAGTAAGCGGACAGTAATAAGTTGCTCTCCCAATTCCTGTTAACCATCTCAATAGTGACAAGAACATCGTTTGACATGGACCCCTTTGTGGTAGCTTCCATAGGGAGGAAAACGTACAGGACGCGGGTCATTCGCCATAATCTCAATCCAGTATACGACGAGAAGATGGTCTTCCAGGTCATGCGGCACGAGCAGAATTATTCCGTGAGCTTCTCCGTTGTCGATCGAGATAAATTGTCCGGTAACGATTTCGTCGGCACCGCCAACTTTTCCCTTTCGAACGTCACATCCGTCGCTCCAGAGGCAGATCCCGAGACGGGCCTCTACAGCCTGCCAGAACCTCCAGATCCCTCTTTGGCGTTACCAACCCCCAAGCATTCGAGATTCAGGCTACCACTATCGAGGACTTCTTCAGCCTCAAGCTTGAACAAACTCACCAAGCCGAGTCTTATTACCAAGGGTTCGCAGGCTCCTATGAGTGGCAGCGCGCAGCCAGATCCGCAACCCGGCTCAGCGAGTGCACAAGGTGACTGGAACCATCTCACCCCAGCAACATCAGACGCTCCCCATGAAGCAGGAGAGGAGCATACAAGCCAGAATGAAGACCCGTCGATGAAGTTCTACACCCTCCCTCTCGTGTTAAAGAATAAAGAGCGTTGGGAAGACAAACATAGTCCACAGCTATTCGTCAAAGCAAAGTATCTCCCATACCCCGCGTTGCGGCAGCAATTCTGGCGTGCAATGCTCAAACAATACGACTCAGACGAAAACTCGAGACTTAGCAAAGTGGAGTTAACAACAATGCTTGACACTTTGGGTTCGACGCTGAAGGAGTCAACCATCGATCATTTCTTCGAAAGGTTCTCAGATACGAGCGATTCGCCCGATCCCGTCTTAACCTATGACCAAGCTGTTATCGCTCTGGAGGATCAGCTACATCAGCCGATACGAAGGAAGACTTGGAGTGATACCATGAGAGGCTACATGGACCATGCACACTTTTCAACCCAGAGTAATGGAGAAGACAAGGGGAGTGATGATAACGATATGCCTGCTGTGGAGGGCATTGCCAAAGAGCCTCTGAATAAGAATGAAGACCGCTCGGCCGTTCCTGCAATCTCCCAGGATTATATTGGCTCGCAGGGTGAATCTGGGGACTTGATAGAAGAGAATGACCTAACGGACGAGCGAGGCGAAGAGCATGTGGTTGAGATCCGTGAATGCCCATTATGTCACCAACCGAGATTGAACAAAAAGTCTGACGCCGATATAATCACCCACATCGCCACCTGCGCAAGTCAAGATTGGAGGCAAGTGAACAACATCGTCATGGCAGGCTTCGTCACCTCGAGCCAAGCACAGCGCAAATGGTATTCGAAGGTCATCACCAAGATCTCATACGGTGGCTATAAGTTGGGTGCCAATTCAGCCAACATCTTGGTCCAGGACAGAATGACAGGGCAGATCAACGAGGAGAGAATGAGCGTGTATGTTCGGATTGGGATTCGTTTGCTGTATAAGGGGTTGAAAAGCAGAGAAATGGAGAAGAAGCGAAGTAAGTCTGAGACTCAGGGGAAAGAGAGGACAGTACTGACAAATGGCAAGTCCGAAAGATGCTCAGGTCGATGAGTTTCAAGCAAGGGAGAAAGTACGATGATCCAGCTTCGACTCGAGAGATCCAGGGCTTCGTCAACTTCCACCAACTCGACATGTCAGAAGTCCGCAAGCCAGTCGAAGAGTTCAAAAATTTCAACCACTTCTTCTATCGAGAATTGAAGCCAGACGCAAGGCCATGCTCGGCTCCCGGAAATCCCAAGATCATAGTGTCGCCCGCAGATTGTCGGTCTGTAGTCTTCAACAACATGGACGCTGCCACCAAGATCTGGGTCAAAGGTCGAGAATTCTCTGTCCAGCGGCTTCTAGGGAACGCTTACCCGCAGGATGCAAAGCGGTATACGAATGGTTCTTTGGGTATCTTCCGGCTTGCACCCCAAGATTACCACCGCTTCCACATACCGGTGGACGGAATCATGGACAAGCCCAAGTTGATTGATGGAGAATACTATACCGTCAACCCAATGGCTATACGGTCCGCTCTAGATGTATACAGCGAAAATATCCGAGTCGTGGTACCGATCGATTCCGTCTCCCATGGTAGAGTGATGGTCATCTGCGTGGGTGCTATGATGGTCGGTAGTACAGTCATCACAAGGAAACCCGGAGAGGAGGTTCATCGGGCTGAAGAGCTGGGATACTTCAAATTTGGCGGTAGTACGATTTTAATCCTCTTCGAGCCTGGTGCTATGCAATTCGACGATGACCTGATTGACAACTCGAACGGGGCTTTGGAGACTTTGGTAAGGTTACCAATGCATTTGAGCCTCGCTCCATCCCTGCTGACATTCCGCTAGCTTCGCGTAGGCATGTCCATCGGTCATTCTCCGGAACAATTGCAGCATGCGCCTGATATGCCAAAGAAAGAAGAGCATGTTACTGAGGAGGAGAGACAAGAGGCTAAACGAAGGATAGAGGGTAGTCTTGCCCCCTCGACCACGATATCCGGGCCTTCCTCAATGAAATGAATAAGGTACGAACATTGCGCAACGACTGCTTTAGTAAATAGCATCGGAACTCCTGGTAAAGATGGGAAAGCGGAGCGTGGCATTTGCTCTTCTTTGTTTTTCCTGTAGAGCGTAGCGTTACCATGGTACTCCTTGCCAGCTTCAAACGAAGCCTGGTGCGAAACAACTCTGGCATCAAATGTTTACCCTCGAAGAAACACCGCGTGAAGTACTCTACGAGTAGAAGACAAATCTCACAAAGGTCGCGTGTTTTGAAGGGACTTTCAGGGCTAAGCTGAACTCGGCTAGCGGTAACACGAAATGTAAACACCGAACGCAAGGTTCCGCCCCCTCCCCTTCAACAACTTCTACCCTGGGATTGCGACGATACGTCTCAACGACAAATTGGCTACCAAGGTGTTTGTGCGGTCGCATAGAAAAGGAAGGAGCGACTGCATTCTCCTTCTGAGTCTCAAGACCTTCGATGAATCGCAATTCCAATCTTACCACGCGCGGGCCTTGATTTCACCAACCACGATCATCAACCTCTACAGCAGCATCAATGACAGCATACGCGACGCGCGCTCCGCTGCAATTAATCAACAATCCACATATGATGAGTGAGCCTTCACGGGGCGGGCGAAGGAGAAGCTCAAGACTTGAGGACAAGGAAGACGCACCATTCGCCAACGGCATAGTACATGATTCGGAGCCAGTCAAGGGGCGTCAAAGTACCACAGTGAAGCAAGGAAAGGGCAGTGTCAATGGTGCGGGTGTGAAATCAGCGGGGAAAAGGCAACTTGGTGAGCATCCCTGAACACCATGGTGGAGAAACAGGATCTTTCTTGGAGCTTCATCGCGGAGTGACTGGATTAGATGGTGCATCAGAGAGGTGTGACTGACTGATTTTATAGCTTGGGACGAAGAAGCCGATGGATTTGCATTTACACGGACGCGCGCAAAGAAAGCAAAAGCGGAGGCTGTACTAGCCAGTACTGCTGAGGAGCCTAGGCAGGAGGAACAAGCTGAACCAGCGCCAACAAGGAAGTCAAAGAAGAAGGCCACTGGTTCGCCCAGTGCCGCACCCGTAGAAAATGGGGGGGAAACAGCGAGGAGGAGAAGCACAAGGCATAGCGGAGAACATGAGAATGCGGATCCACCAGCTTTGCCTGTCAAGAAGAGGAGGAAGGACCGTGCCTCCAGCGAGCTGAAGCCCGACCATGGAGGCGAGAGATCGCACATGGACAATGAGCGAGCGAGAAAAGACCCGCAGCAGGACCATACGCAGCCGATTGAGGTCACGTTCGATGCTACGAAGATCGCCTTGCCATTCGCGGACACTCCGATAATACGGCGGAATAAGGAGATGAGGAAGACGAATGCGACTCGAAGAAGTAGCCTGGGTATGAGAGGGAGAAGGGCAAGTTCATTGATTGACACAGGCAAATCTAATGGTAACAAGTTCATTTGCGCCTTGGCCGTGTCAACGCTGACTGTAAATCAGCCATGCCTCATGATGAAGTCGACAGTTCCGAATTCTACAAGCACATAGCAAGTGATGGACTCTCGGAACCACGACGAATGAAGCAGCTCCTCACTTGGTGTGCGACACGAGCGTTGGGCGAGAAGCCTCTGTTTTCGACAGAAGATGGAAATGCAAGATTAGCAGGTATGTTCACGTCAGATCAGATCAAGAGCATTAGTTGACGCCTATGTACAGCCCGAGAGATACAATCGCAGCTGCTGAAAGACTTCTCGACGAAGTCCGAGATGTCAGACTGGTTCAGCAGAGTGTGTTGAAATGATTCCAGAGCAAAGAGCGTTCGGGAAAAGTGTACTGATTCCACTACAGAACGATTCAACACCAGAACCTTCGTTGCCAAGACCAAATCCTATGAACGTTTCAAACCTAGCCAAGATACAAGACCTGGAGCAACAAATAGCCCGGTATGAGCTGCACCCTTCTCCTATCCCTTACGAAGAAGGCAATTACTGACAGTGTCCCGTGATCTAGTCTGCAAACGGAGCGCCAAACTTGGGAGTCTCTCCTCCGCCCTCCGCCCGACAGCGCAGTTCTTCTCCCACCTCTTCCCTTAGACCCACCAGCTCCCTCAGCCATCGACTCCAACCTCCTCTCCGATCCCGCCCAAACAGCCGCCCTGGAGACCCTCCAATCCTTGACCTCGGATTTCCAACCCTCCCTCTCCGCCATCACATCGTCGCGTCTCCAAGCCATAAACCAGAACCTCGAATTCGACGTTGACAAGTTCGCCCACAACGTTCACGCATTGGGTGCATACAAAGACGCTGCGGAAAGGATAGCGGACGAGGTCCTGGGTCTGAGCGCCGAAGCTCTGGAGAAGAGGGATCAAGAGGGCAAAGCCAGAGCTGCTGGGGAGGGCGGCGAGCCAGGCATGAGGGATGTGCTCAGGGGCTTGAGCCGGGTGGTTGATCGGTGATGATGACCAAAAGGGCGTGCGTCCGTCCGTCTAACTCCCAGTCGACGAGTACGATCAAGGAGATTTTCAATGATCTATATCGAACCCTTCCTGTTGATCCAAATGGCGGTGGATGCGTGTCGTGTCTCACTTACGTCCCGGCTGACTGATGATGCATTATTGACGCGCGGCGTTATACAGGCAAGGCGTTACAGGGACAAGGAAGGCAGCTTTGTCTGATGGGAAAGACCTTTCTAGTTGGGGGCTTCCAAGGGGCGGTGGCTACTATGTAAATTGGATTGATGCTGAGATATGCGGACAGGAGTTGAGATGAAAAACCTCACTTGTGGCGAGGACATCAGGGTGGTTCTCTTCCGGGCCACAGCCAGCCAGCCAATCTATTCGGGGCGTGATACCTGTACTATACACCCCCTCGTGGAACATTGAGGCCCCCCTCCACTTCCGGGTGCTGTTTCCGCGCTGCCTAGGCGGGGCGTCATCTCGAGTGCTCTTGCCGTCTACAGAGTGAACAGGATCCTCCCTCCCTCCCTCCCTGTACACACTCGCTCCTCCACTCTTTCGGCGCGCTGGATCTTGAACAGACTCGCCCTCTGGGAGGTGAACGGTAAAGCTGATTGTGGAAATTGCCCCTAGGTATGTAAATTGGAGTGAGCGTGTGTATCGGGTCTAACACCCATCGTACCCGGAAGCCGTTCCCGGATGTAAGGGCGTAGATGTATCACTTGCCTTTATGTGCGTGGAATGATCATGACCAGAAAAAGGGAGGCCGGATTGCGTCATCTTGGCGCTCTGTTATTCTGCCCAAGCCCTGATCATTTCCATTTCCCCTGAATTTAAATCTTTTCATCTTTTTTTCTTTTTTTTCCCTTTTTTTTCACGTCGGTGACTTCCAAATCCACCTTTTCCCACATCGCAGCGGTAAACGCCGGTATCGGCCCAATCCTCTCATCACCGATCCAATACATTCGCGAGCATACACCACCGACACGCTAAAACCCCTAGCCAACCAATAATCTCCTGCAACGATCAGCGCTCGTGCATACGTTATCGCAGATTTCCCCCAAATCCGTAGATCGTCGATCAACGCCACCAGCGAATTGCCAGCAGGCTAAAAGGTGGAACGATTGGAGCTCGACGGACGCCAAGCCTCGAGGTAGATGAAGTAGATGGATATGGAAGGCTAGGTGCCCAACGGCCCAATAGAGGTCGGATGCGAAGTTTCAATTAAGGTAGTGGGAGGCTGGGGCGCGCGGGGGAAGGGGGTAGGGGGCAGGTAACAGATCGCATATCTGCATTCTTGACAGCTGTCGTTGCATGCAGCTAGTTGGTTTAGCCGCTCGCGGGCCCTGCGGCGTAAAGTAAGGTAGATGCTCGAGCGCCAAGTGTGTTTGGCAGGCAAAAACGGAACGTGACGGGAGACGGCGGATGTGGTGGCATCGAGATGCATCGAGATGGGAGAAAGATGCGACTGGGCCCCAGGTGGGAATCGGAGATGATATGGTGATCGAAATACCGGTCCGTCGAACCACGGAAGAAAGAGAGTGCAGTTATCCGGAGAGCCTGATGCGTTCCAATAAGGTGCAGAAGGGTAGTAATAAGCTTTGGATAAGGATGTCCAGTTTGGGAAGTCGAAACTGTTGAGGTCGGGGTAGGCTAAGGCACGGAGGTGGAGAAGGGATAAGTAGAGGAGGACTGCAGGACAGGGCGGCTTGAATGTGATATGTGACTATCCGCTGTCAGTTGTGCTTCACATTGGGGGTAGCTTTGGGGGGAGGTCCCACGAGTCGATCCCTTCTAGCGCCAGGATAGGAAACTCCAGGCAGCAGACCGCTGTCAAACTTGCAGATACCCAGCTTTAACGTTTCGGCTTCCTGTCTTTTTCTATATCCGCTGCTCACTGAACTCTAAGACCCAATTACGACACGGTGGGAGAGATAGCAGTGCAGTAGATCAATGCGGGAAAGCGCTGTCAGACTTGCAGGTAACCCGACTTTGATCCTATCAGGCACTGTGACATAGGACCTGCCGCTGTCAACTGTCTCTCTCAGCGGCCAAAGCGTACAAGTGATGCAGCACACCGCTGTCAAGCATGCGGATGGCCAACCTTGGGAGCTGCACGGTTGTTTCCATCATGTAACCATCCATGATCGGCTGGCACTCTCAAAGTCGTCAGCATGGAGAAGACTATGCAGCAGAGCGCTGTCAGGACAGCAGGGTGAGGTCCCTTGATAGGAAATCGACGTCAAATTTGGGGGTTCATCGCGTATGGTTAGTGCCGCTGCCAGAAGCACCTCAGACCAGGAAAGTATTCCGGGAATCGATGGGAAAGTCTCGTGTCTCACAGCTGCTACCCCTATCAAAGGTACAAAACCCCTTCATCTAATCTGTGCAGTAGGCTGTAGCTCGGTGTGAGTTTCCTCTACTATTTTGCACTGTCCCGTACCAATCGTACTCGAACGGGCCGTAGTCAGTTGAGACCAATAAGAGCCATCATGCATCAGACAGAGCCATCATGCATCAGGCCGCTGTCAGGCATGCAAAGCATCGTCCTTGCAGTAGTCTGACGTGGGGCTTGCCTACTGTTGTTGAAAGATATCATTATCGGCTGCCAATACCTGGCCCATGAGTAATATCTGTCACCTAGGCATCAAGTTTAAACAAGTCGCCCTCGTAGTTGCAGATGTTCCACCCTCCAAACGTTTTTGACTCAATATTGAGTTGATCAGCTGTTGTGATATGTTCTTATCTACCAATATGTCTGCTTCAAGGTCGGATGACAGACGGCTGTCAACCCTGCAGATTATCCTCCTGGTTCAAACAACGCTCTTTGCCATTATTGTAAGCGACCCCTCGCTGTGAATGCTAGGTACTTCGGCGCGACAAACCACTCAGTCTGCACTCTGCCGTGGGAAAGGTTCCATTACTCAGAGATGTGAGAGCTGGATAAGTCGATACCTTGTAGCTGTCAATCTCATGTCAATGCGTAGGTTTGAGCGCTTGTATTCGAATGCCGTGGACCGCGGGTCATTTAAAAAGGCGGTGACATGATGGCCTCGTTGGGGGGTTCAAGACTCCGGTATATTATCTAGCGACAGCCATTCCGTGAAAATGCCATACCGCGAGTTGCGTCACACAATTGGTGGGGAAAAGCTTCTGCAGAGCAGAGGTATTCAGGGACTGAGCAGTCAAGAGCGATGCAGATAGCATAGTGTGGTTTGAAAGTCTGTAGTCTGTACAGACGAAGCCAGGTGGACTTCAACGTAGCCATTGCGCAGCCCGCCATGCGTGACTACACTTGTTGGCAAACAATGAATCTGTCGAGCTAAAACGCGCCAGGATACCCGTCTCCTTCCTTTGCTAACGGAGAGGCGATGGGCCTAAATCGACAGAGTGGAATGAGTGATCCGGGACACCTGATACGTCTTGCGCGGTCTAGTAGTGCCCAGAGTTGTATGCAGCTGGCGGACTGTTAGATGGTTGTTGCAGAGATTGCGTCGGTGATCCGATGTTACTGACGGGGGTAAGCAAAGACTCCTTTCGGACTGAAAAAGAGCCCACGAGTACGTGTGAAGTATTTTGGTTCGGCTAAAGACCATGGATGAGAGAACTTTGATGATCACGCCATCGGCCTGTTAATACAGGATTGCGCCATCCGTGGAGCCTGTAGCGTTATCCGTCTCCAGTATGAAAGCCTTGGGGGAGGCTGTTCTCTGTATGATGCTTAAGTTAAACCATAACATGAGCTGTCCCGGATGTTTAAAAAGGCGGACCAGGTGCAGGAAGCGACGATGCAAGGACCTCTTGGATTTCAAGGTACATTCCAATATCCATAGACCTCCGTCGACCGTGGGAAATAATTGGCTAGGAACCTGTCGAAAACCACTTCTGACCCCACGGTTGGGGCCATGTCAATGGAAGGTCCGATAGCTAAAGCGTCTAGAGTCGTGAGTGCTGACAGGGAATCAAGGTTGCGGAACCCAACTTTGACGCGGGCGACTGAAAAGGATTGATTTTTGAGATGATGGAAGGGACGATGGGGCCTCCAAAGCACCGCACTACACTTTGGAGCGGATATGATAGAGTCACACGAGGCTGATCACAAACTCTGCAGAGTCATCATTCGATGCAGCCTGAGACTAAAAGTAGGAAAAATGGGTAGGAAAAGGTTCCAAGTGAGGTTCTATGGTTTTCAGATGCTCGTGGCTGTCCAGTCTTTAGAATATATAGGCGCTCTGGACGAGAGATGGTAATTAGAACATCGAGTCAGAAGTCAAGACCCGTCGAAGAGATGCTGTTCCTCTACCTGGTTCATGGCCGCTATAGCAGAGAACGTACCTGATTCAGGCCCGCTTGAGATTGGGGACCTGAGACTTGAGACTTGACATGTAATTAAGGTACCTTCATAAGCTAGACGCGATAAGGCTTAGCAACCTCTTTCGATCAAAAACACCGGATTTTTTTGCTAAATAACAATATCAATGACGACGACAAAAGGATGCCACAATGCGCACTGTGATCGGAAGAGCCAGTCTTGCTGAACACTCACTCGCTCAATGTATGACGAGTCGTTGAATACCAAGATAGTCTTTCCTATCATGCCAACTGCCAACACGGACCTTGTTCCCGTGTCCAGTGACCAGTCCAGTCAAAAAAGCCAAAAAAGCCAAAACAAATCTGGGGAATGACAATCCGTGCTGGGAGGTGGGAAGGGGAGGGGAAAAGGAAAGTTGAGAAAAGGAAAATTGGAAAATGGAACTGTCGATATCAAAGGTACGAACGTGATGGTGTCTGGTGGTGCCATTTTTTATTCCTACTGCAGGAGTGCATAAAATTTCATGCACGATGCAACCATAACTACGAGGAGGCGGCGATCGAATAATCTTTGGTATAAGGTACCTACCGTACATTATTACTTGACTGTATTTTCTATGATTAACTTAGCGCCAAGAAAGCCTCTTTTACCTTTTACCAGCAAACATCAATGCTTTTTCTGCCGGATCTATTTCCGCCGTCAATATGATTGGATGATGATGATGACCATGTTGTCAAAACCAGGAAATACGTCCGCTTTGCTTTGCGAAGGATAAGGCCAACCGCCACCGTGACTGTGAGCATATTTATCCCATCCCTTTGTTTCTTTCCTGACAGCTATCCGCACGGCGCAGTAGATCAATAAGGTATTCCTGCTCGCGTAGGGATAAGATCCGTCCGTCCCTCGACGCCTCGCGTGCTAAGTGGTTCATAGAGCGGTGTCTTGCATCTTGCATTGTTTCCCTTTTTTAAAAAATCAAAATCTTACTACTGCGACATTGACAGCGCCGAGCGGCTTTTTTCGGATGTCGAAGCCACCGACTCACGCTGTCTCAGTCCACACAAGTTTTTCCGTATAGGTACTTTCATGAAATCCAACAAACCCTTTTCTTATTTACAGGACCCTCCTACCATTGGATGGCCGTGTTAAATCCTCTTCTTTTGCAACCTGCCAGTGCCACTCAAGGAGCCCTTGGTACCAAATCATCACATCGCGCTTCTGCTCCTCGGCACCCTGCATCTTTTGGATTCGGGCATCCACCCAGCTTGCGCCGTTTCGAGAAAATTCTACGAGGGCCCCATGGATTGGGTTTTCTTGCCAAATTTGCCTCCCCAGCTCTTTCAGCATCACTGTTCTTCTGTAAAACTTTGCCTTTCGGATTTTGCGACTTTTACTTTGAGCCATGCATAATACAGTTGGACCCTGAAACATATTGAAAGCAATCCACGGCTTCACCCAATTGAAATTCACCCATGAGGGGTAGAGTACACGTTGGGCATTAGCGATTTGCTTCATCCGGGCGCAGATAAAGACTTCTACTGCAGACGGACGACTATGGGCAGGGCATGCAGGGTTTCAAGAGCCATTGAGCTGAAGAATTTATTTGCGAGCGTGTAGGATGCAGAATGCGGAGAATCAGATACTTACCGTCATCAATCGTGCCGCGCAACAAGCCCAGATTGTAGTTTCAGCATACTTCAGATCTTCGGTGTTTGCCGGGGTGCAGCTGACATAAATAGACGCTCTCGGTAGGGAAATCGCATGGCCAAGCGGCGACGATCGCTGAGCGAGAAGATCTTGGTTCAAGCCTCAAGCTTTGGGATTATTATCAGCCGCCTTTAGGGCAGATGAAGCCTGAGTGAAGATTGCATGGCAAATACGAGGCATTTGTACCCTGAAACGCCTTTTGTGATTACGGTAGGCAACAGCAAATGAGCTGGCAAATGGAAAGTCACGAGATGATTATTCCTGGAAGGCACGAGTGGAAGATGTCAGTACGAGGGAGACTCGGCAAAGGGAAGAAGGTTACACCTAATTTTGATTCGAATATTTGGTCTTAAGGATGATGAGATCGTCATGGATTATGATCATTGTTGGGGGGGCTTGTCCTGCAGCGAACGGAAGATTGATCCTACTGGTGCAAAAGACATACGAGGAGATGGATATTCTGCAGAGAGACTGCATGCAACGGGCCAAGCCATCAGGCTAAGATCTCTACTTTCTCACTTGTATGTACTTAACCGACATCTGAGAGCGAAAGGCGGGCGAGCATTACCTTAGGGGGCACTAGGGGAGCACTAGGCTGCACAGGTCTGAGCCGCTCCAAGCCTGCCTCTCGCTTGACTTGCATCGAAGGGTGAAAGCAAGTGCAAGGATTTCTTGAGTGGAGGGATCAGCAATCTCCGATCTCACTAAGCTTCTTAGCTCCATCCGCATTTATTAGCCCTTCCCGCATCCCTGTTAGAGAGTGGAATCTACCGCCGAGAGGGACTAGTGCCTGTAGTATCGACACATTTTATGCACGTCCCACCCACACCACGGTCGGAGAGAGTAGAGCCCGTTCGCTGTGTATGGCATAACGCCATCTGAAATCCTACCCGATCTGACTACCAAGTCGTCTCGCTTCCCCTCTACTTTGCTCCAAGCATCCACCTCGTCTTTTTTGTTTTGCACTCTCTGCTCTAGTCTCTCCTCTCCTACATTGCGCCCTCAAACCCCGTCAACCCTTCCCTTTCTCTCCCTTTCACACAACAATCTATCACTTTTCCTACTACTTATCATCCTGCTGCAGAGTGACCAGGCATCAATTCACAACGTCCATCCTTCCCGTCTCCTCCGCCATCTGACTTCTTCTCTACTAAGACCCGTTCAATTGTGGCGGTCAAACTTAATCGGTGACATCTTGCCTGAAGATCGGGAACCACGTTTTTCGACCGTTTGACACAAAACTCACTGCCCGAACACTCGACAAATCATCCATCGAGAGAGAAGTCTTCCGAGCAATCCAAAGCGCAATCAGTGACAACAGACCTAAGTCTTCCCTCCAAACCACCGGGTGTTCCGTTTGCTGTAGCGGTTAAACCCGCGTAAATTCCAATTTGTGCTCAGCTGGCGGCCAGCGACAGCTGCAACACAAGGGGAAACTGGTGGCAGATCTACATAAACAAGCCGAGGGACGTCGGCGCAGTTCTGGAGAGAACGTCGTCCAACCCATCTCACATCCAGCTTTGCGGATCGCACGCAATGGCCGACACAGTATCCCAAAGGTCAGTCCTCACGATTGTCCTGATCATTCGACGTTGTTGCACCTGGAGAGAACATCACATGCTAACCAGATCACAGTGGTCCTTTGCCTCCGATCACTTATCTGGATATGGAGAAGGTCAAAAGAGAAAACCCGTACAATCATAACATCTCCATTACCTCGGCCCTCCACATGCCTGCGCCACCGCTCATCAGTCCTTCCATCTACTCTGGTCCACCTCCTCCGTATTCATATCCTTCTTCGGCTGCTAGCTCAGTGGTGGGTAGCAGTGGAAGTGGCCCTGGCGCTGCTGGTGCTGGAAACTATAACTCTCAGGCAGATACCCGTCGGATATCTGGAGACGATAAAGAACATTTACCTGCTCCTCAACGGCAGTCTTTGCCATCGATATCAGAAGCACTGACGGGAGACCAACAGCAGCCGATATCCATATCCTCACTGCTGTCTTCGACCACTCCACAGCCAAAGTTTTCATTGGTACCAAAAAGTCCTACAACCCCGGTTGGGAGATCGTACCTAGACACTTTCCCAAAAGGTCCTCCCGATTCGTTTCCACAGCATACTTCTGCATCTTACCGTCCGCCGCAGCCGTCCGATCGCTCCTGTGGATCGAACTACTCTCCTCACATGACAGCCCCTTTGGGGGAAAGTCGCTTTTCAGCGATGCCTCCCTTGGACTCACATCAACCTGTCCCACCACCACCTAGAACGATATCAAGTCCTCTACATTATTCACGACCTGGTGCTTCACCCATTCAATCACAACAAAATTACATCCCACCATCTCCTATGCACGAGAAGATCTCTCGCCCTGCTCCTCCACCACCTACATCAAACGCTCCGTTCGGATACAGCGTGAACAATTATCAGCCCGCTTACTCTTATCCTCCGTCAACGCCTGGAGTCTCCTCATATCGGACGCCAACGCTACCACCATCTGCATGGCGGAGTACTGCACCAGAGATTGAGCGAGTCGATGAGATGAGAAAAGCGACCGCCAAGGAGACATCGCCACCTAGACCAGCTTATGGGGAGTCTGTGAAGCGCCATCTCGATATTTTTGATCTAGAGACGTCCCTCAATGAGGTCAGTATCCATCGGCGTCCCTTGCCATCAGTTTTCTCTAACCAATCCCAGATTGCCGAAGGAAGTGGCCGTGGACTAGAATTCTCTCGTCTTTTCGGCACCCGTGCCCATCAGACGCAACGCTCAGGCCCCATCCCCGGCTCATTGCCATCATTGACCGAATGCGATGAGATAATCCGACAACAAACTAAAGTCCTCGACGCTATGTCTCGTATTAGAGATGTCATTTGTAAGCAGCAACAAGCTCTCGTCGAGCAAAGAAACTACGATCAGCAGAATTACAAAGCTGCTCCTAGTGAAGCTGACGACAATGAATCCAACTCGTACATTGATAAGCTTGAAGGTTCTGGTGGTTTCGCTGGCGCTGATGCTAAGAAGAGAAGAGGCAGAGCGGCACCGCCGGGTAGGTGCCATAGCTGCAACAGAGCCGAGACGCCGGAGTGGAGGCGTGGGCCTGATGGTGCGAGGACGCTGTGCAACGCTTGTGGTCTACGTATGCTGTTACTCCATTCCTTTGAATTACTGATTCCTGACAGTTTCCAGACTACGCAAAATTGACCAGGAAGATGGGGCCCAAGGCCTCTGCCTCAACTGGCTCATCAAATCTGCGTCCCAAGGAGTCGAGCCCTCACTCTCCTTGAGATAGGTCGCTGACACTGTCTCATTTGCACGAAAGGGTTGGGAGGCCACGAGGCCACGTCTGGCCAGACGATCGGAATTTTCTCGAAACTCATTTCTGCTGGATTATTCAGAAATACGACGAGGTCTATTCACCAACCCATCTGTTCTCCTGGCGTCCATCCATTTTCACAGCAAGTTCTCAACATCATCTCCCCAATCAGAAGTATCCACTATCTATGAGATTCGTCAACTCTACCTATGACTTGTACAAAACAACGCAAACATACACCATAATCACGACTGATTATCTTTTGCTTCTGCGATGATACCAGCCTTATCAGAGGCCTGCGACCAGCACGCGTCCTGCCCTTGACAGACGCAGACGCAATGACATGACTTACAGGGGTGGGCGGCTTTGGATATACGATTTTACAAAGGGGTTGAGGAGGATGATCTGGCCGGGGTTCGTAAGTGTTTTGCATTGAAAGGGCGCAACAAAGGGTTACGTCTTTGGTGGAAAGCTTACAAGGTTTACCGTTCAGACGGGCCCGGAGGGGGAATTGGGAATGAAGGCAATTTTTGAGAGCAAGAGTCTGGGATATGTAGAGATGACAATTACGGTTTGACAACATGCGTTTGCTTTACTTCCGTTTGTGCTTGTGATCCGTGAATTTTGGTTGCTATACGGGTCTAACTCAGCAGGCACAGCTAGCTAATCTCCAGATCACGCACGCAGTTTCTCCTGCTTTACTTCAATCCCCTCCCACGCCATCCTGGCGTCGCGCTCAAGCGATCTCCACGATGCAATCTCAATACGAACCAACCCGAATACGAAACCAATCTCGCCTCATATCTCCGAGTCCTTTCTCTACCAAGGTACCGCACTCAGTATACCTTTGCACCATTCCACCTGCCGGAGCGAGCGGTCACGAAGGATTTCATGCAATGCGCCGTTCGGTCAATACTACCTACCTGCCTGTTCCAAACGCGGATACGAATACGTACTCCATGTCCCAGATTGAATCTAGCTAGCACCAAAAAGTTGGTCTTGCTTCTGCATCTGCATACTACGATTCCTTCGTTTTACTGCTTTCCTCGCATCTTGTCCTTCGATGCCGGTTCGCTGAGAGTCTGTCGCTTTGCTCCAAGTACCAGTTTCCACATACGAATCCCCTACTACTACTCTTATGCTCAGCTACCATCGATCAGTACACTCCGCCTGTCCCTCCCTGAATCCGCGTAGCATTGCCCATTAAATCTTCAAGCCTCCACTTCAACATTCGTTTATGAACTAGTAGTGGTACTCTCCATCACGGTGCGAATAGGATGGTGGTATGAGAAAAGCCTCAACGAAGAAGAGGACGACGGCCTCTGCCGGACAACCCACGCCTCCACAAACACCTACCCCAATCCCCATCGTGCACGCCAAAGCCAAACCCGTCACCCCCGTCACCTCACCCGCGACCGACCGACAAGCCCAGCTAGAGCTTCTTTACAAATCCCATCAATACCCCATCCCAGCCGCCAACCCCTTCTCCGAATCCACGCTCTCCCCACCCTCGCGGGCCTAGGACATAACGCAGATATCGACCGGGCCCTTGTGATTCCACCACCCCAATCCCCCTCCCCCCACCTAAAAACCGTACCCATCCTTTTCCACCCCCCGCCCCAGCCACGTCTCCATACCCACACCATTAGAAAACCGCCTCCCTCGCCCCCCGTCGTCGCCCGCGTCCTCCTGTTCAATGGACGTAGCCCGTCACTGCAGACGACATCACACCGCACCGTGTCGTCGTTTCGGACACCGCATCCCGCACTTCAAGTGCAAAAGGCGCGGTAGGATGCAGGTCCGGCCGTGGCCGCTGTTTGAGGCTTGTGGTTTTTGTTTTTGTTTTCTCGCTTTCTTTCTTTCTTTCTTTCTTTCTTTCTTTCTTTCTTTCTTTCTTTCTTTCTTTCTTTCTTTCTTTCTTTCTTTCTTTCTTTCTTTCTTTCTTTCTTTCTTTCTTCCTTCCTTCCTTCCTCCGCATTCTTTCCTCCCCCTCCATGCAGCCAACGCACTCCCTTCCCTTCCCATCCGGCACTGCGCTTTCATGGTCCGAGGTAGTAACGTGCAGCTATCGCGCGGCGGGGGAGGGGAGGGAAGGGGTTCTCCCTGCTTTTGCTGGCGAACCGAAAAACTTGCACTCGTTTCCGGCAGAAGGGAGAGCGCGTGAGAGGGTCTTTTTGCGAGCGCGAGAGGAGGAGGAGGAAGCCTGGGGCTGGGTCATGGGGTGGGAGGGAGGGGGGGCGATGGGAGATGGGATGGATGGGTTTGCTCTTTTTTTTTGGGGTGGGGAAGAGGGAGGGTGTCTGGCGGGCTTCGTTGGGACTATTGTTGGGGGTTTGCGAAGGTGAGGGAGGATGCGGGTGGGGAGACGGAGTATCGAGGGGGGGATCTGGTTCCGATCGGAGAAAAGCTTTTGGTGTGGAGGATCGAGCGCTGGATGATGCTGCAGAGAAGGCAAGGAATGGCCGTGGGCTTTGCTACATACACCGGCAGAGGAAGAAGACGGACGTTGGGAGTGAGGTGACAAACCCCTCTGACGTCCACGCCACGATGTGATATCCCAGACTCTCGTCGTGGCTCAGGTCGAAGCACGCTCCCCCCTTTCCCCCTTGCCCTTGCCTTCGTCATCCTCCGCCACCACACACTCAGTCACACACTCCGATATCTTCCCCCCCCCCCGGGTTCCGGCTTCACAAAACTCTCTATGCTCGGCCCTGCTCCCTCTAGCATTTTCCGCCATCGTTTCTCTGTGCGCTCCATGCCGCCGAGGGCTATCATTTGCAGGTCCGTGAGGGGCTTCGAAAGGGGCCGTGTTGGTGCTTGGGAGGTGTAGGTCGCCGATGATGAGTTTTGACGGCAGTGGGGAGCCTTGGGGGGAGGTAGGCGTCATGGTGTGGGGAGGAACTCTCGGCACGCGCTGTCGGGCCAGGTGTGGAAGACGAAGCGGAAGAAGAAGTAGATGTTTGCTCCTGGGGTTGTGGTGAGTATAGTCGTGGTGAGACATTTGGACGTCTGGAACAGCGAAAGCTTAGGAAGGGAGGATTATCCAGGAGCCAAGTGTAGAAAGAAACGTTTGACAATCAAAGGCAAAGCTTGCCCAGGCTTCTTGAAAGATGTTTGCATACCCTTGACAGGCTGCGGAGCGAAGAAATCGTGCGCGATAACTTCCACTCCCTCCTGGCCCTCAACTACCTTGGGGAGGTCTTCTATGACAACCCTGCCATTGAGCTCGGGATGGTCGTTGCGGAACGTCCTTAATGATTCCCCACGGCCGCCACCCACGTCGACGAAAAGCACCTTGTCATTGCTCTGTTCGGACAGGCCAGAATTTATTTTTGAGGCTACCGTCGGATGCAAGGGAGAGACTTGAGAATGCGTTGTACACCCCCCGCGTTCAACTGTGCTTTCGCTGATTGGAAATCATTGAACATCTTCATCTGCTCGGGATGAGCTTGCAGCAGCCACTCTTACATATTCAGTTCTGTGCGATGTGCGAAGCCAAAGAAAGAGTCACGCCGGTCATTCGGGTTTCGATAATTGAGTGAGGCGAGGTAATCTGTTAATTTGGGCATCGTATTTGTCGTTTCGGCCATTTACCTGATCATTGCCCTAGCCGCTGGGTTCATCAAAAGTTTCGACACGAAATTCTGGGCATAAATTTCCTCCCCATCTTCGTCAAAATTGCCAATGCAGAGAAGTACTCTCATGATCCGCGCCGTCAGTGGAGCATCGATGCGACATCGATGCGCCAGTTGCTCTGCTGTTGCCCTCTCTGTATCGAAGGCCTCGAACAGCTGGATCTTCAATGCTACCCTGAGCGCTGCATGTGCTGCAGGCCCTCGGCGATTGCCACAAGCCTGTTCGCTGGCTTCTCGGGTGTTATGACTAGGTTCTGTGCTGCGCGGAGAAGTCTTGTGCTGTCGCTATGAGAAATGGTGGAGCTGTCTTAAGCGGCTTGCAGTTGGGATATGAGACTGTGTACGTCGAGCTGGTCTGGCGAAGGGACTGCCATATTGCCGATCTTTGAAGATGATGAGGTGTTCCCTCGAAGTTCTCAACAGTAGCGTGAAGACGAAAGAAAATCTGTCTGCAAGCCTACTTGCCCAAAGATAATAAGAGGTCCACGGAGAATTTGGCTCCCACAGCAAAAAGGAGAGATGCTCTACACAGACAAGGACGAAAAATTTACTGTATGCATGGAATCGGGTCTGCTCTGAACCAATCCTTCGCGACGTCTTTTTTCTAAGGCAGACCCTCATTAGATGGCGAGCTGAAATGTGTCCGAGGGGTCGGAGCCCTGAGTGGCAATAGGCTGCTTAGACTACCTAGGAGAATAAGTCGGGTGCCTCCATTTCTGGCGAGGAAGGATCACCAAAGGATCATGATCAATGCTCAGGCCTTGCAACGAAATCCTCCGAGAGAAAAGAGTCAACGTCATCATTTTCCTCTTCTCCGATCGCTGTGCATAGTCTTATGTCTAGTATTATCATTACTTTATTTCAGGAGGTGTGGATGCCTAGCCGAGATGTCTTGCAATTTGCTTTCCCCGCTACTGCAAGCCACTTGCATTTACAAGTTTCCCGTCTCTCTCACGAATCCTGATGGAATTGAAGCCAGCAATCACTCTGTCCGAAGATGGGTATGGTCTGACTAGGACCTACGCCTCATCTACCAGGTAACATTACTCGACTTGAAAAGTGCATTGTGCTAAGGTCTTGTTGCGAGGGTGAATCTCCAGCATTAGACTACTTGTGGGGGGATACATTGGGCTACAACATTCACCCTTCCATTCCAATCCATGAGCATGGAAAAGGTATAAGGGTTGCAGACGTGGGAACTGACACATCGTAAGTATGCCTTTTCGCTCTCTAAACATCTGAGCTTCTGCCGCTGATCCAAAGCATCGACATGGGATTGCAGAACATGACCTATCCGATCAGTTACCAGCACTCTGAAGCAGCAATTGATGCCGTCGATATACTTCTAGACCAATGCCCGCCTCAAGAATGGCTATCCAAGAGCATCTCACTTCGCAGGCTCGATGTCTACTCGCCCGTGCCGGCAGATCTAGTGGAGAAGTATGACATATCGTCAATCAATGTTCGGCTGTTTATCTATGTCGTAAGGGACAAAAATCCAATATCAGTCCTGAAGATGCTAAGTGAGTCTCTCTCGTCGGTCAGATGGCTTCAGACCGATTCCAGAAACCGCTTCTTAACCTGTTTTCGACTAACCAGTCAAATCAGAGCCTGGAGGACATCTTCAATGGTCTGAACTCAACTTCTTTACCACCATAATTGCTGCCGCACTTTCAGAATGACAGCATGGATAAGCTCAATCAAGCGCTCTTCGCGAGTAAAGCGGGCCAGTAAGTCTCCAAATACCTATAGGCTAGTGTTTGGCAATGCCCAATCAAGATTTCTGTTAACGATTCTATCATAGATGGGTAGCTCGCCTCTCGGAGACCTTCAGTGAGCAAGGACTTGTCGACGTGCAGCAAGAAGAGTAAGTGATGCATGCCGATCGCCTGTTGAGTGTTGGATGACCCGCGCCCGCGCCTCTCATGGTGCATAAACAAATTATCTAGGTGCGGCTTCCTAAGGTGGGGTACCCATTACGTGCAGGCATCCTCCGGTAGTCGATGCCCGAATCCTACACATTAACACTCTCATTCCTCCACCTGAAACATCAACCCCAGCCTTTACGCCCTTCTCCTCCCGGCTAGTCTTCCCCAAACGGTTTCGAAGGCAATCACCACCTCTAAGTCTACATCCGAGAAACTAAAGCCATGTCCCGCTCAACCGAAAAGCCCACAGTTCTCCTTGTCCACGGAGCATGGCATAATGCTTCATGCTGGGACTCTACTCGCGCTGAGCTCAAGAAGCTCTCCTACCCAACCGAGGCAGTGCAATTGAAGAGTTCAGGCAATGCCGTGACCACGCATTTAGAGGACACCGCTATTATCCGTAAGACATTGGAGTCCTTGATCGTGGCAGAAGGCAAGGTCGTCATCCTCGTTATGCACTCATATGGAGGCGTGGCAGGAACAAACGCAGTGCATGGGCTGGAAGCCGCTGCCCGTCAGGAGAAGGGCGAGAAAGGCGGCATCATCCATTGCCTTTTCGTCGCTGCTTTCCTGGTGCCCAAGGGCGGCAGCCTTATAGGAATGTTTGATGAAGCACCACCCTACGTCTACACTGATGTAAGTCACAGCATATCGCGTATAATTGTCAAAGGACTTTGACGCGTTTGCTAACTCTTACAACAGCCACAAGACTCGAGCTTTCTACTCGTCAAAGATCCCAAAGACGTCTTCTACAACGATGTCTCCCCGGATGTCGCTGAACCCTGGACTTCGCAATTCCAACCTCAGTCCACTGCGAGCTTTGCATCTACAGTCGATTCAGTGGCTTGGGAGAGCGGCTTGGTACCCTGCACGTATATCATGTGCGAGAAGGATCAAGGGGTGTACTTCTGGCTTCAACAGAAAATGCTTGATCGTGTGACCAAAGAATCTGGAAAACCGTGGAAGGTCGAGAAGACGGATTCGAGTCACAGTGCTTGGCTAACACAGGTGCCAACAATTGTTCGATTGATCGAAGCTGCAGCTAGCGCTTGAGCGATTGCGTTCAAGCGCGAATGGAGGAGGATGAGACATGCAGGGATCCAGATGGTAGTCGTTGCGAGCAGGCAGGAAGTGATCCCAAGACTTCAGGTTCGGCCCTCCCACCATGGCGCATGCTACCAGTTCCACCCGTTCGGAGTGGCGAGTTCTATTATTATCGTTGAAAAATGGACATGATGATGATGCTGCAAGAGGAAAGCGGTAATGTTCGGTTATGGCACGGTCCAGGGGTTCCAGCCAATTAAAGTCTTGGTGCTTGGAAGGAAGTCTGAGATCCCATCATCTCGCATATCAATATGATCAATACGTGCGTCTGCTAACATGTATGCGGCGACAAGCGGTCAATAATCATTGGGTTGGAACCAAAGTCATCGCATCCTCCCCCAGTGCCCCCATCTTCACCACTCCGGAAAAGGTGGCTGTCAAAAGACTCGCCCAATGACAATCCAGAATACCCTCGAGTGTGGAGTATTGCCTTTTGATCCTGCAGGATCAAGGAGGCGTTGGTTCTGCAGCCGGGAGAAAGAGTAATCCTGAAGGAGGCACTGGCACCGACGACGAACTCAGACTAGGCATTACCACGAAGACAAGAAGGAACAATAGGATGCTCACCTCTCACTTCCACTCGAATCCTTGATTCCACTTTATTTGAGCCTCCATTGTCAGCATGGTGTGATGGGATAGCCAGTATAGGCAGCATAAAGTTTCGTTTCTATACACCAAGTCTCCTGACTATTTTCTGTCCGAGTGCTTTTTCTCCTTGGTCAAAACATCCTCTTTTTCGCCACCATGACCACACAGACTACCAATGTCGACCTCGGAGCGAGTCGGCAGGATGTCACCTTGAAAGCAATCATCCCGTTCTCCCAGTTATAGCAGTCATTTGTCGCTTCATCGCTAGGGGGATACAGAAGCCGAAATTTGAATTCGACGATTACAATGGTCTCGCGGCCCTCTCATTCACCCTCGGATGCTTTACTCTCTCGATGGAAATCACCCATCTCGGATCTGGGGAACACCTGGCAGCTGTTCCACTCGGAAACATACCGCAGTACTCCAGGGTAAATTTGATCATCCTGCGGCGTCATATCCGCCTGCATCCCAACCCTCCGCCCCCTTTTCCCCCGTCTCGCTTCCTCAAACAGCCGTTACACAAGGACAAACCCAAGACGGACAAGCTACGCGGACAAAGTCCGAGGCGGATACGCGGACATAGGGACGCCGAGACGAACCGGGAACAATCTCGTGTTTGCGGATGGGCCGAAGACGACGATTCCATCCTCTTCGACCCACACGCAGGATGGATTAGGGTTCGATCCGGAGGGTGACGATGCGTCGCTGGATGCTACTAGTGTGCAGAAGGACGTCGGTATGACTCATGAGATACTCTGAAATCAGTCGGTAGAACTTTATATCTTTCTTGGAGTACGAATGTATTCCCGTCCAAAGCTGGAAAGCCTGATTGCCACAGGTACGGTGTTCCATTTTGTTTTCAAAAAAAAAAACGCGGTGCCTGTATACCCAATAGCAACCACCAAAAACGGTCACCCTATACCGATAGATAGATAGATAGATAGAGCCGAGCTATACAATGAAATCATTGCCCTGATATAAAAAAATCACATCACCACTACATCTGACCGGATCTACCCACAATTAATCAATCAATCAATACTCCCCAGCTCAGACCTCTTATTTCTCCTCCCCTCCCTCTCCTCTCCTCTCCCTCTCCTCTCCTCCCCCCCTCTCCCTCCCCCTCCCTCCTTCCGGCCTCAGCGGCACCTTGCAGATTCCAACCTCCCTCTGATTCCCACTCCCTAATCCTGAGTCTATCCAACAACAACCGCGCCCCCGGCCGACACGCCGAAAATCGGAATGAAAACAACCCCTCTTCATCCCCACACTCTGCGAAGCGGGTAGACTCGGGTGTGTGTCTGAAATGAGAGGAGGCGGCTGGATCGATGGGATGCGTTCGGAAGCTGATGACGACACAAAAGTCCCACAACCCCTGCATATAAGACACGTACCTATGCCACGAGGCAAGGATTGATGTTCGGAGACTTTCGGTTCGGGTCGGTTCGGCGATGCGGAGAGGATAGTGGAGGAGCTACGTCGTGCAGGCTGGGGGATATGGCGCGAGGGCTGTGGGTGAGTGGGTGAGTGAGATCTGGGGATTGTCGAGTGGGAAGGTGATGTTATCGAGGATCGATAATCGTGGAGAGGGAGAGAGAGGGAGGGAGAGAGAGGGAGGGGGTGATGATGGAGTCATATTTCAGTGTTATGTATTGTTGTGATCAATATTTTCTTTCATGAAACGATTGGTTGAGTCACTCACTCTTTTCATCTTTCGTCTTTGTTGTTTTTTCACCGGAAAGGACTGTATCGCTTGCGTACACCTACGCACCCACCTACCTACCCATCTACCTTACTTGCTTCCCTCATCTCTGCCAAAAAGAATGGCACTAGAAGACAGGGCGTTTCCACCACGCCCATTGCACCCACCTGCTCCCAACCCTCATCGACGAGATCGCAGCTCGAAGGCCTGATCGGCCTTTCGTATCGCTACCCGTCAACGACGACGACCTCTCCGAAGAATACAGTGATTTCACGTAAGGGCGACTTTGCAAGGGTGATGGACAGATGTGCGTGGTGGATCGTCTCTCTGTTGAGACGGTGTGAGAGGTCTGGGAAGAGGATTCTGGCGTATGTGGGACGGCAGGATGTGCGGTATGCGGTGCTGATGTTGGGGGCGGTGAAGGAGGGAGGAGGTATACGGTTCGTGTTGTCCGCCAGCGAGAAAAAAAAGGAAGCTTGATGTTGGAGGGAAAGAGTGCGTGGTGAAAGAGAATAGACTGACGAGAAATCGTGCCAGAGCTTCGAACACTCCATCCCGCAACCCTGGCCGAATCCTGCCTCTCTCTCATGCAACACACCGGCTATCAATCCCTCTTATTCGCCGAGCCCATGTTCACAGTCGTTCATCCAATCCTCTCAGCCCAGCCTATGACCGTATTAGCCGTGCCCTTGGTCTCCTCCTTCCTATCAACCTCCAACGGGGAATCTGTCTCATCGATACCCTTCTCAAATACTCTCGCCGAAGTCCGCAACGAGCCCTTCAACATCGTACACTACTCGGGCACCACTCGCCCTCCCAGACCCATCCTTTTAACCACGGAGCCTTCGTGAGCCGTTATTCCTTTTTCTGCAGGATCAGCTCAAACAGTGGAGGAAATGCTATAGCGTACGCCCTCTTCCTTGGCCTACGAACTTTGATCGCAGCGCCTATCTCGATCACCGCGGGATTGTATCAGCTTCTTGAATATATAATCGTGTATGACCTAACGGTCGCCCTGCCACGGTCATGGATGGTGATGACGGCTACGATTCTAGACCTGACACACACGCACGGAGATATGCAAGTTACCATCGTGCCTCCCAAGTATCTCCAAGAGATGGCGCAGAACCCGAGCTGGCTAGAAAATCCGAGTCGATTGCAATGTCTAGCCTACCTCGACGAGCCCCCCCCCCGACATCGGTGGTACTTTGGCGGCGAAGAGGAGAATGACGACGCTGTACGGAACAACGGAGAGCGGGATATATCCCAACGAGCTCACAGATCCAGAAGATGGGGAATACATATCTTTCACCTCCCTGTTTCCGTACGAGATGCGGCCCGTGTGTCAGGATTTGTATGAGATCGTAATAGTGCGGCGGGAGAATGGCGATGCGTTTGAGGAGATCTTCAAAGTCCACCCCGACTTAGAGAAATGGAGAGTCCAGGATCTCTTTTCAAAGCACCTGAATAAAGGCGATGTAAAGCTCTACCGCGGGCGGACCGAAGACCTCATCGTCTCTGCACTGGGCGAGACCTTGCCGAAGAGTATGGAAGGCATGATCGAATCGCGTCCATTGGTCGATGCAGCGCTGGTGACCGATCGAGGCCAAGCAGGCCTGGCGTTACTTGTGGAGCCCTAGGCAGCGGTGACGTGCGAGGAGATGAGGATGAAGGCTCTCAAGAATTCCACTCTTACAGAAGAGGCAAAAGCGGAGGTGGGAACAATGCACAAAATGTCGAGAATCGGGATGAGAGTTTGACTTGAAGGGGGCTACAACAGCGAGGATTGCCAGTCAGGGCATTCTTGTCTGATAGGAGAAAGGCAAAAGAGAAATCCAGTGGATTCTTCGTATGAGATGCGGGTATTACGCATTCTCTTCCACCCTTGTTTCCATACTTTCCCAATGCCGTGGATCATGTGGGTATGACGATAGTCAGCTCACGCCGACGCTCAATGCTCGGAGTCATGTTGAGATCGGACGCGTCGAAGGGAACAGAGGGCAGATGAAGCTGACAGGCACTTCAGCAGCTTCGGATGACGGGAACGAGATATAAAGAGTAGAGCTCCGAGGTGCCCTCGTAAGATGTGCAAGAATACGAAATGTTATGCTTATGCAGGGATGAAACACGAGATTGTCCAAGTGTAAAACATCTTGCCGCAGACAGTCCGCCTGGTCCCCACAGATCAGCATTAGACACTAAGCATGCCAAGTGTCGATGTTTCAGACCTATTTTTGACAGGTTGCTGCTGTTGAACAGGGATCGCTTGCCCAATTGGGTTATGCGAGGCGCCGTAAATGGGTATTCGCTTCTCCTGCGACGGCGGGACAGATTGACGACGTGGCTAGTTACAACACATATCAGGGTGCTGCGCCCACTCTAATGTCGGACTCTTTGACAGTCTTTGACCCCAAACCCTGCATCTCGCTATTCTCCAAACACTGGTTCGTTTTGAAGAGAAGATGAAGAGCAGAAGAATGGAAAAGGTCGGCCAGAGCAGAGCGTATAACTGGCACCGAGGATGCCCAAGACTCTCCAGGTGGGGGCTTCCTTTAGTCTGGACGATTGACGGGCCCCGCTTTCAGCCACGAAGACGGATGGAGCTATCACAGCGCACTTTGGTAAGGACCTGCATATCCGTAAGCGCCCGGGAGTTTCTTTCTTTTTGGACCAGGTGGCAGGCGATTTGATGGGTATAAGGGAATAAGCGAAACAGATGGCGAAGATTCGGATGATAATGTTAGTGAGGGGTAGGTAGTACAACGATTAGGAACTTTGACTGGCCCTGATTCGATCTTGGAACGAAGAGCGGTGAAGAACTCGTGGGGAAGTGTGTGAAGGAGTGGCATCGAATGAGAATTGAGAAGTGGCCTTGGAGTTGAAAAGATGCACGCACGCAATGCCGTTCCCTAAGGACTAAGGACTGAGGACTAAGGATAAATTCCAAGTCGAATGATTGAAAATTGAAATTGGTAGGCTGACATTCTCCAACAAACAAAAAAGCAGAGTCGTCTCGAAGGTCCCCCCCTTCAAATTTGCCCCCAGTAGCGTGGTCCTAGCGTGTCATAGCGCTTGGTCTAATGATCAGAAGAGTCAAGCGGCAGTAGAGACAAGCCAATCATCTGCCGAAGCTGCCGAACAATTCCTTTCCAGCTGGCGCCTAGCCTCTTTTTCCCCCTTGTACCTTGGTTTCTCGCCCGTCTGTTTCTCCTCTTCTACTCCGATACTTACTTACTTACTGTTACTTTACTTTACTTTCTACTGCAACATCATCCTTCACTAGTTATTCCTCTCTCTCTCTCTCTCTCTCTCTCTATATCTTTGATACATCTTCACCTTTGGTCTGCACAGCTTTTTTTTTATACTTATCCCTAATCTTTTCTTCTCTTCACCAACTCGCTCTGCCGTCTTATTCCTTTTTTTATCTTCCCTCCCATCTAATCCCACGACTGTCATTGATATCATCATCCTTTAATTAATATCCTTCTGCCGCTCTGCTGTCGTTCATTGTCGCCATTGACGTCGCTTTTTACTCGAGGCCCGCCCTCATACCCGCCAAAAAGGTCACACACACAAGCATAATCATCCAAAACCGAGAGTACACCATCCGCCCCATACTTCAATCGGCTCCGCCCTCCTCCGAAATACTTCCATCCATACCCTTCTAGGTGGCTACTTCTTGTAGTTTGCTGGGCATAACACAGGACAAGCTACCTTCACCGACCAACGCCTACCGCGCCTTCCATAAATATTGTTCAACATCAGTCATTCACTACAGGCTTCCCATCATTCCTGCCTGCATCAGATTCAAATCTCTTCCCATCGAATTCACTTTCGGCAAGACCGGCAAGCTTCAAGGTGAATTTTCATCCTCACCACACCATCTTTCTCAACTCGCTAACTCTTGGAGTCTTCGAGCAGACACCTCAATATCTTTGCCTCATACTGGCTTCTGTCTTTGCTTTAATTGACCTCCTCGACATACTCTTCTCGAGGTTCGCCCAGCCTCTTACCTATTGCATCATCACTACAACTCCAACGTCACATTGCCTCCGAGTCGGAACCCTCCTCCGCTTACACAACCGACATCCAAAACTCACGTCTGTGTTGAATCGCTCCGAACCGAACTCCTTCAACACCGAGTACCTTTTTCAAACAACAAGCCTCAAGACACAACCGAGCCCACTCAAGCCACAGTCAACATGAGTCTCGACGCTGGCGGCCTTGCTCAAATGACTTACCAACCCCACAACTCCTTCAATACTGGCCTCGGCGTTCCCAGCTCTGGCTTTTCCTCTAGGAGAGGAACACACACCAAGCGTCTCAGCATGGCCCCACCAGCCAGCATCTCCACCATCTCAGAACAGCAGCAGAACGTTAACCCTGGGCCGAGGACAAGCCGCTCTCACTTGTTGGCGGGACTGAGGACCGCTCCAAAGTCACCCACTTTCCCAACCTCGGCTCCTCCTACTCAGGTCCAGCAGCCATACGGCCGACAAGGTAGCCCGGAGAACAACCAGTACGGGCGCGGCATACCTCATACTGCCGTCGGCGGTAGCTTTCCCAATAGCCAGCGCTATGCAATGAATGGGAATGGCCAGATGTATGCCCTTCCGCAGATACTCGCTCCACCCAACCTCCAATTCGGAGGTGCATCCGATGATCAGAACCTAGACCCGGAGTACTACGCTGAGTTGATGGCCACAAATCAATACCTGGCTCAACAGTCGCAGCGTTTACAGCAGCAGCTCCTTGATCTCACTGCTGCACAGCAACAGATGCAGGGTATGAGCCTCAACAGCGGAATGGGCCAGCAACAGCAGTATTATCAGTCATCAATGGCTCCCAACAATGGCTTCTACAACCAACAGCTTCAAAACGGACTTCAGCCCGTTGTCTCGCCTGTGCCAGGCACGCCGGGATTGTACACAGTCTACAACCCCATGACTGGTCAGCAGGGATACGTCATGGACAACAGTGCTCAAAATCAGACCCCACCTCAATCTCAAGCTCCCAACACTGAGCTGAGCCACTCCCCACCTCCTACAACGCCTACCTTCCGTGCCCGAGTGACCCCTCCGCCTGAGAACATTCTTCCGGCTCGTACCCTGACCGCCTCGCCGCCCAAGATGTCTCCGCCAAAATCAACCTTCTCTCCACCAATGGATGTGAATCCTCTCCCACCGCCATCCGCGAACGCCTTCCGCCGAGGTCATGCTAAGGGTTTGTCGGCAGTCACTGGCAACGCGATGAACCCACAGGAGGGACCGAAGAGTGCCGTACCGAAGTCGGCGGGATTCCCTCAGACCCCTATGACTGGCACCTTTGGACCTGGTCAAAATCGTGCTGGTGATCACCCCATGCGTCAACCTCGAGGTCCCCCATCTCTTGAGGAGCTTGTTGACAAGCCAACTTCCAAGCATGAGGGTAGTAAGAACTTTGTCACTCGTCAACGCCGCCGTGCTGTGCACAATCTTGTACGTGCTGGCTTGGACCGTCGCGCTCTTTCCCGTGGCAGCAACTCGATCGACAGTGTTGGAACACCTTCGAGCGAGTGTGACATTACGTTCTCTATCTCGTCCTCCGACAATGATAGCGATAGCGTTGCTAGCGGAAGTGGTAGCTTGTCAGGCAGACCCAGTCCTATTGGATCCGAGCGGAAGGAACTCAAGGCACGCTCGCGCGATAGAAACTCAACTGGCACACCTTTCACGACCGCCAGTCTCAGCAGTGAGGACGGTATGACAATTGGGGGGAAGTTGGTGGAGGTCAAGATGGATGAAAAGGAGAACGTGAGCGACAGACGTAGGGCTCCGCTATTGGTGTTGACCAACGCTGAAAAACGCAAGAGTGCCATCTTCTGAAGCAAATACTCGGACTTCGGGGCCAATGGGGGATGCGTCGGCTATGCCTTCACAACGGGTAGATCCCTGGGCAGCCGAGCAATGGAAGGCACACTTCGATGCGTCTCGCACAATCAGACGGCCATACTGTTACTATTGCACGCCCTTTACGACTTATTTACCAGCACCAATTCCAAACCAGGTTGGTTCGCTGCTTTACGACTTTATCGACTGTCTCTACACTACAAGATTGTAATTTCACTTCGTTGTCCCGGAGACCTGCTCAGGACCCACAGTTCTGGTAGCTTGTTCTCCGAGAATTCTTTCTCACACCTGGATAGCGCTAGCCTGCATCCGGATTCGATTCTTTGCTGGCAATATACCAGGCTTTGGCTTCTTTATGTCTGTTGTTGCAAAAATGCGAAAAAGGATACGAGAAAAAGGATGGCGGGGGAAGGACGAGATAGGAACCTGAATACGGCTGGAGTCAGCGATTGCTGCAATCATTGCAGAGATGTACCTGACTTCACGCACCTTCACACATATGGATTACAGAATGCTAGATAGCTTCTTGAACATACAAATATGATCGATACCTCCTAGTCGTGCAAGCTTTGCCAATCTGTTGTACACTTGACAAAGCGAACCAAGTCTTTACGTCTCATACTTCGGGACGCCAACCCTTATGCCTCCTGCTCTCCCTACATTCTTTCCCGTTCCTTCCCTCAGAAAAATTACCCTTCCCGAAGATTCAGCTCACTCGTAGTCTGTACAGCCCATGAGCGCGAAACCCTCGTCATACCTCCACCGCTGATTCCCAGCCTCAAAAACCCCCCCCCCCACCCCCATTCCTTTCTTTTACTTTACCGTACCAAACCGCAGCACCGGTAAACCAACCTCATCACTCGTACCACCACCCCGGAAAAGAGATCGTGCCGGTTCCGTTCGTCGGTGGGCTTGTGTGGTTTGGGTTCGGTCGTGTTGGGGTTTTGGTTTTGAAGAAGGAGGAGGAGGAGGGAGGGGGAGGGGGGGGGGGGGGGGAGGGAGGGGGAGGGGGAGATGGTTGGTGGAGGTATGATGGGTTGGTGGGTATGTGGGTTGGTGAGTGGGTGAGTGGGTGGGTGGGTGGGTGGGTGGGTGGTGGGTTGGTGGGTATGTGGGTATGTGGGTGGGTGGGTGGGTGGGTATGTGGGTATGTGGGTTGGTGGGTAGGTGGGTAGGTGGGTATGGTGGGTGAGTGGGTGAGTGGGTATGTGGGTATGTGGGTATGTGGGTTGGTGGGTTGGTGGGTATGTGGGTTGAGTGGGTGTCCCAGACCGTATTCGGGCGATCATCGTCGGGTATGCCTTGCGTGCTCTGCTTTAATTGAGTAATCAGTTAATTAATTAATCAATCGATTGATCAATCAATCAATCAATCAATCAATCAATCAATCAATCAATCAATCAATCAATCAATCAATCGAGGCGTTGGAACCGTCTGTCCGAGTTGCGTGTAGGATGTGCGTAGAGTAGCGAAGGTATGGACCATCGGTGACGGTCACGGGCTGATGCCGGAGGGGAGGAGTCATATTTACTTGCTCGGGTCCACGGCGAGGGACGTTTGGAGGAGGGAGTCCCGCGGTCGAGAGAAGCGCGCGAGAGTGGGATGTTGGATGGGGATATGGATCCTGTTCGGTTGGTTAGCGCAGGACCTCCGGGTTGGCCCGAGGCGGTGAATGGCAACCGAGCGAGTGAGTGAGTGATTGGGAATGTCGGATGGGATATCCTCAGTGAATGATAGGTAGCGCAGACCCTCCGGTTCTCGAGACGGGAACGTCGTTCGTTTCACGTTGCTTGCCCACGTGGGATGATTCGTCGTCGACATGGGTGGGAGAGGGGTGTGTCGGACGGGGGATGGAAGACAGCCGGTCTTTGCTCTGGAAAGCAGGGTGCCTGGTCATTACGCCTTTTGGAGTGGATGATGCTGCGACGGGCAAATTCAAGCGGCGGTTGGATCCTGCGGGTTGCCTTCGCCATATGTAGGGGAGGATGTAACGTTGGTGTAATCGATTGATGCCGGAGAGTTGGTGAACTGGGATTTGCTGGCTCTTCCAATCAAGCAAGCAAGCAAGCAAGCTCGGTGAGAGGGACCTCACACCGCAGAAGGTAGGAGGCGGTGAATGTGATTCCAGACACTCGGGACGGATGGTAGAAAAGCTGCCCCAGCAGCTTTTTGTCAAAAGTTGAAAAGAAGAAGCGCCTTCATGACCGTCTTACTTTCCCAGTGAGGCTTTCGAGCATGGGCCGACCAGGTTCAGGGGAGCCATGCAATGGCTACTGCATGAGCTATAGACTGTATTTCTCCGGTATGCTGCATTGCATCAAGCATCAGGCTCGGCGATACGGATGTTAAACCGTAGAAAGCATGGCAGCAGATGGGAATACGGTCAGTGGGAATGGAAGAGAAGAGAGAAAAGGTGGTGTAACAGCGTCTGTCAAGGAAATAAGAAGGGGCAAATGCATGCAGCGGCTCCGTACGGAGTATTGTTTTCACATTGTTCGTCTGCAGAGTAAATCTCAATTGGGACCAATGACGCTCGCATGCATTCACCGAGGGTTGACAGTTGCATGCATACGTGCAGACATTACATGCATGCGGGAGTCGGGTTGTATTGCATCAAGCATCAAGCATCAAGCATCCAAGCATCAAGCATCAAGCATCAACTTTAGCGATGCGGATCTCATGCAGAAGCTTCACCCTCACTGGATATAAGAATGCTACCTAATCTTTATAGAAGAAGGGCGGAATGGAAGAGGAACAAGCTTGGCGAGATTGACTTTTGACTTTTGACTTTTGGCCTTTTTGACCTTCTGACTTTCCACGCATCGCACTGACTCGGGGATATTCTCCTCCTCCTCCTCCTCATGGGTTGATGGGTTGATGGTTTGACGGTTTGATAAATGTTTGGTTGAATGAATGGTTGATGGTTGATGGTTGATCGCTGATCGTCTGAGATGCCACGTGGCCTTCATCTCCTCTCCTCATACGATGACCATAATAGTCGCGACTCGCGAGACCCCACAGATAAAGTAAAAGTAGCGTTAAGAAATTGAATAGAATTCCTTGGGCGTCGCCTTTCAGACTACTGTCAGAGTGTCAGAGTGAGTGTTGGAATTTCCAAGCGTCACCCCAACTCATCAGGGTCTTCGGGCGCTAAAGTACCAACGCTTATCTCTTATCTCGCAGATAGAGTAACGTACATGGAATGCCTAACTGCTTGGGGAAAAGCTCACGATAAGACCGATAAGACCGAAGATCCTCCCCTCCTCTTATTCTGCCATCTCTCAGCAATGCCATTCCTCCCTAATTCCATGGCAAACACGTGTGGGAGAAGACCTCCGCTGGGACCGTTTTATCCTCGTACTGATGCTGACTTGCATATACCTCCACCCTCTCTTTCCCTCCTGACCCGCTAGTCTTTGACTTTCTTCTGCACTTCCAATTCTATCAAAGAGTGCCAGCCCATCACTCGCTCTAATTTCCACGTTGCAGCAGCCATGGACGCCTTCACCCCCCAACAAACCATCGAGTTGGTCTCGAGGATAGGATGCAAGAAGACGCATATGAGATGGGACAAATTGTTCTGGAATTCCTTCATGGCTGGTCCATTGCTGGGCTTTGGGTCAGTAAACCACCATCCCAAATTCGCTTGCACCGGGCTCGCAAAATCACTTTCGGAGCCCAATGCTCCCATCAGTGTACAAATGACTACCCTGCTGACAGTGTTGCAACAGCTGCGCAGTAACGTTGTCAACAGAAGCAGCACCTTGGTACCAACAAAATGCACCAGGTCTTATCCGGACTATCTCAGCCATGTTCTTCCCGGTGGGGCTCATCATGATAGTCCTCAGCGGTGCGGATCTCTTCACCTCCAATGTCATGGTACGCTGCTCCATTTGATCGCCTGCATCAGACAGTCTCTGATCTTTCGCAGTTCATGTTCACAGCCTTTCTTCATCGCCGAGCCTCGCTCATCAGTCTGGCCATCGTTTGGGTTACCTCTTTTTTGGCCAATCTCGCGGGGACGCTATTCTTCATGGCCATTGTCACTGGCTGTAAGTCTTTCATCACTCATTGGATGTTAGAACGCTTGCTGACCGCGACGTGCAGATGGCGGCGTCTTTGAAATTCCTGCTTACCGCACCGAGGTCATCAATTTCGCGACTGCAAAGTGCCTCACCCCTACCTGGGTTCAGATATTCTGCCGAGCCATTGGAGCAAATTGGCTCGTTTGCTTTGCCGTATATGTCTCCATCTCTTCCCGTGAGATCGCATCAAAGATACTAGCAATTTGGTTTCCCACATTTACCTTTGTGGCCCTGGGACTGGATCACGTTATTGCAAACATGTATTTTATTCCGGTGGCAATCTTCTATGGTCACCCCGACATTGGCGTTGGCCTCTATATCTGGAAGTCGATGATCCCGACAACACTTGGCAACGTTGTTGGAGGCGGCTTATTCGTCGGCGGAATGTATTGGTATTTGTACCTAACTGGTGAGGGGAGCGACAACATTACGTTCAGCATTGGAGGCCTAGATTCCGCAATGGAGGTCGGTGGACCAATGGGCCCGTCTCATCGAAGATCGGTCCCCAATTCGGCAAAGGAAGAAGAGGAGAAGGAAAATAAGATGGCGAACGGAGAAGGACCTGGGCCAGGCCATCCCAACCACGTTGCATCGCTACCCTCGTCAGGTCACACGATGACCAGCGGGCTAGGACGAGAGTTGACAGCGGAGAAGTACACAAACAGGAAAGGAATAGCATCGACCATTGAGGGCCAGCCAGTTGAAGGGGTTTAGAGGCGGGTGCACTACAGCGACATTCAGCACTGGCGCAAATCGGGATTATCGCAGACCGAACGTTAGTTGAATTTTCCGCTAGGAGGCCCAGGTGGTGTAGTGAGCCAAGGCCCAAAGGAGAGTGACAGAACGTGTAGCTTGCATGTCGGGCTTTTCCCATTTTTCAATCTGCATGTCACTTGACATTCTGGTGCGTGAGCTCGATGCTTCTGTCTTATTAGAGTAATAGCGATTTCTTCTAGAAGGAATATGTGCACCTTTCGGGTTTGACACCCGTGCAATAAAGCACTCGTTATTGGAGCACCGGATCCGGAACCTTGCAAATGATGTCAGCGTGTCCGGCGGATTGCTTGAGTATTGGTACACAGATAGGTACTCCAATACCACGCAGCTTTTGTTCCTCAAAGGGAAGGACTCGTGATGTCGAGGCCTTCGGACAGAGTCGGCCGGTATAGCACCAGTAGCAGTCATGGTGTCCCTGCTCCCTACTTGTCCATTGCGAGACTAGCACCAGCAGGCCGGAAGAGCGACGCTGGAACAATGAAGCGAAATAAAGCGAACACGTAGGAGTGGACCAGAAAAGATGCGAGACATGCCGTTCTATAAAGGGCGGTGTGCATGAATGCTACAGCCTTGGCCATGGGAAATAACCCGTGTGCGCTGTTAGCTTCATCAGCTGACTGTGTCAATTGTGATCGCCCCAGCAGTGATTATTTAGTCGTGGCGGAAGACCGAGGACGGCCGTCGTATTCGAGCAAAGTAGCATCATATGTGAATGTCCGAAGCAGGCAGCTTGATGCGTGTCCTCGACGCATCGCGCAAGGGCCTGCTGAGAGAGGGAAGTCGTGACGAGGAGTCGACCGCGTGGTTGTGTTGCAGCGACTTGCAAGGATGAGAGTGCCTCCTAGTGTCTTCTCCCTAATCGTGCCACACAATTAGTTCCGGGATCGCTAATAGGGTACCAATGTGGTGGGAGTGGCTTTTGATTTGAATGTCGTGCATGAACACTAGCATGCGCTTTCCTGCAGACGACGTACATCATCCCCTTATTTCTTTGACGATCGTAGGCAATCATGCATGCTTTGATATGCAATCACTTGCAGCTGTCAGACATTATTTGTCGCGCTGTAAAGTAGAAGGATTTCCTGTATGATGCAACACACGGGAGGGCGGCATCGGCATTGTTCGGTGTCTAAGCTTTTTTCCTTTGAGCAATCAGGAACAAGCACAAACTCAATCGCTTTGATGGGAAGAAGGAAGGAGGGGGAAAGGGGGCTGAAGTCTGAAGCCTTTTTTTTTTTTTCCCTTTTTCTTCTCCCTCTTTTTTTTTTTCCCTTTTTTCCTCACTAGAAAAATGAGAAAAACAAGTTTGGTGCAAGTGAAGGCGACTTTTGAGCAGGATTTAATTATCCGACTTTGGATGTGCGTCGAAAGCGAGATTAACGGAGCGCCGGAGACGAGGCTGAGACTGGGCGGTGTAACTCCACTCCAGACTCCCGTGTAAGCAACGATCAAAAAGAGACCATCCTTCAGCCCTGCTGCAAACACTTTTGCGTGCCGCACTGTCGTCTACTTGGCCACAAACACGCAAGTCGCAGCAAACACCCGGCCAAAAAGAAAGCTTTCTCCAAGACCATTGAGACACTAGAAGTACCACGCCTCGCACAAGTGCTGTACTCCTGTCCCATCAAGGAAGCGAACGAGGCGTTTAGGTTGATCCCTGGAAAGTGGTACACACCTATTTGGTACTCTAGTAGATTCAAAAAGGTCACCGTTGGTCCGCAGGGCCCGTCTTTAAGGAGAGAAGTTTATTTCACCACACGTAAATTAAAAATCTCTACCTCCTGCAATTTTCCCCTTTTATCCTCCTACCACCGTCCATCTTACACCGTCTTGCGCGACTCAGCAACGCACCTCGCTCTTGATTCGTAAGATCGCTTCACCCTCTCCTCTGTACGGCCAGTTAGTCGCGATCACCGTCAACTGCGCTTTTTCGAGCACGCGACTCCTCATTGGACCTGCACACTTTCCGGCGCACTTCCCCAGCTCACCCCCCTCCCCTAACAGAGCCTGCCTGCAGTCATGAAGGCACACCTCAGCCTTGCATGAGCGTAAGCGATTTGCCTGCCTCAATCCATCACCTCCTCTGGACAAACCTTGCCGTTCCCCTGGGATAAGCAAGATGGAGACGCCAATAACCAAACTCCCCCGTCCTCTACCGCGCATTTAAGCCTTCTCCAACACCACCCTCCGAAACGATTCGAAACGTTACGAAAACCCTGGGAGCCCCGACCCGAAGCGAACCAGTGAATACTCGCTCAAGGTCATACAACATGGCTCCTACGGCCACAACTTCGTCACCGAGCATGACAAACGGTAAAAGATGCTGGCCGTCTCCGATACCGTCTGCCCAATCCACATCCAAGCAATACATCAATACTTCTGTCCCGTTGACCGTGACTCCTGCCACGGCAGCTACACCTAATGGACCCTCATCAACAGCAAGTCCTGCGACACTCTCATTACAGTCGTCGCCCGAAGGCCCACGGGGACGCAACATCCCTTCCGATTTCTCTCCTACACCTCTGCAGTTGCCCGACTCCACCATGCCAAAATTCCACAGCGCCATGAGTGAAGCTATCGCTGCAAGCAAGTCGCCTGGACTGATACGGAGGATATCACGCGGCGCTGCAAATAGACTGCGTCGTCGCCCGTCATCCAAGCATCTGTCGAATCGTGATCGCAGCTCTGGCCCTGTCATGTTACGCCGCAGAAGCGACAGCAAGAATGGCGTTGAACCAGATGCCGATATGATTGACAATGACTTTGAAGCAGACATCGAGGATGTCCCAGAAGACCCAGAGCCTGTCCACGGACTGGGATTGAGCATGGGCAGTCTGAGTGTCGAGAACCGAACTACCACCCTGAAACCTGCGCTGACCAAAGGCGGTATTGCTCCAATTGTCCCTTCGAAACTTCAGCAAGGCACCCATCTTACCAAGGTCACGAGAAAGAAGCGAAAGGACCTTAACTTCGTCCTTGACACGGACTCGGCCAAGGTCTTCTGGGACCCATCTAATGCGTCAAAGCAATTCTATATCGATGATATACAACAGATACGCATGCAAAGTGCCGCAAAGAACTACCGGGAGGAGTGCGGTGTCGGGCTAGAATGTGAGTCTCGCTGGTTCACCATTATCTATGCCGACCAGAACCGAGCAAAGGGGCGGCCTGTGAAGACGATGCATCTCATTGCTCCCACTCAAGTCATCTTTGAGTTGTGGACATCCACCCTCGATGATCTCCAAAGGTATCGCCACGAACTCATGGACGGTGTCGCCGGATCTCGTCTGAATGAGAAGACATTGAGGGGTCATTGGAGATGCGAGATGGCGAAGCTTTTCAACGGAGCACCTCACCGCGATGAAGAGGAAAATCTAGACTTCACTGGAGTCGAAAACCTCTGCCACAGCTTCCATATTCACTGTTCCAAGAACATGCTTCGGGCGCAATTTGAAAAGGCCGACACCAACAAGACGGGGTTCCTCAATTTTGATGAGTTCAGGGACTTCATCCGTCGATTGAAGACCCGCACTGATATCAAGGACATCTATAAGTCGATTGATCCAAACAACGAAGGCATACCTCTTGACACTTTCCTCGCATTTCTACAGGAAACCCAAGGTATCAACATCCAGGCAAACCGCCCTCACTGGGCCAAAGTGTTCATCAAACATGTGCGACAGGCGAACAAGGTTCCGGTAAGTCAAGATACAACAGACGATCCTTCGGTGCAGATGAACTTTGCAGCATTCTCCGAGTTTCTCTGTTCTCATGACAACAACATACAAGACTTCAAGGTTCCAGAAGTCAAGTTTGACAAACCGTTGAATGAATACTTCATATCTAGCTCGCATAATACCTACCTCTTGGGCCGGCAAGTCGCGGGTAGCTCGAGTACCGAAGCCTACATCAGAGCACTGCAGCGCGCCTGTCGCTGTGTGGAGATAGATTGCTGGGATGGACAAGACGGCCGCCCTATTGTCGTGCATGGACATACCATGACGAGTAGCGTTCTCTTTGCTGATTGCATCTCAGTCATCGGGAAGTATGCCTTCGAGTCATCGCCATATCCTCTCATATTGTCCCTCGAGGTACACTGCAATCCTGAGCAACAACAGGCTATGGTCGACATCATGACTAGGGAGCTAGGGGAGCAACTTGTTCGGGAGCCACTGATCTCGCCCTCGTACGAATTACCTTCTCCTGAAGACCTCCGGAATAGGATATTGGTCAAAGTCAAGGCTGGGGAGGATCCCAATCTCAACCTAGATCTACCTGCTGGCCGTCGCGACATCCCGGGCCGCCGCGATCGAAGTTTTAGCTCTCCCTGGTCTCGTCCTCAGATCCTCGATAACTCTATCATACCAAGTACGCCCAACTTGTCCAGTACTCCATCCGTGAGTCCTCCGGGAGATGGCTCCATGTGGGGCCCTCGAGGCTCGATGACAACGACGAGTATCAGTAGCACCAGCGAGGAGAGTGACAATGGACGTAATGATACTTCTCGTCTCAAGAGAGGAGGCTCTAGCCGGCGGCACAAAAGCAAAATCATTAAATCTTTGGGCAACCTTGGTGTCTACACCCGAGGCTTCAAGTTTCAAAGCTTTACTCTGCCCGAGAGCAAGGGGTACAATCATGTATTTTCGCTTGCAGAACGTCAGTATGAACGTCTCTGCAAAGACCCTGACACGAAAGCACAGCTTGAAAAACACAACATGCGCTACCTCATGCGCGTATACCCGTCAGGTTACCGAATACATTCAACGAACCCGGATCCGTTAGTATTTTGGAGGCGTGGAGTTCAGATGATGGCTCTGAATTGGCAGACCTACGATCTTCCCATGCAGATGAACGAAGCGATGTTTGCCAGTGGGTCTGATAAGCTTGGTTATGTCCTAAAGCCAAGAGAACTGAGGGAATCACTGTCGATACAAGAAGAGATCTCGGAACCCTCCATCCACGGCCTGGGCAAGATTCAAAAGAAATTGATTCGCTTCTCTGTCGACATAATTTCCGCCCAACAGCTACCTCGGCCTCGAGGAGTAGCCCTAGATGGCGCACTTGATCCCTACGTTGAGATCGAGATGTTCAGCGCCGAAGACAAAGGCAAGGGCGTCGCTTCGGGTGAAGGCGGGTCTGATGCTTCCGCGCGCAACGGTATGTCTGGCATAGGATCACCACATCGTAGACGCACACATGTGGTGCAAGCCAACGGCTTCAATCCTGTCTTCAACGACAGCTTCAAGCTGTCGCTGGAAACCAAGTACCCTAGCCTGGTATTTGTGAGATGGACTGTGTGGAACTCCCCAGACGGGAGAAGCTTCAATACAAACCCCAATGCGGATCCACTGGCTACATTTACAGCCAAATTGAGCAGTCTCGAGCAAGGATACCGTCACCTACGCTTGTACGATCATAACGGAGACCAGTTCAATTGCGCCGCTCTGTTCTGCAAGATCAAAAAGGAAGAGCCCGTGACGATCGAGAGGGAAGATCCCGTCCCCGAGAAGGGCGGAAGATTCAAAAACAAGTTTCAGAAGGCAGTGTTCGCAAGGACAAAATCCGTGGAGAAGAAGAACGGAAGACGGACAGAAAGGACAAGCACGAGCACAAGCACGAGCACAACTACGAGCATGAGCAAAGATACGAGCGGCGAGAAGTCGAGCCTTGACGGAGGCTGCTATTAGCCTAACGGCGGCCTCCTCCCACTACATTTGAAATTGATATGGAGTCCTTTGGAGTTTTAGACTTGCTCTTCTTCACGGAATATACCCAAAGTCATTGCAGGGCGCAGCATATTATGGGACTAATCCATCACTATTGGACATTTGTTTCAATACCATTAGAAGAGCAGGAAAGCCTTGAAGGTCACTCGTTGCTTCCATTTCACTTTCAGCATGCAACAGATGTTATTTATTCGACATTCGCTACCAGCAGGATATGGTTTTTCCCACTTCTTCGGTTGTATTGTGATTGGCCTGTGTACTCAAATAGACTTACCCGATCAGCTGGCGCTGAATCCTTTGTTGGAACCGGATTATGATAACGACTTGCATTAGAAGAACGATGATGGCGAGGCCTGCGTTGTTTTTACGTGCGAGAGCGCCAGCGTAGTGTCGCTGTGTGGTAGATAGGATATCGATCACAATTAGATGACTTCTTTCTTGTCTTCCACTTGACAGTAAATCAGACTCCCCGCCCCCAAGGTCCCAATTTTCTCGATTCATGACTCAAGTAGGCTCGTAAACGCTGCCCGCCAATGCGCTAGAGTAAAGTAGTGACTGTTCCCTTCCTTTATTTCTCTGGGCTTGGATCCTTCCCGCCAGCCAGCTCAGCTTGAGCTGAGGTTACGTAAGGCACGAAGATTGGATCCCATCAGTCTGTGCCTCTATTGATGACATCCAAGCTTCCTCTACTGCCTCGGATACCGGCAAATGAGGTACCTAGGTAGTACCTTTGACCTTTCCCCGAATCTGCCCACCTGCAGCCTCATCCGGCTAGACCGAGGGGCAGCTGAAGAAACAAAAAGAATCTGACAGGCGGGGAAGCTGCATGGCTTGGAGCCCAGAAAATGCAACGCGAAAGCATATAGGGCTGCCAATCCCTCAAGATGGGTTCGCTCGACCTTACGAACGAGCATCGATATGGCACGTCTATCCTTTACCTGGCTAGCCACCACCGCAGCGCTGCTGCTGCCAGCCCTTCGAGGCCATGCAGCCGGTACCTCGAGCTACAATGGGCTGGCCCTTACGCCTGCAATGGGATGGGATAATTGGAATGCGTTTGGGTGTAAGGTTAGCGAGGAGCTGATCCTTACTACCGCTCAAAAGATTGTTGAGTTGGGGCTACGCGATCTTGGTAGGAATCCTGCAGCATGCAACGGAGCAAAGAGAGGGATGCTGATATGTGTCTGCAGGCTACTACTACATCATCCTAGACGACTGTTGGTCCAGCGGCAGGACCTCAAACGGTACCCTCCAGGCAAACAGTACCAAATTCCCAGATGGAATTCCAGCGGTTGCGGAAAAGATTCATGGCATGGGGCTCGGGTGGGGCATGTATTCCTCTGCTGGGAAATACACTTGCGCGCAATACGGTACGGAGTCATGGTCAGATTGCCTACAAATGTGACAAAAACTGAGATTGAGCAGCCGCATCTTTGGGAGTGGAGAAACAAGATGCCCAAACATTCGCCGATTGGGGGGTCGATTATCTCAAGTACGACAACTGCTACAATGAGGGACAGGAAGGGACGGCCCTTGTCACATACAATCGGTACAAGGCAATGTCGGATGCGCTCAATGCTACAGGTAATATCCCCAGGGTTCGGTGTGGACTTGGGCTGACACCCGAAGGCCGGCCCATTCTCTACTCGATGTGCAATTGGGGGCAGGACTCTCCATGGGACTGGGCCCAGACAATAGCCAACAGTTGGAGGATGAGTGGTGATGTGTACGACTCATTTGATCGGCCTGATAGTCGATGCCCGTGCGATACGTATGAGTGCAGCTTGCCTGGATTTCATTGCTCGGTTCGTACATTTCGGAAAATTTCTTCCTTTTCAATGCGAATTCGGAGTTGCAGGACATATTTCCGGAGCAGAAGGCTCTTTCTACTCCCAAGACCTGTCTTGCGAGCCTGGGTTTTGCCTTGGAAAGCAACGCTGACTCCGAGATGTGCGCAGGTCATGAATATTCTCAATAAGGCGGCTCCTATTCTGAACAAGGCTCAGCCAGGAGCGTGGAACGACTTGGATATGCTGGAAGTAGGCAATAGTGGTATGACGGATGATGAATACAAGACGCACTTCAGCATGTGGTATGTACATTGTCTGGCTTGATGCCAACCTCCGGCGTGTGAGCTGACCTAGATTCAGGGCCTTAGCCAAGTCTCCGCTGATCATGGGCACCGACGTGACCATGATGATAGCTGAGACTCTCTCTATATATTCAAATCCCGCCATTATCGCGATCAATCAGGACCCGCTTGGTGTGCCCGTTACGCGTGTTTGGCAATCACCCGCGCAACCCCAGAATGAAACATACTCCGTCGATGCCTACACCGCTGGGGAAACGTCATTCTGGACTGGCGAGTTGATGAATGGCGATTATGTTGTTGCATTCGTAAACGGAGGCCCAAAAGCCACCACGCTGACTGCCACCATGAACGACGTTTTCATCGATCTAGTCACTACTGGCTCGAACGCCCCCGTACCTCAACTCCAGCAGACATACGACGTATACGACCTTTGGGCCAACAGAATGAGCAACACCACCGCCCAAGCCATCATCAATGGGAATTTTACCATGGAAACAAATAGTACCAACACTACGAGCGAAGCTAGTGCCAATTCGACGTTACCAATGCAGACATACAATGCTACGCAGCTCAGCTACGCAGACGGGCTAAACGCGAACAACGCGGCTTTGTTCGGGATCAAAGTCAAGACCATGGCGCCGATGGGAACGCTGAGCACTACCGTACCCAGTCACGGGGTGGCGGTGTATCGTTTGAGATCTCAAGGTGGTGGGAGTGGGATGAGGAAGAGGGATGAGTTGTAAGATGATATACCTATTGTGGACCTTTGACCAAAAGCTTGCGAAAGCTGTGTATGCAAATGATCCAGCACTACCTCGGCCCCTGTCCCGACATTTATCGCTTTGGAATTTCCTTTGTTGTCCTACCTTCTTGGCCCAATGCACTCACTTAAATCAATGTAGTCTTCCTTCCAATTCTAAAAGATCATGCATTTCTTTTGCCCAGCTGCTCGGGGCACAAGTCTTCGCATTCTGGTCCCCTTTGATGCAATTCTGTTCTCCCTGATGCCGCAATTACAGCCGTGTTTTCAGAACAGCGTGATAAGAATGGCCATGAGCTTGGAGACAGCGATATCGAAACAGCGACAGGAGCTGATTTTGCACCCTTTCTGTTTCGTCCTCTCACGCCGGAACGGATTCAATCACCAAGAAACAGCAACATCTTTTTTCTTCCGGCGTGAAACCTAGTATTGTTGTTGCAATTTTTCTTTTTTTTCTTCCGGCGTGAAACCTAGTATTGTTGTTGCAATTTTTCTTAAAAGCCTGCAACGGAGCGTTTGTTTCCATTAACGTGGAGGTCAACTCCTTCTTCATACCCTTTCATGTTGTCTGCCTGCGGAGTCCATGTGGCATCTATCCTTCCAAGCAAGACCCCTGACCAACCGCGTACGTCACCCGCCATGGCCCATCCAGTTCAACAAAGCTTGCAGGCCGTCGCCCACAATGGGGGAAAACTCCAAGCGAAAATCCTCTCCCAGTCCGACTCACGCGAATACTACTACTACTACCCCAGATTCCGACACCCTAACCGACGCGTCCTCAGCGTCACTCCGGCCCGCCTCACCCCCCGCCGCCAATAGCAGCAGCAGCAGCTCACCATCCTCGGCAGGCCCCGAATGCCAGACAATGCAGGCCAACTTCTCCCACTCCCGGACTAGCACCCAAGAGCACCCGCAGCACCCCCATCCCGACCCCTCAACCCACCGTCCATGCCTCGTCTGTCCCTCCCGCCACCACCACCGCCACAGCGACGCCACATCGATCGATCGGGGCACGAGATCTTGCTCCGTCCGGCGCGCCGGACCGGGGCACGTGGATGCGGCAAGCGGGGGGGGGACCGAACGACGCCGCCGAGCGAGCGCGTTGGGTCGGGCATGGGCGGGGTCGCTGCGGTGTGCGTGGATGGAGGAGAGGAGGAGGAGGAGGGGCGGGAGGTGTGGGTTTGGTGCGTTTTTGGGGGGGTGTTCGACTCCCTCCTTTCCTTTCCACTCCGTGCGTACCGGGGGTGGGTTTCTCTCGAGAGCGATGGAGGATGTGTTTCGAGGATGTGTTTGTACGGATCTTGGTATGAAGGGGGAATGCTGACGAGGCAATGGGTGTAGGTGCGCGACACAGGGTTTCGGTCGGGGAGAAGGCGTCGGATAGGACGGATCTCTGGAGACGCGGTGGCGGGGTTGGGATTTGGGGGCCCATAGGGAGGCGGGGGTCGTGTGTCTGGGTTGTGAAGGGCTCGGGGTAAGTCCTTGTTTGTAGGAGTGGGGACTGGGTGTGTGTTCGGGGTTCTTGTCTTGGTCAATGTTACATGCGATTTGTGAGCTTTTGTCGTGCGATTCTACCATTTTGCCGTTCGCTATTCTCCTGCTCCTGCTCCATCGCCGAGGATGAAGGGCTCGGTCTCCAGAACCATGGAAGAGGATTGCATGGTAGGTAAAAGACGTCCGTTTCAGTCTCATCATCTCATTCGCCCATTGCCAGTCAGGTCGTCAAAGGTGCGTAGTCACAGACTCAAAATCCTTATACCCGACCCCTTTGACAAATGTAGCATCCCAAGGCCCCTGACCCTTACCTCGCGCAAGCTCGACGCAGAACTCGCCGTGAGCGGGTCCATCGATCGCGCCCCATGGCCGGCTGACCGTTCTCCCTGCGCTCGTCCACGTAGTAGAAGCTAGAGACCCTACATGTCAGCTGAGCTGACCGCAATGGTGAAGCGAGCGGGCGAGCAAGTCTCCTCTCAAAGCACCAAGAAATACATCGTGGGGCGAGGACGCGACTCGGACCGACTTACTGCCACCCTTTACCGCCGTAAGCCTCCGCACAACCCGCGATCGTATGCGCGGCAGCCTGTTTGCCAATGCCCATGGTGATGAGTCTCGGATAGACCATCTTATTCAGCATATTTCCGATCTGGATGAAAGTCTTGGGGGCGCTAGACCCGAGCTCTTCGAAGCCTTTGACGGCTTCCTGAGCCGCGGCGAAAGCGCTGACGGTATTGATGGCGAGGTCCGAGGTGAGCTTCTCCAGGGGCGGGGAGAGCGGGTTGGATTCGGCTGCCATGGTTAGGCCGTAGGCTGTTGGGGATTCAATCGTTATCATTATTGCTGTCGACGCGCTCCTGAGATGTACATCTGGGCTCTGAACGTGGCGCATACGCACCAATGTAGACGACGACGCTCGGTATGCCCAGTTCCGATTTGACAGTGTCAAAGACCGACTTCACGTCCTGTGGCTGGGTCAAATCAGCTTTGACGGAGAGGTAATCGGTGCCTCGGGCGGATTTTCCACTTCGGGATGCAATGGCTACTTTGTAGCCGGATGAAGAGAACCTCTGCGCGATACCATGGCCGATATTGGCACCGGCCCCTAGAAGGAGGATCACTGGTGAAGGCATGATGGAGATTTGTTCCAGCCAAAGGTTGAAGATGGGGAGGCTTCCGTGTAGATTCGACTGATTGGCTTCTTGCCGATTGGGAGAATGGAGGCAACATATAAACAAGGCATCCTGAATAATGGAGATTGGAGAACACCGTCAAGACAATTGGGGCGCCCAGCGTGAGTTGGAGAGAGGGATTCCATGCCGTTGGTCAGCGAATTTTGTCATGTCAAACTGCCTCGTTTGGAGAAAGGCTATGGCCAGTTGCAACAGGGTATTCGCCCGCTTTGGTGGACATGTGCACGATAAGAGTTCAAGCGATGGATGAGCTCAAATCACATTCTTGTGCATTTGCTAGTTTGCCCACCAAAGAAGCGGGGTCTTCTTACTAATGTTCTTAAGCTTCATTCGTAAGCTTAGAGGCAGGCTTCTTCTTGAAGGCTCAACTCTTTCTGAACCAATGGCATTGTTCCTTTCTTGCTCAGCCTGATACATTAGCTTCTTGTTTCTCAAATCATCTAAGGTAAGAATCGAATCAGATAGGATGAAGCAGAATAGTAGAAGAAACACTGGCTAGATCACGTGCTGACTCGTCGTTGACGGCCACCCCTGCCAAGCGAATTGACACTTTCAGTATAGACAAAATGCTTCCCACTCGGAAACCCCACAGACCGAGTACATACCGCTGAGTTACCAAAATCTCCAATTCATCCTCTCAGTGCACAGTGACCTTTATACCCTTCGAATCGAATCTGTAGCAAGGGCTCAGACAGTCATACGGAGTCTCCACATCCGTAACATACGTCTCGAATAGCTAGAAGCGGAAAAGATCCGGGGCGAAAAGAGCTGCGAAGGTGAGATAGATCTCACAATGAGCGAGATTGAGGCCGTTATACAGTCTAAAACCTTTGCTGAAGGGACGAGGTGTCTACTCAAATGGACATTCGGAGGTTGCTGACGCCAGCGGTCAGGATTGAACGCTTTCGGGTCGGGGAAGATGAACATATTGGAATGCATCATAGCCGAGGATATGCCCACCGGTGTTCCTGGAGTAATGGTCCATTGCTAACACTGCTGTGCGACATCGGAAGTAGAAGTCTCAAATCCCTCATAGCCCAGTGACACTTTTCCGTTCTCCTGGATGATCCCGCCAACAATTCGCCAAGAAGCATTATTTTGTTAGACAGTGATACGTCTCGGTGTTCCTGGCCAGATGGGGAACAATCATTCTGGATCATTGATATTAGGCTCGTAGGGACTAGTGCGTACTAGTGGGCCTGGAGACTGGTCTTAGCATCATATACGTACCTTTGACGACATCACAAAGAAGTGGCATACCATAGAGCTCGTGCGTCTTCTTCATCTCCCAAGTGTACCGTCCGCGCTTGATCACTCCACAATAGAACTCGTAACAGAGCGTCATAGCAGTGAATCTGGCCCCAGGAAATTTGCAATTGGACGCAAATATAGACAATACACAGCTATGGTAATGCAGTATACAACGAAACCACATAGCCTAGTCGGGACACTACGAATTGAGAAGACATCCATCTCATGAATGACAATGTAGTGCAAACGTAGAATGCGACGAAGAATGTCCATTAACAGAGAAGATCCCTACCTTTAGGTACGATATTTGAGGATTGAGGGTACAGCACCTTTCTTGCATATTGTCCACGATGGATTCATTTCCCTACCTTAACGTATATCGCAACAGGAAACCTGTCATCCCGATTGAAAATCCTGTCGAACAAGCGGTATTTAGTAGGAAATGATTTTGTCTCTCCGCGAACGCGCTTGCAGATAATTTCATAGAGTAGCCAGACGCCAAGGTTCTGATGGAGGGACGCCGGTGGGGTACTCCAGCAGCCACTGAACCTCGTTGATCAATGGCAAAGGATGTCACGCAGTTGAAGCCGACTTTACGTGCCGCACTGCAGCAAGGAGGCGAACTGAGCTCGATGCGAGGGCTGATAGCAGATGAAAGATTCTTCGTCGCTCACAACTTGATGAGATATTGAGAGCGGGCCTTATATTCGGCAGTAGGTGAAAGAGAGAGAGAGAGAGACCAATGAATAATATCAAAAATATTGCGTCAAACGAGGCTGGAACGGTGGTGATGGAGGAGCAAATATTGGAACCGTCTCAAACCCTGACACTGTGACCAGATAAGAAACCCTTGAGTCTGAGAAGATGTATCTATGCTAATGAAGGTAAGACCACGAAGCCTCATGGTGCATCAGGATTTGTGGTGTGCTTTGTCATGGTTGGCGGTCAACCCATTCCTTGTCAAATCTCCGCCGCCTATCCGCTTCCCGCTCTCGTCATTTCACTGAAGAAGCCGACTATCGACGAGAAGCTTTCCGAATAACGATGAGATGCCTGCCTTGACCGGCTCAATGCGAGATCTACCCTCTCACGCCTCTCCGGTCTACTCCCCTAGACCTTCGGCTGGTAAAGATGTCTCACAGTTCGATCTCGACAATGGAAGATCGGAATCTCCACCCCCTCCAACCTTCGTCAGTCCAGCATTCACTCCTCCATCTACTCCGGGCGCAGAGACGTCGACAAGGCACCAAGAACCTCGCTCAATTCCTGTTGATACCGCATCCCGAAGACCGCCAAAGCTTCTCGACACACTTCCAGACGTCAATTGCGTTGTTCGCGCAAGGATACCTACGGTGACTGGCGCAGAGATGTTTCTGCATCTATACCAAAACAACGTGGATGATAAAGAGCATTTGGCTATTGTATTTGGCAATGACATACGGTCAAGATCGTTAGACGCGCCACGGTCTGGCGAAACAGAAATGGATCGCATGATACGAGGCGCATACACGGGCAGGCTTCACCCCGGAAGAACATCGAGTCGATTTGATCCAGAGCCACACCCGTCTACCTCTATGCTGATAGCTCAAACCACTCACTCATCACCCCTGGTCAGGATACACTCAGAGTGCTATACTGGCGAGACGGCATGGTCTGCCCGGTGCGATTGTGGAGAACAACTCGACGAGGCAGCCAGGCTTATGTCTTTACCTTCGTCGCCTGGTGGCGTCATTGTATATTTACGTCAAGAAGGTCGAGGAATTGGTCTAATGGAGAAGCTCAAAGCCTACAACGTACAGGATCTTGGCTGGGATACTGTCGAGGCCAATCTCATGTTACGGCATCCAGCAGACGCAAGAAGCTACGGACTCGCCACAGCGATGCTGCTAGATCTCGGATTTGGAGGAGATGCAGGCATCAAGCTACTCACGAACAATCCGGATAAAGTACGGGCAGTGGAAGGCCCTAATCGCGAGGTCATCGTTAAAGAGAGAGTGGCCATGGTCCCTCTGGCTTGGAAGACAGGCGGAAAGAAGGGTATACATAGCGAGGAGATCGAAGGCTATCTACGAACAAAGATAGGTAAGATGGGACACATGCTTGGATGAGATGTGACTTGGATTGCATGATGCAGAGCGAGGCGTTATTGGAAAAGATGCCGTTCCACATACCTGTACATTATTGAAGCAACGTGCTTAGTCTTGCTAGAAGTCTAGCCATTGAGTGTGTAAGAGTGAGCGGAATCAATAGAACGGAATCCGAGGCATTGGTCTCGACGACGGTGATAACGGGAAAAGTCTCCGATTGAGTCGCAAAACGCTAGCGCCTTAGAGAAGGGCCGACCTGACTCAATGCGTGCAGCAAACCGACGGGAAACGGAGTCAGTGACAAACGTCAGCGCACCACTCTCCGTCGCGTAAGACCGTAAGACCCTTTAAGTAGGTCTCGAACCCAAATTGAATGGATACCGGGCCTGGCACTCGGCAGTATTCTGGGCGACATTCCAACAGCCCCGCTGTCGACTCTACTGCAAACCGGCAAGCCTCTAGCAAAAAGAGACGGACATCAACCTCGGGGCGAGGTGTCGCCAACCTCACCCCCGAGCAATTGAATAAGAAGCGGGCAAATGATAGAGAGGCCCAAAGGGCTATACGCGAGAGAACGAAGGGTCAGATTGAGAGCTTGGAGAGGAAAATCCAAGAGTTGACCTCACAGCAACCATATCGGGAGCTTCAACATGCTATACGGCAGAAGGAGCGGGTCGAAGCGGAGAATGAAAAGATCAAGACGACATTGAACTCTGTTCTCGGCATCATACAGTCGATAGTCGGTGGAAATGGGATCGTTGGTAGAGGCTCCCATACAGGACGTCCGAGAAGGCTGCAGCTGACGGGTCATCCACCCAGCATCTTTTCCAACTCCAAGCCATGAGCCGGGCGGCCTTACACCTACTCCGACATCTGACATCAATGCTGGGCACCCAATCAGCCCACATACTTCCGTTTACAATAACGCCCCTAGTGGTGCATCGACTTCTTCTACATATACCGATTCTCCCCGTCTGGCTCAGACGCATACACCCCCTTTTTTCCCCCAGGCCACCTACACTTCACAGCTAAATCCGTTCGCACCAGTCAATGTACTTGAACGGCGTCAGCCTAGTCTCTCCCATGGATTGCAGTCTGGCTCCCCAGATGAGAAACTCGACGTTGGATCTGTGCTACAAAGTATGCAGGAAAACCGCGATAGGAGACAGCAATACGAAAGTGACGGGACACCGTCGCTGTCACCATCCTCGGCCCTTCCTATGAACCCTCTGAGTCCGAATCATAATGCTCGTGATAGCTATGGGAACCAGATGTTTGCATGCTCAGTGCCTGTCCGAAATATACGTACCTGCCCTTTGGATGGCCTGTTATTAGACTTTCTCGGTGAACGACGACAAAGAGCCATCGAAGGTATGCCGATTAGAGAGCTCGTAGGACCAGCATATCCGAGCGTGGTCTCCCTACTCAAGCCTCAACGCAGCTTGACCTCGCACCCATTGTCGAAAATGTTCACAGACATGCTGAGCACCTTCCCTGATTTATCCACCCTTCCGGAGCAGGTCGCAGTACTGTAAGCTTGTACCAGCTCCCAGAATGTCTGGAGACTGCTTTGAAGACGAGTGCACTGATTCTTGCAGGTATATAATGTTCCTCATCATGCGATGGCAAATCTCCCCCACGCCAGAGAATTACGATCGACTGCCCGAATGGGTCACCCCCCGGCCTTCTCAACTTTTCAGTGTGCACCCTACTTGGGTAGACTATCTGCCTTGGCCCCGCATGCGAGATAAATTGGTGCAGATGTATCCAAGCATTCACTTCGACGACTTCTTCATTCCATATACGACAACCTTGTCGCTGAACTGGACTTACGAGGCACCTGATACTCTGCTTTCTAAGGAAGGAACGGAAGAGCTTTTCATCAATCCGGTGTTTGAAAGGCATATACGAGATCTGAAGAACTGGACTTTGGGACCGGCCTTTGCTAAGGCTCATCCTAGCTTGGCCGAGACCTGTATGATTAAGCCGGATAGTAGAAGGAGGAATTCGTGAGCGAGCGTCTCCGGTGGTCCTTGTGCTTCCTTGCTGGGTGGATGTTTCTAAGCGTCAGCATTCGAAAAGGTACCTTTCTTCCCAAGGCCTTCATAGTACATACATATATGTCCATCTATCCGTGTACAGAGTACAAAGAATAAACATGTGCATCTTTTCATGTACACCTTTGATCCGACTAATTGGAGCTGAGGGTTTCTGATGCCAAGCGAGCCAAATAGGTTCCTTCGGTGCCCCGTATGTCAAGGAACATTTTTCCCCCAAAGCGATACTTCTTTCTTGTTCGTTCAACATCTCCAAGTGCACCATGCAATGCTTACACTGCAGTAGGAGTTCCACGCCCTGCATGGCAAAGCCATTTTCCTATCTGTCATCTTTTGAAAATGGTTGGATCGACTGCACACCACCAACAGGAAGGAGCGGGGTCGAACAGCAGCCTCGGTGTCTCATTTGCCGACTTCAATCCCCAGGCCGATTATCGAGCATGAAGTGACAAATGCCCATGGTTTTGTTCACATGTACAACTCTTGTTTTGAGGATAGAGCACGCGTAGATCGTTCTTCGTCTCTTTATATGACTTGAACATTGCTCTTCTACTTCTACACAATTTTTTTGTATCTGACGCATCATGGCCGTCATAAAACCCGAACTCTCTCTGCTCGAAAAAGCAACGTTGATCCTCAGCATTCTTCGCGTTCGTTCGTCATCTCATACATCCTCAGTTGTGGCAGGGGTACTAATCAAGTTCAGTGGGCGTTGGCCTGATTACCCTCTTCACGGCTCTGTTCAGGGGAAGATCTGGATCCGCGAAGTACGGCAGTCATGTCAAGCTTACTCTGCTGAGGACTTGGTTGAACACCGCGACGGTTCGGCATCAACAGTGAGACCTCCCCCATATCGCTCCAAGGAGGACAGTTGACTGGTAACAATGGCAAAGGTATTTACTCCCGGACCTCGATGTAGCTTATCCAGCGTTCGCCAAAGAGCGCGGCTTCCCCCCTAAGGATGTCACGCTTCCGGACGGCACCAAAGCGTACTGGTTGGGTAGTCCTTCCGCAGAGAAGGTGATACTCTGGTTCCATGGTACGATCTCCCCCCTTCCCCATCTTCCAAGCCCCCTGCTAACACACCCTCTCTCTTCAGGCGGCGGCTTCAATCTCCCCGCCGAACCCGGCCACCTCACCTTCGTCAACTCCCTCACCTCCCCCTCCGTCTCCGCCCTCATACTCTCCTACACCCTCGCTCCACACGCCATCTACCCACGCCAACTCCAACAGGCCGTGGAGCTCCTCCGCCACGTCATCACCTCCCTCCATCACCAACCCGAAAGCATCATCATCGGCGGCGACTCCGCCGGCGGCAACATAGCCGTGGGCATACTATCCCACCTCCTGCACCCGCATCCTGAAATTGAGCCGTTGAGATTCGAAGACGGGGCAAAGCTGCGCGCAGCCATCCTGCTCGCGCCCTGGGCGAGTTTCCGCCACGATTGGCCGAGCAGCAAAAACAACACGAGCAAAGACCTCGTGACAGACAAGGTAGGCGATAAATGGAGCATGGCGTTCCTGGGCGGGCAGAAGAGGGAGGGATATAACGAGCCATTGGCTGCGGAGGAGGGGTGGTGGCTAGGGTTGGAGGGAGTGGTGAAGGAGTGTCTCGTTTTGGGGGGTGCGGATGAGCTTTTAGCGGACTCGATTCGGGAGTTGGGGAGACGGTTCGCGGCCGTCCATGAGGGGGTGACGGTGGTGATTGCGGAGGGGGAGTGGCATGATAAGCCCGTGACGTCGAGCCTCGGGATGGGAGGGGAGCAGGATGCGGCCATCAGGAGCTTTGTTAAATCACGGACTTGAAGGGGGCCCGATGTCGATGTGTATATTATATATGTGGGTGTTCGCTTGATACATACACGGCTACTGGATGGGGCGCTGATTTTTACGGAAATAGTTAGACAAATGACATTGGAACGCGTTGTCAACGCATGTTTGCATTATCATACAGTTCTAAACATGGAAGCACCGCGAACGCCAGACACATTGACTCTATTGTAAGGCGGTATCATACCCCTTTCCATTCATGCTATATGACCCAACCATAGCCTCGGGTGGAGAAAAGACATGGCCTAGCGAAAGATGGAAGTCTACTGCTCATACGCATGGAAAGACTAAGCCATCACAGCCGTGGCCGGAGCACCAGTCCTAACACCGTTCCTCCCATGCTGACTCCTCTGCGAGCCTGGCTTCGCAAGCGTGTACCTTACCGAGTCGTTAGCAACCTTTCCTTCTCTCGATAGTCACATGTGGAAAGGAGGACATACTTAGCAAACGCCCTCGCCAACGCCTTCTTGCAGCTGACCTTCTGCCCGCCGACAAACGAATCCACCGTCACTGCGATGGCGCGGTCGACATCTTGCGAAGTGCAGTACTCAGACAGACGCATCTTGCAGAAAGCTTCGCTGATACGCATGATGGCTTCCAGATGGCGGACCTAAGGTCACATTCTTTCAGCACTCATGATTCCAGGGAAGAGGGCAGAGCGCACTCACAGTAATGGGATAAGCTCCCGTCGCCAGACTCTCCCTCCTCATATCTGCAAACAGCCTCGCCACCTTATCCTGATCAATCTGATAAAGCTTCGGTCTGCACTTCTCCCTCGCGTACAGAATATACTTCCTTAGCAATTGCTGCGGTATCTCTCCTTCCTGCTTCGGCTCCCCGCCATTGATTCGTTGGTCACGCATCTCGGTGTCGTGTTCAGACTCCATGGCGTTCTGATTCGCGTCAATGGAGTTGGCGGAAGGGTGGGCGCGGCCATGAGAGTTCACGACGAAGGAGGCTAGGCGCTCGTCTTCGGCTGGATCGACGGTGTCGCGGACCACGACAAGGATGTCGAAACGAGAGAGAATGGGCTCGGTAAGTTCGACGTTTTGGGCGAAGGGAATGGTGCTGTTGTATCTGCCGCCGATAGGATTGGCTGCGGCAACAATGGCACAGCGTGCTTGTAAAGTGGTTACGATACCAGCTTTAGAGATGGAAATGGTTTGTTGTTCCATGGCTTCGTGGATGGAAGTGCGGTCTTGATCGTTCATTTTGTCGAATTCGTCGATCAAACAGGTACCGCGATCTGCGAGCACGAGGGCACCGCCTTCTAGGGTCCACTCCTGTGTCAACGGATCTCGACGTACGCTGGCTGTGAGACCGACAGCGCTAGCACCTTGACCTGTAGCAAAGACGGCTCGGTGAGCGGTCTTTTCGATGTATTTCAGTACTTGCGATTTGGCTGTTCCCGGGTCACCGAGGAGAAGGATGTTGATGTCACCGCGGATCTTGTGCTTGCCCTGGGCTTCCTTGCTGACGCCCCCGAAGAGGGAGAGAGCGACGGCTGTTTTGATGTCTGTGTGGCCGTAAATGCTAGGGGCGATAGAAGCGATAATCTTGTCTACGATTTGGGGATCTCGAGACAAGGTGCGGATCTCACGTTCGTCTTCTTCGTTAAGGCGGAAACCAGCGAGCTGATCGTGGGACTGCACGACGTGATTTGCCTCTAGGATGGTGGCGAAGACGGGGAAGCCGTTGCGGTTATTGAGTTGAGCATCGTAATTGTTGCGGTAAATGCCTGTCACTTCGATTTCCTCTCCTGGCTTTGCTGAGTCAATCAAGTCCCAGAGGAGGATTACCTCTCGGTGTCGAGGGAGACGACCGGCTGGCACGGTACCGGGCGACTCTTGGAGTGTGAGCTTTTGGTAATTGCGGTAAATGGTCTTTTCAGAGTTCAGGGTGAATGGGCCCCGGGATTGGCAGTTCTGACAGTAGGAGATTCGGACTTCGACATTCGACTCTTGTTGGAAAGGACCCAATGTGACACCGCATTTCGTGCAGTCGAATCGTACGTACTTCAATTGTGGGAAAACACCTGTTCGTCGAGTGACAACTCCAGTAACTCGCACTAGGCAATTCAAATGCGTTTGACGAAGCTGACGAAGAGTGTAGTGAACTGGGAGGTCTGATATGCGGACATGAATTTCGGAATGGATGCGCTCGTAGTCCGGATAATGCAGCAGAGTCACGTCCATAGCGACCTGATCGAATATCTTGAGAACCTCAGCCGGAGCATTGGCGAGGAAATAGGCTAAGATGGCCTTTGATGCGGAAAGATGGTCATATGAGACTTCCAGAGACTCTGCGTTGACTTCTCCCAATGTCCGCACTCGAGTCCCGTAGACTGAGGTGCCATTGTCATCAGTATACTCAGTGAGAAAGGATTTGAACTCTCTGAAGATTGATCGATATACTGCCGGCAGAGCAACCCAATCAGTCAAGCTTGAGGCCTTGACGTCTTGCAAAGTCTCCAAGGAAAGCTCTTCATCCATGATATCCTCTCCCATCTCTTCGTCTTCTTGCTCTTCATCATAGTGATGTCTTCTTCGCCTGGGCTGCCTTGTGAGATCCACCTCTCCATCTTCATCCTCGTCCTGCAAGAACGCAGCCGGCATACGGCGTCGACGTGCCAATTCTCTATCCCGCTTATTCAAGCGAGCTTCAAGCTGTCTTCGGGTGGTCACATCAAGATCTTCGTAATCGCCTTCATCATCAATGTCTGCCCCGGCATATGCATCATTCTCGCGAGCTTTGTAGTCTCGCTCAAAGTTGTCCGCGAATAGATCAATTCCGTCCTCGTCTTCTGCCATCTCGTCTGCGTCGTCAATGTCGCCAATGAGATCACGGTCCGGATCTAACCCTTCGTCCTCTTCGTCGTCAAGAGGCATCATTGGTGGCGAAGATGGAGGCGCTGTAGCTTGTCAGTGACCAAGCCTTATGAGACGGTAGCCTTTCACCCACGACTTGAGGGCGGAGCCGCAGACGAAGATGGAATGTCATCATCGGGCTCTCTCGATCGCTTGCGCCCATTGCGAGCGGCAGCACCCCTATTCGCGGCAGACATATTGGGTCGGAGTGGTGAGCTGAAGGATGTCAGTTCTTGTCTGAAGGCGCAGAGTAAGGCGCTTGGGATTTGGCACAGTACCTCATTTGGAACAAATATCTTGAGATCTATTGTTTGCTGAAGAAGTGAGGGATGAGAGGTAAAGGGACAATGTCTTGTACTCTGAACAGTGAAAGAGGAAGAAAGTTGGCAAATCGAGGGGTGTAGGGTTCGAGTCGCGTCGCGCGACTTTAACGCGAGTCCGGAACTTGTTGGTCACCGTACTAGATTGATTCTTGGCGCCTCTCTATTTCATCTACTCACTACCTTACATAAACATCGTTCAGCTGAAGTATGGAAGACTCACAGGACATCGGTCTGCCGTTGAATGGCCTTCCGGATGAAGCGCGCAAAGATAGCGTCTCTGAGGCCTCACAACATTCCCAAACGGCCTCCGATTTCATTGACAGCCAGCTTCAACTCGAAGCCGACGCGCGCGAAGCCTTGCCATACAAATTTGAGCACTGCACGCAGCCTTTAGGTCCTCTCCGCCAGAATTTGTTCTCCTGCTTGACTTGCAATCCAAGCCCTGCCTCGCCTTCCGATCCTTTCACTCCAGCAGCGGTCTGCTATTCCTGCTCTATCGCATGTCACGGCGAGCATACATTGGTCGAGCTCTTCAATCGGCGCAACTTCACCTGCGACTGTGGCACTACGAGACTACCATCAACCTCACCTTGCACGCTTCGCATAGATCCGACGACAGGGATGAAAGGCCCAATCCATTCGCAGACCCCGGCTGAAGGAAATACCTACAATCAAAACTCACAGAATCGGTTCTGCGGATGTGGGGAATTTTACAATGCGGAAGAAGAAAAGGGGACTATGTACCAGTGTCTGGGTCTTACGAGCGAAAAGGACCGTGGTTGTGGAGAAGATTGGTGGCATCCAGAATGTGTGGTGGGCCTTGGGAGAAATTGGACCAAAGCTCAGGCACAGATCAAGCAAGAAAGGAATGCAGTCATTAATGGCGCCGATGATGCAGATGCAGACCACCCACTACCGCCAGGATTCCCTGATGAAAATAGCTTCGATACCTTCATTTGTCACAAATGCGTGGATGTCAATCCTTGGATTAAGCAGTATGCAGGAACCGCTGGTTTCTTACCTCCGGTCTATCTATCAGAAAGTGACGGCACCGCAAAGAGATCCCGCGAGCAAGATGAAGAAGCCCAAAGGTAAGGTCTCTTAAGAATGCTTGTCTATCTGAGTATTCTGACACTCCGTAGACGCCTTGCTGAATACAGCGCCGCCCAAGCTGAGGTTACTGAGGAGCTGAGAGAAGCGAAGCCGACAAGCAACGGGACCAATGGGAACGACATGCTCGAAGACGACGCGCCAAAGCAAGAGGCATTCCTTCAACCTGTTGCGAGTAGTGATGCCAACAGCAAGAAGCGCAAAGCCGACGATGCCACGCTTGACTCATCCGAGTCTTCCGACTCGAAGAAGAACAAAACCATTTCAAGATACCATGATTATCTTCCGGAGCTTCCCACAGGGTCTTTCTCGATGTTTTTGAAAGAGGACTTCCGAGAACGTTTCTGTCGGTGTCCAAGCTGCTATCCTAAGCTCAGCAAGTACCCCCAACTGCTTGAAGAAGAAGAATCTTACGAGCCTCCAATATCTGAAAGCGGAGAAGAAGGTGGGCAGAGTGTGGGCACCGCAAGTCTACTTGATAGGGGCGAGGCGGCCCTGAGCAATGTGGATCGGGTCAGAGCCATTGGTATGTGCTCTTCTCCCATGACGCGCGAATGGTGTCATTTTGAATGAAATCACATGAACCCCAGGCTAATGTAGTTGCGTTCCGTCTGACAGAGGGTGTCATGGTCTATAACCACCTTAAGGACAAGGTCAAGAGCTTTTTACAACCCTTCGCCGAAAGCGGACAAGCTGTGGGCGCAGAAGACATCAAAGCATATTTCGAAAAGTTGAGAGGTGATGAGCAGGGAATCCAAGCCGCAGCGGTGTCTAGAGGCAATGGTGGCGGAGACAGAGGAGACAACAGAAGAGAGCAGAGTGGTAAGCGAATTGTACCCACAATAATTGTGGAAGCTTCTGCTGATCATCGTACATCTAGGCTATTAGATCTGGACTGGATGACTACATGTAGGCAGATATCAGACCATGTCCGCCTTGGGTATGGGACATGATCACTCCGTCATCGGGGTTCATTTGTGTGGGCAGCAAGTCGACGGATAGGAGATGCAGCAGCTTTCTCGCATACGTTTCTAGCCTGATCCCTATCCCACGTGTACCCTCCATGTCAGAGATGGTACTGCATGATTGTTGGCTTGTCAGTCTTTGTACCCACTCACGCCAATCTTAGGATCTAGACTTCCGTAGTCTGTTCTTCTTCTTCGGGTGTATTCCCCTGAACCTTACCCGTAGCCGTAGCCGTAGCCGTAGGTCTGGGGGAAGAGAGTGTACGTAAAACTACTTCAGTAGCCTTGGTAGAGGAGTTTGACATTCAGACTGCAATTAATAATGCGCTTTGGGTTTGGACCAGAGCGCGTGTTGAAACAGACAGTATACGCCGTCTGCGCCAATCGACCAACAAGTCAAGATGCCGCATCGTTTACAAAAGGAAAACGGCGTCAGAAAAATTACAATCATTGTTTACGACTTTGCGTTTCTTCCCTTCGTTTATGTTCGGTGCCTAGGAAGTACTCCGGAGAAATTGCGACGCTTTGCGGAGAGCAGCTCCCTCAATCTGACGTTGCGATTGGCTGAAGCTCCACCCCCCAGATTCCAACCGAGTCCACTCCGCCCATTAGACTGTCATCCATATCCAGGTTTGTACCTTGCACCACCACCTGACATCGTCCTATATCAATCAATCAATCAATCTCATTGTCTGAAACACGTGCCCTGATGATGTTACTTAACAAGGAAGGTGGTCTGCACGATGACCAATATGGGCTACAGTTACAAAAAGCTGCAAGGTCCCGACGATGTTCAGCTACAAGACCTACCTCTGACAGAGACTGCCAAAGAAGAGCTTCCTTTACCCCAAAACTTCTTCCATCGGCACCCAAAGACGACTTCTTGGGCGATCAAGATGTTAATTGCTTTCCTTGTGCTGCTGTCGGCGCTCAGCTTGACGCGCGCAGCTGTCCTTGAGAAGAAGCAAGCTGCCTCGACGGCTAGCTCTAGCACTACTAGGGTGCCTCAAGTCTTTCAAACTACTCCCGAACTGTTCGCCGGTATGTTGACATCTCACAAATTCAATTGCTCATCAATTGACTGGTCAAAAGGTCCAACTGCGACAGGGCGTGCGCCCTTCCTGGCCCAGAGCAACCCCGCTCCCTTCGGAGTAGCCTCGTTCGTTGCTAACCACCCTCTTGAGACCGCGATACCTATCGTTGGCAACACTCAGAATGCGAGTATCTTCCAGCAAATGGGGAACGTGAGCCCATACTTCCCAAACCCCAGGTTCGTTGCGAGCAATTCTTATGGCAGAAGCCCGCTAAACGCAGCAGTGGGTTTGGTGTCAACGAAATACCTCTTCCTGCTGGAGCCAATATCACCCAACTCCACATGCTGCACCGCCATGGGAGTCGCTATCCGACATCAAATAGTGGCGTTCAGAAATTCGGGGCAACACTGACAGCTTTGGTACGTACTTCCGGCTATCAGTTCTTCCTATTCTGTACCAGTGCATAAGTCGCAAGACATCTAACAATGAGACTGGCCACCCTTTATCCTTTTCTCGCTACTCAGACTCTCGCATTTAAGAAGTAATGCTGACTCCAAAATCTCCGTAGGCCGCGAACAAAACTGCAAACTTCACTGGACAACTTGCTTTCCTGAATTCTTTCAGTTACGGCCTTGGAGTTGAGATCTTGGTCCCCATTGGACAACAAGAACTCTTCGACTCCGGTGTGCTCCACTACTATGATTACGGGCATCTATACAATACTTCCACCAAAATCATCGCTCGGACCACCACGCAAGACCGGTATGTACATTTTCGGAGCAAATGCTTCGTATCTGGATCACTCTACGAGTCGCGAGACATGTTCCCGGAGCAAAACGCTCTCAATACCTCTTCGGGCTATTTCGTTACTCGGTTGTTACCTTGATGAAGCAATGCTGACTCTTTGAAAGTATAGTGAAGAGTGCGGAGTATTTTATGGCAGGCTTCTTCGGTCTCAGTAAGTTTTTCTTAAGCGGTAGGAGTGTCGAATTTAGTCGGCCAATGCTGACTCCCACAGGTTGGACGAACAACGCCACATTAGAGGTTATCATTGAAGGAAATTTCATCAATCCTGACAATGTCACCCTTGCGGGATATGATAATTGTAACAATAGCAACACTGCTGTGAATGAAGGAGGGGACAATGCCACCGCCATTTGGACAGCAAGTTATCTCAAGAATGCCACAGCACGTCTCAACGCTCTTTCTGGCAAATTTTTCAATTGGACCACTGCCGATGCCTACGAGTGAGTCGCGGGGACCGCTTTCCGATGGCTGCATACTGACTTTGAACACAGTGCACAAACGCTCTGCCCGTACGAGACTGTAGCTTTTGGCTACTCTTCGTTTTGCGATTTGTTCACCTACCAGGAATGGCTCGACTTTGAATACTCCATTGATCTATCCTTTGCCGGAGGCGACTATTTCCAATCACCAACCGGTCGCGCAGTTGGCATAGGATATGTCGAAGAGTTCCTGGCTAGAGTGAACAACCACACGTTGAATACAGCCACAGCTCAAGCCAACATCACTCTCGACAACAACACTGCCACATTCCCGCTAAACCAGACCCTTTACTTCGACTTTTCGCATGACACCAACCTCGCAGCTGTGCTGACCGCTTTCGGCTTCACCCAATTCGCACAATTCTTGCCGACCACCGGACCGCCAGCAAATCAGCAGCTCATCGTATCCCATCTTCAACCTTTTGGAGCACGCATCGACATAGAGATAATCAAGGCCCCACAACCCGTCGCCGCCAATCGTACCACGGCAGCGAATGCCTATACATCAGGACCACCTACCAACTATGTACATTTCCTGGTGAACCAGAGGACGCTCCCTCTCGGGCCAAGCTTCCCTTCGTGCGGTAACAGGACGGATGGGTGGTGTGAGCTGTCAACCTTTTTGAACATCCAGGCCGGATCTCTGGCGGCCGCGCAGTACAATTATGCTTGCAACGGGAATTATCCTGCAGTGCCATATGGCTCGCTCACAAACGGGGTGCCCCAGGCTACTGCCACCTAAATCTGTCGTTGCTAGTACGGTAGAAAGTGACTGATAAGTACAAAAAGATATACACGCATACCGTCTATATAGCATCAATGCAATAATTATTATAGCCCTCAATTCTTCGCTTTTGATGGGTATGTCTATCTTTTCAGTTCCAGCGTGGCACTGGCGATCTCCTTCCTTCTGACAATGTGCATGATTCATGAGAAAGCTTTCGGCTCTTTCGGCAACCTCTACATGCTTTTTCGGACCTGATTTGGACCGAACATGTATGTTTTCTCCAATACTACATTCCATCGGAACGGGGCCCTAATCAGTAATCAGGCTCGGAAGACTACTTTCAAACATCAAAACTCGGAGGAGACTACTACGCAAGGAAGTAATATCTTAATATGTGTAAAAGATTGAGAAAGAAAAGAGATGGAGGGCTCAATCAGCGTGGTGGGAAGTTCTGGGAACGACCCTCGGGGTCATTTGCGATACCTTGACTCGACAAGAAGGTGGTGAAGACAGAGCTGGGCTTCTGACTAAAGCTAAGTAGAATCGTTCTCTTCATATCCTATAGCGTGCTCTATTTTTTTTCGATCTCTTCACCGAGCACTACTTACCAAGGACCGGTATGTATTTCCGTGCCGGTGCCATTGGTCTGATACTCCCATGCGTGATGTATCGTCTCAGCCGGGTTAAATTCTTTCCAGCTATTGAGACTCCGTTCGTGGCGGCTGCGCAAAGTTTCGGTATCCCAAAAGACGCTTGGTATTTCGATTAGCTCCATTGTCTCTCCGGCATCCCAAATATCGATGATGGGTATCATCATGAATTTTTTCCACGCCGAATGCATATGCTTCAGCGTGTCTCATTGTCCATCATGTGACTAGTAATCGGACAACCTTTGCTTACCTCGTCCAGAAAGTGACTTGTCTGGGAAAACGGTTGGGAACCTTCGTTTCCTTTGATGGTGCATCGCAATGTCGACTTTTTGGATGCTTGTAAGAGCGTTCATAGATGAAGCCAATAATGTCATTCTTTCCTGTTTTCGTACGGGGGGCCCACTGAACCCACTTGGGGATGTGAGAAAGATGAATCGTGAAATGTCATGTAATCGAGTGTATGTGAGTGCCCTCCGTCTTCTGCGATCCCTGACCATACTGGAAACTAAAGACGCAGAATCAGACCACGTGTACGTCCATAATATGGCGTAGCATCAAGCATATTACCCTAGTCCAGGAAAAATGTCTCGTCGATCAACATCGCTCCGCTTCCTTCAAAATCTTCCCTAGGATACAATGTGGAACACTTCTGTCTCCTCGCCCCTCTCATATCTTCAGCAGCGACGAATTGTACGTCTCTTTTAAATGCTTGTCTAAGTTTGTCATCGTGCGGTGACTCGTTGATCATCTTCATCTCTACTATACACACCTCTATTTCTCTTCCAGCGTTCCTCTCAGCCGGGCCGAGTATTCGGCACTCAACCGCCTCAACTGCTAACCTCCCTTCATCTGGTCACGCGCTCGTCAACGGTGGAGCCCCAACAATCACGTACCGACTCCTCGGTGGACCCCTACTCCTCCGACCACGGGACGGGCATGCAACCCTGTAGACACAGACTCTGACAGTGGTAGTACGTGCTTGCGGACCAACAGACTGTACCCGTACCAAATACACAACGACTTCTGCACTTGTCAATCAAAGTGCCCCAGGCTGTCAATACAACCATCTCTCCTGTGCCGGTGCCTCGGTGCATGATATCCCCACCTCATCAATCGGAGACGCCAGCTTTATTCAAAGCGCGGATCTCTATACCCTTACCGTCGTTTGGCTGAACAATCACCATCTTGGGTCGACTCGTTCCATTCTCCTGCCACAATCGTGCTGTATTGTGACACCACGTTTCGGAAGTCGCATCCGAGCCCTTGCCCTTTGGCGTCATACTTCTTTCCCATCGCGACCGGCATCCCGTTCGTCCGGGAAAAAATCCGTCACTGCGGAGCAAGGAACGCGGCTCCACACGCTGGAAATGCAAACCCCGATATCAACATCCCTGCTCACACCCGGAGATTTCCTCGATCACTCCTTACCCTCCTACCAGACCACCCACCCACCATTCGACCCGTCTCTAGACGATAAACAGACATCGACGCAATCACCGACCGACATCTTCTCCAGACGGGCCCGAGCAAAAGCGCGATTGTGCCGCAACGTCGGTGCGCGGGTACTCACTCTGCTCGGGAGATTCGAGCGTACCCTTCCCGCGCGCGTACGGACGGCAGATCACCGTCACCGTCGGCGAAGGAGCCGCAAGGTGGGTAGGGAGGGAGGGAGGGAGGGAGGGTCTCCTGCTCGAAGCCGTTGAGGGATCGAATTGAATCTTTTCCACGATCTGCAGGATGGATACAGAGAGAGAGAGAGAGAGAGCGAGCCTTCGCCGCACGTCGAAGATTCAGATCAGCCTTGCCTCCGCGTGACCGCACTAAAAAAAAACCTAAAGACAGCGGTCTCACCGCCGGCCAAACCGGGCACTTCCACGACTCGAAGCTTTCCGCCTCGGTGAGCGACTCCGGGCATGGAAGAATGCAAAAGCCCCACGGACCGTCTTCGATAGGATACGGCAGCGTGGTCTGAACAGACGTCTTGTGCTGACTCAATGCATGCCATGCATGTAGTTGTCTCGGCCATTGACTCATGGGTGGCGTAGACTGAGCATGAAGGCGATGGTTTCAAGGGCTCCGGATATGTGTGAAGGAAGTCAAGATGAGATGAGATGAGATGAGATGAGATGAGATGAGATGAGATGAGATGAGACGAGATGAGATGAGATGAGATAAGATGAGATGAGGTGGAAGTGAAGGTGGGTGTTGAAGGAAACGAGCCTGCCTACAGATGGTCCTGTTGGCGCGCTGAACAAAGTCGACGTTGCATTGGACCTGGGGGATGAACTTTTGATACATGGTTCGATATGATTAGCACATGCACACACTCTCACTCTTCCTCCTCCTCAATCGCACCGTTCCCTCCATGCAACATGCCCATACCACCCTTCTCCCCCTTCTTCCGTCCCCCCAGCACGTCCCTCCCCCACCCAGCCAATTGATAGCACCACCCTCCACCCACCAGGATCCCACTCACCACATTGACAACCCTTACACACAACGCCAACAGCCCTCCCCTCTCCTCTCTGATCGTCAGCAGGATCGGCTCGATGTCAAACTTGAAGAATATACCCGGCACGGAGCGTTCGTTGACATCGTGGGATTGGGAGGTTACGGCGTATTGGTTTGTGATTATGGTGTCGGAGGATGTGGAGAGCATGTTCGAGGGGGAGATGGCGGAGGGGGTTTTGGGAGAGGGAGTCCGCGTGTAGATTGTGGGGACGACGGAGAGGTAGTATTGGTATTTGTAGAAGTTGGCGCCGGTTGTGGCGTAAGTTTTGTCCAGAGGGTTGAGGAGGGAGGGGTAGAGGGGACCGAAGGATAGTTCGTTGATTATGTGGGAGAAGTTGAATGCTACATCGCTCGTCAGCACTGTCGCCAAATGCAGGGCCGCTCAGACAAGGGCGATCGGGAAGGATGCTTGGAAAAAGAACAGGATCGAGATTGAGAATGTCATGGGAGAAGACGTACCAGAATGATCCAAATGCTGCCCGAATTCCATATAGCCATGCCCCCTCGCCGTAATATGAAAGTCCCCCTGCACCTTATTGCCCTCCAAACTGCCATAAACCCTACAGCTCGTCCCCGGCATGCCCCTCCCCAACCTCGGCGTCTTCTTGAACCGTCGCTTTTCCCTCCCATGCCCCAGCACGTGCCCCACATGCGTATCCTCCTCCTGCTCCTTGGCCAAATCCTTCCCCTGTCTCTCCAGCGTGTTCGCCCGCTCCACCCACAGTCGCCAGTTCGTAGCGTCCTTGGTCAGCAAGTCGCCGGCGAGTATGCGATCGCCCGAGGCGTCTTGCACGTTGATGTTCAGGTCGGAACAGAGCATTGGGATTACGACGTCGAGGTTGATTTGCAGTTCGTGGGAGACGCCTTTCTCGACGCTGAAGAGATGCGTTTCGCGGCCGGAGTACCAGCGGCGGAGCTCGGTGAAGGAGAGGATGGTGCTGATCAGGATCAGGAGGAGGGTGGTGTAGCCGCCGGTGGAGGAGCGCCGGGTGTAGGTGGGTTTCGTTTTGGCTAAGAGAAAGGGTCGTTAGCTGGGCGCACTGAGGGAGGACTGGGCTGGTAGGATGGGGCTTGGGCGTCAAGATCATTGAGCAGGTGTATCTGGTACGGAGTGACACGACTGTGTACGCATCGGAAGCGCAATCGGCTGGGAAAAGACATACGGAAGGCATCGAAGGTCCTCAGGCCTTCAGAGAAGCCCTTCTTCTCCCCGAAAGCGCCCTCATCCAAGGTGCGGTCTGCGAACCCGTTCATATGGAGCTATCTTATTCATCGGTGCATCAATCTAAGAGGTATGTATCCGTTTGCGACTCGTCCTTCGATCAATTGCAAGAGAGTGTTGAGTTGGTGAAGATGACAGCTATTCCTCAGCCAAAGACGCGCAAAAAGTCAGCCCTATGAGCCTCGGTCTTGAGCCCACCCCTGGATCTCATCTTGAAGAGTTGCGAGCTCCGTGCCTGGAACGGGTACGATATCACTATTGTTTACGGCCTGGATCGGAGCATGGTTCATGGTACATGGTATATCTGTAATTGTATTTGGAAGCCTAGGGTTGTGTTCTCGAAAAGATGAAGTATGTACAACAGGAGCAGAGGCGCCGGCTGATCTTGACAAGCCAACGTACCCCATCGTCGAAGATCGCACACGACAAAGTCCTTACCACCCACCAAAGAAGAGAAGAAGCACGAAAGCCTGAGCAGCGACCATAATAGTTGGCTAGATACATAGGCCATGCTAGCCGCCCAGCACCACCTGCAAAGTCGAGATCACTTGGTCATCGGGACAACCATCAGTGCAATCAATACCCATCTGGAAGCCACCTACCCATATGTGAGAGCTTGCATCGTGTTAACACATCCATCCGCGGCTGCGCTAAGTAACCAAGGCGAGAGTCCGGATAAAGAAGAAGCTGGAGCGAATCGTGCCGTATTCACAGGGGTAGAAATAAATTCGAGCGAGTGACTGAGGCCGTATAGAACTCGAGGAGCGTACGTCGCATCTGACCGGCCAGATATTTGCAAGAGAAGATAAGATTGCGCCATCAAGATGGTGTCTGGGGTATCGAATTTTGTACATCATGGGGTCGTCGTACGTAGCAATCATGACACTCGTGTCTTATCCAGTGCACTCAGACCTTTATCGTTTAATCCGACAAGACGTAGGTCCCCTGACCGCTCATAAGCTCGACCTAAGTTGAAGTAAGTATGTGGTATGATCGCCAATCAGAAAGGATTGTACTGACAGTGCAGCCCTGATCATTGCAATCGTGGTAACTGTCCCCAGAGCAATACTTGCCACTGGATACTCTGCAGTTGCCGCTGGTATCGCCCTGAATGGTGACGGTATAGTTTAGGGGTGAGTACGAACTTGGATTGTTCTGCGCAGTTGACGAGATTGAAAGCCAGGTTTTGCCATAAACGTCCTGACCGACACCGAGGTAAGAAGGGGCCCAATTGCCCATATCAGAACCGTCAGTGGCCCAGATGCAGGCATCCTCAACAGCGATACCTTGGTTGTTTATATAGTATTGTGCGCTCGTCGGTAGACCGTCCCACTGAAAGTAGTTATTGGCATCCGGGCAAGTCAGAGGACTAGTGCTCTCAGGCTGAGTATTCAATGGGACAATCTCGTTTTCAGTACCTAGAGCAATCAGTCAGTAGTTGCTACAAAGGAGCTATGCGATTGACAAACCGGGGTAGTCGGTGCGGCATATGGCGGCGTTGCTGGCGAGCTTGTTCTGGACAGTTGTAGCTCCGGTTCCTTTCATACAAAGAGTCTTTGATAGGCTGGGATTGGTCAAAGAGAGTTTGCCAGCCGAATTACATTGGATACCTCCGACAGACTGGCCAGTGGATCCTTGTGCCGAAGGCCACTGCGACTTTTGGTAACCAGGGGGGCACGCGTACGAACACATGGCGCCTGGAATACATCCCTTGCCTCCGGGAACAGCAGTGACAATGTTGGTTACCGAGCCGCCCTGGATTGTGACATACTGGATGCCAGCCCAGCCACCAAGATTAGCCCATTCGACTTCGATCGGTCCATACTCGGAGGGAAAGGTGGAGCAGTCAATGGTACCGTCTGGGAATTCCAGCTCAAGACCTTGACCTTCAGGAACGCTGCCAGACTGGGAGGAAGAGGTCTCTATCGAAGACGGTGTGGCAGTCGTAGAAGTGACGATTGGCGCAGAGTCGGATGAGGCGGTTGAAGTCGGGGGTACAGGGTTGGTTGTCGACAAGTGCGCAGGCATACTCGAGGCTGGCTCGGTCGAAGGTTCCGGCGCTTGCGAGGACTGGACTGGGCTTGCCTTGACATCGTTCTTCTCTTGGACGGCTACTGACGGTAGAGACGAGGCAACCCCAGTGGCCGCAGTAGTTGCTGTTGGCTTCGCGATGGCTCCATGGCTGAATGATAAGCACTCTGAAGGGACGTTGGTTGGATCTTCCCATTCCAAAGTACCAGCATCGATACCTTGGCAGACTTCGTCCTGGCCCACAATCTTGCCTTTGAAGACAAAGGCAACAACAGTGGGTCCTGGAACGTCCACAGTCTTGAAAACTTCAGCGGCAGATCGCCTCACGGCGTGAAGATGCTGGTGGTTGTGGATTTGAGTTGGCGAAGCTCTAGCAATGGCTGGAGCCGTTACTAGCGTCAAAATGACGACGTCAATAAGAAGGCGGAAATACATCTTTCGCTTAGTCTAGACGCGATCGTGGCTAATGAAACCAGGCTAGAGTGCGGCGTAGGGTCGTTCAAAGACCCTAATTGGCTGCAGTACCGACTGTGGGATAAGGTATGGATGTTGGATAGGTACTATTGGTGGGCATATGTCAGTCTCGCGTTAAGACATTGCGACGCTGCAAGGGCATTGACGGCGTGTAGACGACCGGCAACGAACGACCATTGTTAAATTCTCTAGCAAGCAAATATGACTTTCGAAACAATAATGTGCATGCATAAACAACGTACAATGAGTGTGGTGATGTGCTGGCCTTGTCAATGCTGTTGGCCGAGCTAAGTGAGATTGTGATCTGACTGAATGGAAGAGCTGCCGGCTTGCGGTTTGCTTTCAACGAGTGTGATATGAAGTGTAGGTGTTTATTGGAAGAGGGTTGGAAGAGGAGAATAAATCAAGACAGCAGGAAATTGTACTGAGTAAGAAATTGGAAAGAGTTGTAACTGAAGAGAATGTAGTTGTCGTGGTTGTGCAGGGCGGACTAAGTAAACGCAATGGTGCTGTGGGTAACTGCAGGCTAGCGCGACTCATGTCCCGACCAATCAGCGTTTGGCAGGTGTTGCTGGCGGGACTCAGATGACTTTGGCTTCACAGTTTGGGACTTCTGCTCTCTACATTCCCTGGTTTGACGAACAGATCGCATACAATGCGCGACACGGTCGGAAGTCATACTATGTTGCTTACCAGAATTGCTGCTTGACAAGTGGTCGTCTTCTTTAGGTGTATGGGCCGGCGCCGAAAATGTGTTGCTGATGGAGGTGAATTTGATGCTGGATTCTAGGGACAAGAGTATGTATTTTTGAAGGAGAGAGTGGGAGATGCTGGGTTATAAGTAAGAATCCGTTTGGAGAGAGGGCATTTGAGAGCTTTTGATGGAAGGGCAGAGCGGTGAGATCGAGAGAGGAAGGAGCCGCCATTGTGAACACGGCGCACTTGTTCAATTATTCATTCTGTCCTTGGAACAATTTCCAGATCACTTCACATAACAATTTTTATACTGCTGGTAAGCTAATTCATTCTCTCCTCTTTCTCTCAGGACTTCAAGACGTTTCAACGAATTATGAATGCTGCGACTGGGTTTTTTCTTTCCAATGGTGGGAAGAGAATTCATTATGAAGCAATGTAGTGAAGCAATGTAGTGGAGTCTCGAATTGTGGTCAAGGCTTTTCAAAGTACGGTGCTACCCCACACTTTGCGCTGGTGGGCTGAAACAAAAGACGGTCTCCCCCTGGTTCTGGCCAACAGAGGTATGAATACGCGGCGGTACCTGCAGAAGTTGGAGCGGTGAGAACTTTCGCCGAGGCAGAATGTGGGGGCAGTTGTAGGCTCAGCAGGTACTCGAAGCCTCCAATGTCTCTGGATATGATTGACCGAAGTTCGATTCCTCTGCTCTACTGGAGGTCCAAGTCATGCGTGCCGTGCATATCGCTCAATGAAAGCTACAAATTATTCCGATTGTGCAGAAATCAAGTGGCATGCTCCAGCTTCTACCAGGTGGGTCTACTGTTCAATAGACTCAACATTGCGTGCTTTTCCCCTAGTGCCGGTACTTGAAGCAGCCAATCACCACATGAGCATGAGCGGTACCTGAAGGCTTTCAATATGACCGAACGTCTCCAGTAGTACGTGGCAAGACCCGAAATACTTGTATACCGCAGTCTCCAGGGCGAAGCCAATTGTAACGAATACCGAAATGGCCGAAAGGGTCACTCGCTGTATCACTTCTTTCTCTTCCAGGCGCTTTGGTAGCGCTACAGTCTATGCCTTTCATTACGGTAGGAGAAAAGCTCATGGAATTTCCAGTCTTATCCATGTATGCCCTGCATAAGCCCTAATCGCTCAGAATTTCTCGAGCACTGCGCTTTCAACGAATGCACTGCAACCACATCGGAGTCAGCCTGTACCAATCCTTTGCTCAGCGACATTGTATCCTCCTTTGTCGGCACTGGCGCCACCACCCCACCTTTCGTGCTCTCGCAGCGAAGAAGTGGGTCGCGACGTCCGTGGAGGAGCTCTTCGCTGTTGACGTAGAAAGAGAGGTCTCCAGGGACAACGGATCAAAAGGAGCTCTTGGCGCTTACTGGTCTCTTGACAAATAGAGAGCAAGGCAGGTTTTCAGTCTCAAAGGACTAGGCGACGAAAGCCAAGTCTTCCAGATTTACGACTATGGTGAGACCGTGAGTTCTATCAGGCAACAAGCGGTGAAAAGCAGTAACGCTGCGTAAATGTCGTGGACAGCGACCAGCTAACGTCAGATCCATCCGAGGAACAGGGAAAGCTTGCGCATCTCCCGACCCGTATCCGCTTTCCTCCTTGAGAAGTTCTAGAACGAGAATATGCAGCCCTGTTCTTTTTTCGCTCAATATTTCTGATGGTGGGGTGAGAAACCAGCGCATTTCTTCGCAGGGCGGAAATATTGGGCTGCAGGATTCAAGGGATGCAGTATACTGCTACTTGGCATTAGTAAGTCCCCTACGTGGAAGGATGCAGACTTGACACTGGTATGCTCCTAAGATCACGTTTACGTGCTCGTCAAGCACATGAACAAAATAAGATATGTTGGACCGCAGCAATGGGAGGACTTTCCGAGCAAAACGAACGGGCGGCTTCAATCGCAGAAGAAGAGCTAGCGAAGGCTGTTAGGAAAAGGAGATTTAGTGAAAGGACGAGTGCTTCAGCACCTTGAGGACGGGGTCCTGCAACATGGACTAATGCACATGCTCTACCGCTCTGCTTCTATCATGTTTGGTCCCAAGCGATGACAAATGCAGTTCTCATGGTGAGACAACTGTTTGCAGGGGGTTTTTCACCACATCCTGCTTCCCTACATGCTAAAACTTGTCAGGGCACAACGAGACACTACTAGTGGGAGGAAAGAGAAACGTGTTGATGTTCTCCGACGATGTGGGCGACTATCGTGCTCTCGCGACAGAAGATTAGAGATTTGTTTGGGCCGCTCCTGGAGGGGTGTTTGCGGTGACATATAGGTGTTAGTTGACCTTTGGGTGTCACCGCATTTAGATCTCTGGTCTTTTCTATGGCGGTCTTTCCAACCTTGCGCGATGACTCGAAAAACTAAGCGGTAGAGATAGCGTTGTGGTAGATGTGATCTCGTTGATTGGGTATCTAGCTCGCTCAACTGCTGGCTTTCTTGGTCATGAAGATTTAGTCATCAAGCCAATTACACATTAGCCTCATTTTTTGCGTAGCATTCGGTCACAATCGTCCAAATCCTTCGTTGCGATGAAATTTACAGGGCAATGCTCTCGTCTTCTTGTGCAACACGTTCGTCCTCTCCTCACCGCAACGCCTTCCTTGCAAATGTCGGCAACACAAAGCTCGCCTTGTGAATCTCCTTGTTGTAGTATCGACATAGCTTGTCCTCCTCTTGAGTATCCCAGCTCCGCACCGGCGTTGTGACGTCTCTATCTTTGTCTTTGCTGCACACCATGAAGCCGATCTGGCCCGAAGGATAGGTGGGGATGGTGGTGTAGGCGTACTCGACTGTAGGGAAGACTTCCTTGCAGGATTTTTTGAGGTCGGTAATGAGGGAGAGGTGGAGCCACTGGTTTTCCGCTGCAGCAACTGTCAGCTAGGTCGAGGGAGAGAGAGTATGTCTGAGCATCGCAGAATGACGAGGACGGACAACCTTGGGTCGTGATAACCCCGCCTTCCTTCAGTGCCCCGTACAATAGCTCAAAGTATGGCTTTTGGAACAAACTCTCTGCTGGACCCTCTGGATCACTGCTGTCTGTGATGATGACGTCGAACTCGTTCTTCTTATCCGCCAGAAATTTGAACCCGTCACCGATGTGCGTAGAGACGTTTGGATGTTGGAAGCCTATGCTCATGCCTGGTAGGTATTTCTTAGAGAGACGGATTACGGACTCGTCGATGTCGCAGAGGATTGCAGTCTCAACTGTCGAGTGTTTGACGACTTCACGGAGGACACCGCCATCACCACCGCCGATGACGAGGACGGATTTAGGATCGGGGTGGGAGTTCATGGCGAGGTGGGTTATCATTTCTTGGTAGCTGTTCTCCCGTCAGTAAGGCTGAGGTAGAGAAACAGAAAATTGGTTGGAGACGTACGCAAATTCATCCCTCTCTGTACATTGTATGACATTGTCAAGGACCAGTACTGTGCCATGATCGCTGGATTCAAAGATGAGGACGTCTTGGTATTTGGATTTCTCGTGGTGGAGGACCTGGTTGACTTTGAGAGTCATGGCCTGGCCAGGCCACATGTTAGAGATCTCGCGGAACCAGCCATCTATGAGGTCTTGATCAGCTTAGGCTCGTAGTGGATCAGCAGGAATCAATACAGAGCTGCCTGAGTACCTTTGATGGTTGGATGTGTGATTTCAGACATTGTTCGAGCAGCAGCGTTCTTGATGTGCCTTTAGAAACTACAACTGCTGACTTGGGTTGACAAAATGTGGAGCCGAGCAGTTGAAGAAATCCAAGTGGGTGAAGACAGTGTGGAAGTCCAGAAGGAAAAGGTGATTTGGAAAGGGTTGCACCAGAAGATTGAAAGTTATTTGGCGCGGCACGTCACGGCAAGTTTCACGTCATTGCATGGACTTGCCTCATGCAGGCTGTGGCAGATGAAACGCATCAGATTTTCTCTTCTATGGGATGGTCCTAAGGATTAGAGATTTGGAGCCTGTGACGAGGAGGCCTTGCCAGTGACAAGACTCAGCTGAGACCTGACATATCTGGTGAGGCTTTTGAAATGAGCAGCGTAATGTAGAAGAATCCCGCATTACTCACCCGAGGCATGAACACTTCGTCATAGAGCATCAATCGGTTTTACGAATGGCAGATGGGTGAGCGCCTTGGTGGTAACCTATCCTCCATTGCTCAATACATTCTTCTCCAACATCACAGACAAGCTGAGAAAGTTGATGAAAAAAGAGGTATTTCGCGTCGACCAGCGGCAGTGTAAGGCCGGTGACACAGTGCCAGGAAGCATGAGCAAGCTCAGAGGCAACCCGACAGTTGTAAAAATTGATTTAATCAATAAAAGGTCCGTAGACCAATTTCAGAGATTAAACTGAAAAGAACAGATACTACACTTGATCTAAGCCAAAAGGCAAAGAGAGCTGAGGAAGAAATTTGGGTCTGGGTTTCGGGGGCTTCATATACCCACTCGCCTAGCTAGTGGGACGCTAATGTTTCACCTGCGCTATCCGGATTTCGAAATTGAAATGGTGATTTACTCTTTCTCCAAGGTTTTATTTTCTCAAGTTAATTAATCTACTCTTCAACACCTTTCTCCGTGCACAGCTTATTATCGATCCTTCTCTGCTTCTGCCCGTCGCTAATTGTAGCATGATCTTTGCAGGTTGCCTCTTGATACTTCTGATATGCTTCACCTTCCACAGTTGGGACGCATTTTCCTTGCTCGAAGCTCGGTCGTCTGTGTCACTAATTCAATACTTGCCAGGGTAACTGTTCTCTCTAATGGCGTTGCTCCTGTTGGCAACTTGGGACCTGAGAGCGCGAAGCAAATCCTGCATTCTTTTAACTGAAATCACTTGAAGCTTAAGCAGTCGCCGATTCCTTAAACCCTTGCTCCGTAGAACCCGAATGGTCCACATCCAGCCCCAAAAGAATAACATCTCTCAGCAAACACTACTTCGACGGGAAGAAGCCATAAGCAATACTGTAGCATCGAATCCGCTATCCAGCTTAGTCTCCAACGACCCTGAAACATCTGACGCCCTTGAGAGAGAAAAAACCACCTCCTCGTTCTCTCGGCCTTCCACGGTAGCAGTGGGTGGGGGGCCTTTCGATCTACACTGGCGGCGCTGCGCACTCTGCTGTGAAGGGATCATTCGAGAGTTTTTAAACATAGCTAACCTCGGTGAGCTCCTCATCTTCTTGTTTCTCTCATGCAAGAGCTGAACCCTGGGGAAGCCCGTCTGCTTAAGACTAGAAGTCGTCGACCTCCACAATGGTGGGAACCCGGGCTTTTCAAAGTGTTCATAGGACGAAGAGTGAGGATCTTGATGTTGTAGCAAGGTATTCCAAAAAGCCCACCCTTCGCGTTTGACTGTCGAACTCATCTCTGAAAATCAGCTTTGAGCAGCCCAGTGCAAATCGCTCAGTTGTAGCTCCTGTTGTGTATATGTTGAACTGCCAAGGCCTCTTTGCTTTCTTGTTATTGCAATTATCTACGACTCTCTATATATGACTTTTGCTCGATCTGCTTATCTGAGAAAGAGAGTGAACAATGATTACAAAGAGGCAGGCGAACCCCGTCGAGACCTACATTGGCCACATACCACTCCCCGCGGTCAAACAGTGTCATCCTCGCTGTTCGATCCTTCCACCAATTCAGCTTCCGTCAACCCATGCCCTGCAGGATCCGGCTCCAACCATATCTTGAATTTGGTGACGCCCTTCTTCCTATCCACCCTGAGACTCTCATTAAATGCTCTTCTCATGTCTTCAAAGGTGTTCTTGTCGCCTCTCCGGATTGGGTATTCCATTTCCACCTGTGAAGTGGACAGCTTGAATACGATTTCTTCGACACGCTTTTTCGAAGTATATAATGCAACCTCGTCAAAGACTTCGCCAAGAATTTTGTCTCGAAGTGTTCCTTCGGGCCATAAAGTATAGGAAAGACGAGGAGTGCGAGCTGTGATGATGAAGTATTGTATTTGAACTTCTGGTTTGGGAGCATCTTGAGGTTGCTCCCTTGTGGCTGTCGATGAAGCGATCAGACTCGGCAGTGAAAGGGGATCTTGCTCCTCGATCACACTGCTATCTAATGGGGTTGATTGATTTGTCGCGAGTCCGGGACCAGGAAAGTATGGAGGTTCATCAGCAAACTTCAACGACTCCGCGTTTGGCCGAGATAGGGGCTGGCCATCGCCACCATATTCCAAGATGTCGAGATTTAGTGCACCGTCATCCGGTGGCCTTGATGTCGGCCGCGACGTGAAAGCGTCTTCGACTTTGATTGCAGGCGACCTTCGGTGTCGGCTTCTAGAGAAGGACGCTAACGGTGTGTCCGAAGCCTCATCATGGTCAGTGATGATGATGCTCGACTCCTCTGTTTCGTTCTTGTACTTCATGGATTTGGGTGTCTTGTGGAGTGCGTCTGGCTGTTGCGAGGCAGTTCGCTTTCTATTTGACCCCTGTATGGGCACAGACTCATCATCACCTTCGCCATTTTTGCTCGGCTTTCTCGCTAGGTCCGAATTCCGCAGTGAAAGTCGGCTTGGGAAGCCAGCGGGACCGGCTTGTATGCCTGCTAGAGGGCCCTGAAGCCCCATCTGGGTAATCGGAGCAGGGCATGCTCGCCAATGATTTCGAGGGCTCTCTCGAGGCTGTCCGGTGATCAGCGCAAAATTTTTGCAACGTAGAGTACTCGTCCACAACTCTTGGGATGCTGCTGAGCTTGATGGCATCATACCTTGCTACTCGTAGCATGCCGTACTCCATCACCATGTCCGAACTCGGAGTCTGAAGGCGTCGAGTAAAAGGGAAGACCCCCATAATTAGCTACGGTTAGCTGCCGTTGGCTTATCAGTCTTAATGCCCCATCTTTGCTTGAAGACCAATCCGTCACAGGACGGCTTACATCTGGAGGAAAGTATTGTCTTGAACTGTGACCAAGTAAGTACAAGTCCTAGCTTCGACCAACAATATAGAGAGGCGATCTCACGTAGGACGAGTCGGAGGTGTTACTGGGCCAGGCTGCTGCCGTTGAATATCTATAAGCTGCTGATGCCCCGAGGTAGGGTTGACTCCTCGGGAGGTGGAGCCCTGATCACTGAGAGCGATCTTTAGCCCGTTCCGGGGCCGGTTCTTTTGCTCTACAGCTTGCACTCCATGCCAATTCTGCCGCCAGAATAGCTGTCGGAGTATTTCCATGATCCTACAGACCTCAGCAGCTATTGCAGTTTTCAGAGACACTGTGAACTCACCGAAGTCTGTCCTTGGGATATTGTATTATACGTCTAGTCGGCGCACCCCAATATTTGACGCCGTAACCTCCTACATCAAGAAAGTGTTGGGCCATTAGGCCCAGTTCATATCGAATCGTCCGTGAACCCCAATCTCTGAAACCAGTTCCGTGGATGCCGCTTCGACTTATGTAATTATATTGCGCATACTCTCGAGTGGTGTTCTTCAATTCACACCACATGTAACCCTCAAACCCAGCAAGTTCGCACAGCTTTCTTACACTTGGAATATCGCATGTAGGTATGGGATTGTCGTGTAAAGGCATCATCGGTACGAAGATTTCCTGAACCATGTGAAATGCAAGCAAATGCCAGGAGAAGACGAGGGAACAGCCTGTTTTGAAATCGAATTAGAGGGAGGGAGAGAGGGAGAGAATATAGCTGCCGTTTTTCTGCGTAAGACTTGGATAGGCTAGTAGGGTCACATATCACATTTCCTAGCTTTCTTTCCCCTTGAAGGACTGACATGGATCTTTGCAGTCGGACGGATACATTAGCACCTCCAAATGCATGTCATATCATTTAGATCTGTTGGTCGAATAAGATGTCACATATGCTAGCCTTCATCGCTCTCGGTTCAGACACATTACAACCTCGTCAAGATTACACGACTAAGAGCTTGTTTCACATGAGCCGAGCTGGATTAGAAAACAGAGCATGATACATGTAGGCAAGATACTTTACGGTAACATTGAAAATGAAGGATAACAACAACAACCACCGCAACGAATCAACTTGATAGGCTTGCAACGTTTCAGGCTCTGGGGTGTCTTTAGCGCTGCTTTTCTTAGACATTCAATGTTTCGGATAGTGACAGGATCCGTTACAGCACGCTTAACATCCGCGAAAGAAGTGAGGAAGAAGACTGCATCATTGGAAAAGCACGAAACCTCTTCCGGTAGGCTCCTGCGGAGATTAGCATATCGGTGTGAGACGAATGATTCAGTGTGACCAGATGAAACCATTCTGCTAGGTGAGAAGAAGAGGCACGGTAAGATTTGTGATGCAAGAGCATCAGCCGAGTTTGTACGTCAACTTGTTGCGGTGTTGCAGTGTTGTGGTACTACTCTAGCGAACTGGAGAATAATGTTGACTTGTAAGTTGGAAGAAAACGGGTAAACGGAGGTGAGCACTCGGAAGCATAACCGGCATTGGGTAAAGAAATCCCCCGCACTGTGACATTCCGGCCGGGCTTTAGCCGGAGCCCCACATCCGCTCTGATCGAGTTTCCTAGTGCACCTTTAAGCAATATGAGTGCTCTGCTCTGATCGACTCTCCTTCATACAATCATATACCTTGCATGAATGATTAGTTGGATAACAGAAAATATTACTCCTAAACGTCATGCCTTCAGACACTGCTGGAAAAGTAAGCCAGGCAGGTTACATGTCCACTCCATACGTCATTTGCTAATTCTTCTCCGGCCAGACCATTACCTGCAAAGTACGCCAGATCCCCAATGGAGGCATGGCAGGATGCAATTGACGCTCTTTAGGCTGCCGTAGCTTGGGAAGCAGGCAAGGACCTCTCCATCGAAAACATTGAAGTCGAAGCACCGAAAGCGCACGAGGTCCGCATAGAAATATACTATACTGGTGTCTGCCATACAGGTATGCGCCACCATGCTCTTGGAAGCAGAAGGGAAGCTGAGATGAGGCAGATGCGTACACACTTTCTGGAAAGGATCCAGAGGGAGCCTTCCCCATAGTCCTCGGTCATGAGGGCGCTGGAATTGTCGAGTCCGTTGGCGAAGGTGTCACTAACGTGAAGCCTGGAGACAATGTCGTGGCTCTCTAGTATGTTCTTCCAGCTGAGCTGACTCCAGACGGAGGATCGCTGACAACGCTTTTGCTCTCCAGCACACCTGAGTGCGGCGAATGCAAGTTCTGTAAATCCGGCAAGACGAACCTTTGCGGCAAGATCAGAGCTACACAAGGCAAAGGCGTCATGCCCGACGGAACATCGCGGTTCAAGTGCAAGGGCAAAGAGCTGCTACACTTCATGGGCACCTCGACCTTCTCCCAATACACCGTCGTTGCCGACATTTCCGTTGTAGCCATCACTTCCAAAGCGCCAATGGACCGTACCTGCCTGCTCGGTTGCGGTATCACTACCGGTTACGGGGCTGCAGTGGTGACTGCGGATGTGGAGAAGGGCTCGAACGTTGCAGTCTTCGGCGCTGGTTGCGTCGGCCTCTCGGTCGTCCAGGGCGCGGTAAAGAATGGCGCTGGAAAGATCATAGTCGTGGATGTGAATGACGGCAAAGAGGCCTGGGGCAAGAAATTTGGCGCGACCGATTTCGTCAACCCAACTAAGCTTGGCGGTAAGAGCATCCAAGAGCACCTGGTTGAGATGACGGATGGAGGGTGCGACTACACCTTCGACTGCACGGGCAACGTGGGTGTGATGAGAGCGGCACTCGAGGCCTGCCACAAGGGTTGGGGACAGAGTATCGTCATCGGAGTCGCAGCAGCTGGCCAAGAGATTAGCACTCGACGTAAGTATCATGACCCTGTGGCTGCGGACCCGCGCTGACCTGCTCTCAGCGTTCCAACTCGTCACCGGCCGTGTATGGAAGGGGTGCGCTTTTGGTGGAATCAAAGGCCGCTCGCAGCTCCCAGATCTGGTGGACGACTACATGACCGGCAAGCTCAAGGTCGATGAATTCATCACCCACAGGCAGCCATTGGACGAGATCAATACTGCATTCCAGGATATGAAGGCGGGGGATTGCATCAGATGTGTGGTGAACATGAGGGAAGTATAAGCCAATCACATCGAGATATCTCCAATGTACATAAGTAAAATGCTTGCCTTCTTCTTGCAAGTCTCTCGGTACTCCCAGCTTCCATCACCGCGAATGTCTTGGCAGACTAGCCTGAGTCCCCGAAGCCGCTAGAGCTACCATCCCAGCATCCTTACCTCAGCTAATAAGATACTCCCACACTAGAATACATGACCATCAGGGCCAAATAGTGAGAATCGGAAGCCTCACGAGACTTCTGCACCAAAGCCCCACGAACCAGAGCCGTCCAACCACATCGGTGACACCCAGCCGCTAAGTAAGTACAAGCGGCAACGGGCGGCCGGCGTGGGAAAGAACCTGTCTGGAGCGAAGGCACAACGATCCTGCTCCGGAAAAACGGCCTTTTCATAAAGCAGGCTACATGCTATGCTCGAGCGTGAGTAGCGCTTTAGTCCGTTGGGGTGTGGTGGAGTCGGACTCGCTTGATCACATCATGACGCTCGGAGAGCTGGCTTTTTCTTTCTTTCTTTCTTTCTTTCTTTCTTTCTTGCTGTAAGCAGGGTGGGGACGGGGACGGTTCGATCTTCGAATACGGGTACGGATATGGGCGTAGAAGTGGAAGGGGATTCGTGAGATGTTTTAATTTTGGAGTCACCAAGTGTACTTTATTATCCATACCCGCCAAGTCCGTCTCGGCCGTGATAAAGGGGTATATGAGAGCCGTTGAGCCAAAAAATCGTTGCAGTATCGCCCCCCGTATCCCTCTTCCATTACACTCCACGTCAACTTTTGAACCAAAGCATCTTCCGAAAATCTATCGTACAATCATTTCCATGGCCTCATTGACTTTCTTAAGATTTCTTCTCCAGTATTGTCCTCGACATCATCTCTCTTGCAATTGGCCTATTATGTTCCATGGTGCCGTAGCGATTGAGACGAAAGTGGTAGGGGCGGATGCGTGAATGCCGTCTTGGGGGTACGGGCAAAACGTCCTCTCGCGAATGTCGTAAGACTCTGTCAACAAGGCCTACCGGGATCTCTGATTTTCGTCTTTGTGTCTCCTCAACCGCGGAGATGATGACCCGCGGCGCTGCGTCTTGCGCCGATAGATCAGTTCAGCGGATAGTAATGCATAAATGGTGGTGTCTCAAACGGACTGCTCCCCGCACTGCTCGACCCGCCACTATTTTCCTGCTTGAATTCCACCTGTTGCCCAGATCGCTCAGCGCGCTTGCCAAGGTGTCCCGATCCATTGTACTTTTCAATCAGGAGCTGTGGCAACAGGCTGCCAATAGCTGGCAGCGTATCACGTATTTTAGCCATCACCAGAGGCACGAAGCGAGACTCGCCGCCGCGCAAAGTGGAGATGAGGGTGAGCAGGGAGTTGAGGTATTCTTGCGGGCCGGGCTCGAATTTGCGGGACTCGAGGGGGACGCACGACATAACGTCGATGAGGGTGCAGGCTACGTCGAAGACTTTTTCGATCTGTGAGATGGTGTTAGTGGGTTGAATGATGGATTGGTAGAGCGGGCTCGGGACGGAGAGAGATGCTTACGAGGCCGATGCCGTGGACTTCCATAGACTGTTTTGAGAATTGGCGTGTGACCTCTACGAGATCTTTAGCAATCTCAATGGGGAATCTGAACGTCATTGAGGTATCCGGCGACGTTGAAGAGAGGAACCCGTTGGCGATGGAAAGCTGCCAGACCATTGTGCGAAGCCATTGTTGAGACGTCCGCAGGTCTGCCGCTTGGCTCTCGGTCGTATTTAGGAACTGGGGCAAAGCTTCTGTGAGCTGCTGTTGTAGCCGAGCGAGGGTTAGGGGAGAGCAATCTGTTCTGGACTTGTTCCAAAGCCCGATGAAGTTGTCGTCGAATGGTCGGTAGAGGTTCACCAGGTAGATGAAGCCCGCAAGAGAATAATTCGTTGGATCTTGATCTACTGTCGGAAGACTGATCGTGGCGTGCAGAGTCAGTGGCCGATGTTTCTGCAATGCGTATGCTCTAAGATAATGTTAATGGAGGTTCACAGCTGTTGCGGGAGAGAGCGGTAAGGTTCGTGTCGCCTGTCAAGGAATCGGGCCGATTGATTGAGGCTAAGCAATGAAGCTGCTTACCTTTCTGTCACGAATAGTAGCCAGAAGAGTCGTCTTTTCCTTGACGTCTCGATTACGTTGTCGAACATATACGTGTTCTCGTCCTGCATGCCCAGGATCTGGGCTAATGCTGTTGCTTCTCTCAGATGAAACCAGGCGGTGTTGTGCTTGTTGAGGCCGAAAGAGCAGCCGAAGAGGAAAAATGAAGAGATGACTGTATTGACAGTCGGGCTCTCGACATAGTCATAGCCCTTGCGTACGCGAATAGCTTCCTCCATTAATACAGAACCCATTCTTGGGTTAGTAACTGAGCCAGCCGGCTGGTCCATGAGGTGGCCCGTCTTCAGTACGATACCAGGCTGGATGAGCATGAAGGCCAAGAACGACGTGATGAGGCAGTATGATTCGACGGAGTGACCCATCTCGCCGACAGCATGCCGTATTTGATCTCTATACAAAATAGGCATCGTAGGATACATTTGCGTAAAGAAGAAGTCGGTGCAGCCTTCAATGAGCTCATGGGTCAGGAGGCCGGAAGCTCTGGCGTATTGTGTGGGTGATTGTGGAGGACTTCCATAGCTGTCCTTGCCGTCTTGCAGCATCATGGAAGTAAGGTCTGACTGCTTCTGCGTCTCTCTGAGCTCGGATATGACTTTGGCTCTGCTGCCCTTAGGGCCTTTTTTCTGGGGGATAGCATCGTAGGTGCATGACAGCCCGGCTTGACTGCAATTCCCACATGGCTGACGACTATTGCAACGGACCTGTCAAACAAGCTGTAAGGTTCTGTCATACTCGCATGGCTCAGTTTGATCATCATACCTTACGACGATGGCAAGCATCACAAGCACGCTTTGTAGGGATCGACATATCGGGGATAATGTCGAAGCGGAAGAGAAGGGAGATCTTCGCTGGGAAGGTCAGGCACAACCATGACAACAATAATATTTTGGGAAGATGATGTAGATATGATGCATTGGGAAAACGGTAACTATAATAAGAACGGCATGGACTCGTGGTACCTGAGTTCTGACAATGCTTATAATAATCTGGGCAACATCACTTTGCATCTCGGTACTCTTACAGCATGCGGGTTGGGAAAGCAAGAAAAAGCGGATTTTTCGCCGTGCATGGCCACATTTGCAGGCATTTTTAGCAAGAAACCCAACACACCGTGCCTCAAGCCTCATGCAAGATGAGAGCCGACGGAAGCCATGTGGTGCCTCATCACGATCCAGATTCTACAAGCCGGAGATTTTTTTGGATTTTTTGGATTTTTGGAATGAAAATTTTCACGAAGTTGAAGAAGCAAAAAGTGCGCGAGGATCCAATCAAAGTCAGGGGGTTAAGAAATGACCATTCGGCAGAGTACCGGCAAAAGTCACAACAGTCAGCACGGGCCCTTTCTTGCTGCATCTAAGCATTTCTCCGGGCATAGTCCCTCGGGTCGCCACGCTTTTTTATTCCTTGTATCACATGCTAAAGAACGTTCTACATATAGCTTCTATAGACTATAGCCCCACAGGAAGCTTCTGGATCGACTTCCAGAACGCACCAAGAACAATCCTTCAACTCTAAATTCCGCCTCGTGGGGCCTGTTAACGCGTGGCAGGGAGGGTAGGGAACAATAATGATTCGCTTCAGATGCGGCCAGATAATGCGTGATAAGGGTAGCGTCGACTGCATTGTAACGCTGTTGCTTTTTCCGAGTCTGGAGGCATCGAAAAGGTGCAGGCATTTGTTCACGGTAGTCGGTAATGCAGATGATAGAGCAATGGAAGCCCCGAAAAAAATGGGTGTGTCGGTAGGGCCCGGTGAGGGAGGCGAGAGATTTACGGACCTTCTTTCCGCCATACAGCAAAATAGTAAGTATCCACTACTAACCACGACAAGCCTTTACTCTTCCTTCTGTCTACCTTAGCTGCCATGTATGTAAGACCCACGCTCGTACAATTTCGCCTACACCAAAATGCGCGATATAAACCATTGGTTCTCGCCTATACTGACCACTTGAAGACGGTACGAGGGTACGAGCATCCACACCGCTGCCGCGCCTGGCGCCCCCAACCTGATTTCTCAACCGCGTCCGCTCATAACTGCCGGCTGGGAGATTGACAACATTCACAAATAATCTCACTCATCTAATCTAAAAGATACTCTTAATAGCTTCAAGCCAAGACACTCGGCCTTCTCTAACAATAGCTGTTGTTGGAAACTCTACGAGTCAGCATTACTAGCCACGCACCCTCAGTGCGACGGTCGCCGCCGTCCAAGAGCTACCAGCTCGGGGGTACGTAACTTCATCTTTAACAGCTGAGAGCCAAGGTAGCAAGCGCCACTATTCGTACAACGCCCTCTGTGTACTTGATATCCCAACGCCTCAGATCCACACGTCTTACGACGCCCTGCCACGCAGCTCAACAGCTCTTAGCCACGAGCTCACATCCCCAACCGCCAAGCCAAGAAATCTACATCTACGGCTGTCGTAATCCTTTCCAAGGCGTTTGTTGCGGTTCCGGACACCCCAACAACCGACGATGCGTCTTCCCTACATGCCCCCTAGCCCTCCTCCCTCCTCGGACTCCTCTGCTACGGCCGCATACACGCAACTTTCCGCCCGCCGCTCCCCCAAATCCCTCCTACAGCTCGACCTCACCCTCCTACACTCCCCTCCCGTCGCCTCAGGCTGGTCCTCATTCCTTGGCTCCATACGCAACCAGACAAGCCTACCCGCAGATATACGCGAACTGTGCATCTGCCGGGTAGCGGTGCTGAACGGAGCCGTTTACGAATGGGAGCACCACCTCCCGATCCTACGGGAGGCAGGGGTAGGAGAACGAGCCGTGGAGGAAGTCGAAAGTCGAAAAGCCTGGCGGGGCTGGAAAGCTGAAGATGCAGACGCAGCAGCGGAGGCAGAAGACACACAACATGATGACTACGGGGGCTTGAGCGAGAAGCAAAGAGCCGCACTCGCGTACACTGATGCCATGACTATAGGTGTCAAAGTCAGCGATGAGATTTTTGCCGAGCTGAAGAAACGCTTTGATGAGCGAGCTGTTGTGGAGATCACCGCGGCGGTGGCGGCTTACAACTGCGTGAGTAGGTTTCTAGTCGCGTTGGATGTGGGAGAGATGGGTGAGAAGAAGAAAGAAGAGCAATGAAAATATACATCATCGTGAGAAAGTCGCACGTGCCTACGACGAACATGAGTATCAGGCCAGCCACTATGAACGAGAATTAGGAAAAGCGGCTATTCTGCCGGCTTCAACTGCAACTGCGCGAGCCCATCACAGGATCCTTGATGCAACCGGGCGAACGCTGAACTATTGGTAATTATGATGGATTATTTGCTTACGTACGCCAAAATCTATGTACAGAGATCCTCACAATTTGATCTATAGTGTCACGGCCTAATAAGCAACGCCATATGGATGCGGCTCAATGCTCTCGATATCGATATACCCATACGAGTACATCTCGGTGTCATGGGCCATGAGATCACTCCAGTGTCCCATATCTTTCATAAATGCCTGCTCATTCTCCTCCTTGCTAAGATCAATCGGCTCTTGGTCCTTGCCGATCATGCGAATCTGGCTGCCAGCAGCCACGTTCGTGATACCAAAATTGTTCTCATCCAATCGCTGTTTGATAGCGCCTTTGACCGTCCCCTTTAGGATGTCGGCGCATAATCTCGGCTCCTGGCAAACGGGACGAGCCATGCCTACGCCGTCCACAGTGTTCAGGGCATTGACCATGGCGCCGACCGTCTTGAAGCCGCCGGTAATATAGGTCTTCGTCTTGGTGAGGGCTGGTACAATGGCCTCCGCGAAGTCCAAGAAGAAAGCTTCTCTCTTCTTAGTACTGTCCCTCTTGTGCATGAACGCCAATTCCTCGTAGGTGCCCCCACTCAGCTCTACGAAGTCGAACCGGTTGGCTTCGAGCGCGGCGCAGAGCTCTTTACATTCTTCAGTATCGAAGCCACCTTTTTGGAATTCGACACTGTTGATCTTGATGCCAAGGATGAATGATCCGGGGACGCGCTTGTGGATGCGTTGGGCGATTTCCATAATGATGCGTGAGCGGTTTGCGAGAGAGCCTCCATACTGGTCGGTCCGTTTGTTGGTGGATGAGGCGAGAAACTGGGCGAGCAGATATCCGTGAGCACCGTGAAGTTCGATCCCGTCATAGCCTGCGGCGTGTAGATACTCTGCTGCATGTGCGAAGCCTTCGATGATCCGCTCAATCTCTTCTGATGATGCAGGGTGAGGCTTTGCGAACGTCATGCCCATGACATTGCCCTCAAGCTGAACATCGCTGGCCGAGACAGGGTCCTTTTGGATATCTTCTGAGACTTGGCGGCCGGGGTGGCTGACTTGACCAATGCACAGACTGCCATGCGCCTTGCTCTCCGCCGCGAGCTTCTTGAAGGCTTCGAAGCGTTCACCCTTTGGTTCTTCTGTTCGAGGTATGATGGGATTGCCGGCAGCTTCGAGCTGATCGAATTCGATCATGATGTTACCGGTGAGGATCGTGCCGAGTTGGCCTTCGCCCCATCGCTTGTAGACGTTGATGAGGTTCTCCGAGGGAATGCCGCGCTTGCTAAAGTGCTTGGGGTCCCATGACGAAATTCGCTCTGTCATAGCAGCCTTGAGACTATTGACCAATCAGCCAATGTTGATTGCAATTGAAGCGGCTTGAGAGCGTACAATCTATTTGGAGCAGTCTTGCCGCTGAATGGAAATTCAAGTGGCTTCGCGAGGGGAGCGGGGGAGACATTTTCGGATTCATAACGAGCTTCTGGTCCTACTGCCATTGTATCTGATTGAAAAATATCTGATTTGGAGGTATCTGGTTTAGAGGTAGCTGATATAGAAGTGACTGATAAAAGCGATGATGTGATTGAAATTATGTCTGTGTGGACATACCGCAGCGAAAAGGCATGATCTTTTATAAGACGAGGGTCTCGGATCGGTGCCTGAATTTGTCAACTTCGATGACTTGATCCATTCTTTTCCGGCAGATGTTTTGGCTTTTGCAATAGTGTCAAATGTTCGAAGTGACGTCAATTCTGTTGAAGAGATAAAACATTCCATCGGATAAGGGTCCGAACAACTTGATCGGAAGGACGCTGTTCGCGCTAAGATCTCTTCCGGGGCTCGAGTTCTGAGGACCAGTCCCGCTCCCTGGTTATTACAACAATCATCATTTCCTACGGTGACCAGTCAATAGCTTGCAACCTCTGCGGTACGCCATTTTTCAGGTCCGTCTTCGAAAGAGACTGCACGACGTGCATCGATGTGGAAGATAAGAAACGGTGGCACAGAGGCTACTAGCGGTGGAAAAACATCCAGGGACCAAGTTTTTACGCGAGTTGAATGCAATGTCTGATAGCGGGACTATTGTACAGTAATCCAGGGTTGGTGTCCTTGAATGTAGTAATGTCTTAAGGTGTTTGAAGATTCCAAGGCGACGATTCTGGCTTCTATTTGAAAATTGCACTGGTTGAATAAGGACTGGCTGTCGGTCATTCCGTCGCCTTCTCATTCCACTATTCAAGAAGTCTCATTCGCATCCGTCCCGTCGTCCCCGTCCCCAACCGATGCCCCTGGCTCCTTCAAAGTAATCTTCATAAGGTTCGAGTTATCAACATAGGTGTATGCACTTCCTAACCCAGGCGCCGCCCTGACGTCCTCACACGCCGTATTCAACTCCAGCGCCGCCAGTTGAACCGCCAGCCAGCTGCTCCGCACTTTGTCAGACGCCCTGCGCAGCTCCACCAACACCTGACAAGTCTTGTATGTTTCGAAGTAGGGGAGTTGGAAATCGCCGGCGCCGCTGTTGTAGAAGGTACCGATGATCGGGTTCAGAGGCAGGGCGCGGAGGACGCCGGCGCAGTCGGAGAAACGGGGCTCGGTGCGCGCCTGAGCGCCGCGTCGGGTGCAGACGAAGGCGCCGTTGGAGGTCCCGTTGAGGGTGGTGTTCGTGTGGAGAGGGCTCGCTGGACTGATTAGAGTTGTGCCCTGCGGGATGGTCGCGGCGAGAGCTGAGGAAGAGAAGAGGGCAAGGCCCAAGTATTTGAGATGGAGAAGCATATGCATAACGAGAGGATGGAGATTAGGAGAACGAGCGTATTGGTGATCAAGTCAAGCAATGAACGATGGAATAGTTGGGGTATTTTTCTCGGACACATGGCCTTTTATCAAAGAAATATCCTTGCGCTTGAACAACTAAAGTGAAATGCTGGCTACTTCGCATGTTCTTAGATTCATACTGATCTTTCTTCCCCACAACGCTTTTCGTGCGTCGGATTCACAGGCGCACGTCATGCGATTTGCGCAAGAGCATGTTGTAAGAGGAGTGTTTGACCTTGATACACAGCCACGACGGCAAATGTTTCTGCAGATACGCGCAAGCGGAATCCAACAGTCAGTTGCACTTTTCCACTAAGCTTCCTGGTTTTGGTGAACCATCAGTGCGACACGCGAGGGCCACGAGCCGTGTCAGGGCACGCGTTATAAGACTGTTACGTTCGGACAATGGAACAAACACGGAATCACCTTGTATTTAATGAAGAGAAGAACGTGATTACGAGTAGTCTTCGCGAATGATTGACATCCATTTGAGCGAGGTGTGAAGTATTTGTAGCTTGGGGTTCTTCCCAAGGCCCATCAGTCTGCCATCAGTCCTCTCCCTCCAGACGGCACTTAGTATAGACATGCAGAATCAGCATTGGATTGTACGCTCAAAGAGAGTGTCGACTTTTGATCGGCATCTGCTTACCGCAGTGTTCATGAAATTGGTCACAGATTAGAGAGCAAAAGTGCAGGCGAGAGGCAAGCCTGCCTGCGGCTGCCTCGCTTGACGGCGCTTGTGGTTTCGGCCGTTGGCTCCGTCCACGCATTCCACAAAGAGCTGCCTGGCAAAAAACATTATGATAGAACAGTACGATTGATTTGATCCAAGATGGCAGAGGCACCCATAGGTATTCCGAGTCGAGCTTCGAGTTTGTCCAGCAAAAGCTGACTAGAAGTAGTCCTCGATGGAGGGACTGGGTTCCTCAAGGTTGGCTATGCAGCGCAGGTAAGCATGAAACTCGAAAAACCGTTGAGCGCTGTCACTATTTGCAACGATGCTGATCATCTGTTGAAATTCTGTAGAACTTCCCTGAGCATTCATACCCCTCCATTGTCGGACGGCCCATCCTGCGGTCAGAAGAACGAGCCGGGGACATTGTGGTCAAGGACATCATGTGCGGAGACGAAGCAGCAGCAGCTCGGTCAATGCTACAAATCACATATCCGGTGTGCCTCTAGCAATCTTTCTGGCTCGACGAGTATAGGAAATGGGGCTGACTGCGGGTATAAATAGATGGAGAACGGCATTGTCAAGAGATGGGACGACATGGAGCATTTGTGGAACTATACCTTTGACGAGAAGATGAAGATCGATCCTACCGGCCGGAAGATCCTGTTGACGGAACCGCCATTGAACCCTTTGAAAAACCGAGAACAGATGTGCGATGTGATGTTTGAGAAGTACAATTTTGGGGGCGTCTATGTGGCTATACAAGCGGTGCTGGCTCTATATGCTCAAGGTAAGGTACGCCTATTCTTTGCAGAGGACTGGCCTAAACGTCTGGTCAGGTCTCAGCAGCGGTGTGGTCGTCGATTCAGGCGATGGAGTCACCCATATAGTCCCTGTCTACGAATCCACAGTCCTCAACCACCTTACTCGGCGTCTCGATGTCGCAGGCCGAGACGTCACGCGCAACCTGATTGCTCTTCTCCTACGCCGAGGATACGCCCTGAACAGAACAGCGGATTTCGAGACAGTACGGCTAATCAAAGAAAAGCTGTGCTACGTCTCATACGATCTAGAGCTGGACCAGAAGCTGAGCGAGGATACGACGGTTCTGGTAGAGTCATACACACTGCCCGATGGACGTGTGATCAGAGTAGGTAGCGAACGATTTGAGGCACCAGAGTGCCTGTTCCAACCGCATCTTGTGGACGTCGAGCAGCCGGGCATTGCGGAGTTCCTGTTCAATACGATACAAGGGGCAGATGTGGATATCAGAACGAGCCTTTACAAGGCTATCGTGCTCAGTGGTGGTAGCAGCATGTACCCAGGGCTACCGTCGAGGATGGAGAAAGAGATCAAGCAGCTGTGGCTGACAAAGGTGCTGGGTGGGAACCCTGAGAGGCTGAATGTGAGTCTCCAAAAGCTATGCACACTACTACAATGCTGACTCTCGCTCCCAGAAATTCAAGGTCAGGATTGAGGATCCACCACGGCGGAGACATATGGTCTTCCTTGGTGGCGCAGTGCTTGCAAACATTGTAAGTCAATCGCGAAATCCTTGGCGCACAGTCTCTTTTGGCCGCTGACAATCTACAGATGGCAGACAAAGAGAACATGTGGATAACGAAACAAGAGTGGCAGGAGCAAGGGCCAAGAATATTAGAGAAGCTTGGCCCAAGGTAGTCCAAAATACTTTGGGCTCTTTCTGCCAGTGCAAATTTGTACAGTATTTTATAAAAAGCTCTGGCCAACGAACCTTTCCACTGAACCGCGCTCACACCCTCTCATTCTCTTCAGAAAACCCTTTACTGTTCTTCCGTCTGCGCTTATACTACACACGGCCAAACACAATGGCTCCATTCAAAATCCTCATCATCAACCCCAACACCAATCAATCAATGACCGACTCCCTCCGCGCACCCATAGAAAGTCTAGGCTACAATAACGTACAAAACCCCCATCAAACTACCGCGTGAAATTCTTCGCATCCAGACATCTACCCGAACGCCCCCCCACTACCCCGCTTCCAAACCCGCCAAAACCGCGAAAAAGTCCCCGGCTGACAAGCAAAGCAGACCGAATACACCTACCTCACCGCCCCATCCGGCGTCCCCAGCATCAACAACCTCGACGACGCCGCCCGATCCGCCCAGCACACCCTCCCCTCCACCCTCCCCTACACCTCCACCCACGACGCCTTCCTCGTCGCGTGCTACAGCCCGCACCCGCTCGTGCCCCTCCTGCAACAACGCACCGCCGCGCCCGTCGTCGGCATCTTCGACGCCAGCGTCCACGCCTCCCTGCAGCTGCTGCGCGCGCCGCAGCGGTTCGGCATCGTGAGCACGGGCGACGTCTGGCGGGGGATCCTCGGGGACGCGGTCCGGGGGCCCCACGTGCTCGGGCGGGAGCGGGCGGAGGGGTGTTTTGCGGGGGTGGAGACGTGCGGGTTGGATGCGGGGGAGTTGCACGGGCATGGGGAGGTGGAGGGGAGGGTGAGGGGGGCGACGGAGAGGCTGGTGGAGGGGGGGGAGGGGGAGGTCGGGGTGGTGGTGTTGGGGTGTGCGGGGATGGTGGGGATGGAGGGGTGGGTTAGGGGGGTCGCGGGGGAGGGGGTGAAGGTTGTGGATGGGGTGAGGGCGGGGGTGGGGGTGTTGCAGGGGTTGGTTAGGGGTGGGTTTTGAATCGGGATGGGGAGTACTCGCGTCACTTATTATATGAAGGTAGGCGGCTACTAGAACAGTTGTGGAAATGATCGATTGCATTGCTTAGAGAGTACAGTAGCTATAGCACCAGGCCGCAGAAAGGAAAACATGCTTGAGGGCTTCAGACAGACGTTGACACCGAAGTGTTCCGTTCGTTTACAGTCTAGCTTGTATCTTGCGAGCCATTGATTGTAGAAACGGAAAAGAATTGATAGCTGCGTATGACTGGATGATAGATGCTGACATGGAGCTGAAGGGGCGATAGCTACAAGGGCCAGGGTTAGCAAACGGTGGAAGAGGGTGGTGAGGGGGGTTGGTGGAGTGCAGGACTTACACCCCACAGGTATCCTGACAAGAGATGGATCTCGAATTGTGGACCAGATGTATAAAATACTCGAAGTTCGTACAGGAGCGGAAATGTTGTGATAAGAACATGGACGACATGACCTGGTGAAATGTTAGCGGCGAGTAGTAAAAAAGGCAACATGAATACCACATACCGAACAGATATTAGCGATGTTGCAATGACAATTCTAAGCTACAGTTCTTCGTGACTCAACAAGGAAGAGTTCTCAAGGGTTGAGCAAGTCGTTGAACTTGGTCAAGCTCTTCTTGACCCTCATCATCCGAGTTTCCTTCCGCCCAGCAATGTACCCTCCGGTATCGTCGTTGATGCCCAAGACACGACGCGCCTTGGCGTTCTCATCGTATGGGCGAGGAGCAGCGTCGATGCTAGCGCGGCGCTCGGGAAGACCCAGGACTTCACGGGCTTTGGAATCGTCGCGCGGCGTGGCTCCAAAGGAGCGGATGGCTTCTAGGATCGCGGCTTCCTCTTCTTCATCCTCCCACTCGTTATCGTCTAGCTCCTGCTGCTTGCGTAGGTCTTCCTTGTATTGCTCGACTGACTTGATGGCGGGCGCCGTCTTGCGCTTTGATCCCGCGGATACGTCTCCCTCGTATTGGGAGACAGTGATGGTGGGCGGCGATCGCTCAGAGGTCTGTGCATGAGAGATCTCCGCGTTGGTTTTCTCAGTTTCTGACTTGGACATGGTGGGGAACGCGGACTTGGTGGAGGTTGGGCTCAGCTTAGAACGCTTGGTAGGAGTGCAGGTGACAACCCATTCTTTGTGCATACCAATGATGAATTGGTTGTTGTTCATCGTGGGCCCCGATCTTCTATGCTTCCTTCCCTTGGGCGTCGCGTCATTGGTCTTCTCCACCCCTACCTTTTGTGAGGTAGATGGCTCGGTCTTATTGGGGACTTCAGTGAGAGAGGAGTCATCAGTCTGAGTAGATGCTTCAGACTTGGTCGGTGAAGTAGAGATGGGTGGGCCTTCGATAGCGGATACAGCGCTATTCTTAGCAGGCGAAGAGAAACGAGCCAGTACATCAGAAACAGCCTGGTCAGTCGCTTCTTCCGCGATCATCGAGAGGACGCGGATTCCGGATATGTTCATGTTAGCCCAGTGTTGACCGAGCTCGGGGTCCAAGATAGGCACGAGCGCAGCCCATGTATTGGATCTGCTCAGCTTCTTGTGGAAGTGGCCGATGTGCTTGAGAATCCAAGCCTTAATATTGTCGTCGTAGGGAGACTGTTGAGCGAAAACCAACTGGGCGATCTTGGGACAACATTCAGCAGACATCTCCCATTCCAAGTCATGAATCACTTCGAAGGCCATAATCTTAAGGTGGATCAACTTGAGCTTTATCGCGAACTTGTAGAGACGGATGAGAACCATGAAGCGGTCAGCGTCCTTAGTCAGGCGAGTGATATAGACCTTCAGTCTCCGCACGGGGTAGCAGTCGGGACCGTTTTCGAGATAGGTCTGGATAACGTCAAAGCAGACGCCAGGATCATTCATGAAATGGAGGTTCATCTTGCAGCCAGGCAGGTAGTCGAGAGATGCAAAGAAATCGGCCAGAACAGGAGAGCGCAGGAGAGCGGAGCGCTGGACTGTAAAGGTTCGGCTGACGCCCCAGGGCATGTCTGGGCAGTCGATGCTGATGAACTCGTCTACCTCTTCAGGAATATCGAATCTGTATATAAGGCGATGTCAGTGTGACACTTGGATTGAGGTATTGCTTCAAGGTTTGCAGGCAAGGCTGTGGCTCTCCCACCACCCATCCACTATCTTTGCACAGGCAAGAAAACTGATGACAGGAAGTGAATAAGCGAAGTTTGTATATGCACAAACAAGCTACTCCACGTGGACCGGGTAAGGCTGCAGAACAAAGAAATAGTGGAGGTGCTCGTCGCATGGGCATCGTGAGCTCGACGTGAAGTTGTGATGATGTATAAACTGGGGGTGCATAGCGGACAAGCGAAATAGTCAACATACTCTTGGGCCAAGACTTTCTGCTCGTACTGCCCTTGAGTCAAACCAGCTTTGCTCATCATCTCGAGCTTAGGATGCCATTTTACAGGTGGGACTTGGAAGAAATAGCCGATAACCATCATTTCACCATCGAGCTCCTCCTCCTCCTCACGGATAGGAACCATGGTACTTGCTGAGCTGGAGGTCTTGCCCTCCTCCTCGCCGACGGGAGTAGCGGTTTTTGCTGCCATGTTGATATTGACATGGACCTCCTCCTTGATGAAAGGAGTGTCGGCGATTGCTGACGTGGTACTCTCAACCTCCTCCTCGCGGATTGGGGTAATGTTATGTGCTGACATAGTGGAATTCACAGCTGTAAGGGTAGCGATGTGTTAGAGAGTGTAGTACGCTCAATTATGACGTAGAAAGGAGGGTGATGTAGTTGGTAAAGAGCGATGAAGTCGACGAAAGAGAGTGTGTTGTTGGAAGGGGTTGCGTTGTGGAAATAAGCGGCCGAATTCCAAATTCAATTGTCAACACTGAAGTATATGACGAAAGGCTAGCAGTAATTTCCCGACAGGCATTACAGATTACCTCAGGTACTTTGCAAAGGAAGTGCCCTTTCAATGGGCTTCATTTGTAACATGGCGTTTCATGGGGCCATGTAATTTATGTCTTTCTTTGCAGTCTCAAAGGCCACCAATCAGATTATATCAGTCAAGGCATCATGGGCCAGTATGCAATAGCTACGGAAATCTGGTGCACCTTAAGCATGCCAGCTTACCTTCTACTTTGGCTTGAGTGGAGCCTGTCATATATCATCTGTTTAGTCCAAGTCCAGAGTCCAGACACTAGTATTCAAGTTCTTCAATCACGCTAATCTCATCCTAAGCCTTGAACACATTGTTCGGCAGCGGCCTCTGCTCTAAATCGTGTTGGATGGAGTCCTTTACGTTTCATACGTGTACTCAGCATTCAGAGACCGGTGGCTTGACGGTACTTCAACTAGATCATATGGTAATGGCCCCCTTTCTCTGGATCCTTGAAGGGAGAGCTTTCTCAGCTCTTTGACCTCGGCTTGAATAGGGCTGCTTGCGTGTCGTACTTGTACTCCAGATCCAGATGCCAGTAGTTTGGCGTCGTAGGCTTAGCAATCAACCATGCTTCATCCAATGCTTTCAGCACGTCATCCGGTAGTGGCCCTTTCTCCAGGTCTTTAAGATTGCTTTCGAGTTGGCCAAAGCTACTCACACCGACGATCACCCCATCCCGTCCTCCCTTTTGCATTTTGAGAGCAGAGTGATGAGTACACCAGCGGAGTGCTATCTCTACCATCGTTAGGTTGTGCTTTTGAGCGACGGGCTCAATCAGGCGAAGGGCATCAAAGGTGGCGTCTTTAAAGTATCTCTTCCGGTAATTCTCCCCTGATTTGGCTGTATCACTGAAACGACCATCTGGAGGGACTTCAGCGCTTTTGATCTTGCCAGAGAAAAGACCGCCTGCTAAAGGGTTGTAAATGACCACATCAATGCCATAGCGGTGGCAGGCTGGTATGAGCTCTTGCTCCAGCGAACGAGCTGAACAAGCATCAGCGACTCCCGTGGCTAGATGTTCACTCGCTAGTACTTACTTATGCAATTGTACATTCCCTGGTAGATCGTCGGCCGGACCCAACCCCTTTCCTTGCACATAATAACGACCTCCGCAACCTCAAAAGCCGTAAAATTGCTCAACCCAAGTTGCACAAACTTTCCCTCTTTGTGCATCTCATTGACTGCCTCCAAAGTCTCCTCGAAAGGCACGGAGCGATCCGCGGCATGTAAATAGAAGATGTCCACACAATCCGTCTTCAGCTCTGTCAAGGAGAAGGCAAGTTGCTCTTTGATAACGGTAGCTTTGTGGATCCCAGGCTCTTTAGGGTAGCATTTCGTAGCCAAAGTCAAGCCTCGTTCTTTCCAGCGTGCTTCTGCTGAGAAAGCTTCTTGCTTGCCTGCGTAGCGAGTCAGCCAAGTGCACCTCAACCTGCGCAACGCCTTTACAGGCAGTACTCTACCTCCAATATATGTTCGCGCCGTATCCACCTCGTTGTAGCCTTGGGATTGGAAATAGTCGAGACACCTGTTGTACTCATCCAGAGACGTGATACGAGCTCCAGCCGATGAATCTGGACCGAAGGTCATCAAGCCCAGGATGACCCTGGGCTTCCCTGTCTGCATAAGGAGAGGCATGGTGGCGAGGGGGCGACTGAGGAAGCGGATTCAAGTGCAATTCGATTGCCAGGAAGGGTCGAAAAAGTAGCTATTTTGGCCCCGCATGAACGTAGATGTTGAGATGGTTATATCCGAGCCTTATCCCCGCTGCATTCCTTGGCAGTGGAGAGATGTCTACAATCAATAGTGCATTTGAAGCAATTGGGAGAGGCTCATGAGTATGGTATGGTAAAGCTCCCATACTATATCCCGAAAGTATATTACTAACGTAAACTTAGGTCCACACTGACTCCTCGAATTTCGCCCATGGGGCCTCAAAGCGCGAGGTGTACTCCCAGCTCGTCTCCGAAGCCAAAGCTCTCTTCGTCGACCAGCGAAATTGGGTACTCGATCCCACATAATCAAGAGCTTCTCTTTTTGCTAACGCCTTCTCACACTTGACAGGTCTGGTAAGTCCCGTTTGACCATCATTGCCGATCCTCCCACAAAAGCTGATATTGCTCGCTAGCAACCTGGCCAACAGCTCCTCCCTCCTCTGGCACGCTTACAAATCCCTCCCGTCACCCTCGTGCCATGTGAACTGGGCAGGCTTCTACACTCTTGACCGCTCACATCCCTCCGATCTCATCCTCGGTCCTTTCCACGGACGTCCGGCATGCCAAAGCATCGCCATCGGCCGCGGCGTATGCGGTGCCGCTGCTGCTCAGAAGAGGATAGTGAGGGTCGAGGACGTGCATGACTTCCCAGGACACATAGCCTGCGATGGGGACAGTAGAAGTGAGATCGTGGTGCCGATCTTGGCCAAGCATGGGAAGGTGAGTTGACAAAGGTACAAAAGGTTTGGCTGTACTAATTTAGCCAGATTGTTGCAATTATAGACGTCGATTGTACGGAGGTGGGAGGTTTTGATAAGGCGGATGAGGAAGGGTTGGGGAGTTTGGCCCAACTGCTTGGGGATAGCTGTGATTGGGAAATTTGAGGAGTAGCATAGTTTTCATGAAAATTGGCAGCTGTGTTCGCCGGTATATTTGGCTTCATGCATGTGTTAGAAATCCAAGCCGGACCATCCGTCAATGTTGCGCTGACGGAAAAACCAGCGGAGCATTTAACAGACCGAGATATCGTCTTGCTCGCTACTTTGTTCATGGAGATTTGCGGGTTTCTTCCGAGACCCAATTGCCAATGATTCTAGCAACTCACCCAAGACGATACGGGATGAAGCGGCGAATAGACATAGGAAATAAATCATCGGCTTTCCTTGGATCAGAGAATCCTTCCTTAGGGCAATAAGACTAGAGACATTCGAAATTGTTTGGTTCATTCAAGTCTATCTGTGTCTGTGCCGCAGCAAAAGGCCGTAGACTCTAATGCTCGCTGCTGAAGACTTCGTAGAGAAACCCTTCCGGGCGATTCACCTGCTCATGCATGCCTTGTTCTCTTCAGTCATAGCCTTAAGCAATCTATTCTTGAGTCAAGAATGCATCACATCCAACTACTGCCGGACGGTTCCCTACAGAGCCCAAGTCTAGTTAGCATTTCGCCCGGTGCGACACTGGCCTGGAAAGTGCCATCTCCTCTCGATCCCGCGTGTTTACAAGACTGTGCGTTATCGGATTGTGGAACCTCGTCTCGCTTCGACCGCCGGGAATGGTAGAGTTCAGCGTCTTGGTGCCAGGATAGTATTCACGTTGAATCAATTCAATGCTTACATGCTAACATCGTTCGTGCCATTCGCTGGGCCAGCCGTCGCGGCGTTGGTGGCCTGGAAATTCGATCCGGCGCGAGAGCTCTTGATGACCTTCTTGATAATCTCTTCGACTTGGTCCCAGTCGTTGTGGGGAAGAGATTTCATCTCCACGCCGAAGTAGTCAGAAATCTCCTTGAGCATTCTATAGCTCCGTTGGCCGCAGATGAGGCTGATTGAGACACCGACACGTCCAAAGCGGCCGGTACGACCGATACGATGAAGGTAAGTCTGAGGGTCGGTGTTGCCGTGACCGTCGTCTGGGAGATCCTGGGTAGCGGTCAGTGAGGTAAGAATATATAGCAATCAACGCGACTTACATAATTAACCACGAGAGAGACGGTTTGAACATCGATACCGCGAGATAGGACGTTGGTGGTGATGAGGACCTTGGAATGGCCGCTACGGAATGAGTCGATGATAATGTCACGCTGAGCTCCTAGGTACTCTCCGGTCAAGCAGGCAACAGTGTGGTTCTCTGCGTTCATACGTCTCTCAATTTCCAGGGCAGTGTGGCGAGTCTGCGTGTATTTTAGCTTGATTCATTTGCTGATCGACTGGATAGCATACCCTCACGAATATTATGGACGATCCGATGGTCATGAGACCATACAAACGGACCAATGCGTCAAACTTATCTAGCTCCGTAGGACAATCAAGATACAGCTGCTTGATGCCCTCGACCGTAAGTTCCTCATGCTTTAAGGTGATTTGATTCGCATTTGGAGCGAATCTGCTGGCGTACTCGACGACATGGTTGGGAAAGGTGGCCGAGAACAGAACGACCTGAACAGTCTTTGGTAGCAGTCTAGATGTCAAATTAGAAAGCCCGGCCCAATCTACGAGAACATTGTACTTGCTGCTTGACCCGAATGCATTGATCTCCAAGACCTTGTTGATCCAACATGTTGTCGGCCTCGTCAAGCACAAGAACTTTGATCTTATCAGCCATCAGCTGGCGGCGTTTGATCATGTCCATAGTAGTTCCAGGAGTGCCAACAACGATCTGAACCTTGAGGCCATCTCTATTGCGGTTTGCGACCTCCATTGGGATAGCGACACCAGCGGTCAGACCCTCGACGAAGGATCCCATGACCTGGATGACTCCAAGGATCTGACGGGCCAATTCGCGGCTTGGCGCAAGTACAAGAGCTTGAGGGGTGTTGACCATAGTAGGAGAGTAGTCGAGGCGTGATAGCATGTTGAGAACAAAAGCTGCTGTCTTTCCGGTGCCAGACTGGGATTGTCCGATCATATTAGTGGGAGGATCGCGAAGCAAGAGAGGCAGAGCCTTCTCCTGAATCTTAGATGGCTTGGTAAAACGCATCTGATAGATGCCTTTGAGAATATTTTCATCCCTGATGAAAGCATCAGAGCTTGATCACATGATGTTGAGCTAGAAATAGACTCACAAACCAAGCTCTTCAAAGGACTTGATCGAGTAGAGAGGATCATTAGGGTTGGCTTGAAGGTCGCTGAGCTTGACGTTGACCTCATAGCTCGGATCATAGATGCCAGAAGAGCCGCCTGCTGATCCGGTCGCTCCATCGGTTTGGGCCTTGGACACGTCGCTCATCTCCTTCTCAGCCTTGGCGTTCACTGCAGAAGGTTCAGAGTTAGTCGCTGCCTCAGCGGTTTCATCTGCCCATGAAACGGATCCACCAGGCACGAAGGGAGCTGCTTTGGCGTTCGTACCAGTAGAAGATCCGATGTCCTTGCCCTCAATTTGGCCATTGTCCGGCTTGGAAATGCGGTCGTCCAAGGAAGCCATGATGGTTTCCTTCTAGGTGGGCAAGGTAGACTAACAGATATGACAAAGACGAATAGAACGTGGAATGCTTCAAACCAGAGAATGTACAACACTGCCAGTGTTGGTCCCGGTGCTGAAAGTTCAGAAGTTCGAGATGTTGTGACAAAGGAAAGAGATCAGGTCAGTGAAAAATTATCTTGGGGTATGTAGATCGAGCTAAACTCCTTCTGGCGCTCCGCATATAATAGTTACCAGATACAACATGAAATGACACTCGTACATTTGACATGGACGGCAACACATCAAAAGCAGTCCGAGACCTGTCGTTGTTTTGTTCATAATTTGCTAAGCAGAGCAGACAGCTGCACGACATCGAGTTCACGGCAGAGCGGCCACTATCCGGGAGCCATACCATAAAGCGTTAGCCCGTTTCGATCGATTTAGATCAGGACCATACATTCTTCCTATTCACTCTTCACTCTTGACTCTTGACTCTTGACTCTTGACTATTCACTCTTCACTCTTGACTCTTGACTCTGTCTATGCGTTCGGCCGTTTAGTCCTTGGGCTGGTGTACATCCATTACTTGGACCTTTCGTTTCTTCTCGACTTTATCGTAATTGTTTTCTCTTCCATGGATTGGATCGATACACACCTGCCTGAGCTGGAGTGGTAGCAAGGTTATGGCTGAGGTAGACATTGCGCCGAGATTCGGCACCGAGCTCAAAGATGGCTTCAAACCAGTCAATGCTTGGGTTGCAAATGGAGTCACCTGGCTTGATGATATACAGCTGTTCTACCGGGAAAGGGCGGCGATTGAGAAGGACTACAGTTCCAAGCTTTACGGCTTAGCCAGGAAGAACTTTGAAAAGAAAGCCAAGCGGTCCAGTAGCCTAAGCGTAGGAGACACCCCAAGCATGACGCCGGGATCCTTGGAGTGGTACGCATAATTTGCCAGCAAAACAATGTTTTTCATCTGATGACGATGCGCATGTAGTGCTTCTCTTACGACGTGGACCACCCAACTCTCTACGCTTGAATCAAGAGCTGCAGAACATGACCGATATTCCTCGGAACTTCTCCTACAGATCGCAGAACCACTCAAGAACCTGGCCGCACGATACGAAGAGATACGAAAAAGCCACGCTGAATATTCGGCGAAGTTGGAGAGGGAGCGAGATCTGTCGTATGGTGACCTGAAGAAAACCAAGGGCCGGTATGATGGAGCTTGCCAAGAGGTAGAGAGCAGGCGGAAAAAGACCGAGTCCTCGTTTGATCATGGCAAGAACAAAGCGCAAAGTGCATACCAGCAACAACTTATGGAGATGCATAATGCGAAGGTGAGGCCTTACTCAGAACGCTATACCTCCGACGATGCTATCTGCTTACCCATGAACGTAGAATACCTATCTCATCAATATCAACGTCACAAACCAACAGAAAAAGAGATACTACTATGAGTACGTTCCCGATCTGTTAGACGTAAGGTCCATTGCTACCCGTCGATGCACTTGTTGCACGTTCTGACTACGACTTAGAGCCTACAAGACCTCTCAGAGACCCGAGTTAATCAACTCAACTCATTGTGGTCTCACGCCGTCAACCTAGAAAAATCTGCCCTTTCTCGAAGTACCGACCACCTCCAGCACCTTGGCTCGGAAATCCCACGCAATGACCCGAAACTAGACTCAATGATGTTTGTACGGCATAATGTGGCGCCATGGCAAGAACCTTTGGATTTGATGTTCGAGCCGAGTCCCGTCTGGCTGGACGACAGTGCGATGGCGGTCAATGAGACGGCCAAGATATACCTACGAAATGTGCTGGGCAAAAGCAAGAGCCAATTGCGGGATCTGAAGCAAGACGTGGACAAGAGAAGGAAAGAAGTCGAAGCCATTAAGATGATACGGAGAAACATACGACAAGGCAAAGACAAGCGAGATGAGGTGGAAATGGTGAAGGCCATGTTCAATGCCCAAGAGCTTCTCCACGAAGTCGAACGACAACGATTGACTGCCGAGGTCGAGACTCATACAATCACTTCCACAGTCGGCGATGTATCGCTTGGAGCTCAGAACCATGCATTCAAATCACAAACTTTCAAAGTACCTACCAATTGCGATCTTTGTGGAGAAAGAATATGGGGGCTATCGGCCAAGGGGTTTGATTGTCAAGATTGCGGCTACACATGCCACAGCAAATGCGAGCTAAAAGTCCCAGCGGAATGTCCTGGAGAGCAGTCTAAAGAAGGGAAGAAGAAATTGAAAGCGGAAAGACAGGCAGCGTCAAAAGTTGCTCCACCACAGAGTAATGGCGGACCTCCAGACGGCGTTACAGAGCTGCCCGCATTGAGTAGGAGTAACACCATGGATACTCTCAGCTCGGGATATGCGGCTAGCGCAAATAGATCAGTCTCTGGGAAGGTACCAACCGATGAGACGAGTACAGATGGGGCAAGATCTCCACCTCCCGCAAGCAAGCCAGCTACGTTGAGAAAGAACAGGATTGTGGCTCCGCCGCCCGCGCAGTACATCGCCGAGATGCCAGGTAACAGCCCCAGTGGAGGCGGCTCGAGTACTTCACATCCAACAGAACAGCGAGGGAGAATGAATTATGCTTATCAGGCGACCACGGATGGAGAAGCATCAGTGGAAGAGGGTGATGAAGTCTCCATCGTTGAGCCAGATGGTGCGTTTCAAAAATGGTTTAGACCCTCCAGTGGATTTCGATGCTAACAGAATCAGATGGCTCTGGCTGGACCTTTGTCCGTCTCAACGCCCACACCACCGGCCTTGTTCCAACATCGTACCTCGAAATGCTTGCCATCCCTCCAGTCCTAGAACGGCCCGTCTCCTCGTACTCCAGCTCTTCCACCTCCCTCACAGGGAGCATACCCAGCAAAAAGAAAGGTCCCGTGGTTGCCCCCAAACGAGGGGCCAAGAAACTGAAATACGTCGAAGCATTGTATCATTACGAATCACGAAGCGATGCAGAGTGGGGCATGAGTGAAGGAGAAAGGTTTGTGCTTGTAAATAAAGACACCGGAGATGGATGGGCGGATGTCGAGAAAGGGGGTGTGACGAAGAGCGTGCCTGCGAATTATATCCAGGAGGTTTGACCACATTGTCATTGTGAATAAAGGCGGCATTGAATGGAGTTGAGTCATAGCGTGGGTGATATCTTATGATTGAGAGGTATCGCTGTCGATCATGATCTTATGTTTAGCTGAGTCATGAAGAAACCCCCAGTTCCTGGATTCAATCTTCCTGTCACTATCGATCACGAGGGTGTTGGGCCCCTTCACTGCTCTCAGCCCCCACAGTCTCGAATATTTTTGAAATCATTGTCGATAGCCCTTTTTCTCTTGTTTTTAGACTTCGAACGCCCTTTCATTCAAGCAACCGGCAACATTCATGTTCCTCCTCTATCGTCAAGGAAATCAAAAGCCAACCTCGTTTCAGGGGATTCTGCAGCATGCCTGTTCTTCCTCCAGATACCAGGCCAGCCGTCACACGGCATGGGCGATATCTGGTGAGTAACATGGTTTCCTTCCCATCATAGCTTGCCATTAAACAATATCTCACCTGTCACAAGTCATCATCTGATCCTAATTTCTCCCCTTCCGATGATCCATTTTGAACTATGCTCAAGCTCTTACATGTCAATTCTGATACCAAACTGGGTTGCAGGCCATTTATACTTGTCATCAAACATCTTTTCCAAGTTGTTCCATTACATATCTCCATTGGCAGCTCCCATAATCGAATTTAGCTGCTCAAGCGCGGATTGTGCGTCATTGATCAGCTGCTTCTTCTTACATCTGAGCACTTCGTCTTCAACATTCACTGCGTCGATTTTGAGGAGCACGTACTCTATTGAAAGATATTTTCACTCAGTTTGTCGTAAAGCTTTTTCCTTTCATTTGCATCTGGAGGGGGTGTATCCAGAAAATCTAGGCATTGCGGCTCGTATTCAGTTTTGAATTGGTGAATTAGGTCATTGATTTTGTCTGATGGTGAGCTTCCTTGTGGATGCCGACTCGAAGCAGCCTCGTATGTTGGTGAGCTGCCGTCGGAGCGGATCGATACGCCTTCGATATGCGGAGGTGGATCATCTGGCGAATGTTGGTGTGGTTTATCGTCCTCAGAGGTCTTCGGAGAATGTCTGAAGGTCTTTTCCGTCTTGTCATGGGGCCCACATTCGCCAAAGAGCCCACTACTACGACCAGGACCCATGGATGGACGCTCCGATGTTCGACAGCTCTTTTTTCGACGCAATCGAATCGTGTCCCGTTCCATTGCCATCCTGGGAGATGCCAGATGTAGGTTTTCTTTGGAGGGGGTTCGGTCTCGGTGGTGGATAAGTCTCTTCCGTCGTCTCGGAATGTAACTCGCTGCTACTGTCGCTGGTATCCGAGGGCGCCTTCATGTCATTTGGGTTCGATGACGTCAAGGGCGCGAGAGAGCCTGGCCGCATTCGCATTCTTCGGTCCACCAGGTCTACCGGCATGGTTTCTGACCGGCGCATTGACGGTTGCTTGAGTTCAGGTGAAGGCTGATAGATCGCTGAGCGGTCTGGTTCTCTCCTCGGGGTTGACGAACCATCTGAATCGCGATTTCCACTATCATCCACGGTTCTCTCTTTCGGCAATGTGGACCGAGGCAAGGATCGAGAGAATATATCATCGTCGTCCCTTGTGCCAAACCCCGCGTAAAAGCTCGCAAGAATATCTGTTGAATCGCTACTGTCGAAGAACCCACCACCTGTGCCTGTTGAGAAATGGAAAGGCTGGTTACTAGGCATACCTTGACCAATTCCGCAGGTGGGTTGCTTTGCCGTTCGTTTCACGTCCTGGCGGAACCGGGGGTGGCCCAGCAGCCTTTTGCGGTACCGTCCATATATGAAAGGGAATAGGGCCTTCCCCACCTCTTGGTGTCCTCATCGACTCCCATGCCTTTAAATCACTGGTCTTTGTCTTAAGATCGTCTGTGCTGGCGCCTCCCCATGCAGCTGGTTCAATTGCCGCTGACTAGGAACATCATTGTGGGCATCCGTGTGCATATGAGGGGGGTTGCTAGGCATCGTACAACGTGGATACGCAAAGCTCTCCCAGGGAATATACTGTCTGACCCGTTGTACAGCATCGTAGCATTGTCTATCGAAAGTCGCAACAAATCATGAATTCTCATATAGAGACCTTGCGCGACCTCATACGCAAGATCAGCATGCAAATATACACGATGATCTAGTGCGTCAATGAAGTCTTCGGGTCGGAAGTCGATGAGCGAGGTCGGTGAGCGACCTCTGAAAGTGTTCATGTCTTGTACGATTTCTTGGGCTGAATGAGCGAAACTCGCAATGATTTTGACGTCCGCGGCGTAAGATGGATTATCACCGGGGACAGTTTGAGGCGATTGAAGACTGCGATCGGGCAGCCACTCCAACATCACGTTAATGCGCTGTCCGAAATCTTTGTAAAGTAAAGACATGTTTGGTTTGTGACAGACTCCTTGAGGCGTCACGACAAAGTTGATGCCCCGTTGCAGTTCAGCTACCGAACGTGGGAAATATCCGTCGTGGCTCGATGCGTGACTTTTGGCATAGTTTTGGGTGGCACTTTCAGGGTCGCCGGGTTTTGCTGCATCGTTACGGCTTGAACTCGTTTCCTTCTCGCTCGTCCATAACCGCTTTTTTGCCGGCCTAAAAGGCACGGATTTCTTTGAGGTTATTTTTTGAGGCCTGCTTTCAGCATATACATACAGGCTCTAGAGGGTTTGGAGTTGTGGAAGTCAACTTGAGGTTTGATTTTGGCCCCTGATCGGATACCAACATCATCGGTAGCGTTGCGCGATTGCTCTTTCATACTCTGTGAAACCGTTGCGCGAGAATCGACATGAGCAGACTCGCTTTCTATATCCTCTGCAATGGTGTTATTGAGATTCTGGGAGTGACGACGACTATCGATAGTCGAAGCAGGTGGTTTTGGGAACGTGTCTTTATTCAGAGAGAGTTTCTGAAAGCAGACACAACTTCCAGAGCCTGATGAAGTTGTATGCTGCTCATTACAGATCTGGAAAAATCCTATTTCGTCCCAAGAACCTCTTTCTTGAGCTAAATACAACACTCCGATCCCCATAAACGGCTTTCGGGGACCTTGGCAGCTGATCAAAAACTTGTATACCCATTTTTGTAGCATTTCGGATAATGCTTTCATCTGTACGAGTTGAAAATTGCAAAATTCTTGCACGAATGGTGACGAAACGTGTGCTGTCTAAAGAGGATGTTTGCCGGATGTTATGGGACTTAGATTTCTCAACTCTGCCTCCATCAGTAAAACTCGAGAGGTTTTACGTTTCCTCCTGTCAAACGTGCGCTCTATTCATGACGTTTGACCCATGCCCACACAAACGGCATCTATTCCTTAAAGCAGGGGATGTTTCTGAAGCCACGATAGATTCAAGTGCATTCATTGACTATCAAACATATTCGTACATTCTAACACAGCAACGCCCAACCCTCGATCTGAAGACGCTAGAACTCAAGCTCAGGATTCTTTCCCTCCCCACACCCACCTGTGCTTGGCTTGGTCCAAGGATACTCCCCACCCCTCTCCTGAAACCCTTCCTCATCCCAATAGACATCCTTCATCGCCTCCTTCACGCCAATCTCCAAGATGCTCTTCGTCTTCCCCTTCACCCCTTTATTCAAGAAACAGAGATACTCATCCAGCAGCAAATACGAACTCTTCATCACCCCATTCCCCTCTGGCACAAAACACGCATTGTGCTTGTGCTTGTCACAGAAGAACTGGAACTCCTCGCCAGTGATTTGGAATTCCCGAGCATCGCGGAGCGTCTTGTCGCCACCGTTCTCTTCATCGATGATGAGCACTTGGAAGCATTTCCAGCGTTTCGGGCCCATGGCTTGGATGGCGGCGTTCATGTCTTCCTGCCAATTGTACCTGTTGACGACGGTGTTGACCTTGAACATGACCCCATACTCCTCACATAGCCCTGCGAGTTGTCTGAATTTCTGCAAGTGCTTGCCTGTGCCGCGGCCGATCTTGACGTTGGTGGCTTCGTCGAAGGAGTCGCAGGATACGGCCATGATGTCGATGTATTTGCCGTATTCGGCGAGCCAGGTGGGGGTGACTTTGCTGCCGTTTGTGACGATAGAGACGGATTCGAGCTGGAGTGTGGATTTGCAGTATTGTGCTAGTTGGCCCAAGAACTTGGCGTTCATGAAGGGCTCGCCGCCGGCGAAGTTGACTTTGCGCATGCCGGCTTCTTTGAGGAGGAGCATGGCGCGCTTAGCGTTATCTAGGGGCTCGACGTGGGATGTCTTTGCCGTGTGGAAGCAGAAACCTAGGGGTATAGAGGATAGATAAGTATCACGATTCAAGGGGAATGTTGGACCAGTTCAGATGTGACGAACCGCAGCTGTAATTGCATTGCCGTGTGAGATGGTAGTTGACTGATATTGGAATCCTCGTCTTTGTATCTTCTTCTCCATTCCCCTCCTTCGGCTTCAAGATCTGAGCGTCTGCATCTTCTTGAATTTTTTCCCTTAGTTGGGTATTCTTTGATAAGAAATAGGTACTTAGAGCGATTGTCAGCAGAGCTAGGAAAACCACTGCAAGATACATCTTGTGTGGTGTGATATGAGTGCTAGACTATTGGTTATTTAAGAAACTAAGGAGCAGTCTGCTGGGTATTTATGCTATGAGGCTGTTTGGCTAGACCGAACAAGATGCTTCTGGGATGCCAGCGCAAGGCAGAATCATGAACAACCCCGTGTGACTCAGTGAAAGGCCTCACGTCTCAGTTTCTGTTTGCCTAAAGATGTCTCAAAACTAATGAATGACTTTAGAGGACTCTGCGCCAGACCGCTGCACAGGAGACAAACAAGCTGCGGGAGAAACAGGATAGGAAACACCTTTTTGTTCTATGGTAACAAAGAATGGTAGCGAATAGAAAAGAGGCAAGAAGCGCGCAAACGCCGAAGAATGTCGCATACTGCTGCGTACTGATGCCTTCTAAGGACATATATCCGGAGAAGGTCCCGTACCGTTTGACAAGCTCAAAACTCACATCATCACATGCAGAAGAGATCTTGGACAATCATGGCGAAGATGGACCAAACGAATACGCTGGACGGAGCAGGAGGAGCTACAAGCCCTCCAAGTGAGCTGGAACAGGCGCAGATCATCTGCGTGATTGGTAAAGCATCCTCCGCTTTGATCCTTTCTTCGCATACGCTGCTAACGGAAGACTTTCAGGCGGGCCAGGTGTTGGCAAAGGCACGCAATGCGCAAGACTGGTGACCGACCTCGGCGTTTTGCACCTGTCTGTCGGCGACCTTCTCAGAGCCGGAGCAGACAAAATATTGACGAAGCAGGGGATCGACATCGTGGCCTACATGCGAGACGGCAAGCTTGTACCTAAGGAAACCGTTCAGGGTATCTTGGAGGACGCTATTGTCTTCAGTGTCAAAGCAGGAAAGACTCACATCCTGCTGGACGGCTTCCCCAGGAGTGTGGACCAGACGAAGCTGTTCGAAGCTAGCGTTAGTGCTGAAGACTATCAAAGGCTGCAGTAAGAGCCAGAACATGAGCGCTGACAAGTATGTAGAATTGCAAGATCAAGGCAATGTTGTTGTTTCAAGGGTCTAGAGAGACCTTGCTTCAACGCGTGCTCAACCGAGCAAAGACCTCTGGCCGCGTTGACGACACGGAGGCCATATTCGAAAAACGGTACCAAGGGTTCCTTGATGAGAGCGAAGAGATCATCCGCTATTTCGAACAGGAGGAAAAGCTTGTCAAGGTAATGATAATATTATTCATCCGGTTCAAGAGAGCCATGGCTGATTTATGTATTTTGAGATGGACTGCGATAGACCGCTTGCGCAGATCTATAAAGAGATCATGGAACTGGTCAAGGTGAATCCTGCGTGAATGACACCAGACTGATGCTGATTCTCAGTAGCGCATCTTCTCCGGCGGGCCCAACGAGGGAAAGGGTCTTGGAAGTCTCGACGGCGAAGGGGCTGGTGGGGGGAACTAAGACTTGAAAAATCAACTCTGCTAGGCAACTGGTGGGAACGACTTGATAGACCATAGATTACGACCAACCATGCTCCTTGTTGAATTTGTCGCAAACTGCCCTTGTTGTCTTGACGATCCCAACGCAGCCAGGGGAATCTGAATGACAGCAAATTGAGATCGGGTAGTCCTTGACAGGCAGATGCACATTACTGCCATCCACAGCGGTTACTGACTCAGTAGTAAGCTGCTGCTCCACGTGTCTCTCGACGTCTTCAAGCTTCCAAGGTCTGTCCCTAGGTCAGCAAATCACCTGAGCCGCGTAGATTCTGACCGTATACTTTTTTATCCTGTCAATGACCAACATCCCGTCAGTGTTATATTTCACATCTCCGTACATCTCGGCCCAAAACTCCACCCCCACCTCTTTCGCTGCCTTCTCCATATTCGTTCCGGCTAGCCCAAAGACTGGCACCCCTTTTGGAATACCTTTCATGACCGCAGTCGCTACGTCGAAGTCCCGACACATCATACCATATAGAGTCCCGTGCGGTTTGACGTGGTTCATCGGCAGTCCCTCCCTGTCCAGAAATCCCTTGAGAGAGCCAACCTGGTATACAGTAATGGCTGTCAACTCTTCTGGCTGTAGCTTCATCTCCCTTCGGCCAAAGCCTTGCAGGTCTGGCAAGCCAGGGTGGGCTCCGATCTTGACGTTGTGCTCTTTACACATGCGGACCGTGTTCATCATGATTAGGGGATCGCCGGAGTGGAATCCGCAGGCTACATTGGCGATGTCAATGTGTGGAAGAAGCTCTTCGTCTGGACCGCATTTCAGATTGCCGAAGCCTTCACCAAGGTCGACGTTGAGGAGAGCTTTGTGCTTAATTGGGCCCATGGTGGGATATTGGGAGGTTTGATTCGAGGCCAAGGGCTTTATTGAGAGGCTTGAGTATGGTTCTCTGGGTCTCTGCCCCGCTGACGTAGCCTTTTCTAATTCCTAGGCCCACCAGGTCTCGGGGGTGGGGAGACTATCCCCGCATCTCCAACGTTTGGCCGAAAGGCAGATCTCCACAAGTGCTGCCGCTGCCATCCACTATCTTGGGTGAGCCATCTTGAATTGATAGTGAAAATGGCACAAGGTCTCGATTGACTTCATCGATGAAGCCTCAAGTCGACCAAACTGTGCTCGATTAAAATGAACAAGATGGAACGCTTGAAGACGCTTCTTATTGCCAATCGCGCTGAAATTGCGACAAGGATCCTCAAAACGGCTAAGTGCGATCGGATTTCCATTTCCGAACCCGAGCTGCCACTGATACTCCTTCCTCCAGATCTTTAGATATCCGGACCATTGCTGTTTACACAGAGCCTGATGCAGCCTCTACGCATGTCTCACAGGCAGACCTGGCAGTTCTCTTGCCTGGAAGCCCTGCCAAAGCCTATCTGAATGGGTGAGCCTGGCCTAGTAACGTTATTCCTATATCTCAAGCTTTCTTTTGTTTTTTGATTTCTATTTTTCTTTCTTCTTGGGTGAGATTCTTCTATCTAAATGACAGCTTTACAAGTCTACTGTCTTATACCTCAATTAAGTCTCTGTTTTGTACTGCTAGCATTCTATCTCAGTATAAACATTTTTTTCCTTTCCCCCGACCCCTTATCTGAGCTTACGGTCCTTCCACTAGCGAAGAAATAATCAGAATAGCCAAGGAACACAAAGCAGATGCCATCATACCTGGCTATGGCTTCCTATCAGAGAATGCAGATTTCGCCAAGGCTGTTGCCGATGCTGGTATGGTCTGGGTTGGACCGAGCCCAGAGAGTATTGAATCTTTCGGGCTAAAGCATACGGCGAGAGACCTAGCCACACAAGCTGGGGTACCCATAGTGCCAGGATCAAAAGGTCTGATCACTAGTGAAGAAGATGCTGTCGAACACAGCGAGCGTCTGGGGTTCCCTGTCATGCTTAAAGCAACAGCTGGTGGCGGCGGCATGGGGCTAGCAACGTGCCAAAATGTCCAAGAGGTCAGAGAAGCATTTGAAATGGTCAAGTCCCGTGGTGAGAACCTATTCAAAAATGCTGGCATGTTCATGGAGAGATTCTACCCGGACAGCCACCACATCGAGGTACAGGTCTTTGGGAATGGACTAGGCAATGCCATCCATTTTGGGGAGAGAGAATGCTCCATCCAGCGGAGACACCAGAAAGTTATCGAAGAGTGTCCCAGTCCCTTTGTGGCGAAACACCCTGGTGAGTATCTTGAATTAATTCCAGGAGGGCTGCTAACTGGGCAAAAGACCTCAGGGAAGGGCTCTGTTCCGCGGCCGTTCGCCTTGCCGAGTCCATCAAGTATGGATCAGCGGGAACTATTGAGTATCTGGTTGATGATAAATCTGGCGACTATTTCTTCCTAGAAATGAACACTCGACTACAGGTTGAACACGGGATCACGGAGCTCTGCTACGGCGTGGACCTTGTCGAATTGATGCTGAGGCAAGCAGATGCTGAGTTGGCAGGCAATGGTGGCATCAACCACGAGGAATTGAATTCTCTTCAGCCAACGAGCCCCAAAGGGGCTGCGATTGAAGCGCGAGTGTATGCCGAGAACCCAGCAAATGATTACGCACCGTCCCCGGGAACCCTGCAAATCGTGGAGTGGAAAGAGACGAAAGAGTCAAGAATCGACACTTGGATCCATACGGGCACCATTGTCTCGTCTCATTACGACCCTCTCCTTGCCAAAGTCATGGTGCATGATCCCAGCAGAGACAACGCGATCAAGGCCATTCACAAGATACTGTCCGAGTCCAGGATCTGTGGGCCACCCACAAACCTTGAACTTCTGGCTACCATTGTCGCTGACCCCGCGTTCGCTGAAGGAGTGACCATGACCAAGTTCCTCACCGGATTCAAATTTTCGCCGGCCGCCATAGATGTTGTCACGGGAGGGGCCTATACCCAAGTTCAGGACTATCCCGGGCGGCCTACAATGGGAAGAGGTTTCCCACACGCTGGTCCTATGGACCCTCTTGCCTTTCAGATAGCCAATCTTCTGGTTGGTAACCCGCGCGGAACAGAAGGCCTCGAATGTACATTGGACGGGCCTGAAGTCGTTTTCCTGGGCGCTGCAGTGATCGCCATCTGTGGAGCACCAATGGAAATCACGCTTGATGGGGAAAAAATCCCAATGTGGGCAAGAATCTCTATCAAGGCTGGCCAAAAGATGAAAATTGGTAAAACAACAGAGGGTGGCTGCCGCTCCTATCTCGCCATCTACGGTGGCTTACCTAGCGTTGCCGACTGGTTTGGGTCGAAAGCTACATCTCCTGGCGTTGGAGTGGGCGGTTATCAAGGACGGCAACTTGCTTCAGGGGATCTTCTAGCAATAACCAAAGATATCCCACACCATCTCAGCAAACCATTGAAGTTACCAGAGCATCTGGTCCCTCAATATCCAACTCACTGGGATCTTCTTGCCATGCCAGGCCCATACGACGAAGGCTACCTACTTGGAGAAGATGTCGAGATGATCTACAACACCAAATGGCAAGTGTCCCATAATGCTGCAAGAGGTGGTATACGTCTCATTGGACCCAAGCCAAAGTGGGCTCGCTCTGACGGGGGTGAAGGAGGCGCACACCCATCTGATGTACCTGAGTATGGTTACCCGGTGGGATCCTTGAATTGGACCGGTGATGACCCATGCATCTTTCCTGTTGACTGTCCTGACTTCGGTGGTTTCGTATCGAGTACCACAATTATCAAAGCTGAGCACTGGAGATTGGGCCAGATGAAAGCTGGAGATACAATGCAATATCTGAGAGTCTCACTAGAAGACGCACTTGCTACGCGAAGGCGGTTCAACGAGTTTGTTGGTGCTATAGGCAAAGCTTGCTCTGGAGAAGGCGATTTTGCTGCCATCGGAGCTCTTGACTACTCAAATATGCCTACATCAATGACCTTGTCCTCCTCCGCCGGGAATCACGGCAAGGCTATTGTCCGCCACATTGAAGACAAAGGCAGCCAGCCTAGGACTCTATATCGACAGGTACCTAACAGTGATCAGCCTGTACTGCCTTCCGCTTACAATCTTACAGGGTGGAGATGACTATCTCCTCGTTGAATACGGAGATGGAAAATTTGATTTAAATCACCGCTGTCGGGTCACAGCGCTTGCCAAAGCGTTGAAGGAATTGAACAGTGAGGTCTCTTTCTCTGGTGGACTGGTAAACACCGTCGGCTGTTGCAACTGTGAGTTACCATTATTCCTGCGTGGGACTTCCAGACTGATTGGTCTGGATCAGCCCTCCTACTATACTACGACGGAATGAAAATCGCCCAAAAGAAGCTCATCTCCTACTTAGTCGATTTAGAAGCCCAAATAGGCGACCTCAGCAATGCCAGAGTCCCTTCTCGCCTCTTCAAGCTGCCCATACTATTCGATTCAGCCAAGGAGAAGAATGCGATCAAGCGCTACATGGAAACCCAGAGGCCATATGCTTCCTACTTGCCAGACAATATGGCTTTTGTCGCCAAGAACAACGGTCTCGAACGCAGGGATCTTGTCGATATTTATCTCAAAAGCAGACTCATAGCTGTCTCCGTAGGTTTCTTCGCCGCCTTGCCGCTCTGTCTACCAGTGGATCCACGGCAACGTATCAACTGTCCGAAGATGAATCCCTCTCGCGTATTCACACCTGAAGGTCAAGTCTCGTGGGGTGGTTCTTGTATGGCTTTGTATAATGTCGAGTCGCCTGGCGGGTATCAACTCACAGGTTTGACGATCCCTGGGTGCGATATCCTAGGTTCCAAGAACGGATATTCCCTACAAAGGCCTTGGCTGTTCGAAGACTTCGATCAGCTCACATTCTATGAAGTCAACGAAGAAGAATACGACAGGCAGATAGCGCTGTTCCACAGCGGACGGTACGAGTACGAAGTCGAGGACACAGAATTCGACATGGGCGAGCATAACAAGCTGCTTCAGGATACGAAGGAAGAAGTCGAGGAGGTCAGGAAGAGACAAAAGCGAGCACAGGACGAGATGCAAAAGGTCGAAGAGGAGCTGATGGAGCGGTGGACCAAGGAGAAAGCAGAAGGCAAAATCCCAATAGATAAAGTGGACGCTCTAGTCAACGATCCGGCAATCCATAAGATCACTTCACCAATGAACGCCAACGTATGGAAGGTAACATCGGAGGAGGGCGATGAGGTGAAAAGTAACGATGTGGTGGCTATATTGGAAGCCATGAAATTGGAGATATCCGTGAGAGCGGAGGAGGGTTTGGCTGGGAAAGTGGAGAAACTGCTGGTCAGACCTGGGGATGTGGTGACCGCTGGTGATCCATTAGTGCTTGTTAGGAAGGGGTAGGACGAGTCAAATATCGCCGCCTAGCATTATTGAGTGTCCGTTAGATAACCCCCGAGGTACGAAGCATTCATTTCACTGTAGCAACCCGGCGACCACCAGAACAGTCCGTGCTATCCCTCACCCTCCAACCTCACTCAAAGCACCCCACGCAATGGAAATAACAAACAATGACCCCCCGCAACCCCACCCTCTCCCCCCCCCTTCACCCACACCGCTCCCGCCCCCACACTCCTAACCCAAGGCGCCGAAGCCCTCCTCTACCGCACCCATTTCCTCCTCCCCTCCCACCCCTGCGCTCTCAAACACCGCCCTTCGAAACCCTACCGCCACCCCGTTCTCGACAAACGCCTGACAAAACACCGGATACTGAGCGAAGCGCGCACACTTGTGAAGTGCCGACGGGAGGGCGTGAGTGTGCCGGGGGTGCTCGCGCTTGACGCCGAGGGCTGTGGGGATGCAGGGAGTGGGGGGTGGATGATGATGGAGTGGGTTGAGGGGAGCACGGTTAAGGAGGTGGTTGTTGAGGCTGGGAAGAGGATCAAGGAGCGGGGAGGGGGTGGGGTGTGGGAAGAGGGGTTGAGGGCGCTGATGGGGAAGATTGGGAGGGCGCTGGGGAGGATGCATGAGGTTGGGGTTGTGCATGGGGATTTGACTACGAGTAACATGATGCTCCGACCTGCCCCGATGTCTTTACAGCATGTCACGACCTTTACGAATGGAGCCGGAGGAGACGGAGATGATGCGAAGAGCGCTGGAGAGAGTCTAGAGGGGGAGATCGTGCTGATTGATTTCGGGCTCGCGGCACAGAGTTTGCAGGATGAAGATAAGGCCGTGGATCTATATGTGCTGGAGAGGGCGTTTGGGAGCACGCATCCCGAGGCGGAGGAGGGGTTTCAGGAGGTGCTGAGGGTTTATGGGGAGAGTTATAAGGGGGCGAAGGTTGTGCTGAAGAGGTTGGAGGACGTGAGGCTGAGGGGGAGGAAGAGGAGTATGCTTGGGTGAGAGGGCGATGTCACAGCTCGTTGAAGACCAGTGTCTATCTCTCTCTCGTGAGTTCTGATCTGGAACTCCGCGCTGCTGCTGGATATCAACCGCCATTCATACGGAAGACCTGAGAACACTCAATCTCCCACCTCGGCCATGGCGAAGTAGCCTTTGTTTTCGATGACACCTCGATCGCGGACGACAGCAGTGTATTTCACCACCCACTGCGGTTCTAACTCGCCTTTTAACCCTTTCGAGCCTTCTTCTGGTCCGGCTAAAACACCAGCACCTTTATCGCCATTTCCAAGAAGCTCTCTTACGGTACCGCTAGGCAGTATGTTTGTGCAGTCGTTGTGTGTCAAAAGCTCAATTTTTTCCTGCTTGGCGTACAAAATCAAGGACTTGGGCACGACGCAGCAGTCTCGGACGTTGATCTGATCTACTGAAGGCCGTACATTTGTCCTGGGCAGAAATTTCTCCAGCCGTTCGCTTCCAAATTCCGAGAGGCCTATCTGCTTGACAGTACCTTTGCCGTGGAGATTTTCGAGAGCTTGCCATGTTTCCACCATTGCGCTGAGGTCTTCCCCTTCACCATCTTGACTCCACTGTGGTTCTTCCTCGTCTTCGTCATCCGCATCGAATGATACCCCAGGGAAAGAGACAATTAGCAGGTCTATCGACGGCATGTGCAGCTCCCTTAGCACCAGATCTACGGCCTCTTGTGAGTGTCTGCATCTTTCTGTTGCTGACGTGTGTGGGAGGAAGAATAGTTTCACTGTAATGTCGTACTGCGACCTCTCTTCTGCCAACCCTGACTGCGCGAAGTCGATCGAGGGTACGAAGAGGGATCCGTCTTCTCGAGCCGTCCACTCGGAATATGGAACGTCCTGTGAGATCGTTTTGCGCTCAGCCCCGTCGGATGAGGAGAATCCTTTGGTGGCTGGCGCAAATACTTGCATCGAAGCGAGGAAGTTGGAGCGCAGGGCGTTGATGAGCTCCACGTTAGACTTTTCGGACGCTGGACGACGGATGATTGAGGGTCCGCCATTCATGATATTGCTACACTGGTCAGCGATTGCGTGCTTCTCAGATCTCAAGGGTCCCATACGATGTTGAGAGGATGAGTTTAGTCATGATAAGACCCTAGCGACCCTTCAGGTCAAGCCAAAGCCAAAGCAAAGGGCTTCGAGCCAGCCCGAATAGTCTCTACTGATTCTCTCTCTTTCTCAATCTAAGACCCCTAGACACAATAGTACACGATTCTCGTAAGCTTGTGACTTCTGTTCACTAGAAGACTCTCTGCCTCAATTTCGGGGCCAAAGCAGGAGTTCAAAAGACACAATATTGCCCGCCGAATCATTTGCAGCTTCTTTCAAACGGGTATACTGGCAAGTCTTAAAGTCTGTCGATTGCTTCACAAAGAAAGAAACATTGGTGGGGCATCGGCTTTTCTCCGGCAAAAGTTTGACACTCGCTCACCGCTTTCTCCTGCACAAGCTGTATCCCTCTCCCGCAGGCATTGACTTTTAGGATAGGATGGCCATCAAGTGAGCCTCTACACCTCTGCTTAGCTACGGAAGGATGTCGTACTGACCCCCGAGCAGCTACCTCATCCTCTTGTCCCGGCAAGGTAAAGTGGTGCGTACCTCGTCTCCCACCTCGTCGTTTAAGTCGAAACGTTAACAAAATTCCCCCACAACAGCGCCTCGCAAAATGGTTCACGACACTTTCTCCCAAAGACAAAGCCAAAATCATCAAAGATGTCTCCCAACTCGTGCTATCACGGAGAACACGCATGTGCAACTTCCTCGAATATAAAGGCAAGCAGCTTCCATTCCCCTCTCATCCCCGCCCGTAGCTAATCTCGAGCCGTTGTCTAGACACCAAAGTCGTCTACCGTCGCTACGCTTCTCTTTTCTTCATCGCCGGCTGTTCATCGACCGACAATGAACTCATCACCCTCGAGATAGTCCACCGGTATGTGGAGCAGATGGACAAATACTATGGCAATGTCTGCGAGCTGGACATCATTTTCAATTTCCAAAAGGCATACTTCATACTGGATGAGTTGTTGCTAGCCGGGGAGATGCAGGAGAGCAGTAAGAAGAATGTGCTGAGGTGCATCAGTCAACAGGACAGTCTGGAGGATATGGAGGTAAGTGTCGATAAGTCTTGATGGGGTTATGGATTCTCCTACGGATCGGTTGCTAGCTCTCTGCTTTGGGGTTTTTTTTAAACCGTCTTCGAGCTTCGTACACGGTGTGACTGACGTTGTGTCTGGGGGTATCAGGTCGAGGATGACGGCGTTACCAAAATAATGTGATGATTGTTACTCTGTGGATGTCCACATATATTTCGTCGCTTTCGGCGTCCCAGTCGGTGACTATGTATGAGTATTCAGGACAACACAGCTAATGCGTTCTTGATTCGGCGTTGCAGGCAGAACAAGTCTTGACAGACGGATTGCGCAAGGCAGGAATGCTCTAATGGGAGGCCAGCAGGCATGGTACCGTTACGAAGTACGAAGAGCCTTGATGGCTTCACTTGCGTGAATTACAGATAATGTCAAGTTCCGCCTTGAACTGCAGCCTTCTTTGTGCTACGCATGATTGGCTGCTGTTGAGTCTCCGATGATCATCAACAATAAGGTCTACTAAATGGCGCTCTAACTTAAGGTATAGCCGTCAACAACCAGCCTCTCACTGCACCAGAAACATCGAATCTCACCACTCACAGTCTTTCCATGTTGCGAAGAAGCGGGCATGAAGATGCTGTTGCGGCGATCTAGAATCAGTTGGATGCCCGTAAAAAGAGTCGAGCGATATGGGCGCTCTACACGGGATCGAGGGTCATATGACCTAGAATGTTGTTTGCAAAACTCAGCAATCGCTGCGTTGGAGCGGATGTTCCAAAGAAAGAACCTCATTGGTTGCGCACAGCTCTGCCAAGGATTCAACTCGCTGACTAATTTATCGCTTCAAACTTGATCCGTGCCGGTCGCGACTTCATCTTGGCTTATGGCTGGCCCCCTCTTCGTCATCCTCACCACCTCCACCATCATCACGATAAGATGTCGCGAACCTGCAACACTATGTTCGAAGGCTAGGCGTCATCGCCTAGCTTGAAAGCATAGATCAGAACATCTCCCGCGCGCTGCAAGCACCCGGGCTCTTTGTTACTGGAAACAGCGACTCAGACCACATCTTACCGGCATCCCTTCGGCCACTTGCGGCCATCATCCTTACATCAGCGATCACATCAAGCTGATTTGCGTAAGGAGAAGGAGACCGGGCATCCGCCTCGACCAAGTACCTGGAAGCAACCCGCGCATACCCAAGTAACACTGTCCTTTGTCTGACAGTGCTCCCCTACATTTTGTTAATCAATCTTAAGTGGCCATTCCGCGCTATTCGCCATGAAGGTAAGTCAAGATAAAGAGGTCATGACCCACTGTCTGGTCTCCCTAGAGAAAATAGGCGAACCTCTCCCCGCTTCATGCTACATATGCTGACCTTGGCTGTGTACAGTACCTCCCACTCCGCGATATTGACGATGTCACGAATGCTCTCAACTTCGATACGGCTGACTGCCATGTCATCGGCGGCTGCGATCTCTACACCACAAAGGCTGCAGGGGCAGACAAGAAGCTCTACAAGAACATCGAACACTCACTAGAGTCGCAGTATGCCTCACTTCTGAGCTTTTCGGCTGGTCTGTCAGCGCACCAGGCTACCGCGGCTGGCCAAGCCCTCAATTTGTCTAGAGCAAGTCCTTTCGGACCCCTCAGCCAAATCTCCAGTCGCCGAACCTTTGCCTATCTGATCGCAACGCTAAACGCCAGTCATCCAGACTACGACTTCTCCCATCTCCTCCGTCCCTCCGACTTTCGGCGCGAGAAGAATATCAGGAAGGTAATGAACACCCTCGATACCACCCTTTATAATCTGCGCCCAAAGTTCTCGAGCGCGCTTGTTGATGAAAAGCCACACTGGTCAAACACAGTACCAACGACCGTCCCTCAGACCCCTCACGGAAGTGAGAAGTGGAATCCTCGGATGTGGAGTCTGATCGACAAAGAGATGACCCTCAAGGAATGCAGCATGTACTGCTACGCGCCGGAAGAAGATCCTTACGATGGTGAAGAGGGCTCACTGTGGAGCTTCAATTACTTTTTCTTCAACAAGGCAAAGAAAAGGGTCTGCTACATCTACCTCCGTGGCCTGAGCATCATCGGCAACAGTCCTCCCCAAAAGACGCCAATTCAACCGAAGAGACCGGCAAGCGGGACTTGGAGTTTGGACGAAGAGACAAGCAAGAAGAGAGCAAAATATTGGCTTGGAGATCGAGCTCGAGAGGCCGAGTGGAACAATGAGGAAGAGGAAGACGTCAGTGGTCAATGGGATGAGGAGAACATTGAAGAGGCTGACATCCTGGATGATGGGGATCAGCCCACGTTCGTGCCCTCGGATACTGACACAGGGAGTGAGAGTCCGTGCAAAGGAAGAGGACGAAGTGGGAGTTCTGTCCGGGGCGTTAGCGAAGAAGTTGCGGCGTCCATTGAGGTTTGATGACTATATGAAGGGTAGAGGCATTTGCTTTTCTTTCGTCCGTATTATCCTTATCAGTCATCAGCAGCGTTATGAAGTATATCGTAGGTTGTATTCCATGAGACCAGTCAAGCGAATCAGTCATCCGCAATCCTCATACACAGAGAACAGAGCGAAGAGCTTATGTCCTACGGCGACATTCTAGCTCAGTGCGATTTCGTTGATCGACGATGCTTCTCTTCACGTACATTATCCCACGCGAACTTCTTCATCAAACCTCTGTGTGCTCAGTACCCCGGCTGGCCAAATAAGCCTCCCTGCCCTTGACATTCGCAGCATGCTTCAACGCCGCCTGGCGGGCAATCCACTCACCTGCTGTGAGAAAGTTTTACGTCCTCGATGATCTCACCAACCAGTAGTATGAACAAGACACGCCCTTTGGGCCGTACCGAATAGCCACAATAATACCGTGGGTAATGTGCATGCTTGATCGCCAGGACGCACGAGTACCTGGTGGAGCACTTTGCGAAGTATTCGTTGGTCTCGGGGAGGTTTAGATATCGCAGTGGTTGTTTGAGACTCTCTTATTCGCCTGACCAGCTTGCCGTTACTGGACCTAGCAACAGCCTCATCCAGATTCACAAATTCCATATCTTGCTGGGCCTTGACGTATTTCCGCCCCGTTATGTCTGCACCCTTGAGTTGCGAGCCGCTTCCAACGTCCGAGTGTTCTCCCAGCGTGACTGCTTTTTCTTCATTGTCCAGAAGGGGAGGATAGTGGATCATGCGAGCTAGGTTCGCTCCCGCGCGATCGATTTTGTGCAACTCGGATGTGTACCAAGCTAAGCTTGACGCCTGAAATGCTTGACAAGACCGTGGTGGTTTGATGGCACGCCCGGTTGAATTGCTTTCCGGCTGCTTTACGTCGTTCCGCGGAGAAATATTGGAGGCCTTCCATGCGAACAACAATGGTCTCGGAGCATGGAAGCCGAATATGTGTCTTGTGGGTTCGTCCCAAGACCTTTCACGCTGCATTGCTGCTCTCGACCAACGGCAGCCAACTTTCATTCTTGTGTCTCGCTACGATATCTGACTGGCAATTTGCCGGTAGAATTCCTCTCAAAGTTTACAAAAACTGCGAGTCCATCAGCGTGCATTGCCGACTTCCATGTCTCTTCGCTCGCATTGATCCAGCCCGCCACAAGTCTATGGACAAGAGCCTACCCGCCTTCACGTCTCCCACTTCGGATACCCGAACTTTTCGAAGTAAGCCGTCAATTTTCCCTTCGGGTTCGACGTGTCAAAGAACCAAGCATACTCCTCAAAGAAAGCATCAATATCCGCATGAGCCTCCCCCGCATCTTCAGCCATCAGCTCCACCTCCCCAACCACGTGTCCGAAATCGGTGACATCGAGCACGACCGTGAACTTGTCGTCGGCCAAAAGCGTGAGCCTCCGCGTCTCGAACCCGGCAATCGCATCCAGCCCGAAATCGTCCCGGAAACCGGAAATCTGATCCGGGAAATGCAAGCGCACGAGCTCGAGGATCTGGCTCCGGTCCCGGGTTTCGGAGAACGTGGAACGGAGGAAGGAGCCGCCCTGCATGCTCTGCTTGGCTTCCCACACCGGAGCGTCCCCGGGTGACGGTGTGTGTGGGTGAGCAGGGTCCGCGTGGAGGTGGCGCTTGCGGAGCCAGAGCCCCGTGTTTGAGAGCTTGTTTTGCGAGTCGTAATACGTGTCGCGGAAGGTCTGCGAACGGAATTCGCCGAGGGTTTTGAAAGGAGGGAAGCCGCCTTTGCGGGATAAGATGGCGGCGTTGGCGAGGGTGAAGGAGAATTTTTGTTCGATTTCGAGGAGGGGCATGGTTGGTGGGACGGAGGAGGTGGTGGCTTGGCTGGAGAGACGTGTGAGATGTGCTGGGGTGAGTACCTTGTAATAAATATGATGGGAGATGTTTGGGGATTGCTTGTGTGTTGATGAAAGGTCGGGTGCGAAAAGAGCGCTTCGGTGTTTGGGGTACTCCAAAGAGGAAAATCTGCAGCGATAGGCTGTACAACATGTCAAGTGTGTGTTACTTCTGCTGACATATGCAAGACGCCGCGTCCTGTGTTACACAAAAACCGTATACCTCTGGAAAAACTCCAGGGAAGCATTGATATCTAACAAACGGCGTCAGATAGAAGATCCTGACGCTGTTTCTTTGGCTCTAGGTAACGATTTTGAGCACTGAGCATGTTTTTATGATGACTTTGGTATACCCGGTCTAAGAAAATGATCTCGGCCCCTCCTGTGACTCGGTCCCGTATAGGGACTAGCCTGGCTGTCGAAAACCGTTTCACTGGTCTGAATCCTTTTGCTTCACGGTCGTGTTGTAGTTGTGTGTGTTCGACGCCACTAGCAGCACGAGCTTTCAGAGCCGTTCGACCGCTCCTCTTCACCATTTTCTTTTCCCAATCTCTCTGCAAGAAACACATACGACCGCCGGCGATACCCCGGACACTTCATAGAATGGTACCAACACCAGCATCTGGCCAAACATCCAAGGTCTGGCTCAGAAAAACGCAGGCACAATGTCTCTGCTGCATCCACGAAAGCCAAAAAGAGCTAAAGGGACCCTATGGTGCCTTTGGTGGCTTCGCCACGTCCGTATGCATCGAGGGTAGACCACATTTTCTACTACTATCAATCCAGCAATAGGGGCAAAGACATGCTCTTCTCCGCCTTGGTAAGGTTTGGCAGCAGCAGGACATGAACCATTGCTGACTGTTCAATTCAGAAGGAGATTTATACTAAGAACGGTGCGGTGGACGTTTTCTACGAGTGCCACAAAATCATGGCAGAGGCCACGGCCTACACATCGTCCTGGCAATATGCACCGGTCGTGCATTATGGCTCTGGTGGTCCTGTCGCGCATAATGTGCCTGAAGTGGATGGGCACCAGGTAGTCTGTTTCAAGGTAAAGAAAACCCTGTTCTCCGGCTGTTCAATAAGCATGCTGACACATCCTAGCGTGATACCATCAACGACCGCAAGCGCAACGTTGCCCACGATTCACATTTTGAAGAAGGTGAGGGACAAGGACGGTTGTTTCGTTTGGCTGATGGCTAACCGGTGTTTAGGATACTATGATTCCTGGCAACGGCATCAAGGATGACGTCTGCAATTTTCTGAATGACTTGAGTGACGACTCGGAAGACGATCGTTCCATGGAAGACGAAGTTGCTGGTTTCAAGCATGGAAAAGTAACTCCCTTGCACGATCAGGAATCGGTACCGGAAAAGAGTGATTCGTAACAGCAGCTTCGTGGAGACTGGGTCACTGTTCACGGCGACTCAGTCAAGGCAGAGGGGTCCGAGGTCCCATGAAATGCCTTGGGGTTGCAGGCTGAAGCCTCGTAGGGTCTTCAGTCTATGCTGACCTTGCTGACCGCTTGCTCGGAGGCAAGCTTCAAAGAGACAGAAGGATAGAGATACTTTGAACAGCACAAAGCCACGGTGACTAGCACGACTGTTCACGCTCCTGAGGATGACACATTTCGACAATTGGGACGCGAAGTGGGCTTCCAAAGTTCGAGTTATATATGATGCCTCGTCTACTTCCTAGTAGCGAGGACTAGAGCCACAGGCCAAGCAATCTTCGTCTTCGACCCTTGGCCTCCCATGGCCTCTTCCAATTCCTTGTACATCGGCTTCAATTGAGCGCCGATCTCGTCATCTGTAGACTTCCAGGGAAATTGCGCGTCAATGAATCCCTCCACCCAGTCCACACCGCAATGTTCTTTAGCCCAGAAGTCACGGTCGACACGCTCCTCCACCTTCTCGTCAGCAGTGACAGAGTTCTCGTGTTTGACTTCAAAGTCAAAGTACTCCTCCGGGAGAAAGCACAATGGCTTGTCGTGGTTCCACTTAGTCCTCTCTACGTCTGTCCAATCTTCCGATGGAAAACCGATATTATCGAGCCAAGATGCCATGACCGTAAACGCTTGTTGCCAGATCGTACCCTTGATGGGAAAGATTCTCGAAAAAGCTTTCCCAGCAATGCGGTCGTAGATTTGCTGGCTCCTCTCCTGTCCTTCCCCCACAAAGATTGGCTTCCCATAGAACCAGATGGCCAGGGTGCCGCCGGGTCCGAGCAACTCGGCAAAGCCAGAGAAGGCCCGCTCAGCGTCCATCAGGGGGATACATTCAGCAAGAGTGACGAGATCTGCTTTGCCGTGACCGTCGGGTCCCACCAGAGTGACGAGGTCTTCTGCACGGCACTGCTCGACCGTCACATTCGAAGCTGCGAGACGTCTCCGCGCAACGGCCGTGTGGAATCCGCTGGGATCACTGGCTATGACTTTGTCGAAGCGTGCGCCGAGAACCTCGGCTACATTGCCGGGTCCTGTGCCAACGTCGTGGGCGAGGGTCCAGTGATTGCTGTGGCTTTGGTGATAGGTCCAGATGCGGTCGTAGAAGGAAGAGGAGTAGGCTGGTCTATGGGTGGTGTACTTTATCCAATCGAAATCCGCACCCCCATCGAAAAGACTCGAGTCGCTTGACGAGGCCATAGCCGCTGTGTTGTTTGGTCCTCTCGATAGACTTCAAATATCATAGTTCGTCCATGAAGAACAGAAGGCAGAAACAAAGAATGCAATGATTGAATGTGAGTGTGCAGGTGTCTATCGCAGTGGATATACCCACCTGCTTTTGCATGAGGCAGAGCCCTTGCACATCTGCGCCCGACCAGGTTACATTGACACGTAATACTGTGTTATTGGTTACTAGGGCGTGACCTTACAAAAGAGATGAGGCGTGATACGCCTGACTAGTACTGCGCCCAGCGAGGCTGCATGACACGTAGTGTTGTGCTATTGGCTACGAAGGCGAAACTTTGCACAAGAGATGAGGCGTGCTACGCCCGATCAATACTGCTCCCGACGAGTGTGTCGAAGGTAAAGATGTGCCATGGTTCATCCCAAGGGGTTTTGGGAAGATTATTCAAGAAAGCCTTCATGCTCTCTGATACCTTCGAGCTTTTCCCTATCGCCTGTCAGCCCGGCTCTTATCTTTCTCCAATGATTGGTCACAGCCTAGTATTCTCAATTTTTCCACAATTTTTGCTCAAATAACACGAACTCAACTTCATCCCTACGTCAAATTCGCAAGTCCTCATTACCACCTCACCATCATGTCCGGCATTGGTTACTCTGGCACTAGCAGTGGCAGTCAAGGCCACCTTGGCGCACCAGCATTCGTCAGCTCATCCTCGACCGGCAGTTAGCTGTATGACCCACCTTCTCAGCCCCAGACGACGACCACGGCCAATGGCAATGGTACTGTGACATACACTACTACATGGCTGAATGGAACCACGTGAACCGCGAACACCGTCTAGGAATGCGAGCGTGGCATGGCTTGTAATGAACATGTTGGTGCTCGAGAGACTTCAGGCGAGAGATGCTCGCGAAGCTGCAATGTAGCGTAGAAACTGGACAGGCGGAGATAAGGGAGAAAATAGAAGAAAAGGGGACGCTGATGTGAGTGGAAGGGAGAAAGGCGAGCTTGACAGCGCTCACTAGGGCCGTAGAGACGCAGGATGCAATTCCTCTCGCGATGCCTACGCAAACCGAGATATAATACAAATTGTGAGGAAAAGATCCATTCACCTCGCTAATATCTGCCTGACCTGTCAAATGTCTATCGAATCCTGGATTCTACAGAACCCATCTCCTTTTCCAGATATCCGAGAGCTGTGGATCGATTGTGGGACAGATGGGTGGAAGACGTTGAGAGCCTGCATCTTGATATCACTACCTGTCTTTGATCTCGATCTAGTCCGAATGTTGCCAATGGACGACTTGGTGGCGCCTGTCCTTGGCGATGCTCTGCCCTCCGGCTCCGGCGAGGAGGATGGTTTCCTAAAGATCCAGTTGAACAGAGGACGGTATGTGATGGCGGACGCACCCAGCATGGCAGCGGAGACTTCAACAACCGACCAAAGAGAGGGCTCGACGTCGGCCCAGGTGGGGTCGTACGAGTACAGAGACAATCCACGCAGCTGCGGGATGCGGTAGATCGAAACTACGGTGGCGCTGTTGGGCGAAAGCGGTCAGTCAGCGGGTGCGTTTCAAACCACTATTGCCTCTGTCAAGGGATGTGGGGCACGGACAAACTGCCGATACTGAATATGCCAATCAGTTGTAACTTTGTTTCGCGGTGCATCTGAAGCTTCCACAGCTGCGGCAGCGGGAGGCATAAGAGCAGGAAATCCGTCAACACGTTCATACTGGCCATGACAATCCAGACCTTACTGATGTCGATACAGTCCGCTTTGACGGTAGGGTCCCAAACTCTGTTGACTGGCTTGCACTGAAAAATCATCGTGATTACCATGACGGCGGAGTATGTTGATATGAAGAGACCGACAGCCCAAAGCATGCGTTTGAATTTCGGGCCTGGGAAGATCCGAGCAAAGAGTAGAAGAGTACTAATTTTGACGACACCGATGGTCGGGGCATAGAGGATTTCTCCTACGAAGACACTCTGATAATTCGTGCTCAGCAAGGGAGCTTGGCTAATAGAGAGGCGGTCAAAGGACATACCTTTGCGAAACTGACTGGGTCATTTTCGGTCATCAGGATCGCATGGTGTGCGCCTCCGTAAGCAAACGCAGCTGGATCATCAGTAAGAGCGTCCGCTCAAGAGGATTGAACGTACCCAATAGACATGGAGTGCTGTCCGCAATCACCAGGACCTATCGATTACTTAGAACACTGGTACGAGTGAAGGACAATATTATACCAGTCCCAAAACCATAATCCAATCATCGGCTCCATACGATGTTCGACCAATGCGCCTGGACAAGAAGCGCATCGTAACGGCAAGAAAGATGATAGGAACACATATGATATATGCAGTGGCGATTGATTTTCTTTTGCTGTCGTGGACATGTGCCAATTGATACTGGGCTTCCGCCGGAGGAAGGCTGTTATAGATGGCCCAGTTGATTGCTTGCGGAGCCATACTGAAAAATGTTCAGAATCCGAGACTCTAGTTCTGGGCGGGCCAGTCGTACAGTGAAGAGATGAATATCGAAAAAGGGGTTTCTGCTGAAAATGAAGAACTGAAATGGCGGGGAAGGGTTCATGTTGAGCCTGAGTAGGGTAGGTCATATGATGTCGAAGGATTGAGACGAAAGTTCTTGCAGCTGAGCTACTTTCGATATTGTCTCTGTAAGGTGGTGGGTTTGCATTGCATTGTTGCGTGGCGTAGTAGTGTTGTGGCAGGATCATGCAGGCGGATGATGCACGAATGGGGTGAAGTGCATATTTCTGCAGCTCTCATCACGAACATTTCGCGTTGGTGAAAGCATGAGCTTATAAATCACCGAGACTATTTATAAACCAGCATGAAGCCAATTTGTATAGACCTCCATCGATTGATCGGGTTGGTCTCTTGCTGAATTCCTTGGCGCTTAAATCCCACACAACTGTCACGATGTTGCACTCCGCTTGTGATTGCGTGAATAATATCGAGAGTTGGGTATTAACTGAAAGGTCACTATGCGGTACCTTATAGATCCGCAGTGCGAAAAGGATATGGTTCTATACGTTGTTACGATACGGAGTAGATATAAAAATGCTGTACTCCGCATGGAGGTGGGCAGATTGGAGCCCAGCTTCGAGCGCAATAGCGCTACTAGGCCCAAAAGAGGTCCCCTCAGTTCAACCTACATAAGTATCGATCCGGTCTCTTCTGGTACCCGCGAGGCTACTTGAGGTGCCAAACAAAGATTCTACACAACATCAATGTTGTAGGGTCCCCCGCTAGAAGACAGGGTTAGGGCTGCGACTAGCGCTGTTCTTACCTCCACACGTCCCATAGATTTCTTACAACACCAAAGCTCAATATCTAATATTATCCACGGGATATTGTCAAACCAAAGTAGTCCGACACTAGCCTGTTTCCTGATTATGCCCAAATCTATTATAAGCATTGTACAGTCTGAATTTTGTAAAGGGGGCGTGATAGATACGAGTAACAGGTGTGTGGGATTTCTTCAACACCAAGAATTCCCCACCTTGTGCACCATGTGTGCATACAATGGCAACAAGCTAAGTTCCTGCGCCAAGACGTCGAACCACGCCCTGCTGCTAACTAGCGCGCCTTGTACGAGCTTTTTTCGGCTTGTAATAATCGCCAGCCTGAGTGGCTCGACGACGGAGTGTAACTGCAATGCATGGTCTGGGTAACGATGATGGAGACCATTTATACCAATCCCTTCTACTCAGCAGCAAACAAGGATCCGCAGCGGCCCAATTCCGCACGAAGCACCTGTATGCTCACCTTGCAGCACCTGTGGCTTGCATAAGCGCTTACTCTCGTTACTCAGCTACACCTTGATGCCTTGTTTCGCCTACGAAATGCATGAGAGATATGATGTTGAAGGAACGACGTGGTTTCTGCCCTATCAATTTTGACGAGTGCGACCCTTGTGTGAGCTAGCAATGTTAGTACGCGTAATTGCAGCGTTCGCATTGATTGAAGATTTGGTAGACGGGCTGGAAGTAGGACTCCAGGTATTGCTGTCGGAAAATGCAAGCTCTCTTGAGCTTCCCACCTGCTAGCTTTGCGAGGAATGAGCGATCCATCTAGGTGGATTGCAAGTCTGAATCGAAGACGGTCCATTCGCAACCGAAGCTATCCATTCTGACAGCAAAAGCCAGAGCAAACAGCAAAAGGTAGAGGTTCACGTATTGCTATTGGCTGTTCAACGGAGAATTCGAGAGCCAAGAAAGACCCAGGAAAATCTTATCGGATCAATAAGAGAACTTTTTCCACCTGCGTCTCACTGAGGATAAGTGTGCTTGCGCTTCGCTCTCCAGATCTTCATTGCCGTTTTGTTTGACAATAGTACCATAAAATCCCTAAAGTACATCTTCTCGGTCCGACAAAGGACTTACGCCGAAGTCTAGATATCAGTACGACATCTCGCACTCTTCTCGAGTTGCATGCAGACATACACCTTAACATATATCGCCATGTACTCTGTTATGATGGCGTTGCACCAGAATTCAGCTCCGCTTGGAGTCCCCGGGAGCCACACACTTTTCCTACGAGAACTTGGAAAACTCTTATCGGTACGCGTCAAGATCCCCGTGACGATTACCTCTCTCAGCGGTCTGTTCCACGTGTGCACCTCGATGTCATGGCTCCTATACGGAACGGCGTCTACCCTAATATCCAGCTCCCAGTGCCTGCCAGTGACATTCTGAGCTTGCTCCGCGCCTGCCATCAAATATACGAAGAAGCCCATCACATATTCTGAGCGGAGAATGCCTTCATTTTCGAGTATGAAGATACGACACACGCTTTTACACGTCGCATGGGAGCCAAATCCTTCGAGAGGATAAGAACGCTCGGTATCGAGAAGACGGTCAACGCCGAGTGCATCGAGGTAAACGGAGGAACCGATCTGGAATTTTGGCTCCCGGATGTTGGAATACCTACGTACCGGCCGGCACTTCATCTGCACGGGTGGGAAGCCAAATTCGAGGAATACTACTGCAAAAGGGAGCAGTGGATGCCTGCCCTGGTTGACCTCAGCGATCGTTCGGAGGTGGTCCAAGGAAGAAAATTCCTTATCCCGTGCAAATTCATCTAAAACTGGCTGGCAAGGCCACGATTCAGGAAAGAGATACCGTTAAGGGATACTTCTGGGGTCACAGGCGAAGGTCAAGCGTAATAAGATTCGCGCTTTGGAACCCCCATTGACGAGACGTTGCTCGATTCTATCTGAAATTCCGGACCTACTTGAATGATCATATCTTTATGATCCTGATTCCTTCATACGTACTGCGATCGGACATTAGATGCTCTTTCCCAGTGAGCGCTTCGTCGAGATCGCACTGAGCAACAATGCTGATTATACCCTACGGCATATTCACTTTTGCATCAAAAAAGTCAAGGTCACAACAAAGCACCATTCAGAAGATCGAATCTATCATCTACTCACACCATCATTCCTTCAAACTACTGGCCACGCTTGATATCATCAGCAATCTTCTCCGCAAGCGCGTACACTGTCGATTGAGGATGACCTGGCGGCAAGAATGGGAAAGCGCTCGCGTCTACCACTCTCAGACCCTGCACACCAAACACCCTTGCATGCGTGTCGACAACCGCCATGGGATCACCCTTTTTGCCCATAGCGCACGTAGCGGAAGCATGCCACAGCTCGAGGGCATCCTGACGAAGGAACGCAAGTATCTCTTCATCCGTCGTGACGTTGGGACCTGGTGTAAGGAGTTAGGACGAGGGTAGACTTAGGGTGGTGTGGGATTGTCAGAGTCAGGGTTGGAATTGAATTCCTACCTGGTAGATACTCCTCGCCGATTGTGATGTTGTTCATGTTTGCCCAGAATTGCCTTGTACGCTTGAAGCCAGCGATGGCTACTTCAACATCTGCTTCAGCTGTGAGCCAATTTGGATTGATGAGAGGTGGGTCCTATGGAATTTTGGATGTCAGTATTGCTCTTTCTGGGAATAGCACAAAGAGGAGGACGAAGCTTTCGCTTTCGATTTCGAACATTTCTTATTCCAGAGTGTGGTACGTATTAGCAAGAAATCGCTCAGACGTGTACGTACCATTGTGTCTGTAGAATTTATGGTAACGTTTCCACGTGATAGAGGCGCAACCAAAGCACTGTCTATCGAAGCATATTCGTAACCGTCATCTTCAAGACCTCTGGGTCAGCATTCCTGGTCAGCATTCCTCCCTAGGCAGAGACTTGAGGCGGGAAACATGTCAGAGGAGTACAAATACCCTCAAGACATGTCGTATGAATCAAAATGCGGTAGGCGTCGGAGGATACCACCGAAAGATCCGCTGTCATGAAATTGGTATTGTACCCGGTGTAAAGCATCACCACCAATATACTCCATCTCAGGCCAATCAGCGGGGAATTGGTTCAGCACACTTTCAGTTGCGGACGAGAAGCTGCCCCGGTATTGTTTGGGTAGTTTCTCAAAAAGAGATGAATCCGAAATCAGTGAGGGGACCTGTTTGGTCGAAGTTGTAGTCAAATTCTGCTTGAGCGGCATACTGTATGAGTCTGGAACTTGTAATGGTCTCAACGCGGTACGCAATTTAGCGTATTCAAAACCGTCTGGAATGCTTGGCACCGGAGATTTTTCCACACACCCAAATTCATACTGTAGCACAGAAATCTCTCCGTAAAATCATTCAAATCAAGTAGCCACATCGCAAATAGTCGCATTTAATCCATTTTGAAGCTATACAACCTCAGCTATACCTCCCGAACGCACCAATAACGCAGCAGCCACCGAACCGCCGCCGTCGCAGCAAGAACTAATTACCCCCCCGCAACTACTGAAATAGCCTCTGCTCAAGAAGCTCAGAAACAGGTAACTGAAGGCTGAGGAACACGCTAAGACTTCAGTATAGCTTCATTTTTTCATTTAGGACCTATACTAACGATGGCAGTGTTATTGAATAATTTTGCGGAGAGATTTCTATGCTACAGTACGAATTTGGATGTGTGGTGTGAAGATCTCCGGTGCCAAGCATTCCAGACGGTTTTGAATACGCTAAATGCTAAACTATACATGATCCCACATGTTCTGGCCGACCCCTGGAAGGTTTGCGATTAACGGAATATCATATTCTTGCAGAGTATCTTTGCGACCCACGCCTGATACCATGAGAAGCTGAGGGGACTGAAAGGCGCCCGCCGATAAGATTACTTCTTTACGGGCGGAAAGGACATAGTCTTCTCCATTGGTGGTGACTAGCACACCGCTTATCACGTACTACTCCGGCATTTGTCGTCAGGCGAGTTCGAGACACTGCCCTGACAGATGAGCTGACCACCAGGAAGATAATGTCCAGTACTCAGCCACATGCAGGAAGGATGGAAGTACTGTAAGTTACACCAGAAGCAAAGGGCCGCGCGCTTAGAGAACTTAGTGAGGGCGCTAATTGAGGTCAAAATTGACCTCCGGAGAAGAACATAGGTACATGTAGGTACTTCGGTACTCCGTCGCATCATGGGCAAGAAAGAAATTGTTCCACCACCAGAGCCGAAGAACAAGCTGTTTTTTTCTTTCGGCCCAGATGAAAGCTCTTTCTTTTCGTCACCCTTGTACAGGCGATGGTCCGAAAATTCGCCTGAAGAGTCCAAAAAGCTTCTCCCAGATGCGGACCCCAACAAGCCGGAACCAGAGACTCCGCCTCTTGAAGGTCATCAGTTTTTCAGCAGTATGAAGAGAGCCATGTCGCATAAGAAAGAAGAAATCGTTGAGCCACAGCCTTATCATGTGTCGTATGGTGACAATGGATCGTGGTTCTTGATTTGGGACAACGGAGAACACGATGAGAATTTGAGAGGCGCATACCCTTCACTCCTCCAATGGATGCACGAGAATCAATCATCCCTCACCGACGGCTCGCTCAACGTATCTTTGGGGCCGAAAGGCGCTTTCTTCGCTTGGTGTACAGAGAGTTGTCGGTGGGACAATGTACCGGCCTCTTTCACGGCGGAGATCCAAAAAATGCTATGTCACGACGGCTGGAAGCGCAGGCCACGAAGAGTACAGTTCGGTGTCAATGAAAGCTATGTGATTGTGTGCGATGATGGAACATGGTATCCGCACGGATTGGAGGAGAATTACGAAGGCTTGATGGAACTGCTCACGTCGAGTGGGAAGATGAAAACGCTTTCTTTGGACGCCTACGGACCGGACACCTACTTTCTCGTCTCCGAGACGGGCAACGTGCATTGGAAAGTACCACAGACTTGGGACAATGTGGTAGAGGATGTGTCAAACACGTACATGACTGGCCACAGGGTGCGGACTGGTTCCATGCCCATGGATAAGGACTTGACATACTCTAAAGAGCCTAAGCAGGGGAAAGGGAAGGCCAACCCTGGGACGATGACGAAGTGGCTGTCGGGCGCAAATGCGGCGCTGCAGGTGGGACAATTGGTTATTACCGCCGATCCTGGGCAATGTCAACACCAGTAAGAGAAAACACCCTTGAAACCATCGAGGGAAAAAATTGTTGGCATCGAGGAGGTATGGCGACCATGAGTCTTGACACGATGTATATAAGAAGGCTCTCTCTGGACATATCAGAATCTCACTCAAGAGACGAAATAAACAAGTCGATAAGGCCATTTCCCCCTCAACAGCAGGCGCTTTAGCTCTCACAACCTACCAAGGGTGGCTAATTAAATTTCCTCCCGACTGGAACTAAACAATCTGTCCCTTCTAGGATGACCGCCGGTGAAAGTCTGATTCAAACAGCAGAGCCGCAAACTTCGATTTGGTCGAGCGACTTGGGTTGCTATTCTACGAAGTCGGATCGTATGATCGAGTGTTTACACGTCTTGATAAGAGCATCGTACATCAAATTGATCGAGCGCACACGTCGAGTACGTGTTCTGGCTTGATCTCTTCCACTCCCCGCTGTGAACCCACTTACAGAGTAGCGAAGCGAGGACCACTTTGGAGAGGCATAAAGCATCCTAGGGGTAGTAGTTGCCTTGCCTTCTCTTCGAGCATCTTATGATAATGTTTTGCTTTTGCTTTGTTCAACCCCATATTTCTGTATGGGTAGGGGCAATCGCTAGGCACCCGTGCGTTTCATCTATCGCAGCGAACACTTGAATAGGACATGCACATCTGTTCGGTATTTGTATTTACAATGTCTTAATTCAGGAACGGTCATTCCAAGACATCTTTGCATCCAAGCTCGAAGTTCTGTACCCACACAACCTCACTTCAAATGTCAAAAATATCCCCAGCTCCACCACCTCCGGCCCTGACATCCACAATATCCATTCTCCAACCCTCCCAATCCTTCAACCCTCTCTTCACCTCCCTCACTCTCTCCACCCTCTTCCGCGCCTCCTCTTCTTGCGCTAGCCTAAACGCGTCCTCATCAAACTCATCCTCGTCCTCAAAGGTTTCCAGACTATCCCTTGCTGCTCCGCCGGTCAAAGCGCTGAACCCACTACTGAGCACGGTTTGGAAGCTTGAACCTCTCGGACCAGCCGTACTCTGTCTGCGATATGATGGCGTCCCACCACTGAGGTCGACATCATCAAATCTTGACCCTGGGCTGGCAGGACCGTCGTCACCGTCTACACTACCGAGCTCTCTTCGTTTCTCTCGCCAGACGCCTCTGCGCAGGTCATAGACCTCGCCCTCGAGACTTCGAACCTTGCCTTCCAGCCGTCTCCTTTCTTCATCTTCGAGCTCGTCGACGCCTTCGTCATCTGCACCGCTTGCTTCCCTCTTTCGTGCCCTTTCTCTCTCCTCTCGAAGGCGCAGGTTCTCGTTCTCAAGACCCGCTAGCCGCCGTCGCATTTCGCTTGCTTCTTTCTCTAGCCTTTCACGCTCTCGCTCGCCGGCTTGGCGTCGACCGTCCGAGTCTTTGTGGAGGTTTGTCAACGCCGCGAGCTTTTTCTCCAATGTATCGACTCTTTGTAATGACTCTTCGGCATTTCTCTTTGACTCCTCCGCTTCACGCCCTAGGCTTCGTATTTTGGTCTCATTAGACGTCCGCTCGCCACCCTCCTTTACGGCTTTCTCGCTCGCTCGCTCCAGGCTCTTCTTCACATCTGATAACTCCCGTTGCGCAGCGCCAGCTGCCCGCTCTGCCCGCTCCAGCTTCTCTTCCAGGGCCAAGACCTGCTCCGAGTGTGTGTTTGTCGAAGATGCGGACTTGTCGAGCTGCGAGCGGAGATTGGAGATCTCCATTTCCATGGATTCAATGGTGGAGCTCTTGCTGTCGAGTTGTGTTTGGAGAGAGGACACAGGGCTCGAGGAAGTCGCGACTACGCTTGGAGAAGAGACATGGCGCTTGGAGGACTGGGATTGGAGTTGGGAGTTCTGGCGCTGGAGGGACGTGTTTTCTTGCTTCTGTAATTAGACTTAGCTTTCGTGCAGACAATAAATTCAATCGACGCGTAGACATACCACCTTATTGAAGTCCTCGACCTGAGCATCTGCTTTTTCCGCTCGAGCCTTGAGCTGTGCGACATCTCCGCTTGCCTCACGTAGCTCCTCAAGCTCGTCCTCCGTTTTCCTCCATCTCTTCTCATTTTCCTGCGCCTCTTTTGCTAGTCGTCGATTCTCTTTCTCAAGCTCATCAAGTCGTGCTGCTTGTTTGCGGTATATTGAGTTGATGGAATCACCGTCTGAAGTCAAAGTTGGAAGTTCGGGCGACTTTGTCCCATTCGCGCTGGGGGACAAAGGTCCTTGTGATAAAGATTGTCGGCGGAATGATGAAGATCGCATCTTCGACTGAATGCTCAAAGAGGGCTGCCGGTTATGGGCCAGGTTTTGAGCAGGTGTTTCGGGTGCATCATCCGTTACCTTATCCAACAGCGCTGCATCCGTGGTATCCGGGAGAGCCATTGATGATTCGTCGTTGCCGCCGTCTGTGCCAGACTTATCCTGCTCTGGGGTGTCTTCTCCTTGCTCAGTGGTGCCCGGGGCGGCGGCTTCCTCTCTGACTTCTTGAGTATCATCTTTCTTCTTGATTCCACTAGGCTTCTGGGCCTTCCCTTTTTGTTTCCTCAATTGCTCGTACTAGAGTGGCCATGGATCAGCACAGGAGCTTCTAGAGGTTCGGTATACACTTACCTTCTTCTTCGCTGCTGCGAGCTTCTCAGCCTTCTCTTTCTCTTCTACGTCAGCCATTACAGGGGCTTTCAGTACAAAAAGTTTTTCTGAACATGCACTGCAAAACCCAGGGCGGAAACGGCGACTTCAAGTATGTGGAAGCGTTATTGTTCAAAGTCCTGTCTCGGAATGTTGAAAGGTAAATGGAAACGATCGCGGTAGTTGTCGGTGAATCAATTGGCAAAATAGCAAATATGAGTGTTTTACTGTGTGAATGGTCTTGACTCAGAGTCATGTAGTCTTCAGACAGCTGTTTGACATGTTCGGGGAGGCTGAAAGGTGTTTGTCTTCGAGGCATTCTGGTCCCTGAACTCTAATTCGTGGGAGTACCCCTGTTCATCCCGCAACCGCAAGCGTAACAAATCCTTGCAGCAAAAGCTCCTTGAATTGGCGATCCTCTCATCATCCCACAGGCCGACATCACTACTGCTGAAAAGCAACCCTGGATTGCTTTCACTGTCCTGCTCGCACTGGATAAGTCTTTGGATGAGCTCAACTCGGGTCTGGACGCAAGACCCTCGGTTCAAAGGCGTGGTCCACAAACGCCAAAGAATACGGGGGAATGATGACAATATGATGGGCCAACCCCTGGTCTTTTGACTGTTTGATACGATATTGAAGAGATCGGACACGTTTTGGACTGGTTGACTTGAGAGGAGCTGGCCTGCCGACCGCCGAGGGCACCGGTGACACCTAGCTATACAGACCACGTTGAGTGGTGGGCAGAATATGGCCGACGTCGAGGACGTCAGCAGTCCCAATTGGAACACTTACAATGTGCAAGCGAGTGTGCAAGCGAGGACTCTGGATGCTCCCCGCACAACCGAGTCCGGCTCTGGCGGTAAGCTTAACAGCGGCATGCCTGTAGCTGCACCTGCCCGCATGAAACCGCCCGCTAACAGGCAGATCAGGTGAAGGACGTCCATCAAAGAGATTGCAGAAAGACTCGTCCAACAGTGTGATACCCTCGCGACCAACCGAGCCTACACCTTTAGCAGGCATCAGACCTGACCCGTTTCCTACACCTGCAACAAGAAGAAGGCAGTCTTCAATTAAGGATCATACGTTCAGGGAGCAGAGAGCTTCGCACGCACCCAGCGCCCTACAGGCATCTCCATCAAAGCGGTATGAGAATCTGGCTGTCCTCCTTCAAATCTGAGCTTGAGCATCCTCGTTGACATTCTCAGGCTGGCCCATAGCGGCCTTCCAAACCCACAAGCTCCGCAACGGACAATCGCGTCCAATGCCCAAAAGGAGCCCCATTCCAGACAATCCTCCATCAACAATACCTCAAGATTTAGCTTCGCCTCAACGGCTACTACAAGCAAACGGGATACCTCGCAGTCATCCGGATCCTTTGATTTCCTCCCGCCCATCAACTTCGATGACCTTCATTCTAGCATTGCCTCCGATGAGCCCGACATTTCTTCTTTCCCGGCGCCCGGTGGGTCTTCAAAGGACGTGGCGGCTAACGCGAATGGATCTGCTTTAACGGCTCCACGACCTGGCGTCCCTGGATCCGCCAAGACAGCAGACGCTTCGACTTTTGGCTCTCGGATTGCCCTTAACGGCTCATCGCTGCATCGACACAACAGTACTACACAGCGAATAGGGCAAAAGACTGCAGAGACGGATAGCATGGCGCCTCCAAACGGCCTGGCGGTAGCAAGAGCTAGGCGCAAGACTTATTTTCCAGCTACAACTACTGGTGAAGGTGCAACACGCTCGCCTCGAAAATCTGTTGGTCCTGGCGTCCTTATGAATTTTGAGGGAACTACACATCCACATCGAAGACCGAGTCTAGCGCAAGCTGGTCTTGGAGAAGCGAGCATTGCTGTCGATAGTCCGGAACCTGCAGCAAGTCCAAACGTCTCCGAAGGGCGCAGTTTCCAGCCAAGCCGGTACAACAAGACTAAATTGATGCAACCGCCTGCAAGTAAAGTATCTGCACAGGAACAATTCTTTACACCCAGTGGTACCCCAGACCAGACACCGTCAACTCCAGTCAGCACTGCCAGATCACCAGCGAGACCAACTTTCCAATTGTCGAACACTCCATCGTCAAGCAATAAGAGGGTCTCCATGATGCCCGGCAGTGCGCATGCCACAGGCTTAGGAGCGCGCACAGTCAGTCCGACCGATGCGCGCAGATTGAAGAGGATGTCCATGATGCCGAATCCACCACCAATGCCATATACGCCACCCACTCCACAGGCTGATCCTCAGCCTGACCCGTCGCCCCCTGTGATACCACGCAAAAGTGAAACGCCAACTTCCTCTCGAACGACTCCAGACCCCAACCGTAAGTCATACAGTTCAGGCCTCTCAAATTCGTCGACTACGAGCTACAACTCTTGTTTAGCCTCTTCCGGCTCCCATCGTATGTCCCAAAGTCTTTTGACCTCGCGGCTTCCTACGCCTAAGACGCGGGGCGATAATTCATCGGTAGGCGACGAGGAATCTGTGCCGCCAGTCCCAGCAATACCGAAGGCCTACGAGTCTCCCAAGACGGAAGATGATCAGACACCTTTCTTTGCTACACGTAAGTCAAGCCAGGGCCACGAGGCCAGCAGTCTCAACAGTAGCACCTCTACTCCTGGTGTGGTACCACCACAATCTGTCCATGAACGAAATAAAGATGACCGAGAATTGCAACAAAGTCAGGTTACGAATGTTGAAACAGAGCCTGCAACAGAAAGGAAACCACCTGACACAAAAAGTGCAAACAAACGGACCCTGCAACCGCTGAGACTGCCACCACTAAATCTTCTTCCGTTGAGCACTTCGACTGCTTCAAAAATTGCAGCTCTGCATGATGCGACAGCGGCTGCGAAGAACAAGGGAACCATGACTCCACCACCTAAAGTTGGTGCTAAAGCAATACCGACCACACCAATGACTGCATCTAAAGCTAGCTTCTCAAGAGGCTATCACGACGATGATAATGCGACAATGCCAGTACAGATCCGAAGCAGTAGTTCTCATTACAACATGAGGCCCGAAGCCCTTTCTTACCGTGACGTCAGTAGCTCGAGTACCACCGTTCCAACGCCATCCGACTCCTTCGCCTTGTCTGCTAGCCGTACAGCCATGTCCCCTTTCGTCTCTTCTTCACTACCAAAATCAAGTGGCGAATATGGCTATGGACTTGAGAAATCGAATACCTTCGATATCGGCGCCGATGCAAGGCCGATTCGATTGACTGGTCCACGCTTGCAGAAACCCAGAAAAGCCTCCAAGGATGATGCATCAAGCATGGACAACACAAGCTCTACTGATGCTGGCACCACTTCTTTTGGGAGCTCTCTCCGCCGCAAGTTGAGCTTGACACGCAAGCGAAGCGCTTCGAAAGCGCAGACAGCAGCAGAGAGAGATGCAGATATACCACCAAAGCCGCCGAAGCATGATGACATGCCTCCGCCTAAACTCCCTGCTTCTGCCACCTGGAATGGTTCACTATTTCCTAGCCCTAGCCCGAGCCAGAAAAGTATCCAATCGCGAGCCACAAGGAACACGTCTAATTCCAGCATCAAAATGCAACACGATCGGACTAGGAGCAGTATTTTGGATACTGCTGAAACTCCTCAGAAGGATCCCAGACCTCCAGAGACGCCTGCTGCTAATTCAAAGAGAACAGCCCGGGCCGCTCTTGAAGGGGCGCCGATTCACAACTCTATGAGTTTGAAGGATTTCTTGCGTGAAGCCAAGACCATGGAGATGCAGCTCGACCGCGATGATTTGTCGGCGGAAGAAGAAATGAGGAGATTGGCATCGAAACGGAAAGAGACGGAAAAGGCTGCTAAAGAGGTCGATGGTTTGAGGCGAAGGGCCACTGCCAAGGAGAGAGTATCGCCACATTCAGCGCTGCGGATGGCGCATTTCAACATATTCGAGCGTGGCGAGATAGTGGACTACAAGGATGTCTATTTCTGTGGTACACAGGATGCTCAGAAGCATGTCGGAGACTTGAGTGCCGACGTGGCCAATTTTGGATATGACGATGATCGGGGAGACTACAATATCGTGAATGGTGATCACCTAGCTTACCGTTATGAGATCGTCGACATCCTTGGCAAAGGCAGCTTTGGGCAAGTCGTGCGCTGCATAGATCACAAGACAGGTGTTCTGGTGGCTATCAAGATCATAAGAAACAAGAAGAGGTTCCATCAACAAGCGCTCGTTGAGGTCGACATTCTGCAGAAGCTGCGAGAATGGGTGAGTCCACTAGATGCTAAACGCCTTTCTTCAAATACTAATGCACGCACCAGGATCCCCAAAGCAAACATAGCATGGTCAACTTCGTGCAGAGTTTCTACTTCCGCGGCCATTTGTGCATCTCGACTGAGCTTCTAGGCATGAACCTCTACGAGTTCATCAAGGCTCACGAATTCAGAGGGTTCTCATTAAAGCTCATCAGGCGCTTTGCCAAGCAACTGTTGAGCAGTCTCATTCTTTTGAAAGGTCACAAAGTCATCCATTGCGACCTCAAGCCCGAGAATGTGCTCCTGGCGCATCCTGCTCGCTCTGAAATCAAGGTCATCGACTTCGGCTCGAGCTGCCTTGAAAATGAGAAGGTGTATACCTATATACAATCTCGTTTCTACCGGTCTCCTGAAGTCATTCTGGGCATGACATATGGCATGCCAATAGACATGTGGTCACTAGGCTGTATTCTTGCCGAGCTCCTCACGGGCTACCCTATCTTTCCGGGCGAAAACGAGCAAGAGCAATTAGCTTGCATAATGGAGGTTTTTGGCCCGCCTGAAAAGCATCTAATCGAAAAGTCGACTCGCAAGAAGATTTTCTTTGACTCTCTTGGCAAACCACGTCTCACTGTCTCAACAAAAGGCAAACGCCGCCGCCCAAGTAGCAAGTCTCTCCAGGCGGCGCTCAAATGCGAAGATGAATCCTTTCTCGACTTCATCACTCGCTGCCTCCGGTGGGACCCTGATCGCCGCCTCAAACCTGACGAAGCTATACAGCACGAGTTCATCACCGGCAAACCCACGAAATCTACCGCTCGTCCTCGCACGGCTCCCTCACAGCAGACCTCCTCGCCCATTAAACGCTACAACTCCATAACGCAAACACCAGCTAGCACGCGCCCGCTGCCCGAGCCTCCCGCTACCAGCTTCAAAAATGGCACCGCTGTCCGGAACCGCGATATCACCAACACTAGCGTCAACAATAGCCAATCACCCATCAAAGCTGCCGTCACTGCGGCAGCTCCAAAGAGGCTTTCCGCTATGACTGGGCCACAAACCAACGGCAACGGCGTTGGCATGAAGAGGACGCTGAATGGAGCTGCGGTACAAGGGAGTGCCCTACCGAGGGTTGCAAGCACGCCGCGTAGTATGGGGACTAGTAAAGGCGTGGACCTAGGGACGGCTGCAGCTGCAGCTGCAGCGAGTTTAGTGAGTTGCCTCTACCCGTCTCCTTTTCCCTGAATCCCACACATCGTTACTAAGCAGCAACAGGCGACGAAGCAGTCCCGGGTCAGTTGAGATGGTTATGAGTGATGAAGAGAGCAGGAAATGTATATAGCCAATGGCGTTCTTGGGAGAAACCGTACCGTGCCGAGCACGCTGTTGGGGTTTCATGCATGATTTTGACGGCGTCGTTCCGCTTCTACATCGGGGTGTTGTACACCCCAATATACCCTTGTGGAAGCAACCGGATTCTTTGCGCATGGCTGTCGGAGGTTTAGCATTGCATCAACAGCGCTTATTTTCCACAAAGAGTCAACGTTGCCAGTGATGCGTTTTCGATAAGCGTGAGTGAAATCTTTTGAAGACTGCATGTGCAAGCTGCTATTGAAAAAGACTGGCCGGGGTCTGCTTATCGCAAGAAGCATCGTCACTTCCATCGCTATCCTAGCACCGCTTTCCGCGTCTGCAGATCGAAAGCAATCATAAGCATCCCGTCCAATCGCCCCGTCATGCATACCTACCTACCTAGCCAGCCAGCTGGCTTTCTCGAGCCAAACTCCGCAGGTAGGACTTCCGTTCCGTTTCGTTTCGTATCCTTCCGTTCCGCTTAATCCAACACCAACATCCCAACCGCAGCCGCAACCATGGCCCCCAGATGCGCCTTCGTCCTCCTGCCCTCGGCGGCGGCCCCCGTGAACCCAGGCACCGACGACCCATGCGTCGTGTTGCGTGGCGCGGTCCCGGTCCCGGTCCCACTCGCTGCTGCGACGGTACCGGTACCGGTGCCGTTGGCTGCGAGGAGTGAGATGGGAATGGGAATGGGAATGGGGTAGCGTGCGCTAGCGAGGGCGGTAGATGCTGCTGGTGGGATGGAAGGGGCGATGTAGGAGGTGGAAGTGGAGGCTGAGGTCGAGAGGGAGGTATGTGGCGATGTTATTGATAGGCTGACGTTGACGTTGCTAGCAGCGGTGGTGGTCAAGGCCGTGTTGTTGTTGCTGCCGGGGCCCGGAACCGGAAAGCCGGGCCCGACGCCGTCCGGGTAGACGGTCCCGCCGTAGGAGCAGGCGGCGTCACCGGCCGTGGGGGAGGATTCGTCACCTGTGTGGATGAGTGAGTCGGTCGATTCGGTCAAGTGGGGGGTTTATTCCCCCCATCGGAGCATCTTACACGGTGCGAACCCTTTGACGCCGAGCGGTGGCACGCCGGCGAGACTTGGTCCGAGTCAGTCACTCCGGGGTGGAAGGAAGGAAGGAAGTTGCGTGCTTACTTGTCGTTGCAGTTGCCGGCTTGGCCCGAGGTGCCGGTGCAGCGGATGATGATGTTGGAGGTCAGGGATGGGCCGGCGCAGTAGGCGGCGTTGGGTGGGGTGGAGGGGCAGATGAATTGGTACGTGCTGGTGTTGCTGTTGGGGGGGGAGGTTAGCTTGGTGAGGTTTGGGGGCGGAGGGGTGGGGGGTAGAGTACAAGATTACTTGAGCGGTTGCCGGAGCGGCGGTGGTGATGAGGAGGAGGGGGAGGATGGGTGAGAGATGCATGGTGGGTTGTATTTGGTGTGAGGGTTGGATTGGATTGGATTAGTTGAGTTGGATGTTAAAAGATGGAGGTGATTGAGTGGAGCGGTGAGATTTCCAAACTTGAAGTGTAGAATATGGAAGTATGTATCAAGTGAATGCTTTGAAGTGAAGTGAAAGGGAAAAGAGAATGTTGGTGTTGGGTGGATGAAGAGCCTTTGCTACCACATGAGGGTAAGTAGATTCACACGGCGCTAGTCCCAGCCAAAGGTTGACAAGCCGCTCTCCACTCCCGTCGTTCACTCCTTGCACCATTCTTCTTGAAACTCGTACGTCTTTCCGGAACAGGTACCCTAGCAATCTACAGACCCTGCGCCCATCACAGCATGACTCCCACCGCCGCTCAAGCCTTCCAGCATAGACCTGTCTGGAAGTCTCCCTACGATATCAAGCGGTCGAAACGAAATGTCGATTTCGTCTGCCTCTGCCACTATTTACGCTATACAATTTTTCCGTTATGCACCTGCACCTGCACATGCACCTGCACCTGCACCTGCACCTGCACATGCATCTGAACGCTACCTAGATCTACGCGAGCTGCCAGGTACCTGAGGCTCACGGTTGCATCCGGCGCAAGATGACATGCGCCGGTGGGTCTGGCCAGCCAAAACGGCCCGCGATCCGGGGTGAGGGGAAGCGGGATTGTGTTCAATCATAGTGGGATATTTAGCCCCTGTATTCACTTCCCTCGCTTTCACTGTTGTTTGTGATGCTGGCGGGCATCGATTGAATCAAATCAAATCAAATCAAATCAGTGTTATTTATTGAAGAATTGTCGAGGGACCAATATACAGAGTGATCCGGAAGCTTCTCGGCACGTTTGCTAGGAGGAAACGCAAGGATGGTCTATGAATCGCAGATATCCTTTACCTTGGATACCATATGTCCCTGGTGGGTTGAGCTTTTTGATGAATGCGTCGTTTGGTAGTGGTACTCGGTGTGAACTTCAACGTTGACTCATTGTCTTAGGACATACTTGGCGAAGAAAAGGTCATTGCTCTCGACTACTGACGGAAGCGGGGCTGATGATCTGTGCTTTGACTAGACTTGACATAGGTATGGCTCACTCTTTACTCTCTAAGCCCAGAAGACTTGTGTCTTCCGTTCCATCCACGTCTTTTCTGTTGGCAGGTTTCAAGGAAGAGCGTTTGGTCTGTGCCTCTAACACGGCCAATCCAGCTCTGAAGCAGTTCCGCTCCTCTCCTTCAGCCGAAGATGTAAAGTTCACGGTCAAATACTTTCCCTATCAGCTCTATCCAGAGGCTAGCAATCAAGGCGAGGACAAGTATGAGTGGTACGTTATTTTACATTGCAGACTAGAGCGATCCCCCCATTCAAACCGCAATCCAGGTACAAGACAACAAAATACAACAACTCCGAAGAGCAGATGAGGAAGTACACTACTCTGATGTCCGCCTACGGCGTCGGCGTCGGCATCGATTTCAAGTTCCACGGAATGGTGGCCAACACCCTGAGCGCACATCGCTTGATCCAACACTTCCAGGAGGAAATGGGACCCGAGACCGCAGACAAGATCGTCGATTCCCTGTACAGGCAGTACTTCGAAGAGGAAGCGCATCCCGCGGCGCCGACCACGCTGCTTCAAGCCGCTCTGGACGGCGGTGTCGAGCGTTCAAAGGCCGAGGCGTTCGTTGGAGATGATTACGAAGCGCTGCCAGAGACCAAGCTGCTGATTAGAGAGCAGGCGAGCAATGGCATCGAGTACGTATTTTCCGAGTCCGTATTTCGCCCTTTTGGAAGCAAATCTTGAACCTTGAGACATATCTTGGGAGTGCGTACTCTCGAAACATGGTCCAAGGCTCGATCAAACCCTGCCGATAGGCAATGCTGACTGCGAGATTGTAATGCTAGCGCCGTGCCATATGTGGTGTTGGAGGGCAAGAGAAGAGACTTTACACTGGAGGGTGCAAAGGAAATGGATGAGTATCTGAAGGAGTTCGACAGGGTGGTCAAGGAGTCGAAATGAGGAACGACGACATGAGGGCTGCGTGTCCTCGAGCTTGACGCCGTAGCTTTCAACGTTTTGTATAATCCACGACTGTATCTGCGTTCACGACCCGTCGCCGAGTTGCCGCTGCCTACTTCCATCCTACAGAATTGTTTCCAGCTTGAGTATTTGTACAAAAGTGCGTACCCGGTGCTTCCTCCACCGATTCACGCGACCTCGACCACCGGTCCAGTATACACTCTCCTCGCCCATACGAGGTAGTAGACCAGGCTGATGATAACAATCGCCCCCGTTATTAAGACAGCGTAGTTCATATTTGCCGCCGTGACCGGCCTCTGGGTTGGCCAAAAGCTAAAAAATACCACGACGGTCAAATAACAGCACGCGTATGTATTATTCACGATACCCCAGTATCCCGGTATATGCCAAGGACCCCATCTGACACTTATATCCGCTACCGCGGAAGAGCCGACGGACGAAGCGGGAGGAAGTATCGCTCCGGTGTAGCGTCGATATAGCAAAAGACTGATTGCGACGAGGTATGAGGACTGCAGCCCAGACACCGAGAGCGAGACTAGATCGTTGAAGGCGGTTGAGGACCCGAGGATGATGAGCGAAAGCAGACATGAAACACACGTGGTGACGAGGATGGACCGGATGGGGAGAGAAGTGCGTGCGTCGACCTAGTATCCAGATTGCGCACATCAGCGTTATCCATTCGCAACTCCCTGAGTGATTCAGTGGGGAGAATACTGACGTGCTGCAGCCATTTCCACCCGGGTAGACCGCGATCGCGCGCGAATGACCAACACATGCGCGAAGCAGATGCGAGAAGTCCCACGTTAGCGCAGTACTGCATGACCACTAGAATGGAAGCCAGGATCGTAGCTCCGGCAACGGAACCAGTGGCATGGAGCAGGATTTCCATATATGGGTATCCGGTGGGGGTAGTCAATGCGCCCTGAACATCAGTCAGGCTGAAGAGCGTCGCTATCAACATACCGAAAGCCAAGGTGCCATTGATGAAGATGGTGAACATGATTGAGCGTGGCACGACAACAGAGGCGTCTTGGATTTCTTCCGACATCTACAATCTTGTCAGCTTACCAGTAGCCCTGGCTCCCGCCGGGAAAGGGTAGTGATACATGGATCGCCCCATCTGCGCCTGTTCACCTTGTCAGGCATACCTCTAAATTTTCTGGCAGGCCGGATTGGCTACGTACCCGTAAAAGTATAGACAGACCCAATCAGTCCTATCATGAACGAGAGACCTTGTGTAGGCCAATCTCCGGTGTTCAGAAAGGTTTTGAAAACCTCGGAAGCATCCTGATGCGAACCCAAGACCACCAATGGGAGGAGAATGGCAAAGAAGCCTAGGATGTGGATTATAAGAATTGACGCTTCGAACTTGGGCAGAAAGCGTCCGACGATGGTGTTCATAAATATAGTGAATACCATCGACGCCCAAAACAGTAGAACCGTATGCCATGGATGAGGATTGTAGGCAGGCGTTGTCAAAGTGATCAAACCCTGGATCTGGGCTCCTGCGAGGTAGTACACCGATGCGAGAGTTGCCTGCCAGCCCCACACCGTGAGCCATCCTAAGACCGATCAGAGAGATTCGTCAAATTGTGATCTATCACTTGCCGGTGGCATAGCTCAAAAACTTCCTCGATGAGGGCGGCGCCAGCATTGAGACCCAATAATACTGTCCGCCAGCGGTAGGGGCCCTAACATGCTTTAGTCCAGGCTTCAAAGAATGTTGGCATTTGAAAACACATTGAAGCAAGCTCGCTCAAACACGCGTAAACTGAGGCAGTCCCGATCCACACGACCAGAAAACTATACACCAGACCGGCGGGACCTCCACTAAAACTCGGTTATCATGTTTCGGCCGCTGCGCTTTGATATAGAGCAGCATACTTCGCAAATCCAATGTCGAAGACGCTTTCCTTTGTTAGCTCGGTCTGCGTGAGATGGGGTGGTCCAGGATTACATCAAAATGCCCTCCCAGGTGATGAGAATCGTACAACTGAAACCCAGCAACGACATGAACCCAAATCGGCGCTGCAAGAACTCCGTCAGTCCGAATTGTCAGTGGTTCGAATCAGGACCGGAGTCTCACCTTCAGGACTGGCTTCTTACCAAGGCGCATGAGGTCGGCTTCATCACGGTCAATGGATCCCCGCTGGGTGTAATGGATCTGTTCTGGCATTTTCGTAACACCAGAACTGTGCGCCAGCTCATAGTCGTCTTCCATGTTGTCGTCTCGGGAGTTCTAGCTGGAGGGTTTGCAAAGGGAGCGGTAAATGTTTTAAAGATTCCAAGCAATATGCGAAGACTCTCGATGGCAATAGAGGCTCTTCATCTATCTCAGCTGGTATAAGAAGGAGGTCAAGATTCCAACATATGTGCGGTGCCAGTTGCTTGCGCGGACACGCAGACATTAGTGGATCGCGGTATATCGGTCACATGTACACAGACAATTTGCAGACGGCAATACGGAATCCTTTACACTTCACACCTCAATCAGCAGATTTGTTGTAGCGGTGAATGACTCCATCATCCTTGCAGGCAGTCATGAATGACCCCACCAAATTCTGCTGAGTCAGCACGGCTCCGGGGGCTTGCATCAAGCACTCCACCATCTTCAATCCATTCAAGGTAGATTACATGTAGTCTGCTTGACTTGGGAGCTCTCAGTCATGCGGAGTGGATTGACAGCTTGCAGGCGATCAAATGTCAATGCATGTCAGTGCACTGATCAGGCAATTATTTCGTCCCAGACGATGGATAGCCAGATCATTCTCCCTTACCAACAGCACTAGCAATCATTAAACTTTCCAATTGTTTTCACGTTGCAGCGGACCCTCGGCTTATCTTTCGGCCGGAAAGTCTAGTCCAAAGTCTAATATCTTGGCACGCAAGTACCCACCAATCGACGCCGGTTACTTGTATGGCATCCTCAGTGAACAGTTCAATTGATGGGATATGGGTACGTACCTTACTCCCACGCCGAATCACTCAGAGCTTAGACTTTTCGGCCGTACACCTCTACAAGTAGGTAAATTGGTGATGACCTACATGGATATTACCTGCACAATCCCCTTTTAGCGCAACACAATCCGCCGGCATGATGGTGCAGCGCAGGTGCAGATTCCCCCAGACTCTAATAAGGTGACTGATATTCCGAGCGCCATCCACAGTGCACAGGGTGAGGCATGTCGAGCTCGGACAGAACAACATCGATGTACACGTAATTGGACGCCTTGCCCAATAAACTGACGTGGCTGAACAACAGCCCCGCCTTGTCCGCGGAGCACAATCATCGGGTGGGAATGCATTCCATATTACCCATCCTGTTCCCAAAGCTGTTTGCATTTTCTCTTCTCGGCCGTCGGCGCCTTCTTTGCCTTTTACTACAGTGAATGGTAAGCGGATGACAGAGTGAAAGCCGTTCCAAGAGCGAATATGTGGACTGGTGTGAGGCCTGATATCCTGCCGACCTCGAGTCCTTCTCCTTCCCCCACCACCACCCTCAATCCCTGCAACCCTCAACCTGTCATGTATATCATGTCATCCCATGCACCGTCTTTCTTATCTTCTTTATCCATCTTCGCATGCTGCCCTGCATATGTATGTAGCCAAAAAAAATAGGTCCTCGTATTGAGCCGTCGAGCAATATATGAAAACCCGGACGGCGGTACTGCATGCTTTTTTCCATTGACAGGGGAACATATTCATATCATGGGCAATGAGAATGCTTCCACTGTGCAGATACTCACCTGGTTTTTGATTATTACTTCAATTCTAGGAGTTGGGGCCAGGGGTCTCACTAAAGCCATTCTCGTCCGCTCCGTCAGTCTCGACGACTATCTGATAACAGTCGCCTTGGTATGCTCTTGGTCGCCGCCAAGCTGATCCGATTTAGCTAACGGCAAATAGCTATTCGCCATTGGACAATCAGTTGCCGTCTCGGTAGAGGCTGGACATGGCTATGGTAGCCCTTCAGATCCGCTGAGTCGCTCTCAAGCGACAAGAAATTTGAAGGTATGCGTCTTACCCATGCACGAGACAGAGTGCTTTGACTAAGCTGCTGCTAGTCTGAATATGCAGCCAGTCTCCTCTATGTTGCAAGTCTCGGCTTTGCGAAAGCATCTGTCGTAGCTCTTGTCAACACTCTGACGCCCATCCGAAGCCATCGACGAGCCACATACGGACTTGCAATCTTCCTCTTTCTCTGGGCAATCATCGGAGAGATCGGAACGGCTTTCCTATGCCATCTGCCCAGACCGTGGGACTATCTGGAAGGACACTGCTCGAATGATACAATACGTGTACGTTAGCCTCCACTTGGATACAAGGCCGTACTCAATTGGCAACTAGCGCACATGGTGGAACTACTTCGAAAGTACGAACATCATTACTGATCTGGCTTTGATATGCTTGCCGATTGTTGTGATCTGGCAGATTCGAATCTCCCTTTCCAGAAAAGCCTCGGTCTGTTCCTTCTTTGCGCTTCGGAGCACGTAAGTCCGTCAACATCATAGAATGTCTAGGTGCTGATCTTCATACAGTGTCATTGCCGCCTCAGCGTGCAAGCTCGTCTTCTGGAACAACACCCAAGACTTGCAAAAGCCCGGTCACAATCCCTGGACCGTGACACTCTGCACCCAAATCATCCAAAGCCTCAGCATCGTCTCGGCCTGCTTTCTCTACCTCAAGCCATTCCTCGACAGCGTCGAGTCCGGCTTCATCAGAAGTGACGACATCCGGCGACGGGGCACGAACGAATACCACCGTCACCACACCGCCACCACCACCGGCGGTTCGTCGACCACGGGGTCAGCTTTCTCGACAAAAAAGCACGCCCGGACCGGGAGCCAGTCCATCGGGCTCGTCGGCGTGCCGCACCCGCGCCACATCACCACCGTCACCGCGAACGATCCGCCGGACCTCGATGCTGGAAGCCAGCACAGTCGCACCCACATCATCAAGGAAACCAGGACTTTTGCGGTCGAAGGGTCGGCCAACGAGCAGTGATTCCAGAGGTCAAAAAAGGGGTTCGTGGGAGAGGCATGGATTCTACCTGGGACGGAGACATCTTGTTATAGCCAGAGAATCTTCATCATTTTAGGCTTCCCCACAATCGAATTATATGGCTTGTACCGTTGACAGGATTGTCATGTTGGTTTTTGGAGGTCGCTGGAGGTAAGTCACCCATGGAGGTTTTTGCCTCCGTCTCTGTGGGCTCCGTTTTGCTTCCGCTTTGCCTCCGCTTCCGTTCTGCTTCCGCTTTTATTCTGCCTCCGTCTTGCCTCCGCTTCCATTCTTTTGCCTCCGCTCTTGCCTCCGCTTCCGTCTGGCCTCCGTCTTTATGCTAGCCTCCGTCTTAGCCTCCGCTTCCGTTTGGCCTTTACTTCTATTTTGCCCCCGTCTTGCCTCCGCCTTGGCGTAGATTTGGCACTGCTTTATTTTGCCTCCGTCTTGGTAGGAATTTGGCAGTGCCATGTTTTGGTGCCGTCTTGGTGAGGTTCTGGCACTGCTTTATTTTGCCTCCGTCTTGATCAGGTCCATTATATCTCCGCTTCCGTTTTGCTTCCGTCTTAGCCTCCGCTTCCGTTTTGCGTCCATTTTGCCTCCGCTTTTACTCTACCTTCGTTCTACCTCCGCTGCTATGTTGCCTCTGTCGTGGTGCACTTCTCATTGTCTCCGTCTTGCCTCCGCCTTGGCGTAGATTTGGCACTGCTTTATCTTGCCTCCGTCTTGGTAGGAATTTGGCAGTGCCATGTTTTGGTGCCGTCTTGGTGAGGTTCTGGCACTGCTTTATTTTGCCTCCGTCTTGTCTCCGCCTCCGTCTTGCCTCCGTCTTGATGAGGCTCCGGTTTGTCTCCGTCTTGCCTCCGCTCCGTCTTGCCTCCGCTCCGTCTTGCCTCCGCTCCGTTCCGCCTCCGTCTTGATAGGCTCCGTTTTGTCTCCGCTTCGCTTCCGTTGGATAGGGATCCGTCTTTGTGAGCTTCGCCTAAAGCTCTTATCTATACGGCTCGTTTCCGTCTTAGACACCGGATCACACTCGTGTAAAAGATAAGATAATCCTGAAAAATGTCACGGGAGACCGGCGGTGAATTTGAAAGTTTCCACCGCCGTGTCTCGTTCCGGTGAAGCGGCATTCGATGTTCTATAGATAGCTACACGACGCTGCCTGATCTATCTATCTACCTTTACCCCTCGCTTGCTCGGAAATTATCCCTGCGATCCTTCTCATACCTCGTCTCCATCAAACACTGCCATTGAACGTACCTATTGCAGCCCCAAGGGCCCTTCACACAAGGATCATTATATCCTCCGACTTCAGCTCCGGCAGCTCCGTTTCCAATAACTCGGGTATCACACAGCCGGACTTCTGTTGCCAGTCCTCCGGCGGCTTGTCCAGCACGGCATCAGCAGCACCAGCTTCACCTTGGCGCAACTCTCAGCCACCTCCCCCACCCATTCCGACTCCACATTCTCGAGCGGTTTTTATCCTAGCTGTCGACGCACGCTGAGGCAGAGCGTAATGGTGTAGGTCTGATCAGAGAAGGAAGAACGTAGCTGTCGAATCCTTCTTGCCTCGCGGTGTCCCAGAGAAAGAGCTCAGTGTCGACACCATTGACGAAGATGTTGTGGACGTAGTTTTCCGTGCCAATGGGGTGGGAGGTTAGCGTGAGGGTTTGGGGGCTGAGGGCGGGCGGGCCGGTAGCGAGGACCGTTGCTTTGCTGCGAGGAGAGAAGCGGTCGGTACGGGGCGTCCTAGAATGTGGGGAAGTATCTGCGTCTTAGTAGAGGCAGGTCGGCGTGAACCGTCCAATGCTTGCCGTGCGCAACGGAAACAGTCCTTGATTCACCACCCACTCAAAGAAGTGCTCCGGGACTCGAACCGTTGCCGTCAACACATGCCATTATTCACAAGCTCCAACTTAGCTGTTCGCAACACCCCAGTCAATGCAATTATACCACACTTCAGCGCTTCTGTCCTATGGGAAAATCCAACCGTAATCCATTGTTCCAGCAATCATGCATATACTCAGTGTACTTCGTTGTCGCTTCGTCGTGAAGGTAGGACGCAAGGTCTCTGTAGAATTGAACTGCTGAATGCTGATTCCGTTGGTTCTTGACTGCGAATTGTGCCGATCTTCTCGCTGTATTCGGGCTTCGAAGGGTCGAAAACAAGCAGATCTTTGCTCGACTGCAGTTCCGGGCGATGTAGAGGGACGATCGTTCATCTAGCCTCAAGGCCCCACGAGATGAGCGAATGTGGCAAAGGTCATGCGTGCATGCATGCACGGGGGCGAAAATCCCAAGTAAGTTTGTTGAAAGTCCTGCAATGCGGACGCGGTGTCCGAAAAGACCAACTCTGTTCACGAACCTTTCCTGGAAAATTCGCCATTTGGTCTGCGAGTAAATTGTTTCTTGATGCATTCGATCCTTACTATTCGAAAGAGCCGATATGCCCGACGATACCGAACAAATGGTGCGTAAGTGAATAGTTAAAAAATTCCTCTTGAGATTTGGAGAGTCTGGGTTTCCCTCTATGCATGAGTTTTGCTACATCCTCTCAGATGCTGAATGTTGGCGGATCGAGTCGCAGTAGGTCATGGTGATATGGACCGTTCTTCAGCTTCAATGCCATACAGTCTAGTTCACGGGTTACTCATATGAAGGAGAATTAAGATTGAATGTCAGGAACGTGCTAGAGCGCATCGTAGAGTCATGGTGTTGATTCAAATTTGCGTGACTCTCACCCGCGTCATTCGAACGTAAAGCAGCGGTCACCCTACCTGAAAGACTGCATGCACCCAAGGGGACTACTTTGTGGCCTCCCGTCTAAGCTGTAGAGACTCTATGCCTTTGAGGGAAAAGGGACTGTGTGCTCAAACGGAATCGAAGTTGACTCAGAGGTCTTATTAGGACATGTGCGTCGTACCCAAAAGCTCATTGCTAGACTGTTGATCTACGATCAAGATTATATGCTTTGCCCTAAATCAATTTAGTCTCTTCAGCCCTGAGTTTGTCCCAACGTCGGCATTCTTTCACTCAAGCAGGAGCAACTTGCTTGATCCACCGATCATTCTCCGTATCAAAGACATACCCTGTCGTTTTCAGCGCCCAGAGCCATTGCGACCACAAGCCATCCCTGGCATAGTCGCTTGGTGAATCCCCGTCATCGTCGAGGTCGTTCGGATCGCATCCTGCCTCTAACAGGATCCTGAGCTTGGTCCTGACGCGGTCCTTGAGCACATGGGCTGGGTTGCGAATCCAGTTATGGTTACCCCAACTGTCGGCGCAGCAGACGTAGTTGTCGTCATCAGATTCTGGGATGGACTCCTCGGCACATGATGAGGCGTCACTGTCAAGATCAGAGGAGGACAAATCGATGGGGATTGGCTGCTCTTCAGAAACGTTAGACCCGTGATCGCTCACCAGTTGGTTGCTCTCGACACCATGGAGAGATGGCGTCGATCGAGACGTCTCGGGAGACGTGGAGGCTGGAAGGGGGTCCAGCGTGCTTTCTCTATCGTAGTAATCTCTTCCGAATTTGTGATCCTCTGTATTCCAGAGCGTATTAAGGCACTCGTTGTGATCGAAATCGCCTTCCTCGGTGTGCCAATTGCAATTTAGATCCACCCAATCGGAAAGACCTACGGGTGGGCTCAAAGCACTATGCAAAGGCCCTCGGCCGATCTCATCCCTGGCATCTAGTCTGGCACCTCTTTCAATAAGTTTTCTTAGGCATCTCGCAAAGTGTGGCTGACACTCGGTTGCTGCGTGAAGGAGTGGCGTCCGTCCAAGGGAATTCTTCTCCTCAAGATCCCAGCCAAAGGAAAGTAGATAGTGGATTGCATCCTCCGAAGCCGAGGCGTGGGCATCGGCCATGCTGTCCCCAGTAAGGTTAAAAAAGCGGACCAGCACCTATTCGTCGATCGTCGGCGTTGTCAATCATGCAGTCATAGTCTAGTGCTAGTTGTGTTATTGCCACACAGTGCTCGAACTTCTGAAGTTCTTCCGTTGGCATCCCTGACCACTCAACCACGCCCGAATTAGCACCTGCAAAACAGTTCCATATGACCGTGATAACGTCTGTTATTCGGCCGCTGTCCATACATTGATAGGTACTAGCTCCGCCTTGAAGTAGAAGCCGAAAAATGTCAGAACATCCCGTGAATATAGCGTACTGCAAAAGTAGTCAGCAAGACTATTGCTTCGTCCATCTGCGTCTGTACCTACATGGAGTAGCGATATGCCTCGCGAGTCGACGTCTCGAGCGGATGCTGCTCCAAGGTCGAATAGTGTTTGTATGCCCTTGAGATCGCTCTTGCGGATGCACTGAAAGATCGCAGAATCATCCGGAACGACGTTGAAGGTGTTAACTTGCGGAGGGATTGCAGGCCCACTCATCAGTCTGGACAAACGGACGCACAGTCCAGGGGTCCGTTTCATCGCCCGCGGCATGAATGATATGATGATGAGGAACTTCGAATCACTTCCTCCTTCGTCCATTGAACTGCTTGGTCCTTCTCTGACTTGAAATAGGACTTGTCCCATGGGCGTGTAACAAAGCCGACAAAAGGTACTTCGCAGCTTGATAGCATCAGTGCCTTCGGTGAGCTTTGAAAGTCGTTGTATTCCATCCGACGATTCGAAACCTTGTCTAGGCTCGTCAAGATAGACATCGGAGCCAGATCGCAAGGAACCTTGAATCCTCGCTATTTGGCGCTTTCGAATAGACCTTAGAGATCTTTCAAGGTATGAGTCCAGCAATTCTTCGACCCCAAAGGATAACCAGTCGCACAAATGTGGACAGAAAACGTCCGAGATAACAGAGGCGTCATGCTCGTACTTTTGAGAAGCAGTGTTGAAGCGTGAAAAAATAAGCGATTGAAGCAAAACGAGTAGTGACGCAATTGACTCTGCTCTCACATCCTCCCCAGTGACGGAGCCAAGCGCTTGACCGGTGGCTGATGTAGTCTCTGAAGCCAGATTGAATGCTCTACCTTCGCTGTGAGTGTCATCGTGGTCTGCGAGCTGAAGAGGGGAGATGATTATCCTCTCATCAGACCTCCGAGGATGTGGTTCCGCGTGAGAAGAAGAGCTACGAGCTGTGCTCGGTCCCTGAGGTGAATTTACAAAGTCTGAGAAGTCAAAGTCCACATTGCAGCCTGAAAAATGGGAGTCCTTGTCGTTTGCACTTTGCATGGTAGAAACATCTGGAGTGATCCTGGTTATTTGCCGCATAAGCTGGCTCGTGTTTTCCGTACGCACAGCCTCGATGTCTTGCCTGGATGAAGTCGGCATAAGCGACCCGCGTCGTGGTGACAACGACGCACTGTTGTTATCGAGCAAAGTTTCCCATAATCCGCTGTTCGTTTGGTTTTGGCCACCATCATCGAAGAAAACCGGGTCTGAGAAGGCATCGAGGCTATTCCATACGTGGCTCAAGCCAAATGCTTCAGACTGGTGACAGGAGTTGTTGGGGGGAATTCCCAGACTAATTGGCCTTTCGATATCATGAGTCACTTCCTCGGCACTATTTGGAACCCCAAAAGTCTGACCATAAGCTGGAAGAAAGCATGGCATTTGCGGGCTTTGTCGTGGTGATATCAATGCTCTAATATACGGTGGAAGGACTACCACGCATCCTCACGTTAGCCTAGGCCAAGTGAGAGTGCAGTTACATACCTGGGGAGGAAATTAGAGGCCCCTTTCGTCTTTTTGACGCCCGCTCAAGCCTTTCTTGCTCAAATAGGTGGCCTCGATATTCGAAGCTGGTATCCTTTCCCAGCTCTTGACGCTTTCTTTTGAAAGATAGCATTGTGGTCAAGTCTCGATCGCTTATGTACTTCTTGAGACCCCACTTGTTGAATTGATACTTCAGCTGTTTCTCTCTATCGATGAGCTATTAGGTTTTCGGTCCTCAATGCAAGCATAAAGAGGTCTTACGTGGCGAAGAAACTGTACTCCCTTGCCATGGTCTCTGTTATTTCCTGAAGAGATAGATTATCATCCAGGTACAGACTCTCGAGCTTTTGGCGCCGATTAATCCATTCCGCTTCGCTGACCCGCGGTGCGCGTGAAGCCTGCGTGGTGGCTCGCGGCTTTAGTTGATCACCGCGCGAAGACATCTTCAAATGTGGCAAAGACTACTCGTGGGAGAGAAAGCCATAAGGTGAGGTGGGTGGGTTAAAAAAAAATGCGAACGCCTGGTTGCCTGATTCTGAAGAATATCTCATTTTCATTGGCTCGCTCCTGATTCTGAAAAAGATCTCATTTTCATTGGCTCGCTAAGTGCTGCGGTCACACTTTTGCCTTGTTCTCAGCCCACACTGCTTTGGACTAGTGGACAAACAGACCAAAGCAGTCGCTTTGAGGAAGGCCGAACCGAGTGTTCGGGTATGTCGTGAGTATCAAAAGGGACATAAGTCAAATTCCACACAGCTCATCCGTCAACTAGTAGAACAAAAAAGCCCATAAAATGCTGCGAGTTCTTGTTCTCAGCCCACACTGCTTTGGACTAGTGGACAGACAGACCAAAGCAGTCGCTTTGAGGAAGGCCGAACCGAGTGTTCGGGTATGTCGTGAGTATCAAAAGGGACATAAGTCAAATTCCACACAGCTCATCCGTCAACTAGTAGAACAAAAAGCCCATAAAATGCTGCGAGTTCACATGGCGGACGCGGCCTCTCGCACGCACATAAGAACATGCAATTCCGTTCCATGACTCTCCTCTCTGCGATCTATCTCTCCTACTGATTTCGAGTCATAATAAAGAAAAGCACGCCGAGTCAACTCCTTGTCGGAATCCTTCGCTTAAGGCCTGATACTCCCAAATACCTTAAGATCATTGAAACACAACCCTGTCACTGGCCATTCCGGACCAACACAATGAAGCAGGACACTCGAAACAGGGCATGACGGATCCAAAGGCCAGCGGACGCCGGGAGAAGAAGCCATTGATAGGAAAGGTAAGGAGTACCCTATTGTGGTATTCCCCATAAACGATGCAGTCTTTTATCTCGCCACGCATAGAGAGTCAATGCTCAAACCCTAGCATCCAACAACTACTCGGAAGCAATGCAGAGATGGGTGCAAGAGTCGAATGACGATGCGCCATGGAATGCAATTGGTTATTTCCAACAGACTACGCTTGCAAAAAAGGCCGACACAGGGAAAGGGAAGACAAGTACAAACGGCGCCACGGCCGGTCCTGAGACCTCCGCTTCAAGGATGTAGAGGTCTTCATGAGTAAAGGAAACTATGGTGTATATATAAGTACACATATGTATAGAGTCTCAGTCGAAGCCAAACGACGAGGGCGTCTCACAAGAGCCATCTTGCACAGATCGAGGAATTCTGTTAATCCTCTGGTTGCGTGGCTCGCTAGTGCACCTGTGACAAGGAGAAGGTTATGGGTGATATGTAGCATTTGAACATTTCGAAATGGGAAATAGAAATACTTCGCGCAAATATTGTACAAGAATGTTATCAGGCTTCGCGTTGAGGACTTCATTCCTAGGTTCTTAATCAAACTTCTAGATCGAGTACAAGCAGATAGCGTGCACCCATAGATGTTGCGTTGCTTGGAAGGTATTTTGGCCTCCTCTAGGACCTCCGTTAATGGCTCAGGGTCTCAGGAAGAAGTACAACCCGCTTCGTCCAGTCTGGGGCTTCGAAAGATTTGGTCAGATCTTGACACGACTCCGCAGAAGATAGGCGTGTGCGAGGGACTCGGGGAGACAAGCAGCCCGTTTCGCGTAGTCTGGGGCTTCAGAACGCTTTGTCGGACCATGACCTGGCTCCGCAAAAGATAGGCGTGTGCGGTCTCGTTACAAGCCTCGAGAGTGTCTCAAATTTGAATACAGCCACCAACGTCTCGACGATGCTAGCCAAGGACCCAAGTTCCCAATGAGTGGGGAAAGGATTCTATTTCAGCAGTCTGCTTCCGCAAGATGACATTGGTTGGGTAGCTCAAGATCACTGGGCTTGTAGTAACAATCGTGCGATCATAAGTGTTTGGCTTCGTCCTACTCCCCTGCCACCTACTTTGCGATTGGGTGTGGCTTTGTGCTGGTGTATATACTAAGAGAACTTTCGTTGGGGATCTGGATAGGTCGGTTTGCGATAGCTGATTCTCACCCGCGTTGCGCGAGCGTAGACTAAAGCGGGTGAGACCGGGGTGGTAAATTTCCGATGGCTTGGCATCAACTCTCCGCAAAGCACAACAGCGAAGCTGCATATACAGGGCTTCTTTAGGGCCTGTCACCGCCCGAGATCGCGCATGGTCAGCAATCTGGATGCCTGATACCTCTTGCAACCATGGAAGAATACACAGCGGATGCCTTCGTCAATCGGGAGGAGCCTGTTCCAGTCATCGCTGTCTCAGGCAGCGACAGCCCATCATCTGATCCAAAAGGCAAACGTGAGAGGCTGAAAGAGTCACTCGGTGGCTCGAAAGACAAGTTGAAGGAAAAGCTTCAAGATGCTGGCTCAGGTAGTAAAGACTATGGGTACTCTTTGCAGGACCGTCTCTTCGCCAAGTGAGCAATGACAATCTTGAGGTCTTCCATAAGAGCATGGCGTGCTAAACGTCGGCGCCGCAGGCTTCTGCAGCAGGTCATACCGGAAGAAGAGGTCGAAGAGCTGGACTTGGCCCCTGATGTGCGTTCGTCGAAATACATCAACAGGCCTGGCTTTTCTCTTCCTTTGATGACAAACAACTTTCGCCGATTCAATGCTAGGTAAATCGTTCCTGTGCAAATATCGGGTCTAAGTTGCTGATACGGCTTTAGGATTGGAGTAGTCTTTGTCTTCCAAAACCGTCTTGAGCGTCTCCTCACATGGCGTAAACCCACGCACACTCTCTCCCTCCTCGCTGTTTGCACCTTCGTCTGCTTAGATCCCTATCTTCTCTCCGTTATACCAGTGGCTGCAGCACTTCTCTTTGTCATGGTCCCAGCCTACCTCGCTCGCCATCCTCCACCACCTGTATCATCCATCCATACCACATCTTACTCTATGAACGGCCCACCTCTAGCCCCACCACGCACCATCAAGCCCGCTGCGGAGATGTCGAAAGACTTCTTCCGCAACATGCGAGATCTCCAGAACTGCATGGATGACTTTAGCACCATTCACGATGCCGTGCTTCGAATCGTCACACCACCTACAAACTTCTCTAATGAGCCGCTATCTTCTACTATTTTCCTTTTTCTCTTCGTTGCAACCTGCCTCCTTTTCATTACGTCTCACCTCCTACCTTGGCGCCTTGTCTGTCTTCTGGTATGCTGGACAGCAATCGCTCTTGGTCATCCTTCCATCCAGCAGCTCCTGCTCTCCAATCACCAAAAGCATCTAGCACCTCACGAGCGGACCGCGCAGTCTTGGCTCGATGCGTGGATATCGCACGACATAGTCCTTGATGCTCCACCAGAGACACGTGAAGTGGAGATTTTCGAACTCCAACGCAGAAATGGTGGACAGAATGGCGAGTGGGAAAGTTGGATGTTCAGCCCCGGACCCTACGATCCGCTCTCACCGCAGCGTATATCCGGTGATCGACCAAAGGGAACGAGATTTTTCGAGGATGTAGCGCCTCCAAGGGGCTGGGAGTGGGGAGATAAAAAATGGGTGCTCGATCTGGCGAGTCGGGAGTGGGTGGAGGACAGGATGGTGCAGGGTGTTGAGGTAGAGATTGAAGGGGAGAGATGGGTCGGTGATCTTGCGGGGGATAAAGAGGCTTATGAGATGAAGCCAATAGGGAAGGGGAAGTCCAAGGATTTGGACGAGGGCGGTGGTGATAGCAAGATGGGCGAGTGGAGGAGACGGAGGTGGGTGAGGATGGTGAGAAGGAAAGTCGTCAGTGACATAGGTAGCATAGGAAGCTAGTCATCAGTTGAAGTGTTTCAATGTATCGATCTCTGCTCTAATCGTTGATACAACACCTTCAACCAACCTCCATTTCCCGGCTCTGTCCCTCATGCTGTCCTTTTCTCTTGCCATTCTTCCAGACCCCGACCCTCCTTTTCAAATCCCCTTCACTCTGCTGTTGTGGATTTAATTTTCGATCCCTAACCATACTACCCCAATCATCACCCCATCTCTCCACTAACCTCTCTATCCATTCCCTCTCTCGCTGGCTCTGCATCCGAGGCCGCTTTGGCTTGCTATATTTGGCCTGCTCTTCCAACTCTGGAATTATACCTCTACCGCTGCTTCCCTCTACCATCTCGTCTTCAGAATCACTGATTTCGTTCAACGGGTCGCCCAACGGGTTCTCCCGCTCGCTCTTTTCATGATGTACACTGACAATCGCGCCGGTCTTGGGATCTCTCGTCACTTTAACCTCGGATGTGCCCAATTCTGAGGCCTTGTGGGATGTTGGTATTGATAGCGTATCTTTTCGCCGGCTTTCTGAAGTTGTAGATTTCGCTTTGGCTTCTGTGCCTCCGGTGTGGGCGTTCAGTTTGGAGGATAGGCCTAGACGGCGGTAATTTTGGGAGAGAGTGAGGGATTGGTCCCTGCAAAGTACTGAGTCATGGCCTTCTTTGTAGACGATAGGATAGGTAGTCCTACCAGTTCGCAGCGACAATAGGATTACTTTTGATATTGATGTGTTTTGACTTGGACTTTTGGCGGACACGGTGGAGGGAGGATTTGTTTTTCTTCTTCTGTAGAGGACGCGCCATATTTTTGAGGTCCTAGAGACAGATTTGGACACGAGATGACTTTTTAGCAAGAGCGAAATCTCAAGAGTCGGAGATATTTTGACTAAAACGGAATGGCGCGATTCTCAGCCCTATCGGACCCCTAAAAACCGTGATGTATTCACATACACTCTACTCTGGACCATTGGCTGCATGTGAGACCTTCAATATGGCGGTAGTACGGAGACCACGATGGCGACCATTACTGTCTACCGTTATTATAGCAGCTATTGCAGGCTCTGTAGTTGCAAAGAATGTCGCTCAGTTGAGTGTTCCGGAGATTGAAGACGCGATTCAAGTAGGCATCCGTTCAGTAGTCACACGAATTTGAGAGCGACCGAGAGCTAGAAAAACTGACTGTACGAAGGCATGCCCGATCATCCAAGAGTTGAATATCCACAAGCGCGCAACGAACCCTGAGACTTCCAGCTGGACCTCACAGATCTTCGAACAACTGTTCCCAGGGTCTCCAGCTGTCAATGCTCTCCTTGCTACTCTATACATTTCTGGTCCACCGAGTCAGTGACCCCAGCTCGCCCTGATGACATCCCCGTGTGCTAATGCCGGATCACTTAGATTTCCTCCTCGCGTTATGCCCTCCCAACATCGATCCTTCCTCCCTATCCGTCATGGTCGCCTTCGCCGTTGGAGGCTTACTCGGAGACACGCTTTTCCACCTCTTACCCGAGATCTTCCTAGGCGAAGCAGCCCCGGATCATGCGCGCTTTGTGATGGTAGAGCCCAACAAGAATCTGCTCTTGGGTGTCGCGATCATGGTTGGATTCTTGACTTTCGTTGCCATGGACAAGAGCCTACGGATAGCAACTGGAGGTGAAGGCGGCCACGATCATAGCCATAGTCACAAAGGGGAGGTGAAGGAAGAGAAAAATCAGGCACCATCAACCGCAGTGGCTATTGGAGCAAAGCTGGCGGCCGCAAATGGAAGCGTAAAGTCTCGCAAGAAGAAGTCCGTATCGGAGTCTATTACCAGCGATAGGAGTGTGCTTCAACTGCCTGCTGAGTCACTTCGGAAGCTGTGGACGCGCGACGAGCCTCAGCGAGCCAATCGCTGGCTGGAGGAAGTACTCGAGGAAGATCCAGACAGTGGAGTGATGCAGATCGCTCTTTGGAAAGCCTATGAAGCAGCTTTTCGAGGCTCTCGCGCCCCTCTGGTCGAAGCCACCGCACTCATCCATAGCGCCAGTAAAGTATTTGAAGGGGCATCGGCGCAAGTAATCAAAGGCCACAAACCAAAGTTCATCATAGAAGGAGTCAGGCCTCGGCAACCAGCTCGGGAAAAGAGCGAAGCAAAAGCGCCTCAAGCACTCATCAAGCCTTCATCCAAGGCAGAGCCCTCCAAATACTCGAAGAAAGAACCCTCAGCATCTATCAAGCTGTCTGCCTACCTCAACCTAATCGCGGACTTCACCCACAACATTACCGATGGTCTTGCTCTCTCATCCTCCTTCTACGCCTCTCCAACCCTCGGCGCGACGACCACTGTTGCCGTCTTCTTCCACGAGATACCTCACGAGGTTGGTGATTTTGCTCTACTAATCCAATCAGGCTTCTCTAAGAAAATGGCGATGGGCGCGCAATTCGTCACAGCTCTGGGAGCATTCTTGGGCACCTGCTTGGGCATCGCTGTCCAAGAGCTTGGGAAATCGGGTAATGGTGCTATGTCTGGTGAGGTCAGGAGCAAGGGTCTAGCTGGCACTGGACTGGGCTGGGGAGACATGCTACTGCCTTTTACAGCGGGGACATTCTTGTACGTTGGGACTGTGGCAGTTATTCCGGAATTGTTGGAAACCGGCCCGAACAAAAGGGAAGAAGTGAAGAAGACAGTATCTCAATTCGTCGCTATGGCTGTTGGGGCGGGAATCATGCTAGCGTAAGTCTCTCACAAAGCCTTTATTGCAGGTTGCTAATGCAGGGTGATAGGATATCATGGTCATAATCACGTTACGAGCTAGCATATGTACTATAAGGTCGCATACAGATATTCAATCAAAGCAGGCTTCTAACCTAGGCCATCCCTCCTGTTAATAGTGGGGGAGTACCTAGGCTGCTGGCAAGCTGTCGGATGAAACTTGCAGCTTGTAAACATTTTGCGTTCCATTACGATCTGAGACCATTTCAACAGCATCGATAGCCCGAGTTCTCGTCCTTACAGAAGTGTAAAACTCGCCTCGAATATCAGCTTGGATAGAGAACGACATGCATGATAGTGAGGGTAAGGACTGGGTTTGGGATGCTTGTTTATTGATAAGCGTAACGACGATTGACGAGACGAATGGTACTCAGCCTTGTAAGGGTTGCGTAGAAGGATTCGAAAAATTTCAAGCTCAGCCGTGATCTGATCTCCTAGAACATCATCTGATCCTCCTCTCCACCCATGACTCACGACCCATACTCGGACACACTTTATCATACAAAGCCTCACACGGGCATGTCATTGTTCTGCTCGCTAAACCATTGGGATGTCAATGACCTTCCTCGTCCTTGCATCCACGCTGGACTGCTGGTTTCCCGTGAGTCTAGGTGTTGAGAATCCATCTATGGTTTGAGTATCAAAGGGAGCCTCCTTCAGGTCCGAGTCAATGTCGCCAGGCCCTGGTTCATCTAAGGAATCAGCTTGAAGCATCGTAGCGAATAAAGATTTCCGGGGAGCAACTTACTCTCGAAGATTCCTTTCCAAAACTCTGAGGGGGGCCCACCTACTCCGTCTTCCTTTGCGCATTTGGTCTAAGACCAGGTTCTACAAGCAAACTCCGTACGGGCCAGGAATGTGTTTGCAGATCTCTTGCCAACGAGGACCAATCGTGTTGTGGAGGGCGACCAGAACCTTGATCTCTTCTGCTGACCAAGTATCATTGAGTCCCTGATGGCTGGAGGGGCCTTGGATCCCCTCTGTCTCCCTATACCACTGCATTCTACAGTCGTTGGACGAATGCTCGGGAAGTTCTTGACCGATCTGATCCCAGCCACTGCCCTCCCAGCGAAGGTATTCGAGCAGCGCAAGCTCCTCTGAAGTCCAGGGTTCGTCTTGATCTGCTGAGCGAAAGTGTTCACACCAACAGCTCCTGCAGCCGAACAACGTACGCCCAGTGATCGACTTAGTGACCTCCGTCCAAGTCAGACCAGCGTAGTGGCCAGAGACAAGGAGCCGCTCCTCCCATTCTTCCCATTGCAGCCCATTCTTTTTGTGCGGGCCCAGGCCTCTGTTCACATGTTCGCTCCAACGCATCCTACAGCTCGTCGCTGAACGGGTTGGCAGTTGTGTAGCGATCTCAGCCCAAACTTTTTCCCGATGCACGAAGGGCTTTCAGGAGTTGATCTTCCTTCTCCTTCCACAGAGTCCAGAATTCCACCTTTCGTGTGCTTGGACCCTGCGTTTGAAGGGCGACGATATTCTGGGCTTGATGTTCCAAGGACTTCTTCCACCGAGATCTCACCATATGTCTTGTGCGGGAAGACAGAATTTTACTGATGTTCCCGAAAGTCGCGCCCGCGTTGTGATGTGTCACGATTATTGATCCTCCCACTCCTCCCACTCCTTGAACAAGTATGGCTTTTTGGGAGCACGGGAAGCAAGTGCATCTTTCCGTTGTGTACTAACATTCGAGCTCTGAGCCTTGAGCCTGCAACTTCGGGTTCGACAGGCCCCTTCGGATCGGCCAGGCAAGTGTTGGCTAATCTGCGTGTTATTCTTCCCCTTTTTGTGAAGTGCAATAAGGAATTGATCCTCCCATTCTTCCCATGCTTTGATAAATTTGACCGCTCCAGCGACAGGAGGAGCAGGGGGGAAGTGCTTTGATCGGGTTTTTTGTGCGATCGAGGTAATGTTGATGTTGAGAGTGATGTATACTTTCTCACCGGAGAAGTCCATGCATTCTTCATCTTGGAGCCTTTATGAGTACCCATAACCGCCTCTGATCTTAGTAGCCAGCGGATCTTGAAAGGCACAATGTATGACTTGATCTCAACACAGTGGTACAAGATTGAGGCGAGGAAGGAGAGGGAGCATTCTCATCCTGACCAATAACGGCTTGCCTAATCAGTCTCGAAAATGAAGCCTTGGTAACGAAACTGAGAGAGCCCCTCCACAACCCTAAAGTTGCATGCGATGACAGCACGTTTACAGCATGTCCTTTGTTCTTTGTCAATGCTCGAGACAACGTCTTCTTTGCTTTCGAGCTTTCACACTTCCCATGACTACTTTCGGAACTCAAGCAAATGAAGCTCGAGGTTTTCTTGAAAGTGCACAAATATTAGAGAGACTCGGGTCCGATGTTGTTTGATGAGGAGCGGGGAAGACGTGGGGACGAGGGACGAGGGACGAGGGACGAGGGACGAGACTTCACTCTTATCGCCCAATGTGATCGCTAGCAGTGCATGGTGGAGTCGTACACGACTGCCACACTCAATCAATGATGCCCACGGCGATCAGGGTGGCAAGGTGAACAGCCGCCCTTCGATTGAACGTTGCTGGAGAAAATTCAGTGATAACCTGGGTACTTCAAATACAGTAGTGATGCAGGAATCTTCACCCCCAGAGACAGTTGACCACCAACCACAACCTCCAAGTCCGCCGTCTATCAAACCACCCGGAAGACTTACCAATCCATAGACGGAACCAGAAGATCAAATTCTCACATCCCTGTGTCAAGAATGAAAAGCGCTGGGCTGAAATCGCCTCCCCCGTCCCATACCATTCCCAAAAAAGCTGTAAGTCGCGCTGGCGAGAGCGTTTGAAATCCCCGAACAGGAGCCTCTAGGATATGGCCCTCCGAAGAAGAGCAGCGTCTTTGCTCTCTTTTTCTACGAATCAAACCCCGATAATTGGGAGTGCATCGCCTCGCAATTTACCCATCGCACTTGGCTGGGCTGCAAAATGCACCGGGTGACCGAGCTCCAGGGTCCAACATCCAGGCCCAAACCTCGCTGGAAGAAGACAGGAAAAGAGATCTCGATGGGTCTTTACAACACCATTGGACCCCGATGGCAGGAAATCGCCGAGCACCTCCCCAGTCGAACGGAAGGGACCATCGCTGTCATAGTCTACCATGAGCGTGAGAAGTTGGATGGGGTAAGAGCACCAAAGTCGAAGTACTGGAAGCACTGTTCTGAGAGTGGGTATCTTATGTGCAGCAAACGTCGCATCAAGTGGTCCGGGGCTGTGACTATCACAGACGAACCGGGCCCAGGCGGCGCTGATGCTGATGCGGTGGAAATCTCGGATGCTCCAGGCGTGGAAAGACTGCCTGCATGTAGGAGAAATCAGCAGGCCGGCGTGCATACGAGAAAGAGGAAGGGTATAGAAATCCCAATGGTCTAGCGAGGAGAAGGGTGGCATGGCAATGAGAGGGGTTCGTGTGACAATGTGTGTCCAACCCCCGGTCCTCCAACATGCGAGAGAAGAACGGAAAGGTATCCAGGCCTGTCCCGGAAAGGCTGTGCGAGAAAAGCGTTGATGGACGATTTGCATTCTGGGTCTTCTTTCATTTTGCCGCTGGATGTCACGATCATCGAGTCGCCTGTAAGACCCACGAAATTTTACTGATTGATAGTTCGATGGCCACTTCTCAAGAAATTCTTGATTTGATAGTTCTCCATGTCTCCGCCGCCCCATGACCGGTAGACTGTTACCACCGAGGGCTTCGACATTCGGCGAGCCAGACAAGCTGCCACTGTCCACGGTCTGTGAATTAGGAGGGCGACAGAGCGAAGATGATATATGGATGCTTTTTTTTCAAAGAAGCAAGCAAGCAAGCAAGCAAGCAACAATCTCATCACATAACCTTGGGATCAGACATGGAGCTTGTCCACATAGGCAAGCAACAAACGATATGAAGTCCCTTCCCTGATCTTACAGGAAAGACCGTCTGGTCCCAGAGTCTGCTCTCGATGTTATGGCGACATCCACCCTGAGTATTGATGCGTATGAAAGGGGCACACCCTCGCAGGCGAGTCTCTCTGTGAAGTTCACTCCAATCCCCTGCCAACTCGGACCCAGGCTCATGAAAACTAGTTGCGACATGACTAACCCCGGGCTGGCTCCCAAAGGCATAAAGCTATCTAATCGAAGCGCATGCCTTCTTTCGCATTTACGTGTGGGAATGCCCACCCTTCCGAATTGTTGCAGAAGGGTTTCATTCCGCTTAGATATCAGCTCCTTTCTGAGATTACATCCTCTTCTCCGCTCTCCTCTCTTCTACTTAACAAAAGTTACATAGATCAAAGCGAGTGTAATAAGAAATAGTTAGGCAGTTTAAGGTTGATATCGAAAGGTCTATTTTTCAAATACTGTAACTAGGGATGGGCTGCACTGAAACCAAGGATGCTGCAGCACGTCAGACGCCGAAGGACGGTCTGATGGGCGATACTGCGTCATTGCAACGAGCAGATCACCAAAGGTATAAGATTGGCTCGGAGAACCACCTTGCTCCAGGCACAACCGTTTGTATGGTACTGTGCAGCGCATCGAGAATAGTGTAATCCCCAGGCGCATGGGCTGTGAGATTTCAGCTTGAGCACAAGATTCGTGGCCAAAAGTTGGGACGCAAGCCACAGGAAAAATTGATTGAAGAAATAGTTTACATATACTCATCAATCAGCTGCACCAGGAGCAGCGTGGCTCTTCAGCTTTTCTGGCGGATGCCCAAAGACGGTAATCCACTCGTCGACAATTTCATTCTATGTCTTCAAACCGGCTTTCGAAAAGAGGCTCTACATCTACTACTTCGGATATCTTGGCAAGACGTCCATTGAGCGCCAGATTGCAAATTGTGAACGCATTCATACCGTACAACCCAAGCTCCAGATATCTGCGCTCGCGCCAAGCTGAGAGCCAAAAAGGAGTTCAGGGGCTTGATAGTTGAAAGGCGTAGAAGTCCCGCGCAGAATACTGTGCCTAGATTTTTCTCCAAACCCTATAACCTTCACACGGTAGTCACCAGCTACATAATCCGATCGGGTAGGCTCGACCTGATATCGAGGCGCCTACGCAGTCAAGGGGAACCCATCGACAGCCTCAAGCTCACAAATTCTGTAGTTCTTTGGTATAGGACCGGCACCATGCTGCATCAAATCTGAGCTCGCGAACATTATTCTTTCCAGATAAATGTCTGCTTGTACACGACTCGTAAGAGCTTGTAGTATGCCGCACTGTGGGTGAGACTGTGGGCGAGACTGTGGGTGAGACGGTCTGCGATCTGCGTACCAGTCTTGGATAGCAGATCCGAGAAGATAACAGTAGAGACCATTCGGAGGAGGATTGAACGGGTCATTGGACTCGAGCTCAACGGCAAAGACCCGTTGAGAAGGGTCTTGACGTGATGGTTAACTTTCAAATAGATACAATCGGATACATAGCCACGATTGATAGTCAAGATAGTTTAGATTTAGATCAGCTTTCAACGCCCCATGGAAATGAATATCAAGATGATGTTCGTTGTCATACCGTTTTGCTGTCAAGTTGCGTAGCAGTCGTAAATCCTCTGTAGCAATTTCTGTAGCGTCCCCGTTTCGATGGGCTTCGGTTTCATGGCGGAAGTCGATTGTAAAGAGAGAACTTCGTTTTATTTTACTACTGACAGCGATATGGCGATGACATGATGGGTCTTTACTCTAGAGAAAGATTCAAGTCGTAAAAAAAGCTATTACTCAGTATTCACCGAATATTAATGGCCTATATATAGTATATATCGCTGAGAGTGGAAGCAAAACGGAGCCTATCAAGACGGAAGCGAAATGGCCCCATAAATTGAAGGCAAAAAGAAGTCCCATGAAGATAAAGGCTAATAGAAGTGGAAACAAGATGGAAGCAGAACGGAGCCCACCGAGACGGAGGCAAGATGACCCCACCAAAGCGAAAGCGAAATGGAGCCCATCAAGACGGTAGTAGAACGGGCCCACCAAAGCGGAGGCAAAGAGAAGCCCTACTAAGACGGAGGCAAGATGGAAGCGGAGACAAGACGGAGGCAAAGATGGAAGCGAAGGTAAAACGGAAGCGAAACGGAGCCTACCAAAGCAAAGACGATGGAGCCGTTTTGATAAGTTCTGCGTTGACGTTGTGGGTGGCATCTTACGTGATTCGTCGACGAGGGACTCGGGCGGCCGAAGCGGCGGAATTGAGACGGGGAGGGACGGAGGGTGAGGCAGGTGGGCGGAGTCGAGTGCCCAGCTACCAGACAGAGCGGGGTTGATTGGATCGATCGGTCTCTGGTGAGTATGGTTGACAAGGACGGTGGCGACACCTTGGAATTGCTTATGGATGGTGAAGATGAAAAGGTACGTCACCTCCTATGCATAAAGTATACACCAAGAGAAGAATGAATGAAACATCGCATTAACACAAAAATAGAAGTTAGATCCTTCTCTCCGCTTTCCCAATACCAATTCCAAACCTCCTTCCCCCTTTCCCTTCCTCCGCGCCCTCCCACCATCCCAAACCAAACAACCCCCCTTTAAAAATACCCTCTCTCTTCAATTCCTTGTCGTCCATCCATTCCGACCCTTTTGGCACGAAACTCCTATCGGCCAGCTCACTCCCCGCCAGTAGACTAGCTACACCGGCAATAGACGTCGGACTATGCGGCAGCACTCCTTTCGTGTCCGTCAGCAGGTATGCAGCCGCGCCGCAGACGAACATGATGGCCAGAAGCACTTGGAGCACGATTTTGGAGGCTTTGTCCTGCACAAGGCGATATCTGTTCGGATTGATGAGCAGGGCGTCCACTGCAGTCCGATCTCCAGAACTCAGGGCTTGCCGCATATTGCTGTTAATGGCTTGAGCCATGTATCTGCGGTATATGTGATTTGTTGCGTTTGTCAGGCGGTCGGTGTTAGCGGACCCGACGAGCGAGGTAGGATCGACGTAGTCCTGGCCGTAGATTAGAGCCTGGAAGAAAGGGTCTAGTGCTGTTGGAGTGCCGGATTGGAACGCGCTGGTACCATTGTATGCTGAGACCTCGCTGTCAAAGGCGGCTTGAATGCGGTAAGGGAGTGCGTCAGTCTGATTGGCTATATACCTGACTGTGCTCTCGTCTGGTGCGGGTGGGTTACTAGGGTCGAGGTCTAGGCTTGGCAGGAGGAAGTGTATCTCCGTTTGGACTTCTTCCACTAATTGGCTGCATATGAGTGCCGTTGTATTGATACCCGTGTCGTCACCAACGGTAAAGTACCCAAAGATGAAGCCAAGAGAAGGACAGCCTGGCGGATTATCTGCTTCGCTACTTCCCGCACCGTCCCCGTAGCTTTGAAAGCCTAGACTATCTTCAAAGGAAGGAGCGACATGGAGGTCTAGCACTATCCCACCATAGGATTCATTCAGTGTCGGTTTCAAGAGAGACATCTGAAAATTATTATTGAAAGTGATGGTAGGGTCATTTGCTTCAGGTCCGCCAAGTAGACAATTGGCTGGTAATGGGGCTTGGACCGTAACGTTCGCTTGACCGCCAGACCCCGAATTGATTGTTGACACGGTGATATCCTGTGATGGGACGACTGTGCAATTCAGTGTTGCGCGCGTTGCGGGAAGCCGTACTTGAAGCACATCCTGGGCTGCCTGGTTCTGATCTGATAGTTGAATTGTCGGCAAGGCCAATTCCTCGTAGGTAAACCTTGGATAAGAAAGATTATACTTCTCGGTCAAGGCAAACATGGTACCCGCATTCGAATCGTTGTTAAGGCTGTTGGTCCAGCTAAGATTGAATTGGTCAACCCGTTGAACAGAGATACCGGAGGAATCTGGCAAAGTGTTGGAAACGTAGAGCCCAGAAACGACAATGGTGAGCAAACTTCCCACAATAGCAGCTGTCGTGGAAAAGAACACCATCCAATGACGTGCAATAATGGCCTGGAAGAGTCGAAGTACGGGTATCTTACCCAGGGAATTGCCCATTATGCTTCCGCGAGCAGGTGAATTTCCTTTTGCGAGAGCGCTGTAGGGCGCAAAGATCGTTACTGTGAAGTCGACGGAATTGAACATGATTGACACCGCCATCATGAAGGCCGCAGGCAAGTAATTGGACAAAGCGTCAGCGCTGGCTAGGGCATCTGGAGTGTCAACAAGCCCATCATGTCTGTTCGAATACTGTTGAATAACTTCCAGAACTACAATTGTGAGGATGGGAAGGGCGAGCGTGACCAAAACGAAAGGTAGTCCGATTGTGAAAGGTTTCCACCATCTGCGTTCCGAGCCATCCGATGGTACTGAGTTCGACTGTCCGCGATGATGTTTATCTTTACGCGAAGGCGTTACTATCGGTGTTTGCATCAATTTAGATAGTCGTGACGGTGGCAATGGCCAACTTGATGCTTCCTGACGCTCGATCGTGAACGATCCTCTCGATGGGGAGAATGCCGTCTGGTAAGAATTGCTTGAAAGTTGTTGCTGAAGAGCCTTATCTGCCAGGTGACCAGTGCTTCGTAACGAGTTTCTGATACTATCACTAGAGGCCAAGAATGTGCTCATCGCAGCGATCGAGTCAGGATTTCGAGGCACAACGTCATGTGGCCTGCACAACAAGACCATGATCGCTGCGCAAATCGAGAGGACAAGTCCAACAACGATGAGCCATACAGACAGACCTCGTACATGGAGGCGAGTCTCGTTGTAGGCGACTTGTCCCTTCAATGTAGTATCAGCCGGTGCCAGCAGGTACTCTCTTGCGAATTGTGCCATCACTGCCGTGAAGACGGCTGTAGCGGCAGCGGACTGCACAGATGGATCAAGTAGCGCTTCGATGCCTGAATGATTGTTTGCATCCGCCATGAAGTGAAACAGCGCCTCATTGACGTCTGTATCATTGTTGTACAAAGTATCAATGGCGCTTAAAGTCTGATACCAAACGCTCGTAAGATGTAAGTTAGTGAACCCTAGCTGCGTAGTGTTGGGTGAGCTTCCTGCTCTTGAGATACTAGCACCAGCTATAGTCCCCGCTAGAGCAGGATCAAGAACAAGCTGAGCCGGGCTGATTGCATAACTGGGCTTGCATATTAGGCCCGAGATGTTGGCAATGCTAACTTGTGAAGAAAGGCTTCCGGAAGATGCGTTTTGTTGGTAGCGCACATCTCCAACTGCAAAGAATACATATGCATCATCAGACGCTATTTGGCAGTCGTCATTCGAGGACATGCCGTTCAACGTATACATGTCATAGATGAATGCCTGCGAGGGGCAGTCTTGCGTTTGAGGATCACAGAGACCCTTGCTGTTTGACGCGATACACGACGCACTGCCGAGGACAATGTCAAGGGCGGGACCCGGGGCATTGGCACTGACATTACTTGTAAGGCTGTGATGGATATCTGCAACTTCGCAGTCCAACCGAGGAAAGAAAGTTGACACGGTAGCGGTTATCGTTGCATTTCGTGGTATGTCGCTTCTTGGCTCAAGGGACTGAAAGGCAACATTGTTCGATGTGCCGTTGGGATACCCTAGCCCGTTTTCTAGGATACCATAGTATGTGTACCACGGGGTAGCAGGGAGGTCCTGGGTAGAGGGGCCATTGTAGGGGCCGAATTGAGTTGTTGCCATGAGTGTGACATCATGGCTGGTTATAGATGTGGGGCTGAGAACGAGAAGACCTGTGGAAAATATTGTCTGTTCGTGGAGTCAGCAGATTCAGACGAATTTTTGACGAGAGGCCAACAATAAATATCAGTAGACATGAACCGAGATATGTAGCTATCACTGCCCAGTGCCTGTTATTCCATGCGGCCAATAAGTCGCTAATGGGGCCGAGGGAGATATAGTCGAGGAATAAGCTCGTTTCTGGAGATGCCGGTCGTCCTCGCATCTCCTTCCAAGGTAGGAGAATCTTGCAATAGTAGTCGACTTCCCGCCATAAACAAAGAAGGATCGCAAAAACTGGTTTCAGTTAGTATTTGGTGATTCATGTTTTTTGAGAGTTGACCGACCAGCTGTAGGTCCATAATTCCAGCTGTAGTGGCTACTGGAGATCTGGGTGCTCAGACCATGGTGCAGATTCGAAAGGTGATAAAGGATAACCAAACCCAGGACCAGCAAGACAAATACCAATATGAATCCTATGAGCGTTGTCCGCCATAGCCAGAAAGGATTCCACATTGCCCGTCCCCTTCCCTCGTCGCTTTCTTTCTCATGTTGATTGTATGGCTCTGTTGTGACTGTAGGATTCTTCACGCTGAAGATCTGCTCGGTAGAGTCAAGCCCATTTCCTCTCGCCAGATCCGGCGTTACTGCTGATGATGTGAAACGGTCATTGGAGGATACCACTGCCGCCGAGAGAGGTCTCGCCAGACCGATCCGGTTTGTGGATAGCTGGGAGTATGCCGAAATGCTGCTTCCCCGTGAGGCTGTTGACTCCTGTCCAGGGTGAGGGGATTCCCCGTTGTTGGAGTCTCCGTATTCCTCATAGCTGAAGCGGCTGATAACTGACACAGGTGAGTGTGATCTTGGGTCTTCAGTATCAGCCTTCCTTCGTTCGTGCTCGCTCATATTGGGGTAGATCTCCCGTCTCTTTACAGTCGCTCCACACCGTTAGTAACTCTAATCAAACATTTCACTCAACTCTTTTTCTGTCAGTAACACGCTTTCACTGACAATCGAGAGAGATAAGCAACAGCATGTTGGTTACAAAAGGAGAAGCTCAGCGTGAGTAAGAAACTTGACCAGATGCAGCCGAATCCTTTGTCTTCGATTCAAGACACTACGGCAACCGTAGCCGCGAAATCCTAGGCAGAGTAGACGGATACGGTTCTAGGGAGCGCGCCAAACTACTCTGTTTGAAAAGCAGATGGAGGACTTCATTTCATTGTGCATGCACTGGGTTACTTTGGTCGTCTGGACAAAGAGAGGCACCGGGAGCAAACAGTTCGGCGTTGCTCATTTCGCTATTTTCAGCCTTCGGACAAAGAAACATACTTCATGTGAGCACTCATCTCCAACCGAGTATACAACGTGCAGATCATGAAAGGGTGAGAGAGGACCAGTAATACTGAGTGGAAGGCCAGGATGAAAGAACGTAATTCAACATGGTGGTCATGGATGTTCTCAGCCTCACCTGGTTCGAGGCTGACCGCTAGCGCCGCGTTAGTGGAGTTACGGTAAACCTTAAAATTTCATACAGAGTGATAGATCCTGTCATCAGTGTTGTTGTTTTAGGTACCCCAAGTCGGCACCTGTTCAAAACGATGATCCTCGAACGCAGCAGCTTGCCAGTAAACACTGGATGAACACCCATTGTTAGGATTACACACCGAGCACACTGCGTGAAAAGCATCGCACCCCGTGTCTTCGCTCTCAGACTTTGTTGAAAAATCTCTTGGGCAAGATACGAAAATTCGAAGATTCGAATACCAAAAGGGTAGGTGAAAAGGGGTGATGCCCCGAAAAAAGCGCGTCTTTCGACGTGCGAGAACCCATCGGTGGCAGGCGTGGAGGGATCTGGAGAATTGAAGGGAGGATTGCTAAGACGCAAAGCCTGGTTTTGATGTCCTCGACAGGGGAGCAAACCACAACGTGAGCATGGTGGACTGGTAGCAAAATCAACCGGCTGCAATAGCGTATGCGCAGTTGCACCTTTCACGAAAAGGTTTGCAATTAGTTCAAGAAGTGTTCTCAATAGCGATCAACGGAGTGGGTATGAACTTGTTGTGGGTAATTATACTGTTTTTGTTTGAAAAATTTCTCTTGGTCTTGACAGAACCTCATCAAGAGGCCCATCCAAAAAAGGGAATGGAGAAGGAGCAGACTTCTGACACCCAACTAAGAAAAGAGAGAGAAGAGTCTTTCCCGCACACCCCAACGCCTCGCTATCATGATCTCAAAATAGTCACCCATCGTACAGTCTATTGTTTTTGACCCCTGATCAGCAGTTGCACCTGCCTTTCCAACTTCTCTAACCTTTCGTCTTTCTCTTGCAACTCCTTCTTTAACTTTTTCACCTCCTGTTCGAGGTCCTCTTCACCACCGCCATCATCGTCCGGCACCGCTCTCCTACGCTTTCTCCCGGTTCCCGACGTCGCAGACGTCGTATTCTGCGCGCTCTCTGGGCCTTCTTCTTGCGTTTGATCGGCGCCGGCGTCTCTGTGGACCCGGCGAAGATGCTCGGCCAGGTTTTCCTTGCGCGAGAAGCCTACGCCAACATGGCGCTTGCAATCTGGATATGGGCACATGGAAGATGCTTTGGGCCCGCCATGCTGGCGATGTACCTCTCGTTGATGGCGAAGTAGACCGCCAGAATAGGTGAAGCCGCGGATATTGTCGCATTCGGGCTCTTCGCAGACATAAGGTCTCTCGTGCTTGTCCATGTGTTTCCTATGACAATGATGTTAGCGTGCAGGTTCAGATAAGTTAGATGGGGAGAACAGTCTGACTGACTTCCATTCGCACTTCCTCGAAAAGACAGGGGGCTGCTGTTGTGCATGTTCCGCGTGGTTGCAATACAGCAAGCCTTCTGCATTTCGAGGAGGTTCTTGAGACCGGCGGCTACTTTGACGAGAACCCGTACTACCTGCCACGCTTGGAGATGGCATCAAAGGCATGGAAGATCTTAGTACGTTTGGTGGAAGCACAGAAACATATGAGGAAGTAGTTTGGCCCGAGGTGCTGCTGCCAGGGCTGGGGTAGTCTTGCATATCGCTCATGTGCAACCCTAGACCAAACCCAAGGCTCCCAAGGCTCCCGGCTGCCACTTGAGGATTTCCTGTATCCGCCGTTTGGGTTCTCTGAACATAGGGCTGGACTATATTGCTTCGGTCAGTGCGTTGCGGTGTTGTTGTTACACCTCCTGTCGGATGGAAAGGTGACTGGGTCTGCCAAGGAGAGTAGCTGGGTGCGTATGCCGGAGATGAACCAAGGTTGATGCCTTGGCAATAAGGCCACGTGACTGTAGAGGTCGGATAGTGGTCTGAGGAAGAGTCTTCTGGAGCAGATATATAAGGATACAAAGGTACACTAGTTGCGTACGATCTAGGCAACGTATTTCCGGGTGTAATAGCTACATCGACGAGGCTTATTAGTCATAGACCTTTGGTCCCATGACTGCGCGTGTGACTCACGATCATTATTATTAGCGCGGCGCGCAACGCCTGCTTGGGTTGGATGCAACCATGAATAGTTGGGATAAGTATTTGAAGCAGGGCCAGCCCAAGCTTCAGAGGGATCTATCCAATTATTGTTAGTGACGAAGTCATGACATTGTTGCCTGGAAAAATTACTTTGTTGCTGACTCGGCTGTGATTGGCTGCCAAGTGGTCCTGTCCGTAAGTCATCGCTTAATTGTGCTGCTCCTCTCGGATTGCGTGTTGTTCTTTTTCTATTATTGCTGCCAGAAGGTCCATAGAACATCCAGCAAACGCCCCATAAGACTAACAGTGATGGCTTGATGTTCCATGGCCAAGTGGTGCTTAGTGGACGATGACCGTTCGGCCATTCAGCGAACCAGCCTTCACCAAGGCGCTTTGAGTGTTGCCAGTGGAGGTGCCCATGCAGAAGGTTTGCTTCAATTACATTAAGATAGTGGCGTATGATTGCTTCCAGCGCAATTTGTTGCAGGCTCCGAAGTAAGTGCTGAAGATTAGCAGCAAACTTGTCGCAAGTTAGTTCGCCGCTCAAAGAATCTTCAGCTAAGCCACTGCTTCTTCGTACAACATGGCTACCCGACGGATCTTGCAGCCTATCTAAGAGCGCACTTGTTAGACGAAGGACGTCCTCAAGCTCATTGACGATTTGGTTGAATCCAATGAGGTAGAGTTCATGCTGGAGGAAAAGGCGATCTTGCGCAGCAATCAGGCCGAGGGTGAAATCTCCCTGTTGGACATGAAGTTCCAACTCGCTGAGAAGACTAGAATCTGATTAGCATCATCATCATTGACATGGATGGAGGAGACTTTGTCGTTACCTAGCAACTTCTGGCCCCGGCCTATGTCTTACTGTTCGTCTGACTGTTCGTCCACATATTGGCAGATGCTTTGCAAGCTTTGCAATAAATCGGCCGAAGGTTGAATGAGATTTAGTGACGCTGTGCAAGACAGTTAGCGTGATCGCCTTCACGAAGAGCTACAACATACCCATGGCTAATCTTGCAACCATATGTCTTGAGCTTGGCAGGAGCTGGGAGTCTACATGACTCAACAGATGGAACACAAATTTTAATGAAGGACATCAAGAGACCTTTGAGTCTTTGAACAAGGCGTGCAAGTTTGACGGCAGCATATAGAGAAGGGCGAGTCATGCTTGGCTTGCTAAGCGCGGCTGACATGTAGTTGGTGGCAAGAAAAGATATTACATTGTATGTACATTAAGAATACAAGGAGACGATGGTGCAACGGGGCCACAGCCCTCTTATGCAAGCCCATGCTTGAAGCAACTTACCGTACTTTTGTGACAACTAATTGCTCTAGTTAGTGTCCGAGTTTGGAGTCATTGCGGTGAATGAGCCTCCAGTCGTTGAGCCACAACAGCTACCTGATTAGATCAAAGGTTCGCGCTTGTCGATGTTACATTTCTCGTGCTTATTTTGGACTGCGGTTGTTGGAATGGGAGGCCTTAATGGCCGGAAAGCACGAACTGTTTATCTGTGAGTCGGACCTGGGAGGTTTGGAGCAAAGTAGACGCTAATTCTTTCACTAACGGCACAGCCCCTGTGGCTCATCATCCATTTTCTGAACGCTCATTGGAGGAATATATGGTTGACTATTTTACATGGAGTAAGCCTGCGTTACGTCTCAGCTGGAATTAAGCGGTTCGTGGCATGTGGACTCGAGAAGCGCGCGAGAGGGAGCTGACAAACTCAAAGCCTCTTTTCACCGACTCTTCCACCACCGAGGTCAATACCTACTCAGTGATGTTGTGTGCATGCACATATCACGCTAGCTGGTAGAATCTATATCGAGTGTTCAATGTACGCACGGAAAGAGCGAAAGAGCTGGCCGCCTTACAGCGGAGCAGGACACGCCGAGACGGCAGTACGTCTTTCGCAACTGACAATTGACCAAGTCACTGGGCCTCATAACTTTGACCTAGCAGCTACTCCCGTACCTAGCGCTTCGTTAGTTGGAGCCTCAGCTCTATCGCATTCGACGCAAGACACGAACTGCTGTTCTTTCTTACTGACGTGTAGACCAAAATCTTCCAAAACTTGGACTTGACCAATTGAGTATAACGCAGATGAATTCCGACCCAAGGGATTGGCTGCAAGGCGCCGAGCTGACTTCTCTCTATATCCAATCATCGTATGAGGATAGCTTTTCTCTTCACTCTTCTAGGACATCCATCCGAACAGTCAGGGTTTTTGACTTGAGCTACTCCATATCAGACTCAAGTTTCAGGTGGTAGGAACACACTGTTGTATAAGCGGGTACCCTCAGTGGATGTGAGACCGTCGAGCGCCATGTTGACTAAGAGAGGATGTGTGAAAAGAGTAGCTGAAGCCTGCGAACCAAGCCCCACTGGTGAAGGATCAATGTTCGCAAACCACAGCACCTAGCGCACCAACCTGCGCATGGCAGCTCAGATTGTTGTTGAGGACGAGTTAGATTAACGGACTGTGTCACCCTCGATCGAAGGGTTACGGTGGGTCCACAACCGTGCAAGCGGGCTCAGCTGTTGTTGTCAGCCCCAAGGCATTGCCGAAGTTGAGTAGAATAAAAAGTATAGTGCAATCGAAAGACTTGTGCCCGGTCTTTTAAGCGTTTGATGCAGGTACACTGCCGCATCTGTTACCCAATGTGCGCGAGGACTATCACGGTGCCACGAAAAAAGCCGCAGAGCCAAGCCACTCCAGCATTATAGATCATGCAAGATCTATCAACAGATCATGTGGTAGAACACTGCACGTTGCGAACTCAAGGAGTGTGCGCAAGACCTTTGGCGGAGTCGAAATCGTTGACAGGGCAAGGTCTTCGGCAAAAGAACTCGAAGAGCAAGAATGGCCTCGGTGGCTATGTGGACTTGAAAATATCAGTGCTCAATATGTCTTCCAGTAATCGCCACAATACGTGGGAGATGCCGCTGATCATATACAAGCGGTAGGTCCTTGCAATGGCGGTTGCTGTTATCACATTTCAAAGTGAGAGGACTCTTGCGATGCTTAGGGGTCCGGCTGGTTGACAGTCAAGATCAGTGACCAAAGCTTCCACCCGCATTAGGCTGTTAGCTGGTGAGAACGTGGGTGTGCTTGCTGGGTCAGTAGAACGTTGCAATGCTGACGTGATGAGAAGTGGAAGAATAAGAAATTGAAGGATAATCGTGAAAGTGTCCCTTCCACTAATGTCTCCGTGCTCGCTCTTGTTCTCGCCCCTGCTTATTTGAATGAACAAGCTGTTGTTCGATATCGCTTTGGAATTGCTTGACAGGATCATCTTGAAGCTGTAGTGGCAACTGTGAAATCGAAATATATGCTCTCCTCCTTCGTCTGCAGAACGCAGAAGAAACATTTCTGCAGGGATTTAGCAAGCAATGCTACCCGACTCCACAACAATGCATATGCTCCCAAGTTGCCTGTTCAGTATCGCGCTCCAACATCCTCAGTCCCTACACCAAACACGCTCCAAAGGGCGCGCTCTCCCTCAGATCCTCCACCAAATCCTCCACATTGCTCAAATGCCTCCCTAGCAAACCTTGCTTCTCCTCTGTCGTCTTCGTCCCCGCTTGCCTGCCCTCCCTCTCTCCACTACCCTTTCTCTTGCTCGGACTCCTGTGTAGTCCACCTCCAGCACCATTCGAGACCGGTGTCTCAGGCATCAAGTAAAAGTACAGGAATTCTACGACCTTCATCTTTACCTCCCTACTGGTTCCCCTACTCTTGAAAAGGCTCGTAACAGTCAATAGCCCATCTAGCGTCTCGAATGCCCTTGTATTCGCTGGCGTAGCCAGTAATGTAGTGACGAGTGCGAGAAGGGTTGATGATTGGATTGCAGGACAGCATGTGGGGTCGAGAAGGTCGAGGAGCAGGTTCATGTAGATTTCGCGAGCGAAGAGGGAGCGGGAGGGAGGGTGGATGAGGAGGGTGCCTTGAAGAAGCTCCAGGGTTGAGACAATGAGGAGGTCATTTTGACCATTCGAGGCCTTGGAAAGAAGGCGCTCCAGGCATGCTATCAGTCTGATTGCAACTATAGCCTGATGATTAGCATCGTTTTGAAACGAGGAGAGGAGGGTTGGCCAAAGTACCATTCCACTCAAACCCTTCTTGAAGCTTGAAGAACTCTCGGAACGCGGGGTCATCTTTTAATGATGACAGTTCTTTTGTAGTCTGCTTTGACGCCCCGCCAGATATTACTGAGCTTCGGCGGTCTGTGGGGGTTCTTGAGAGGCAGATTTGGGCGAGGAGACCTTCAAGTTGGCGGAGACCTTTTCTTATTTTCACACCGTCGTAGGAGGACAAATAATCGAAGGACAGCGATAGCAAAGACTCCATTTTCGGTTTGATTGATTTGGCTGTGAGGTGATGTGAGAAGCGCTCCTGGGCAGTTTGATCCGCTTTTGGCAGTTTGTAAACATGGCGTTGGCGGGACATCAAGGATCCGCCCGCAATGACGGACAAGCCTTGTTTGCCCAGTCGACTTGCTTCGCCTCTTCATAATTTGGAGCATTGCAGGTGGACATTGTCAGCGGTAAAAGCGATGTACTTTTCAAATCATGATTCGGTTGGACGAGGTTTCATTGCAATGAGGCTCCTTCCGCCGGGCAAATAATCATCTGCCGTGGGCTTTAGGCAGCAAATCACCATCCAGGGCCACAACTTATCTTCATATTCATGGATCTCACAAGTAAGCTACCTATAAGGTCTTCTCGAAGAATGTGAAATTTGCAAAGAAACTACCTAATCACCACGACAATGGTGTCCGACGCCTTCAAATCGCCCAATTCCATACCTCCCCGCAGGAGCTCCACAGGTCTTGGAAGCGGTCATGTCAACCCTACGCAACCAGTTCTTAAGCCAGTTGCGGAAGGTAGTTGGATGTCTCACAATAAAAAGCCATCGACAACACAATCCTTGCCTTTGCCGGGCTTCAATAGCTCGGCTGAAAATATTGCGAAGCACGTTACTGGGACAACATGGTCCAAGGAAAAGGAAAGGATTGTGCTGGGACCATACGAGTATCTGCTCAATTCTCCCGGAAAGGATATACGAAAGCAACTTATTGAGGCATTCAATGCGTGGTTGAAGGTTCCGCCGGAGAGTCTTGCGATTATTACGAATGTGGTGGGAATGCTGCATACGGCATCACTGCTCATAGATGATGTTGAAGACTCTTCCATCCTACGACGCGGTTTGCCAGTCGCACACAGCATCTTCGGAATGGCCCAGACGATCAATTCTGCAAACTACGTGTACTTCGCTGCACTGCAAGAGCTGCTCAAGCTTGGAAATCCTAAGGTCATCAATATATACTCGGAGGAATTGTGCAATCTACATCGAGGACAGGGGATGGACCTATTTTGGCGGGACACCTTGACATGCCCGAGCGAAGACGACTACCTCGAAATGGTGGGAAACAAAACCGGTGGGCTCTTCAGGCTGGCAGTGCAGCTGATGCAGGCGGAAAGCAGCAATGACAAGTGGGTCTACCTCCCTACCCTTTGAGCGTCCAGTAACTCACCAGTCGTCCAGGCACTTCGTACCTCTAGTCAATACGATAGGCCTGCTCTTCCAAATCCGAGACGACTACATGAATCTCTCCAGCAGCGAATACACCGAGAACAAAGGTCTGTGCGAAGATCTCACAGAAGGGAAATTCTCCTTCCCAATCATCCACAGCATACGCTCTAATCCGCAGAACCGGCAATTGATCAACATATTGAAGCAGAAAACGACCGACGATGAAGTCAAGAAGTATGCTGTCAAATATATGGAGGGTACGAGGAGTTTCGAGTACTGCAAGGTCATATTGCGAGATTTGAAGGAGAAGGCTTTGGTAATGATCGAGGAGATCGACGAGGGTACGGGACAGGGGGCTGGTGTAAGGATTATCTTGGACAAGATGGCAGTCTGATGTCCAATTCCCACGTTGGCGTTCCGGCGATTCTGGATAGCCATATACCCGGAAGCCGCAGAGCTGGCAGGAGCGCTACAATGCTTGATATACTCGTAGGTAATGAATGAAATTAATAGGCTCTAAAGTAGCAAGAAAAACTGTAATGCACAAACACGCGTCTCAGTGATTCAAGATCTATTACCTACTTTGCCCAGGCGCCAAGCTGACAGGCAGGTGGGTACTTAGGTGAATACATACATGTACGCCACGACAGATTAGATCTCCTTGAGTTTCTTCCGGAAGATGCAAGATCGAGCAACTTTCTGGAAAAGGAAAGTATGTCGTTGGTACAATTGGGAAAATGCACAAAGCCCACCTCGGCGCGCACAATCCCGCACATGACCTCGGATCGCGGATATATGCCCGTATGGAGCTACTGTGAGGTACATCGTTTGATAATCGACCACTACGCCATCCCGTCTTACTACTCGTACATAAACAGCTCGTCCCTTGATGCAGCCCAGGCTTCTATCACAAGCAAGCACAAGAATTTGCCTATACCCCGCCTCCACCAGCATATTCAGAACCACCCTTCCGTCGAGTGTACATACAGTGCACACAAGGGCCTACACCATGGCATCAGCTACCAGTTTCTACGATTTCAAGCCTCTTGATAGTACGTCACATACGTCCTCAACCTTCTCCTTCCCCTCCGCGGCCCCCAGACATCTCTCCCCCCACCCCACATCGCACTGCACCCCCGCCCCACCCTGCTGACATCCCTCCCCTCGCAGAAAAAGGCCAACCCTATCCCCTCTCCAGCCTCAAAAACAAAGTCGTCCTGATCGTCAACACCGCCTCCAAATGCGGCTTCACGCCGCAATTCGAAGGTCTCGAGAAGCTCTACAAGAAGGTCAAGGCCGAGCACCCGGACGACTTCGTCATCCTGGGTTTCCCCTGCAACCAGTTCATGCAGCAGGACCCCGGAGACAACGACACCATCCAGTCCTTCTGCCTGACCAACTACGGGGTCTCGTTCCCGGTGCTGGGCAAGACGGACGTGAACGGCGACAAGGCCGAGCCCGTGTACGAGTGGATGAAGGCGCAGATCCCGGGGTTGTTCGGATTCAAGAGGATAAAGTGGAATTTTGAAAAGTTCTTGGTGGGCAAGGATGGGGTGTGTTGGCCTGCTCTTTCAGCATAACGTGGTGGTCGCTGACACTGTGTAGCAAGTCAAGGGCCGTTGGGCGAGTACTATGAAGCCGGAGAGCTTGGAGGGGCCGATATTGGAGGCGTTGAAGGAGCGCACGAAATCTGAGCTATGAGGGTCTGGCAATTGGGCTCGTTAGCTGGGGATTTTAATGGCAGGCGCTTTTCTCTCTGCTCGCTTCATGCTGACATGAGGGCTTCACGAACTTCGGTAATGCTAAAGAGATTGTATGTGTTGAAAGTAGTATTTCAACAGTATGATCATTTGTTTCAAGCCTTCTTGTGACTTCGACTCCTTCCTGAAGCGTTGTCCCCGAACCAGCCCTCTACAATGCTTTTCTGATGCTCCACGAGGTTACCGTATTGCTCCAGACCCTCCCTCAACCTTGTGTGCTTCCAGTCCAGATCCTCATCGAGCACAACATGTGTGTAAGCAAAGACACACGCATCGAACAATCCAGGCACTTCCTCGCCGAAGAAGAATTCGTCGTCTCCTAATAGCTCGGAGAGTGCTTCGAAAGCTTTGTCGCAATCTCGGTATGTCGCCTCTACATCGATTATGGGTGACTGCTTGAGAAGCTCAGTCTCGGCGGCCGCGCGTAGTTGATGGGAGAGAGCGACTCGGGCCAGAGTGTTTGAAGTACTAGGATTGACGTAGAGTGGAAGGACAATGGATGCGAAGTTTGGAGGAGAAAGGTAGAGCGAATAGAGCTGGGAGCGCATGGCTGTTATTTCAACGATTTCGTGAGGAATGGAGATGGGACCTACGTAGGCGTTGCGAATCCGGTAGTTGGGCAGGGACATGTAAGCTTCGTAGCGCATATCTAAAGACTCTTTGGAGATGGATTTCTGTTTCGTCGAGACACTAGCCTCTACATGCTGATTTCTTGCTTCCAATCCTTCATCTGAAGGCCTGCCAGTCTTTTCTGTATTGACCTTCTTCTCGCGTACCCAGCGTTCGATGCGGGTCGAAGGGATTGGGAGAACAGCTTCCAGGGGATTCTTGGTGCTTGACGCCGGTAGGAGGAAGGGAAGAGCTCCAGTCGGTGATGCATGGTTATTCGAAGATATCGTGACGAAATCAATGCCCTTGAAGATCATGTAGGCCTGGCATTTCTCCGTCAGTATAGATATAGTCCATTACCCAGGCGCCAGCTTCTCTGCCAACTCACCTGCCATTTCAAACAACCAGGGTTGAAAGATGGTGCGCCAAGCTGGGCACCTTCGTTCGTCGTAAAGATCCAGAGGGTATTATTTTCGCGGTTTCGTGGTGACCGCTGTGGGAGCTCATTGAGAGAGTATATCCGTAAAGGGAATTTATCGAAGAGGCGCCTTATTGATTGTGGTGTCGTGAACCATTGTGGCGAAGTCTCTCTAGCCTGCGTTTTTGGTCGACTTTGTTTCGGCCGCTCTTCTGACTTCGCGTCAGCATCTTGTGGCATTGCTTGCTCAGATCCATGCTGATGCAATGTTTGAAAATTCGGGGTTATCGATCCATTGAATTCAGCCCTACGATGAACAGCCTTGACCGAAACGGCGCTAGGTGTCTCCGTCGGTTGACCGCAGCTATTCAGTCTGTTGGAAAGCCTGACGGAAGGTGCATTGAATTTCAAGCTGAAAGGTTTTGACATCTATCATCTTAGTCAATTTCACTCACGACTTTGGGGATTATCGCAGAGCCCCTCATCGTCTGCTGTAGTAGCAGAATTGTTTTGATCATGATACTCTTCTAATTCCTTGTCAATCCCAACGAGACCTAGGTCGCTCAACGACTTTTGATCAGGCCAGAACATTCTTGCGAAGACGTTGAGCAGGGGCCTTGTGAACAGCCACGAGTTCGAAAGCTGGCTTGGGGAAATTCAACGACGAGACTGGACTACTGCAAGTGCTACTGCTGTCTTTTTCCTTCCTTCTCCAATTTTGCAGAACTTGTCGCTCGGAATCTTCCACTTTCGCAGACAAAAATAGTAATGTGGAGTTCTGAATTACCAAAATCTTCTCATATTCCTCCTCAGTCAATTTTTTCACATGCTAAATTCGAAAAGACAACTGTCTTCATCACATCTCCGACCCAATGAGAATCGGCACCGTGGCAAGTATGACTACTGCATCAGGCTCTTTCCGTGATGAGGATCGAAATTTTCTTCTGGCCAAGGCTTGTAGAACCGTGGTCGTGGCAACGCTATTGGTGCCAACTCCACCAAAGGCTTCCTGAAAAAAATATTTTCTTCAACCTTCATCCCTCCAGTGCGACAGTGCGGGTTTGTGCAAGGACGTCATTGGCTGAAATTGGCTTCTTGACGGTCATCGGAACCGATATTTGTGGATAACACACTGGCTTAGGTGCTTCAAATGTGTGCCCCTTCATCAGCCAACCATCAAGCTGTCTCCTCTGGATTCTTCGATAACCATAGATCAGCAGTAAACAGCTCCAAAACACGTGGTAGAGGCTCCACACTGACCCCGGATGACCTACTATTCGACGGCTGCACTTGCTTAAGAGCCTAGATTTGGCGATCAATACAAGCTGTGTCCCAGGTGGCTAGAAAAGAAGACGGGTGACATGGTGGCCACAGAGCTCGGTCCTTACGCCATTGTGGGGCAGAAAGCTCCTTCGCTGACCTCTCGCGGTATCAGCCAAGGCGGTGTATAAGTTCGGCGACGATGACGGCGATGGCAAATTGGCGAGAAGGTGAAATGCCAGTTAGAAAGTCAATGGTCATGTAAAATTAGGTGGCTTGGGATTCCAACGGAAGTGGAGACAATGGCCAGATTGTAGGAGCTTTGAGCATTGAGCAGAGGGCGACGTAACGATGTCTTCCAATTAACGCACGACATATACTTCTACTATAAAAGATTCAGAATTGCATACTCAATGCTCATCTACCGTCCAACGTGTTGCGAATCATCTGAAATGTGAAGAAATTCTTCACGATGCTCAATCCTTATTATTGTTCGGGTATCTGCATCTTCATCCAAATCTGGTAAAATGCAGCCCTGACACGGGACGGCCCGAAGACTCAACCGCTAGTGCCGCTTTGCCCCTCTTCAATTTACAGCTGGGTCGGAAAGTTCCACTTTATATTATAGTAGCTCCCTCGTCCCTTCTCTTCTCTTTTTCCATTCATCAAGCAACTTTTCTCTTCTCTTACACTCTCATTACCATCACTACTTTGTTCTCTTACACTCTCATAAACATCACTACCTTGCATTCTACTTCCTGAGCGACGGACTGAATTCATCTAAGCTTTGACGTTGCTCACCGTTGAACGCATAAGTCGCAACCAGCTCAGCTACCTCTGTCACCTTACACATCTCGACACCCACGCAAACGTGCTCTTGAAACTATTAGAATGCCGACCGACAGCGAAAATTCTAAATGGGCATGGTGAGTACTGCCTTTCTACCCGCTCCCATGTGCAGAAGCGGAGCGGAGTCACATGCTTTGATCCTTCTCTACTGTCCACAAGAATGTCGCTGACGCTCGGCACAGCGAAGCATGCGTGCGTGGCCACCGGGCGACAAGATGCGATCACTTCGACCGATGGATGGTTCGAGTCAAGAAGCCCGGCCGGCCTTTGCGAGACTGCCCTCATGTTACAGTCCCATGTAGCTGCACCGATGACAAAGTCATAATGATGAGGATTCCCAAGCGTGAACAAAGTCAGACTCCCCTTGTACCGCTAAAAGAGCCCTTTTTAGCGTTGACTGGTTGTGCAACATGAAAACGAAGCTAAGCATGCGCAGGAGGAAATTGCAATTGCCGCGTACAGCGAGTCTTCGATCCAACTTCCGACGATGAGGGTGCTCAGCCTTCCCGGCGCCCACCCCGGATACAGGATCCATTGGATCCATCGCGTACGGTTCCCTACCAGAATGTTCAGCCTATTCAGCAGTTTCCCGGGCAAACCGATGCGCAATCCATAGCATTTTACCAACATATTATGTCTCTTAGTGTATCGACTAGGACAGCGAATGGTCAAAGCGTGGGAGCCGAACCATCTCATAGCCTTCCTTTGCGAGATGGTCTGCGAACGCAACAGCCTATAGCGGAACCAAGCCCGAGTGATCAGTCAACACCTGCAGCAACGCCAACAGCACCAACCCGACGTGGTCAAGTCCCTCACCAGGAGCAGTCACATTCGGTCGGCCAAGCCTACTCTCCAACAACGGTCCAAGGCGTTAGCTCCCCTTCGCCAGTACGTCCAGACAGCAATGTGAATTCTAACCACTATTCACTCTCAAGGCCACAGGATTGGGACGCCGCCTACCATCAGCCTCGAACCCCAGCTTCTTATAGTGTAATCCAGCCTGCCATGAACGGTCGCAGCATGCCTGACCCCGCACACTTTGAGCGACTAGGTTACCCTTATCCGCCACCCGGCGACCCCTATCCCATCATCAGCGCTGCTGTGCCATCCACAGAATTCAATGCCTTAACAAATTCCAACAACTGTCAATGCGGCCCAGGATGCACGTGCGTGTACTGTGCAACCCATCCATACAACGACGCGACCAGAGAACGTGTACACGATCTTAACCAAATCATGACGATGGACAACTATTGGGCTGTGAATCCTGTGAGCCCGCCGCCATCTAGATATGGGGTGGCTCCCACAAATGGCACCAATATAGAGCCAGTGATGGGACAGGGATACCCACCGCTGGACGAGGGACCTTTTCCGTCCGCAGCATCTGAATGGACGAATGCGCCAATCCAGGGCCCTGAGCTTCAGCCGACGTTTGACGAGGGGGCGTCGGTCGATAGTGGCGATTATTTCAACGATTTCTCTCCCCGTACGATGCGGAACTCCGGGTACTTTACCATGGAATATCCCGTGAACAACAATTGCACCGATGCTACTGGGATGTGCCAGTGCGGTAGTGATTGCAGATGCTCGGGATGTCTCACTCATCAGGGACATAATGGGCTTCCCAATTAGGGAATGTCCTTCTTTACATGGGTCGGGGGCTGCTGGCATAGGTAAGTCTGATTGAGATTGTTGATTCCCACAGAATTGACGATGCTTAGGTGCTAGGCCCAGATTGTAATGTTCGATTTTACAACGTAATAGATCGTCGTGCTTAGCGAAGGTGTTGGAGGGGTAATGGACAAATGTCCGGTCTAATGGGCATCTTCGGCGTATTGGAAAGAAATACTGCTTTCAAGGAAGATACCCTTCATCACTAGGTGGCTGGATTGGAGGCGTTAAAATGGAGTTTGCACACAAGGATTTGTGGTAAAAAAAAGTTGGCGTGGGCCTTGTGCTTTGCTCGAATGGTTCCTTTTCTACTTGCATAATAGACTGTGCTGCTTTGATCATTGTGAGAGACAAAGGTAGAGGGGCTTAGGTGCAAAATTGGGGCCTCTCTGATAATAATGCTTCTGACTATTGTCCTCCCAGTGAGGTCCCGAATCTTCAAATATCCGCATTGCGTCCTCAATTCATGTGGCAAAGGAACTACACCCGTCTACTTTGCCATCACATCCTCGAGACGCGTTTGAGTAACCACACGCAGCAGATAATTGTTCCACCTCGCTTTTCTCCATCCAACTTCAATCTCATGCCTTCTAACAGTCTACACCAATTCAATCACACATTGCTGCGATTTCTCTTCACTATAATCTACTTACAAGGTCAGCACTTCCATGGTCTGCTCCTCCATGGTCTGCTCCCTCAGCATTGATCCAGACTCTCCAAGGCTAGAAGTGGAGCTCGGAACATGAACTGGACTGGGGGCGCCCTCTCACGCTCTCGCAACGCGAACGCCAAAGTCTCTCTCTCCGTCAAACAGAAGAATCATTTTGCCAAAGCCCGCGTCAATTTGCAGAATGGACAGCGACCATCTCCGCCACAGATTCAGTACTTTGACTTTGGAGAGTGGAAGCTTGAGAATGGAGTACATGATGACCGACGTTCAGGCCCCCCCAAATGTATGGTTTCCAGCCAGAGAACGCTGGATCAATTTGAGAACGTCCAAGGTGTGGTGAGGAAGTTGCAAACTCTCCGGCCAAGGAATGAGGGAAACAAAAGAAAGCGTTCCCTCATCAACGACACCGAAGGTCATGTACTACCGAGCGGTATTGCTATTCCTCCAATCTCGCCTTCCATCATCAGCTCACGTCGTCCCTCGAGGTCCTCTCCAATCCAAACTGAACCCATTGCAAAACGAACTTCGAAGCGACCTCGAACCCCAACGCCCTCTACGAGCGATGAACTAGATCCTCTAGAAGTCGTTGACAGTGTGGAAGCTAAGCGAGGCAAGCTCCTTCAAGAGAGCGACTGGGTCGGCGTTGAAAGGCAGAGACGTATGTCAAAGCCCGTCAAGATGAAATTCACGGACGCCAAAGATCGAGATCTCATAGGCAGACGTCGCCCTTTGAACGGCAGCGCCGTTCAAAACCGCTGGAATGGGCAGAATTCAAGACGAATGGAGGCACCGCTAATGGCATCTTACTCCGAGAAACCGCGAGGTCAACATCGAGGGTTTGCGGAAGAGTATTGGAGCGCAGAAGGAGTGAGTATACGGATTGGCTCAACAGCCATGAATACGGGACCAATTTTAGATGAGATGCTCGATTGCTACCAGTCTCCAGGGCCAGTACAAGGCTCTTCACACTCGGCAAGTTCATTCAAATACGACAATACAGGACCTACACCGAAGCCTCAACATCAGAGAGGCGAATCTACCGCCCCCTCAAGTTTCAGAAACGAGTCTTCGGAGCCCTTCCGTAGTCTCTTCAGTCCAGAGGAGGTCAAGCCTTCGGGTATAGCCCAGTTGGTGGAAGCCGCGACTATCGCTGACAATGATAATGCTCCCCTCGCTGAGGATGAGCTACAATTACCAGAGGACTACCATCTTCCGGAGCCTAAACCAGGGTTTCGCTTGGTCTTTGAGCAGACGCCTCAGCCTCGTGGTTGGACCTCAGAGCTAAACCATAGGAGTAGTCCGATCGTGCGCGATTTCGCTCTCACTAAGGGGCGACTTCCAGGGGCTGCGACTGAGCAATCGGCACATCCAGAAGATCTCAACGTGCTTGGAGAGCAGATAGCTGAATACGCCCCAGTTGAGGATGCAAAATCATGTACGTCTCCGCTCAGCATTGCAACGTCTCGATACATGCAAGGACTCGAGAATCAAAGCTATGGGTCCGGAGGTCGAAGACCCTTCGCAATGAACATGGCCGATAAAGTAGCTACCACGAGAGACCAACCTGCGGCGAACATGAACAAGGCTGAGGGACAGCGAGGGACAACCGGAGATCGAAAGCGAAAGACTTCCGTACAGCCCGATGAAATTCAAGACAAGGAAAATGTTGAGCCAACTGAGGGCGAAGGCGAGATCTGGCGGAGCTTGATCAACCTCGACGACATTAGTGACTTTCAGTCGAGGCAAGAGCAGCCTCCCAGCACGCATACCCCCCAGGCAACAGCAGGAGCTTTAGCGAACGAACAGCAAGTTCTAGATCAAGCTTCTCGAAAGTCCAATGCGCAGAACGCTCCACCTGACGATGAAACGATATGGCGGAATTTCATATTCAGCGACTCTGGCCCCAACGACGAGTGGGTCATCGAAGAAGCAAGCCCCCAATCTTCACCAGACAACGACATCTCGACCTACGATCCCGCACGCACCCAGCCCTCCATGGTCGCCGAAGCGGCCACCAGCCCCGTGAAGCAGAACCCACATCTGATGGACGAAATGCGCGACGATTCTCCGCCGGTTCTAGACAACGCATCGCGTCACGCCAACGCATCGTCGAGCTCGACCCGGAGCCTTGGTATCTCTTCTAGCACGCCCCAGCAAGTCCTGCACTCATCAGCATCACCCCGCCGATCCTCCGTCCTGGCAACAGCGTCATCCCCAGCCACCCACGACAGCCAAAGCCACTCCAGCGATCTATACCTTCCAGATAGACATCATCGAATCTCCAACCCTTCCTCCCTAATCGCCGAAGCATCCTCTTCCCTCCCCACGCACGTAATCCGACCCCTCTCCCCCACCCGCGCCACCCACAACCCCTCCCCCTCCTCCGACGACGACGAACTAGCCTGGACACCGTCTCGCTTCCCCGGCCCTGCAGCAAAGGAGAAGGTGGTCTTCAAGAGACCATCTCGCTACGTGGGGCAGAGGGCGGGTGCTCGGCCTGAGCCCGTGCACCTGGGCAGGAACGTCAATGATTCTAAGAAGACGAAAAAGACGAAGACGAAGACGAAGACGATGAGTTTGGCGGAAGCGGTGGAGCGTGCGAAGGGGAAGATGGGTCGGAAGAAGGGTAACGGTGGAAGGGATGTGGGACACGGAGGCGAGGAGGCGGGGGAGTTGGGCGTGGATGATGATGATGATGATGATGATATCGTCGACGACTGAGTCTGTGAAAGGAGGGCATAACATGGAGACCCAGCTGTTCGGTTGATTTTGGCAAGCAAGCAGGACGAGACAAGACAAGACAAGACACAAGAGATTTGCTCAACGGTTTGCTCCACCATCTTGTTGCCAACCTAGCCCAACCAACCGTAGCACGATAAATTAATCAGGCAATCAAAAACTGCAGCCTGACTCGATCAATCCGGTCCACCCAAAACGGCGGCCATCCGGTGTTCAATCCCAGCCCCTCACATCTCCATCTCCATCACCACCACCACCACCTCCTCATCTCTCCGGGCATGCACCAAACAACAACAACAACAACAACAACAGAAGAGAGACAACACCAATCTCACAAGGCCTGCAAATCGGCCAGATCGGGATATCGCAGATCGGCCTCGGCCTCCAAATGGCCCATCCACCGCGCCAGGAACCCGCTCCCCTTGCCCACCGTCTCGCCGTCGCCCACGACGCAAAGGTGCCTCTTCGGCCTCGTCATCGCCACTGCGCCCCGGCGGTCAGCGGGGGAGCACGGAAAAAATCGTAATCACCGGAAGAAAGAAAGGAGAAGAAAGAGACACGGGGGTAGGAAAGAAGGAAAAAGAAAGAAAGAAAGAAAGAAAGAAAGAAAGAAAGAAAGAAAGGGGAAAAAAGAACACACACCGTTCAACCTCCTCCGCTCGCCCAAAAACCCCACCTCCCCCGCCGGGTTACTCCGCACCAAACTCACCACGACGGCCTCCTTCTCCCGGCCCTGGAACCCGTCCACGCTGCCCAGTTCCAGCCCGGGGAACCGCTCCGTCAGGCCCAGGTCCCGCGACAGGTGGGCGAGCTGCGCGTTGTACGGCGTCACGACGGCGACGTCCTCGGCCCTGACGCCGGCGTCGACGAGCCTGCCGACGTGGCGCCGGACGAGGAGGGCTTCCGAGGGGTTGGACTTGCTGTCGTTGGGGAGGAGGGAGGCCTTGCGGGGGTTCCTGCCGTCGTCGGCGGGAGGAGGAGGAGAAGGGGAGATGGCTTCGGGGAAATCGCCGCCTTGGGTGTCGTAGAAGACGAGCGGTTCGGTCGTGTCGTCCGTGTCTTGGACTTCGTAGGGTAGGGTGGTCAGGAGGCGAGTGGCCACGGCCGGCGCGGCCAGGAGTTGGGAATCGTACATTTCGTCCGACGGGAAGCGCATGATTTTCTCGTGCATGCGATATTGAGTCGTCAGCATGCGTTTTATGCCGGGGCCGTGGAGGGTGAGGAGGCGGTCGAAGAGGGTTACCTCGAGTGAACCGCCGCCACCTTTGGTTTGATCTTTATCATTGTCTTTTGGTGGCTTGGGGTGGAGACTGTGGTCCAGGGATTTGATGGTGGGCGGTAATTGCAGGTGATCGCCTGCGAGGACGACCTTTTTGGCTGTGAGGAGAGGAATCCAGGACTGTGCTTCGAGCGCTTGGCTTGCTTCGTCGATGATGACGACGTCGAACTGCTCGTTTCGCAGCTGGAAACCGCCTGCGCCGTGGAGGGTTGCGAGAACGACTTTGCTGCCGCTGACGAGGGTAGTCACACACTGCTTTTCCCGCTCACGATACTCCTTCCGTAAAACTTTCATGTCGTCGTAGATGGCCTTCCTTTCCCGACCGCTTCGTGTCTTCTTGATACTGGCCTGCTTCGCATCCATCTCCTTCCTCACATCCTTGACTATACCAGCTGCTTCCGACGTCTGCGTCAAAACGTCAAGGGAGTGGTTCAGCACGGATGGAAGCAGACGAGCCGGATGGCCGAGCCGAATGATTGGAAGCTTGTGCGGGGCGAGACGCTCGACGATGTTGTCCACCGAGATGTTCGACGGGCCACAGACCAGGATGCGAAGTCCGCGTCGGACGAGTTGGAGGATGAGTTCGATGAGGGTGTAGGTTTTGCCTGTCTACGGCCCGTCAGCCTCTCCTCCAGCCCGGACGGACGCATCGGTGAAGACCCACGCCAGGGGGACCATGGATGAGCGCCACCTCTCTCGACGCCAGCGCGAACCCGACAGCATCCCTCTGGCTGTCATTGAGCGTCTGATCGAGGAACTCAACCTTCGCCTCGTCCGGAGACACCGGCGTCGGTGCATCCAACCCGAACAACACCCTCGTCAGCGTCGTGTATTCACCCTCCTCCATCTTCTTCAGTCTCTCCATCGTCCAATTCATCCTATCCATCCCACATCAGCCTCTTCCCCTTCCCTTCCCTTCCCGTACCAAACAGTAGACATACCTCTTATAAGTAACCTCATTAGCCAACTTGACCCTACCACCCACCACATTCATCAGCGACACACATCCCCACCCCCATCACTTGCGTGACCAAAAAAAACCCCCCCAGACACAACTACTCACACCCACAACCGCCCCCCCAACTCCTCCTCCCCCTCCTCCCCCTCCCCAACCGCAACCTGCACTCCCCCCCCAACCCTCACCACCACCCCCTCCACCCCCCCCCCCCCCCCACCCCCCCCTGCTTGCCCCCCACCTCACCACATCCCCCACGCCCACCCCCATCCCACCCCCCCACCCCATCCCCTCCCCCCCCACCGACCGCCCCGTCGACCTCGAGCACCAGCACCGTCCGGCCCCCCGGCCCCGTGCGCCGGCCCGCGAGCACCAGGTTCGTGAGGGCGAGGCCGGCCGCGGCGAGCCGTTTGGGGGCGTGCGCGGCGAGGAGGGGGAGGGTGCGGGCGGATTCGGCGGCGAGTTCGGCGGCGAGGAGGGAGAGTTGGGCGGTGGCGAAGGTGGGGGGGTCGAGTGCGGGGGCGGGGGGGGGGGTGGGGGGGGGGGGCATTTTTTTGGTAGGGATGGATGGGGGTGTGTGTGTGTGTGTGTGTGTTGGCTGACGACGTGGGTCATTTGGGCCGTCGAGGTTGCTTTCTGATCCTGGATCGAGGATTGGGTGTAAAGGGAGGACTAAGAGTGATGATTGAGGGGTCAGGTGAACTGATGTGTTGAGAGACAGAGCGTCGATGTGAGGCCGCATGGTCAAGGACAAATGCTTGGCTGCTGGCGTCTAGCCTTTGGTTACAATGGGACTTCTACGATGGTAGTGTTTTCAAGCTGTAAAAGCCTTGCGTATTCAAGTATCAAAGTTTACGAAGAGGACCTTCTACTCAGTCTAATAAGTGACATTCCTGAGTCTCCAGCCCACTCAACATTTCATGGTCGAAGGTAGTTGTGTTGTTGGAACTTTTGGTTGGAACTTTTTGGTCTGAACTTATACCAACATGATCGATCGATAGCTGCTCCGCAGTACACTGAAAAATTAGATTGCTAATTGCCAACTCGTAAAGACCATCCAGCGCACAAAATGGATCATATATCTCTCCGAACCTGCTCCGTAAACATCTTCCGACGTAAGCAAAGATCAACCGCTTTCCAGACACTTAAGAAACTCACACAAGACGATAAGAGAGTCATCAAAAGAAAGCATCATCACGAACGACCTCGGACCGCGGTGTCCGTTGCAGCGGAAAAAAATTGCCTCCGGGGTGTATCATCAAGAGCCTGTCCATCCTGCCAGGTATGGCGTTGCAAAGGAAAATGCCGCCAATGGGTTTCCCGGGATCCTATCGAATCCTTGCATGGAATCCCCAAACCGGATAATGGGCCAAATCCGGATGGCAAACTAGATCCATAGCAAAAGTACTTCACACACAACCCCAAGGTATCGTGCGCAGGCTGGGTTCTGCGACTTCGTTTTATATTTCAGTGGCCATGGGGGCAGCTTAGATGCGTGTCTATTTTGTCCGGTGAAAAGAAAAAAGAAACTCATGGAAATTGCGATCCTGGATTCCTGCCTGGGCAGGCATAACCGCTGGTGCGCAAGATGGACAACTTACTTGCGGCCGTAAACTTTCCTGGCAAGGTTTTCAAACATGGCATTGTCCCCGTGGTACTGCTTCAAGGCCTGTGGATCACTGAAATCGCGATTCCTGAGCCGGGATTCCAATCGAACCTGGTGATCACGCAGCAGCAACTCCTCCGGAGGATATTGCTGGCTTCGATGGGGGCCCGTCTGCTCACGGATTGCCATCGCAACGGATCCGGATCCGCTTGTTGAAGCTTGTCCATCAGCTCTGGAAGTGGCCAACTTGGCCCGTTTCGCTACAACGTTCTCGGTAGGACTTGGAGTCCTTCTTTTCCTCTGGCCATTCGTCGGATCCTTGTGGGAGTTGTGTGAGGAGCTATCCGAAGGTGATGGTGAGTCACTGTTATTTGATGGCTCTGACCCAGAGTATCCATGGACTCTCTTCATGTGATCAAGTAAATTCCATCGGCGCGGAAAGCCATGGTTCTCGTGGGCGCGCTCGCACCCCTCGAATTTGCACAGAAAAGGTTTGGCCCCATGTCCATGCATCCCGTGGGCTTCCCTTTCGTGGCGTAGGAGACAGGCAGTCGAGGAGAAATGGGTATCAGAACATTCATTGGACTTGCAGCGATAGGGTTTCAGATGCGAGTCCAGATGTTTGCTAAAGAGCATGATTAGTAATGGAACACAAGATGAATGATTCCCAAAGGCATCTCACTCGTAATTGCACTTGAGCTTTTCTGGTGATTTGGAACAGCCGTCCGTGGCCGCGAAGGGGCAATGATACAGGCCATCCTCTTGCGGGACGGCTTTGTAGAGAGGATTCTCACGCGCGTTCCTACCGGCCTCACCGTCACTGGAACGTCGGGATCCATCCATGCCAGGATATGAGGAAAATCCAAAAGCCGGGTCCATCATCTCGGGTCCAACCCACGCATCCATGGGAAGAGGGATCCGCTGGAAAGAAGTGCTAGGCCTTATAGTACTGAGTGGGAAGTCAGAAGGAAGAAGATTATCGTCATTCGTTTGGAATGCAAACCTTTCTGAATCTGTTGGAAGATTGAAAGCCGGTTGGATTTGCATGGCGCCTCCAGTACTGAAATGTGGAAAGTTTTCGTTCATTCCAGCTTCTCCAACTGGCCAATCCTCATGCAAGTCCATGGACACTGGCGTGTCAGGTAACTGCCCCAAGAAACTATGTTGCGAGTACGAGGAACTCATTGAGGGTGCAAGTCCTGATGCAGGGGAATATTCCAAGGGTAAAGAAACGCCCACGGCGTTCTCTTGATACATCACTTGATGGTCCCACTCGGCAGGCAAGGCATACCCACCATCGTTGTTTCCAAGCACCATGGGAGGGTGTATTTCAGCTGGACCTGGGAAAAAGCCACCAGTGGTCATTATTTGATATGCCAGGTTGTTCACGGGAGAGCCATTAGTGTAATGTTGTTCCCCTTGGATGAGTTGTGTCATATCAAACGCATGGCTCTGAGGCATCTCAAAGGCCATGTCCATTCCAGAAAATTGGAGCCCAGCACTGGTAGCGCCCATATCATGGTAGGTTTCCTCTACTCCATAAGATTGGTACATTGAGGAAAACTGCGAAGGATCTCGCATCATATCAGAATATGGGAAAGGGAAAGCTCCTGGGGTTTCATGTGCAACATTGGTCACAGGCATGTCATTCCTATAGCTGGCGCTGTCATATCCTGGGAAAGCATGTCCCGTAGCAGAATCCGGATTCGTCGCACTGTTAGCTGCCCATTGTGCAACCCTGTCCTGCTGGGCAATCCTGTCTTGTTCACAACTCCTGTGGTCTGGCCTCACGATGGAAGCGCTATGGCTAAATGAACTTTGTTCCATGTCAACATGTCCTTGACCTGAGGTCTGGTAGTTCTGCTGTCCAGTGGAAGCATCCATTGGCTGGGAGCCTTGTCCATGAGGCTTCTTTCCATTTCCACGGGATCCGGCGAGCAGGCTGCTCTTCTTCAGGGCCGTGCCAGACTGTTGTTTCTTGCTGGGAGCCAGCGAGTTTTTCTTGTGGTTACTATAGAACGCTTCGTGTCAGTAACGCAGCTCGCCGAAGATGGTTCTCATCCCGAAGCAAATACAAAGACATTATGAGATACATCAATTAAGCAAATTCTGCTATACTGATTAGCAAGTTTTGAGCTGCTGAGGTAGACTTTTCTCCATTGCATACCAGGATAGAAGGAAATGAAGACTGTGTCCCGGGCGATCCATAAAATTGGAGAAGAATCCTTGGAGACGTCTTGGAGGCATCGCACCAGTGTCGCACGGCACCAGATCCAAGATTGGGATATCGTGCGGAGACCAAGATCAGACGAAAGGCCTGGAGGGCCAGTTGAGCAGAAAGTCTCACGGCAGTTGCAGTCTGTATCTAGCACGCCCTGGGTACGCTGTACCAGCATCGCTGATGGACCATGTGTGTCTGACGAATATCCGAGACACCGGACAACCTTACCAGAGTCCCTCCTAGGGAGATGGTGACCGTAAGCGAAATTGTGGCTCCGGTCCATGCAGAAAATGCGCAGCGGTACACCGCAGAGAGCACTCTTTGCAGTGTGAACAGCAAAAAGGGCGCATGAGGAGAGTACTCCGGGAAGCAATTCCGTCCGTGGGATAACATCACAATAAGGACATGCTCCGGATGGAGATATCAGTGCAAATGACAAGCTCAAGGGGAAAGCCAAGTCCAAGTCCAGTTTCGTAACCCCTTGGAATGGTTATCTCCAACATCGACAGACAGCAACAAGACAGCAAACAACAGAAGTCAGATCTGACAACGTGGCTGCGCACAGGTGCATCACTGTCATCCCGAACTGCGGGCGCGAGTTCTCTTGTCCAATGTAATGTCCCGAGGAGCCAAAGCAATCGGCGCCTGTGTTGTTCATGACTTGGCCAAGAAAGAAGGGTGCAGAATACAAGAAGGGTGGGCCCTTCCGTCCCGCAGTTCGAACCAGATCTTGGAGAGGGCGTACCATGGAAGCCAAATAGTCGCACCTTCCCGGAAAGCACCACGGGCCTCAAAGAGTACCTCGCGCGTCCAGCAAGACCACCCGCCTCAGTCGGGCGAAGTCTGGAGAGAGAGTGCTGAACGAAAGAAAGAGGTAACAGGGTGAGGATAAGGAAACGCTCGCGCAAGGAAAACGCTGATCTAATATGAAGCCACAGGGGACTGAAGGGTATTACCTCATATTGAATGCCACTGATGAGGACGGGCTGTCCAAATCCTGGAGCTGTATGCGGTTGGCAGTGACACACTCTTCTATTGTCATGTATTGGCCTTGGAAATACTAGAGCCTGACGGAATCCTGTGGTATCCTGATTTTCCTGTCACTCTGGGGTCCAGTGATTGTCAATCCGATGGGGGGGGGAGGAGTCAGAGATCTTGAAGTCCTTGTGGGATATGAAATGGCCAAGTTTGCAGAGTGGTCCTATGTGGAGAGAAAGATGTGAAAGTACAGATGTACTATTGATGTTGATGCTGTTGTTGTTGTTGTTGTTGATGTTGATGTTGTTTTTATTTTCTGTAGTCGCGACGGAAAAAGAGGATTGAGTAAGAGAGAGACGGAGGATTTTGGCAAACAAAAAGAAGTGGGAAAGTGGGCCATGGGATTTATTTGGGGAGAGAGGAGGAAAAGACGGGAATGGCAGGAGCTAAAGAGGTAAGCGGGGCAGGCAAGATTGTGGGTCTAGAGTGACAGAGGAGTGGGGGGAGGCAAACTGGCACTTGGCACTTGGCACTTGGCACTTGGGTACTTTGGGGGAGGGGTGGTTCAGCCTGGGAAAATGGTGGGAAAATGGGTGAAAAATCCTGCTTTCTGCGGGCATAGAGACTTCGGCCACACCTCTTATGCAGTCTCCTTACTTTCTTTCTCCTACTAAGGTAGTCTTGTCATTAGAGCAATATGCAAGCATATGCCCCCCCGGGTCGCAACTTTTGGTTAGAGTGAATTGAGAATAGCCTACCTACCTAGGTACGGTAATGCTTTTCACACACCAAGGAATTCTCGACTAAGGCAATTCATTAAGGTACCTTAATCATGGTTAGACCAGCTAGAAAACATTGAGCTGATTAAAATTGAATTAAGTCCATCATCATCATTGGCTACGTCGGTGGCTCTACTGCAAGCATGCATTTAATTAATTACGAGGTACTCACTATTCACTAGCCCCAACTTATCCTGGTCTATCTTGACACACTATCCCCCCCCCCCCGCTGCCCCTTGTCGCGTGGACCTAAAATCCCTAACAAAAACCAAAAACCAAAAACTAAAAAAAAATAAAAAATAAAAAATGCTTTCTCCCAAATTCTAAAATAATGCTTTCCGTGACGTGTCAATCATTACCCTAAGTAGTTCGCTCCAACCTAAACCCTTCCGAGGATAAGCTCCAAACCTTGATTCATGTGACAGGGGCCGACCACTTCCTCTGCGTCTGCACCCATCATATGAAATTGGCTCACTCATCTCGCTTGCCTCACGCCAGACCTGCGGCGGCACGGCAACACTCTTCCCACGCGTGCCAAGTTAATGCCAAGTCAAACCATTCGCTGCCATCCAACGAGAATTTGCTTCCTGCTAATTACCCGACTGCATGAGGTTATTCACATCCGGTGTACTCGATCCTACTACCTACCCCCGTACATGAAAGTGAACCGCTGGCTCTCCTGCGGTGTGATAGCCAAAGAATCCCCGTACCAAAGCACCCACTAGAGCAACCGAAAAAAAATTCAAACAGAACAAAAAACCCTTTCTCCCACCTTCTGCTGGAGAAGGAGGAGGAAGGGAAGAGGAAATGGGCCTACGGCAAGCAAAAAGATCTTTTGGTAGGGAAGTGGGGGAAGAATGTGGAGGAAGCTCGAGCCTAGCTAATGCAGACCGCGTGACAGAGGTACAGATGTTCCGATAGCCCGCGGGTAGCAGGAGTCTTGTGCTCCAGCTCCATGCAGATTCGCACGGGTTCATACAACCAATCGCTTTTCACACCCCCCTAGCCGTTCCGGTCTGGCGGTTTTGCGACTAGGTTCATTGCGTTGTGACTTACTCATCATCACTCTTCCGAGACTTGGTTCAGCCGTGCGAGCGCTTTCGACGGCAGCAGAGGCAATCAATACGGTTAGGGACGGGTTCCTTTCGGTGGAAGTAAAAGACATTCCTTCAACGGGTTAAGAGATCATCTCGTGAACGACCGGGAAAAAAGCGTTCGGATCACTCATTCTCTGGGCCCCATTCTATGGTAAGGGCTGTGCATCGGTGGAGACTGCTTGCGGTCATCTTCGGTCCATCAAATCCAAGTCACTCGGGGCAAGTGTTGCGAGATGTGATCAAGTTCCCTACGGCTGTGCATCAATGGGGCCTTGGTGAACCGGTCATCTTCCATCCATCATCGAATTGTAGCAAATGTGCACAACTTCTGCAAGCTTTCATGAATTCCCTACACCTATGCATCAATGGCGTCTCATTGATTCGGTCCTCCCACCTTCGTCGTCGGATCGCAATAAATGTAGGCCGCTGCAAGCTGTAACGAACTTCCGGGAAAAGCAGTCGCATTCTCGTGGGATCACATGGCTCAAACTCTCCCTCGATCCACTTCACTGCCGTGAGACATTCGTCCTTCCAGAAGTCCGGAATCTAGGGACCCGGCGGAAGGGAGACGAAGGCTCAAGTTGCCAACTCCGAAAGAGGAGAAGCGTGACCAACAAATCAAGATGTATGCCCTCGTCTGGTATTCGGGCAGCTGTCCAGGATAAACACTCTGCCTACTTACAGGTTCAAAGCTTGCCGCCAAAGGCCGGCAGGAGGCGCAGGTGATTCTCACGCCATTCTCAGCCTCGATTACATCCACGGTGTTTGCATTGCGGGCATCATTCTATCGGGGGGGGGGTCCACAGCCAATGATTGATTATCAAGATGACACACTGGGAGCCAAACCCATTGTTATCGTAGGTGTTGCTTTCGCTCTCTGGCAACGAGACCTTGTGGCTGACATTGTCGCCCCGGCGGCAGTGTCATTGGCTGCTCTTTCTGACACATCATGCATTCTACGACCCCGATATCCACTCAACCGTCCTACTGGAAGCCAGTGAAATCGCTGATGAGCTTTCAGGGAAAGCGAGGGGTCTTCTTGCCAAATGGGCAGCACCCGAGTGTCTGGCACCATCAAGTTTCACGGCTCATGCCGAACTGGCTGAAAAACATGGAGGTGGCAAGAGGTGGGGTTACAGAAATATCAACTGCGCTGAGATCGAATTGCAAGCCCAAGATCTTGATGCAACGGAAGGAAACTACTCATGTCGTAAAGGATGCTTCTTTTCAACTTTCCACAAGGCACTAACAATGCACCTCCAGAATTGGGCTGGCTGCTCCCTGGGAGTGTCAGGTCTTACGCAGAGGTAGGGAAGCCGAATGACTCCGGTCAAGTGGAACCGGTACTTGTTTACGGTACGAAAACGCTCGCTAATTTAGCAGAGGAAAAGGGCGCGAGTCGTTGGATCTGGTCCCGGTATCGGTTATGCAGACGACAAGAAGCTCGTCAAATCGGTCCAGCACCGAACGGTTCTGATGCTACGGATGTCGTGATGGCGGCCGGTCCGTAGGCACCCTAAAATATTCCCCGTAATACGCCTCGAAGCACCGAGAGGATACAGTGTAACTGTCCGGCCATCACGAGATCTGTCCCCCTATGTTCCAATTATAAGGACCGCCTTCGCCCCCCCCCCCAAATAAAGATCTGACATTCACATCTCACCGGAGATCTATTTTTGGACAGCAGTTAGACTCTATGACTCTGATACCGTTTATGCCTGTGGCCCAGACGACTGCAAGGTGCCCTTACCAGCTACCAGCGGTATGGTGGAAGTCGACAGAGCATAGCTGCAAGAAAGTTTGGAGCTCTTTCAAGAGCGTGATGCGCAGGAGTTAGATACATAACGGCCAAAGCATGACGAGACGACATGCTACAAGCCACAGATCAGGCCCCACAGATGAAGAGGAGGAGGTGGGCCGATGGCAAGAGCTACGGGCATGGATGCTCTTTGGCTGGCTACCCCTCACAACCAATGGGACACACAGAATGGGACATCGAATGGGACACACAGAATGGGACATCGAATGGGGAATTAGAGTGGGCTAGAGATTGAAGTAGGTTAGTGATGAGCGAGAACAGATTGGAAGGCGCCGCTGGTAAGGTTGATTGCAAGGTGTTGGATCCGAGGCACTTCCCGAAGGAGGGTTGATTGTACATCAAGCAGCAATAAAGTCGATGAATAGCCAGCGTGTCATGTCATAGATAGGATTCCTTGCAGCTGGTGAAAGCCATTTTTGCTCCAGCTTCTAAAGTCGGATGAGCAATGTGCGCAAGCGAGAGAGCAAGTGGATTGGACGAATTCAGGAGGAGACAAGGATTCGATCCTCAGATAGGAGCGAAAGATGGGTTACATTCCTTCGTTCACCTCCATCAGCTGAAATATGCTTTGATGGCAATCCTAGGTATTGGGGGCAGTTGTAGGCAATAGATGCACAATATTCCTCGTGTGACTTTCTTCAAAGGAGCAGCGGCACATTCCTTCCCATTCCACGCCAAGATGTGGATTTAAGTTAGAGGTTTCTCGCAAATGCAATGAAAAGAAATGATCGACCAGGCCACGGTGTTTTGTTTTTTGTGTTTTGGCTTTTGGCTTTTAATTCATTCAGATAGGGAAACTTAGACCGCTTCTTGTAGGCGAGGTCACGGGACCTGGTGGATGATGATTGCAATTTGCGACTTGCGAGTTGATTGAATTTATGATCCCGGGAAACAGGAAGACGGAACGATGGAGAATGGAGATCATTTCATGCTGATCGATCATGTGTCAAAACCTTCCAGAGATCCCAGACCGGATTCTTCCAAACGCTAATCCCCTAATTACGGCGCCACCCGATGAGCTATAACATACTTTACCCCCGGGACCCCCTGTGAAGAAAGGTGACCTCAGCGGCGATTTCTCTTCCAGTTTTGTCTATTCGGCTCTTGTCTCTTGCCGGTCACTCCATCAGAGGAATTCAAGGTCCATGGATCTGAGTGCTATGATGGAACCAAAGCCATAGCCCGTAGCCACTGACGCTATTCCACACCACCCCCCACCCCCCCCTGGCCCCCAACAGATTCGACGTCAATCATGCCACTCAGTTCCCTCAACCCCCGCGACGTAGCCGCCATAGACCTAGGCCGAGTGCTCTCTCGCCTTGAGCACAAGATCCTCTCGGCAGATACAGCAGACCAACGATTACAGCATTCCAGCTATGAGCGCATCAAAGTATCTGCTGTAATGTTGCCTCCCCATCTCTTTCCTTCGGTTGACATGATGAGAAGCTGACCGTATTCAAATCAGAATCTCGAATACGCCCGCACCCTCCTCCTCCGCCTCGAACATTCCTCCTCATCCCTCAAGCTCCCTTCCCAAAAAGCCTCTGCCCAGTCCTCCCTCTCCGCTCAGCGTGCCTTGATCAAACGACTCACTGACCGACTGCACGACCTTGAAGCCCACGGCGACGACAACGATCTGCTCTACGGACCGGAGGACGAGGAAGATATATTGGGCGAAGATGCGCCTGCCGCTCCTCTCGCGACGCAAACCCGGGAAGTCGAAAAGCCAGCAGCGCCAGCAATAGAGGAGCCCGCATCCACATTACGGAATCGAAAACGGCCCAAGAACCCGCCAGATGGCGCAATACCCACCAACGAAGAGACGACGCGAGCCGAACTCCTCGTCCACAACGACACCGAATCTACCCACCTGACCAGCTCCCTGCTCGCGCTCGCCCAATCCCTCAAAGCCTCCTCGACGGCCTTCTCCACCTCCTTGGAAGCCGACACCGAGATACTCAACCGTGCCACGGAAGGATTGGACAAGAACACGACAGGCATGGAGGCTGCGGGCAAGCGAATAGGCTTGTTGAGGCGCATGAGCGAAGGAAAGGGATGGTGGGGACGGATGATGCTTTACGCGTGGATTGGCGGTTTATGGGTCCTGGCGATATTGCTGGTCTTTGCGGGGCCGAAGCTGAGGTTCTGACAGCAAAATCCCGCTCACGGTGTACGATATGAAAGGAGGGGGGAACGGGTCCCCTTTGGCACAGCATTGAAATTCGGTCCGCCGTGCCTACAGAACCTCACCTTGGTGCTCACGAAAATCCACAACGTCTTTCTTTTAAAGGGGAAATTCCCAAGCTGATAATCCCCCCGAACCAGCCTTCATCAATCACCCACAGCTCACACACTCCCCCCTTCCCCAATCCCACGCACAAAACCATCCACCCCCTCCTCTTCCCCAACCTCAACTCAACGTCCCAACCCAACCCAACCCCGCCCCCAGAACTCACCTTGGTCCCGTACCATCCCAACCTCCCCTAAATCCCGCTCCCTTCTCCCAAACCAGACCAAACTAAACCAACACCTCCCCTCCCCCCCCTCCCCCCCCACCAAACCAGACCAAACCAGACCAAATCCACCCAGACCAAATCAAATCAAAGCCCAAGCCAAACCAAACCAAACCAAACCAAACCCAAAACCAAACCAAACCAAACCCCACCACAACCCAACCCAACCAAACTAACCAAACCAACACTTCCCTCCTTCAACCCCCTCAAAAACCCCCCCGAAGCAAAAATCCCCCTCAGCCAACGACCACAACCACCCTCGCCCCCGACCGTCGAAAAGCGTACGTATCGCGAACGCATCCATACATCCATATATCGGCCGTAAGTACATCCATAGATAAATTCGTGCATGGGCATTTTTGTTTGTCTGTATCCGTGTTGTGTGGTGTTGTATTGTATTATGGTGTGTGGTGTGTTGTTTGTGTTGTTGGTTTGTGTGGTGTTGTGGTGTGTTGTGTTGTGTTGTGTTGTGTTGTGTTGTGTTGTGTTGTGTTGTGTTGTGTTGTGTTGTGTTGTGTTGTGTTGTGTTGTGTTGTGTTGTGTTGTGTTGTGTGTGGTGTGTGTGTGTGTGTGTGTGTTGTGTGTGTGTGTGTGTGTGTGTTGTGTTGTGTTGTGTTGTGGTGTGTTGTGTTGTGTTGTGTTGTGTGTGTGTGTGTGGTGTTGTGTTGTGGTGTGGTGTATTGTGTTGTGTTGTGGTGTGGTGTGGTGTGTTATATAGTCTTATATTGTGGAGCAGGTGGTGCATGCAGTGACTTTGTTATTATGTCGTGCTGGATTTAGTGAGTGAGAGAGTGTGAGGGATGGGATGATGGGATGGGATGGGATGGGATGGGATGGGATGGGATGGGATGGGATGATGGGATGGGTAGGAAGGGTAGGAGGGTAGGTAGGGTAGGAAGATTAGGGGGAGGGTAGGAGAGGGTGGGATGGGATGGGTAGGATGGGTAGGGAAGGGTGGGAAGGGTGGGAAGGGTAGGAGAGGGTAGGACGGGATGGAAGGGTAGGAGAGGGTAGGAAGGGTAGGAGAGGGTAGGAAGGGTAGGAAGGGTAGGAAGGGTAGGAGAGGGTAGGATGGGATGGGATGGGATGGGATGGGATGGGATGGGATGGGAAGGAAGGGTAGGAGAGGGTAGGAACGAAACGGCTGGTGTGGGGGAAAGCGTTCGATGGCTGGCTGATCGCACGGCTGATCGCACGGGTGGGCTGGGATGCTTGTGTCTCCGGGGGGGGTTATGCAAGGGATGGGGTGAGGGTGGGATGTAGGGGGATGGAGGATGTGGATGTGGGGAAAAGGGGAGAAATGAAGAAGAACAACAAGAAGAACAACAACAACAACCCCCTACCCCCTCACCAAAGCCACCACCCTCAAGAGCGAACACACACACTCCACCCAACCATTCCCGCGTCAAGTAAGCCACAACAATACGACATGAGCTCGGACTCTCATCCGTGATGTCCGCAGCCTGCGGGACCGGGGGTGGGTGGTGTACAGCATCGCCTGCTACGATGATGGGAGAAATTGATGATGATGAAGAAGAAGAAGAGAAAGGAGAAGAAGAAGAAGAAGGCAAAGACAAAAAACCACACCCCTACCCATCCCATCCCACCATTTATCATCTCCTCGACTAATTAACCAACCAACCAACCATGCAGCCTTCGCCGTCAGTCTCGCTTTCACTCACTCACTAACTCACTCCTCCCCCTCCTTCCACTCCCTCCCTCCCTCCCTCCTCCCTCCCTCCCTCCCTCCCTCCCTCCCTCCACTCCCCCACACACCCATACCCACCTCCTCTCACCTCATCTCTTCCACTCCCCCCACACACCCATACCCACCTCCTCTCACCTCCTCTCATCCCTTCCCCTTCCCCTTCCCCTTCCCCTTCCCTTCCCCTTCCCCTCCCCTTCCCCTCCCTCCCCCCCTTCCCCTTCCCAGCCGCAAAAACCCAACCCATCAACCCCAACCCAAAACCCCCCATCCACCGCACCGGTCAATCTCACCTCCTGCCCGCTGTTATACATATACGAATGATCCCGCTCGTATGCAACCCCACCCCCCGCCCCCCCCAGCATACCGACAACAAACCGCTCAGAGGAAGGAGTCGCTCAGAGGAAGGAATCGCTCAGAGGAAGGAGTCAGATCCGGATACCGTGATCGTAAGCCGTGTTGGGGTTGTGATTTAACAGGAAGAGGGAAAGGGAAAGGGAGCGGGGGGATTGGGATCTGGAATGGGGAAGCGGACAGATGCGGGACTTGGGGTGGAAGGGTCGGTGGTGCGGAAAGGGTAAGGGCGAGAGGATGGATGCATGCGAGGTGGATCGGTGGTGCGGCATATGGGCTGGGGGTGGGAAGATGCGGGGGTCGGAGTGCTGGGAGGGAGGGAGGGAGGTGTCTGGAGCATGAAAACGCGGGACGAGTTTTTTCCCCGCTGGAGATGAGATGGTGGTGGAAGGGGTAGGTGGTGGAGGAGGGGAAGCACGACGTGGAGGGAACACCTGGTTTTACCGGAGAGTAGCTGGAGAGGTATTATGACCTGGTCGGTGTGATTCCGTGCAGATGGAGAAGCAGATTGGAGAAGCGAACATATTTAGTCCGGGGTATCAAACGAACCTCTTACATCCAAACTCCCTCCCCCCCCCGCCCCAAAATCTTCACCTCCTTCCACCTACATGACAGTACAACACTGCTTCTGACACATCCTCAGCACCTGCGGCAAATACTTCTTCACCTCAGCCTCGATCTCCGCGTTCGGATCCTGCTGCTGCTGTCCACCACCACCTCCCCCTCCTCCACCCTGATACTGCTGGCTCCCACCACCCTGCTGATAGTTCATCTGCGGATACGTATTCCCCCCCTGATAACCCTGCTGCTGCTGCTGTCCATACCCCGGCCCCCCATACCCCTGATGATACCCGCCGCCATGATGCGCCTTCAAATGCTCCGGCATGACCGCGGGTCCTCCCTGCAGATTAACGTAAATCCTGCCAGCATTCTCCTCCGTCGCGTACTGCAGCCCGAGCTCTTGGCATATCTCCTCGACTTTTGGTTTGATTTTCTGGATGTGGCCTGGGGAGTGGTTGCCCTTGCCCACGATGCTACATCCTCACGCAACACACACGGTCAGTCGGAGCATCAGTAGTACCCATATTCTTCCAATCGAATTATCATATTTGATATTGCCCAATCGACCAACCAACCAACTCATCAATTCAACCATGGAGCCGGCCGCATTGTCCAAAAACCCACTTACACATGCAAATGATCCTGCCCCGTACTCCGCGCATACCGAATCCGCTGCTCGAGTATCTGCTCCGCCTCCTCGACAAACTGCCCGTGCAGATCAATCGTATCCCCATCCACCCTGCCCACGGCGTTGTTCTCGCGGAAAATATAATCCGACGCCTGCTTGTTGTACTGGTCCATCATGGCGCCGTGTCGCTTGCCCTCTTCCGAGAGCGCGTGCGCGGCGCCGCCATCGTGGCGTTCGAAGGCTTGGTGGGACTGCGAGTGGTGTCAATTGGTGAGTGAGTGAGTGAGTGAGTGGTAGGTGTGTATTATCAGGGAGGGAGGAGAGTAGGTATGTTGGGTTTTGGATGAGGCGTTTTGGGACGAAAGAGGGGGAAGCATGGAAGGGAGGATGGATGGACGGACCTTGGCGAGACATGAAGAGCGCTTGCCAGCTTCTTGGCGGGCGAGGTCGCGCAGGCGGTCGTATTCTGCTTCCGTGGAGCTGGATGGGGGCTCGTGGTTGAATGCTATGTATGGGACAGTGAGTGAGCTGAATGTTACTTTGAGTCAGGGGGCAGGACGGCGATCACGAACCGCTGCCGCCTAGCTGGGTCATTGGGTAGGACATGTCGTTGTAGTTGTAAAGACTGTGTTCGAGCTACATGTCAATGCTGGGAATGAATCGAAAGCCAGCGTTGCCGGATTGATGCGACGTGGGTGAGCTGGGTCGGAAAAGACTGTTGCAGCATGTCGACGCGTCTGGGCTCTTGGCAGAGATGTAGATATGAAGGCGCAAGCTACGATTCATGACGGAAGGGGGAAAAGTGCAAAATGAAGATGAAGTGTTGATCCGGACGAAAAGGTCTAATTCATTTGCTAAAATTTATAAGAAGATTTCTACAGGTAAGGGAGGCCTTCTCATACACAGGTTCTTGGCATTTCAAGACAGCGACATTCTGCCCCCTCGCTCACCACGGCAACCCATTTCGACCAGGGGTCAACCACCGAAAATCCATTTCCATTTTTCCATTTTCCATTTTCCATTTTCCAATATTCGCTTATCCCACACCATTGCTACACACCAAGGCAATTACTTTAGATTCTGAAGAGTGCAAATTGTAGCGCGCATTCTATAATGTAGTTTAGAATTCGAAATCACATAAATTGACTTAATATTGGCGAAGTAATATTTAATTGGAGGTTTTGGAGCCTGACTGCAGCCCACTCCCCAACCAGTAGCAATGACTCCACAGTAATCACAGGAGCTTTGGGCATGATAATTCCAAGTCTTCTTTCAATAACAGAACACTATTTAATGAATCACATCTGAGTGTTATAGAGCCATCGCATGCGTTTTGATAGATCGATAAATAAATCGGGAGGTGGCTATGAAAAATGGTTTTGCGATTTTACGATTTTCAAAAATTCGAAATTGCGGGGTTGACCCCTGGTCCAAATGGGTTGCCCTACTCACCTTCAGCCCTGACGCTTTAGCGAAAGAGCGGGGTGACAGCGGTGATCTGCCAAACACAATGAGTCTTTTCAATGCTATCAAAATAGCTCGAAATCGATCTTCGAAAACGCTTCTTCTAACGAATACTCCTCTAGCTCGTTCTACGTCGGACAAGGGCTGCATACGCCGTGCTTCCCAAATTCTACGCCAATCTTGGCATCTTCACGAATATCGAGACGCCTGCTCCAACCACCGATGTCCTGAATAGTAAGTTTTCTTTGACATGTATGCGCAAATCACCTACACGGACCCAGGTACTTTTCCTAGACCCAGACCGTGTTGGAATCAGTCAATAGGAGGCCAGCATGGCTACACTACTAAGTTCCAAATAGGTGTTATTACTACTCCTCATGGTGGCAATAATATAAATAATGCGCGGGCAAGAGCGCCGTGTTCTACACCACCATTTGACCAAACATTGCGGCCTAGGCGAGTAAGTTTGGGTATAATTCTGGGGACTGGGTATATCAGACTGCGAGGGAGAATGCTGCTTTGTATACTCATCGGGGGGATGGTGCTCGGACATCCTTCACGGAGGCTTGTCCAATTTGCAGAAGCTTGGCACTGGGTAGAGTAGGATGGAAGGTAGGGGAAATACTCCACCGACGCCATCTCTATTGAATCAACACTCTTGACATTATTCAATTCTCCACGTTGCTTCAGCATAGACAATCTCGGATTCGATACGACCCTCGTCTTTGATGAGTAAAAGTGAGGAGAGGGTGCAGAGCCCCTCTACTACTATCTAGAAGTTAGCAAGCCGATAGCTTGCATGTACTCCTAAAGGCATCAAGTCAGCGTGTAATCCTGCAACAAGAACATCTCCACTTACTCCGAATGCGACCACGAATCCCTCCAGTTGCTCCTCGTGGCTGCAAGTCGCGTCGAGCCACCCATCACTTCCTTCATCGTGGCCGTTCGCTACGTATACGCCCCCTGTAACCCAGATCCTCACACTCTCCAATCCAAGGCCCTGCTCACCTGATCGCCATTGGCTGGGTTGATTGGCCTTTACGCCTATGCCGATTATCTTTTGTTCCTCTTTGATCTGTAGAGTAATGGCATGCTCCGTCCATAGAGAGCGAAAGCCTAAGAGGGTTGTGGCACGCTCAGGATCATCCGCTGTTGTGGGGGTTAAGAACTCAATGCCGACAACCACAATTCCGTGAGGGCCTGCATGGCGGTATATGACAACTCTAGAAGGCTGAGTCAAGAGGTGACACCACATGCGATGATCTTGGGCTTTGATGTCATGGCCGAGTAAAGACGTTTGTTCAAAGTGCGCAGGTGGAGGTCTCGCGAGCCAAGAGCCCGGCATTTCCTCCTCGTGGGACGAGGCTCGAGATTCTATGGTAGGATGCGGCTGGCTAACATGATCGAGGGTGAGAGGGTTGCTAAAGGATACGAGGACGCCTAAACGATGGATGTGTGTCTGTAGGTAAAATTTCTTAGCCCAGAGCTATATCAACACAACCAAGGGCCTTTTATATTTTGCTGTACTTACGCTCACAACTTCAGCCCAAAGACCCGCGAACGATGTGTTGCTCTCAATTTGAATACAAGTTTCTTCTAGCGGAAAGCAGTTTCTCCAATTAGCAGAGCCGCCGCCTTCTGCTTGCCACAGGCCCCGTTGTTGGTTTGTGAACGGGCCGAAAATACTAGGTGAGCCAGCATGACGAGTGTATCGTACCTTGGGCTCGGAGCTTGTATTCTCCACGAGGCAAAACTGGGTAACACGTATTAGAAGTCGCATGAACCATGAGTCATTCAGTTGTACTTACTCGGATGGCCCCAATCGCCATTGTATCCCGGGGAAGCGACATGTTTGGAAGTCTTTGCACATATGATGTGATATATACGGCAATTATACGCTCATCATGAAGCTCCAAAGATTCTTCTGCGCCGACCGTGTTGCCAAGGATTCGGCTTGTACCATTCGCGTAGTGGAACGTAAGACCTTGGAGGAAAGCATTGAAATATACTTTGATGGATGTGAGGTTACTGTCGAGCAATGCCTCATAGTCATCATCAATGCGTAGACTCGAATGTAAACGGTGGCTATGCACCTTCGAGCAAGGGATAGGTCGTAGCTGTAGATTAGGAGGCGGAGGCTTGCTCCAATTGACCGAGGGGTATATCGTAGGCATGAAGTCTTCCTTGGGCTGATTTGCATTGAGACGATAAAGACCTTGGACTCCCTGATCCCCAATGTAGGCAGGTCCAAGATCGAAAGACCAAACCAAGCCAACCAAGTCACAGCTTGTGCCAGATCTCAGAACCTGGCGATGTTGACACTCATGATCTTCAATGAGCCTGTCAGCCCTGAGTCCTTTACGAATGCCGGATTTAAAGATGAACATGATCTCTTGGATAGATCGGGAACGTTCTGAGATTTGGAGTCCGATCGAGAATTCTACGATTTTGTCTGCATTTTCGAGATCAATGGACAGTCCGAACGATGTGCATCGACCAAGCAGCATAGGCGATCCGCTAGTTGTATCAAATTTCACCCCTGTAAGAGCAGGTGGAGCTTCTTCGCCTCGGAAGTTACGCTTACCAGTCAAGAGACAGGCAGTGATCCGAGATATCGGCTTATCGAGCGTAATCCAATTTATGAAACCGTGGCTTGATTGGGATCCTATGAATTCTGAAAGTAGAAAGTCTGGATGCGGCTTCTCATTCTCTATCCACACATTGTGATTGTCGTCATACATCCTGTCCAACGAGAGCTTTGACGATTTTGGGTATTGATTTTGAGTCCCAGGAGCGCAAAGAAAGCCGAGATTCTGGTATGGAAGGGCGCGATCGCCTTTCACCTAAGTGGAGCCTTTGATAAGCACCCTCCGTGCAAAAAGGCTTTCTTGACTTACAACCACTCTTGCCATAATACCAGCAGCATAGCTATACTCGTCGACAACATGCTTCTGCAATAGTGTATCATTGACAACATCTGTAGTCGAAAAGTTCGCTTGGCGACCTTGACTTGTGAAGATCTACACCTATTAGCTAAGTACAACACGTCATGTACCAATAAGAACCTGGGATTTCTCACTGTTAGGCCGGCGCTTTGTGATCTCTCAGAGTAGAAGGTCTGGATAGCAGCAATACATTCGCCACGGATACCGTTGATCATGAATGATACTCCTTTCCCTGGGGATGGCGAAAGGGCCGGTATGGGGCCTCTATCATCGAAATGGAACTGGAGTCCATAAATGCCAGGAGGGTTCACATCTGAAAATACACAAAGATGAGTGAGGTGCTTTAATGATTGAGGATCAGAAGCAAAAGTTGTATGGTGCAAGTATGTGAAATCTGTATCGAGGGACGGTGCCATTGTGGACGTCCAAGTGATCGGTGGAATAGTTGGGTACCACAATGGATTGGGAGATGGCTCCACATCTAGTCTAGAAGATGAAATTGTCGAAGAAGAATCTTTTTCGAGAAGTCCTAGGCCAATGATGCGACCATCCTGTAGAGAACACCAGATTAATCGGAATTCAATCATCGAGGAGAGTTGGCATACCCGTGCAATCTCGGCTTTGAGCCCCTTCATGCCATCGCCTATCTCAGTCGCCAATTGCCCCAACGGCACTTCCCCATCAAAATTCCCCAAAGCGAACTCTCTATCTATACCCAAATTGTTCGTTTCGCTTCCAAGGAACTTTAGTCCCACAATGCCCTCCGGTGTCATGCCAGCAGTCAGGCGTCGTAGCAGCATTCCACGCTCAAAGCTGACGGATGTAGCCAGTTGCTCCTTGTAACGCCCCAATTCTGTCATTCCAGAATCTTCATGAAATACTATCCCTCGCAGTACCGGGCGGCCCTTCAGTGAAGAGAAATGAGCTGAAATGCGGTGGATCGTGTTCAGGGGGGGTAAGCTGGTGGAAGAGAATAGATTGTTCACTGGTGATTTGGATGCCTGGAATCTTGATTTTTTGACGGCAAAAGAAGACTGGTGTCAAAGAGCCACGCTTGCTCTCTACTGCCTTGGGAATACCCGCACAGGACCTCATCCTCAGCAGAAGCTGTTGATTCAGTCTACATATCCGCTGCCTGTTCTTTGTATATTCGTCATCTGCAACAATAGAAGACACTCTCTTGTAGAGGCGTTTCCAGTCGATGGGAGATTGGTTCGACTTAGTGACACTTTGGATAGAGGGTTTAAAGACATGGCTGAATTCATTTGGGAATAGGAACCGCGAATGCCAGAATGTGGAATCGAGGTTGATCCATGCAATGGCCCTCGAAGCAGCTCGGAAAGTATGAACAGATGGTGTCGGGAGGAAAGAGATGATGTAAGTGAGTATCTCCATAGGGAAGCGAGAAAAATAGCAATTGCCAGGGCCATTGATGCCAACAGACGCCTGACCTTGAATAGAAACTAGGACCGGCGGCTCATCGCAAATTTCTTGGACTTGCTCGCATAACTTGAAGGGATCCATGACCAAATAATCGAGTTGTGTGTATGAATCCAAGATGCCGGCCACGTTCGAGGCTTCAGGCTCTGGATGATCGGCCCATCCATCGGACCAAAACATTTCTGGGCCACCATAGTCCTCAACCCAGTCGGGATGCAGACCGCGACCTTCGTCTTCCAATGTCTGGGAGGACAGTAGCCGCCCTAGTGCATCTAGATCCGGGTTTACGTTATCTCCTTTCGCCAGCAGGGCAAATTCCTGTACGAAAAGGTCCCAGCAGGCGGCATGGAACGGGAAGGCAACCTCGCACTCGGTGTCCCTACCAATTTCAGTAATGAAGCCAGTCGGTGGCTCTGTGGTGATATCGCCAGCAGAACTTACCGGCTCGTGTAGGGTGCGACTCTATCATGGTCATCGTTGACTTGAGTCCGCAATTGTACATCGTCCAATCCCCTCGCATCATGGCCAAGAGGGGGGGCGCGTGCGTTATTCAACGATATTGTCCAGCCAATACCAGAACGAAAATATGATGATACAGCAGCGTTGCCAGCATTTTCAGACTGTGGATGCTGTCTGACTGTAACTGGAATCAGCTGTTCATTCTTTCTCGAGCACGATATCAAACAAAATGTCCACGTACGTAAAAGAAAGAAATCGGTCCAGGCTACATCATCGTCAGACACCCGATCATGATAAAGATCTGGCAAGATGCCAAAAGACACTCCACATAGTGCGCAGTAACACTCGTCCATCTTGTACCAACTTTAGGATCAGCATGTGTGCCGGTATCGATATCTTGCAATGAAAATAGAAAGAAGTGGTTTCTCTTATTGCGGTGTTTACGGCGTGGGGGGGGGGTGGGGTGGGGGGATAGGCGTAAAGTTGCCACCCCTCTCGTCCGTAGTCAGCACTGACCAGTCATATATTCCATGGCTTAATCTAGACCCTAAGGTAGGTTACCTCCTTCAGACTCTGAGTGGTTTCCTGCTGCCTGAACATGAGGCCTGGAAATGAAGTGTCACATCAATCTATTAACAGTACTCTTATCGTATCCTCAATCACACAATCGGCGGTGCTACAACTATTTTTGTCATTCTTCATCTAATCTCCCGTTCAACAGCGAGGGCGATGGAGGGTCACCAGTAAGCCAATCCACAATAATAGACCCGGGAAAAATCTTCAAATTACTCATTGTGACGGTGCGCGCCATCGGACCCAACAGTGTTTCAATGGCACGGAGAACTATTATTACCTTCCTTCTTCCCTTCCGAAACTCGCCGCAATCCCGAATATCAGTCTTACCATACCTCAGTTGCAGTGCCACATGAGACTCCTTTCCACTTCTGAAACGTCTCGCCGTCGACGCCCCGCGGATACGTATGTGCAACAAGAATTCTAATGATACAGTGCCCCGTGATTACTGTGGCGTCTGTGAGGTACTCAAATGGATTCTCTCAACTTCAATTAGAATGGCAGTCGTTGGGGTTTTCTAACCAATGTGAACATATCTCAAATTACTGTCCATAATTGTATCTACGCTGCTGAACGCGATTATCATGGTCCGTTCTACTTGTTTTTCATTGACTTGATAGCTCAAGCTGTCTACGTTCGTCTCGTTATGTTATAATCATAGCGACCTTCCCGTATATCATCTATTCCTGAAATTCACATTAGTTCAAGGGGGCTGTAAGACCTGATTTTGTTAATTATGCAACCACCACGGCTACAATACTCATTTCCCGAAACTCGCAGTGAGTAAAGCGGCTGTTTGACCTGATTGTATCAGCTCTGCGACGGCCTCAGCTGACAGAATCCTCATACCGTCGTCACGAGGACTGGAAAAAGGGTATGGACCTGGAAAGATCATTCATCTCCGGAAGTCCTCTCAAGCCCCGAACCTGTACACTTTCATAGAGAAACTGAAATTATAGGATCTATGTCGGGAGGTATGGCACTGTTCAGCTACCACATTTCCGAATCCTCCGTTATTCTCCTGGCTATAAAACAAAGTCATACTGCCAATGCATCGGTTCGAAAGCTCCAACCCTCCCCAGTTCTCACCCTCGTCCATCTTCACCCAAGATGCTCTTATCTCGATTGATTTCCGCTCAATTGTCCCTTTTCTTCGCCCAGTACGTTTTGGCTGCAGCGCCTGCACAAACACTCACCGATGATGGCAACGGAAAACAAATCTATGTTCCACAGCCTGGAACCACATCCAGCGTCGCATCACCCGAATATACACCAACTCTAGTGTACAATTGCGCTCAGATGCCACTGATTTGTGAGAATGTCGCAGCATGGGCCAAAACCAACAACAACGCTGGAGGCGATATACCGGCAAATAACCTCTTTTTATATTTCGATCCAGACGCAACAAACAAAAATGCACGCCGACAGCTAGCCTGTGGCTGTTTTGATCACGATGGCTGCGATGGCTCAGGTACCTCCGGTACTTCCAAAGGTAAAAGGACTGGGGACAAAGTCACTGATATAGCAACTTCCGCTGGCCCCTTTGCCAACATCCCACCTACCGCTGCGGCAATCATAATGGCAGGTAAGAGCCTCTACAGACAATTTCCCCAATTTCGCTCAAAGCCTCTGATAGGTCCGAATCCTCCATCGGGCGGGAACAGGCAACCCTTGAATTCAATTCCAGGTCGGTTCTTCGCCTTCGGAATTGGTATGACATGCGATGAATTCCCTGCCGCGCCTTTCATAGAGGGCGGTGCCAACGCAGAGACAATTTGTGCCCTCCAAAGCTGGCAAGTATATCAGGGAAAGGCAACTAGCCAAAATAATCAAGGGAAATGGCCGTTGACCCCCCAAGAAGGGAAACGGTCGGAGCAAGATTGGCAAGCTCAAGCTCATGTATATCTACGCCAAGCATTCGGCATTCAGAACAGGAGAAACCCCATCGGATTGGGGACCGTCTGGCCATTCTCTTTCACAACTACCACCGATTCGGTAGCAACCTCTAGCAAAGCCTGGGTCATAGTCTCTGGCCCAGCAACAAGTGTCGTTACTAAGCGAGATCTCCCACCAGTAACCATTGCTGTGCCCACTGCGACCAATTTAGCAGTGACTGGCGACGAAAAAATTGACGCTCGAGCCCTTCATGACTTCGGGCCGCGTGCACCAGAACCCGATCCCAATAGCCCTACAGGCGTCAGACTCGCCGTCCGCACTGCCAGCCCTATACAAAAACGCCGCAACACCGGATTCCTGATGGTCCGCGCAAACGTATCATCCACGCCAGCAGCAGACTGTACCATCGACTTTGATACCCAAGGCCTCGAAGACACCGATGTAGGCGACCCAGGCTTCGACGACCTCCTCCCCCAATATCAATCCAAGCCCATTTGCGAAGGGGGTAATTCCGAGGTCTCCGACGTACAAGCTGCAGATACCTGGCTCGACAGCCAAGGCAACGACTGGGACTATGGCAACTGTTGTGGTGGTGGCATCGGCGACGGCTCTTGCGGACCCATCCTCGTGCAGAATGGCACCGCGAGCGTGAGTTTGTGTGGAGACACGAACCAGTGCGTTGGGTGCGCACAGCTGGGAAACTACGTGGAGGGGATCATAGGAGCCTGTCAGCAGGATGGCCTGGTGAATGGTGTGCAAGTGCTTAACGAGGTTGAGGGGTTGAATATTTCGGTTTCTTTGGTTGATGGTTCGTAGATTGTCCGCGTGTGTCATCTCGTGATCTGCTTTGACTGTATAAGGCGCTTTGTATTTCAAGGGCTTGAACAGGTTCGACTTGGGCAGCGCTATCGTTGATCTCGTATTCTTAGACTTGATGTGATTAGAGGCTTCTAACTAGAAAGCTACGTGTGGTAATTCGGTGGCCGAGTAATTAGCTCACATAGAGAGTCCTTTTGCGATACACTGAAATAAGAGAATTTTTTCTGAGTTCATGTAACTAAAAAAATCTCTACTACATTATAAAGACTTTATTACGGCGGACGAGGGCTGAAACTCCGATATAATTTTCTTTTCCGATAAACGCCGAGACCTCGGCAACATACTTAGGGCGAAATCTGTGCCTCTCGGCGTTTATCGGATAACAGACTTTTCGTTTAAATAATCCGTACCTACGGGCCACGGCGGATGACGGCTGACACTACGACAAAACTAAAAAAAAAAATCTTTTTATTTTCTTCTTCGCGATTTCTAGTAACTCTCTTTAAAATATTATTTTTAGAATATTCTTAACTCTTCGAGAGGTATCTTTAAGGCACTTTTGTGGCGCCCTTTCCCGGCCTCCCGCGGTGCTTCTTCCCCGCTCTTTTCCTTCCTTCCTTCCACTTTTTTTATTTTTTTTTTTTTTAAGTTTTCTTGCCGCCTCGTTTTCGCCTTCTCCATTTTATAGGATTATTTTTTCTTTTTTTATCTTTTTTTTTATTTTTTTCTTTTTGCTTTTTTTTTTATTTTAATAATTAAATATCGCATTTTTAGCGTTAAGAAAATTTTTTTTTGTTTAATTGAGTTTAAAAGGCTTTTTTTTATTTTTAATTTTTAATTTTTTAATTAAAATTTTAAAAGTCGATAAATAAAATTATTTTTTTGATTTTTTATAATATAAAAAATATTTTTTATTATAATAATATATATTAAAAATTAAATTTAATAAATTAAATATATATAAAAAAATATTATTATTATTATGATTAGATAATATTATTAATAATAATAATAATAATAAATATAAAAATTTTATATTTATTCTTCTTTTTTAAAGTTTAAATTTATAATATATTTGAATGGGATGATATCGTCGATTATAATAACATAACTTATAAAATTTTATTTAAATTAAAAACCTTATTTTTTTAAAATTTATAAAAAAATTATCGATTTAAGGGTTACCGGGATTTCTTATTTAAATTTTAAAAAATTTTTAAATTTTTAAAATTTAAATTCTTAAAAATTAAAATTTCAAGCGCTATAGCGGTGCTTAATTCTTTATTTTATTTTTTTTTAACTTGCCTAGAAAAAAAAGAAACCTCCCTCTCTTCTCTTCTCTACGCTATATATTCTTTTTATTTTTCTCCCCTTTTAATATAACTCTTTTAATCTTTAAAAATTTTTTTTCTTTTTAAAACGTCTTTTTTTCTTATTCCCTATGGGGGGCTATAGACGATATATTAAAGTTTAGCCTTTTTTATTTATTCTCTCTATTTATTAAGACGCGGAGTATTTATATTTTAAGCTTAGAGAGATTCGAGTTCTAATTATTATTTATTAAATCGATTTCTTTTTATTTAGTTATTTTACGTATTAATTATTTCTTAATAGCTCGCGAGATTTTCTTATTATCTTCGATTAGACTTAAATCTAATCTCTCGAGTAATTTAGTATTAATAAACCTTAATATAACTTTTCTTAAGGCGCTTACGAAGCCTAGTTTCTCGATAATATTATTTAGCGAATTCTTATATAAGTTATTTAATTTAGAGAGTCTCTATATCTTTCTTATTAATCTAAGATATATCTTTAGAATATATTATCGTAATATATAGTATATAATAAGCCTTTTTTATTATTTTATATCTCTAAAACTTCTTAATATACTTATATATTTCTAAGAAGTATTATAATTATACGAGTAGTAAAATAATAGTAAAGAGCTTATCTTTAACTTTCTTACTATTCTATCTTTTAATATAAAATATCTAGAATTATAATTCTTTAAACTATAATGAAAGGCGATTATTATAAGAATTATAGTATTATTAAATAAGGTAACTAAAGATACTTACTTCTTTATCTAAATTTAAGAAATACTCTTTTACTATAGAAGAAAATTTTATATAATAATATAACTTTTTTTTTAAAAAAAATTGATTCTCCAAAACCTCTCCGGGGCCAGGTCCTAAATACAGTACAAAATCAGGTGGCTGGAAAACATGGTGGCTGGGATGCGCGGGAGCCACATTTCGACACTCCCCTGCAGCCACGCTCCCAGTCCACCCAACAAGAAATGAAGCTATACACAACTCCCATCAACGATAAAGGCCATTCCAGCCTTCGACAACAACAACAGGCCATTCCAGCCTTAACAACAGGCCATTCCAGCCTTTCAACAACAGGCCATTCCAGCCTTTCAACAACAGGCCATTCCAGCCTTTCAACAACAGGCCATTCCAGCCTCAACAACAACAGGCCATTCCAGCCTCTCAACAAGAGGCCATTCCAGCCTTTCAACAAGAGGCCATTCCAGCCTTTCAACAAGAGGCCATTCCAGCCTTTCAACAAGAGGCCGTTCCAGCCGTAACAATAGGCCATTCCAGCCGTAACAACAATAGGCCATTCCAGCCGTAACAATAGGCCATTCCAGCCGTAACAATAGGCCATTCCAGCCGTAACAACAACAGGCCATTCCAGCCGTAACAACAACAGGCCATTCCAGCCATATCACACACCATCCTGGTGTAACACGTCTTCCTGACGTAACAGACACCCATCCTGGGTAACACGTCTTCCTGACGTAACAGACACCCATCCTGGGTAACACGTCTTCTTGACGTAACACCCCTTCCTGGGGTAACATGACATGCCCCTAAAGCGTAACACCCTTCCTAGGTAACAAGAGTAAGACGTGACACTCCACCTCGGAGTAATGTAGTCATTCCACATAGAACTTGTATGCCACACTGGCACGTGTCTCCATAGAATTGTCTGTAGTCCTTCGCGACGTTCCTCTTTGCCACTATCCTATTCTTTCTATTCCACAACTCGCCCGTCAGTGTGACTAGGTCCTTTGCGACGACGAGGGTTCTTTGCGACGACGAGGGTTCTTTACGACGACGAGGGTTCTTTGCGACGACGAGGGTTCTTTGCGACGACGAGGGTTCTTTGCGACGATGCGACGACGTAGTTATGACTCTGTTACCTGAATTAGTCTTTGTAGGAAGCTGGCATCATAGCGACTTAGCCTGTATGCCCTGCGGTGACTTGAATGATAGGTCGAGAACAGCGCGTTGGGACATAGTGGTAGCGAGGTATGGTAGTGGGATAAGGTACGGTAGTAGGACAAGGTAGCAGCGAGGTATTATTTATTATTTATCTATTATATCTTATCTAATTTATTTAAAAGCTTACTTTTATTATAATAATAATATATTAATATATTTAACTTTACGCTTTTTAATAATTATAGTATAATTAATAATTAAGATATCGATTTTCTTTACTTTCTTAATTAGCTTCTTCTTAGATATAAATATATTTATTCGCTATTACGATTTTTTAATATTTTTATTTTAATTAAGTTTATTCTTTATTCTTTATTTTAATTAAGAGCTTAATCGCCGCTTAATTAACTTATATCGAGATTCTTTAATATCGCTATCGTTATTAGTATTTAATATTTATTATAATAAATTATTAGACTTAATCTCTTCTACTTTAATTATTATAAAAAAATAAATTAATAAATATATATAAAAGAATTAAAGAATTTATACGGATATTTATAAATACTAAGCTATTCTTAATTTTAATTAAAACTCGTTTTATTAAAAAGTGCGTTAATTCTAGTAAGTATTGATATTAGAAATAAAGAGAATATATATTACGCGCTATTTTAAGTATATTATTATAGAGTTTAACTTAAAAAATAATTTTTTCTATAAAGATAGTAAGATTTAAAAATAAGAAAGTAAGAATAAAATACGCGAAAATTTTAATAAGTTATAATAATTTAATATTAGTTAAATTAGATAAAGATAATTACTTACTAGCTCGCTCTTTTAAATCTTTTATCTTTTAATCTATATAAATTATAATAATAATTATAATTATTATAAAAGTAATTAAGATTATATTAGATAATAACGCTTAATAAGCATAATTCGCTTAAACTTAAATCTTTAAAATTAAAGAGAAAATATTTTATTAATATTTAATTTAAGCTAGATAATTTAAAGTAATCTAAAAATTTAATATACGCGATAGATATCTAAGCTTTTCTTCCCCTTCTTTCTCTCTAAAACTTTCTTTTTATATTAATTCTTTTTATTATTAAACTATCTTCTTTATATATTAGATTTCTATTTAAATAATCTAATATTATTATAGTTATATTAAAAGTATAATACAATTATTAAGTTATATATTTATTCTTTATTTTTTAATAATTTTAAGCTAATATATAAATAGGCCGCGCGAAGAGCTTAATTTATATATATTTAATCTATTATTAATAACTCTTCGAAAAAATTAATATTATTCTAGAGTACTAGACGTAATATTAAAATAAAGTCTTTATTAAATATTACTATCGCTTTAATCGCTATCGCCGTCGCTTTAATAAATATTATCTCTACTTTAATAGATACCGCCTTTACTTTAATAGTATTAAGATATTAATAAAAACTAGATAGTATATTCTTCTAATTATTATTATACTTATTATATATAACTAATATAAGCTATAGCTCGAGCTTTATACGAGATTTATTATTATTAAAAGTTAATTAATCTTATAATCTCGAAGCTTCTCTTTTAACGCTTAATTTATTAAATTATACTTAATTAAAATTTATTAAAGCGTTATCGTATTTAAAGGTTTACTTTTAAAATATTATATAAAATAATAAAAGTCTTTCTAATTCGTTAGTTTAAGAGTAAATCTTTCGTTATTACGCTTTATAATTAACTCTAATAATTTCTATTTA